CTCAACTTAAAACCATGTAAATTCTTTATGCAATGTCTATCCTGTTGCAAGAATAAGATTAAGGTTGCACGCAAGGGTAGGTGCTCAGATAGGAAAGTAACTGAGCCATTTGAGCGTGTACATTGTGATTTAGTTGGGCCACTCCCACCATCCTTAGGAGGTTCTAAGTACTGGCTTACCCTGATAGACCAGTATAGTAGATATTGTTGGACTTATGCAATAGCTGAGAAGTCCCAAGCATTTGAGAAGTACAAAGTTTTTGCAACTGGGTAAAAACACATTTTAACAAACCTATTAAGAACCTTTTTCTGACAGGGGCGGGAATTTGTTTCTGAGGATTTTGAGAAATTCCTGGAAGCGCAGGGGACTACTCATGAGTTATCTTGCCCCGAAGTCCCTGGCAAAAGGGGCTTGTTGAAGTTGTGCAGCGTGACCTGCAGGCAGGGGTTAAAACTTATCTGCATGATGCTAATCTGCCCAAAGACTTTTGGGCTGAAGCGCTCAATGCCTGTTGTTATGTTAGAAATCGCAGTTATCATTCTGGTTTAGATGTCACCCCCCTATGAGAAGCTGTTTAAAAAACGCCCTAATCTGAAATACCTACGCATTTGGGGTTCAGATGTAATAATGCATTATCCCGCTAAGCAGAAATTGGGTGAACGTAGTGTCCAGGGAAAATTAATGGGCTACCAGCAGGGGGGCGTACAGAATTTACATACCAGCAACTGGCAAATTTCATATTACCAGAAGCATGATACAAACTGTAAATAGGAATGGTGTTGCTGTTTTCCAAGATAGTAATGGTATAGATAATACTGAGGAAGAAGAGGTAGAAGAAGCAGCAGCAGCAGCAGGAAATGGTGCTTCTGAATTAATGGAAGAAGACAAAAAGCCTATTGAATCTGATAATTTGTTTGATGATTTAAAGTCACAGGCACCCGAGGGGAGGTTAGATTCTCTTGAGTTTTCTGACCGTGAGATTAGCCAACAGGCATCTCTTCAGTCTGACAATGATGATTTACAACCTGAAACTAGTAGTTTACATAGTCCCATTAAGTCTGAGGAGTCTGACTCTCCTTCCGGACTGAGACGTTCAGATAGAAAGAGACAGAAGCCACAACGTTTTGCAGATGAACATTTTAATACTGTGTATGCCAATAAGGCAGTTTTTGAGCCAAAAAGCTACAATGATGTTCAGAATTTACCTAAGCACCAAGCTGTAAATTGGTATAAAGCTATGAACTCTGAAATAGCTTCTTTAAAAGAGCATAACACTTGGTCTCTTGTACCACAAACCCCAGATATGAGACTTATTGATTCAAAATGGGTTTATAGAGTTAAAATGAATGACAAAAATGAAGTTGAAAGGTACAAGGCAAGATTAGTTGCTAGGGGTTTTCAACAAATTCCAGGCGAAGATTATGATTTGTGTTATTCACCAAGTGTAAAATATGAAACAGTTAAGCTTTTGTTAAAAGATGCATCACAACGTGGACATTCTGTTTATCACCTAGATATAAAAACTGCATATTTGTTTGCAGATTTAAAAGAACAAATTTTTATGCGTGTCCCTGAAGGCATAGACGCCGCTGAAGGTTTGGTATGCAAATTAAATAAATCCCTTTATGGTCTGCACCAAAGTGGAAGGAACTGGCACCAAACTTTAGCAAAAGAATTGCTGGATATTGGTTTTTCACAGGGAAAGGCAGACAATTGTGTGTTTATAAAGGAAAGGGCAAACTCTGTAGCAAAAATATGTGTATGTAGATGACGTGTTAATTTCTACAAAAACTAAACAGGAATATGAACAGGTAGTAACACAGTTACAGAAGAAATTTGATGTGGTGGAATTAGGCATAGCTAAAAATTACTTATCCATGCAAATTGAGAAAGGCAAAAATGGATCTTTTCTGGTTCATCAAACTGCAAAAATTGACGATCTTGTTGAAATGCTATGTTTAGAAAATGCAAATGGGAAGGAAACGCCCATGGTGTGTGGTTTCACTTTTACAGGTGAAGATAAGCCATTTCCTAACAAAACTTTGTATCGTTCTGCTATAGGCAAGCTAAATTTCATTCAAAGAATCTCAAGACCAGATATAACTTATGCCTTTCACTTTCTGGCAAAATTTGTGGAAAAGCCCACTACACAATGTTTCTCTGCTCTTAAGAGAGTGGTAATGTACCTTAAACATACCAAACATTATAGGTTGCAGTTTACAACATGTATTGACAAAGGTTTTGAAATTTTCTGTGATGCATCTCATGCAGTGGAACAAAATAATTGCAGGGGTGTGTCTGGTATGGTGTTTTGTTATAACGGTTGTCCATTTGAATGGAAGTCCCAGACACAAAACATTAATTGTCTCTCCACAACAGAGAGTGAATTATGTGCATGTGTTCAGGCCACTCGTGATGTAGAATGGTATCTGCAAGTATTCGCAGACCTACAGATGCAAGTAACACTACCAGTAAAAGTTTACCTTGATTCCCAGAGTGGACTCGCTATCCTATGTTCAGAAACCAATACGCAGCGCACTAAAGTCTTAAGATTACGTTTACAGTTTGTAAAGAAACTAATTGCTGATGAAATGGTTGTATTTAAATATGTTCCAGGTGACAATCAAATTGCAGACATTTTTACTAAAGCACTTCCAAAAGGTATACATGAAAAACATGTACAAAGTATGCTTTATGTTTTTGTTCCACAATGATGAACCGCAGGGGAAATGTTGAATGGTTTAATATGTAAAGGTTCATCATTGTTCCACTCGATGTGTATGTCTTTAAGGGGCCAGAGAAAGGGCCAGAGCAAAATAACGAGACCCAGCTTTACAGCTGTGAAACATAGCAGGTGCTGCTGAGTTGTATTGATTAAGCTGTGTTGGTAATTGGGTGTAGTATATAAGGAGCAGCACCTAGTTCTCCCATTACCCTGGGGGATGGGTTGGTGGTTGGGTCATGTTTGTTTGTTAATGTATTTAGTGTAAAAGGAGTTTTTGTTTTTCTTATTAAAACCTTGTTTAAGTTATTTTTGAGTCCCTTTTTAATGCATGGTCTCCCCAGCAAGCTCTCTGCAGCGCTACCATACTGCAAAAAGTCAACAGTCTCCGCCTGGGCACGCAATGTGATGATAGAACTGGAAGATCACATCCTTCCTAAAAATGTGGAGGTAGGGTAGCCTAAGAATAACCCCTGCCTCCAGCAATACATGGGGAGGATTTCAAGGACAGGAGCATGAAATTTACCAACATCCCCCACAGTGCTTCCAACCAGTCAGCCGCCATTTTGAAATCCCCACAGTGCTCTGCAATGTTGTTATGTCATGATGTAGCATCATTCTGAGGGGCATTATGTGGAAAAGGCCCGACTGGTGGCCATTTTATATCACCAAAAATAACCCACAATTCAACAAAGAGACTATACTACCCATTGGTAAAAGGAAAGCTTATCTTTATTATAATCTTCATGCAGATTTTCCCATTAAAATGACAGAAAACTGCTAAAAGCAACAGAACAAGAAACACAGAATAAACACATTTCCATAAACAGTGACACCTGTCTTCTGCCTTGGCAATGTGACTGTTTAATTGAATGAAAAGAACACAAAGGTGCTCTTAGCATTAAGATGCAGGGCTGGTCAGTTTGAACCTAATGGATTATGAACCAGAAGTTTGACAACATCCTTTTGCTAGAAAGCATAATAAGTAGAAAAATCATTTCGTTTCATGGTTTGTGTGCAGGGTCAAAGAGAGATGAAGTTCACTTCTTGGCATGTCTTACACAGAAACTCATCTGGTATATCTAAGATCTGGTATATCTAAAGAAAAATCATCTTGTCGTCAGGCTACATACAGTAGCAAAGCCGTGTTTGCTTTGCTTCTCAGCCAACAAGTGCAACATCTCTAGGAATGTTGCACATCAAAATCAGGATGCAATTCTGCTGTAATTCAAAATGTATTCTGCTGAAAATATGAAGTGTGCCGACTTTGGTTCCTGGAACTGGTACTATTAGTGGACTCTGTGGGAGAAAGCAGTCGAAATCTGAGGAAGACCAAGCTGATTGCCCTTGAGGAATCTCAGTGCCTTGTTTGGACCTGGGCTATTGGTAGTAGCATCCTGAGTTTTCAAATAGATATTCTGTGCACAAAAAGACTGATGGAGTTGAGGATAATGGAGACCTAGGATATTGTACAACCAATTCATATGCGGTGCCACTGAACTGCACTCCTCTTGTCTTTTGGGATGCAATAGTTGGTAAAGGAAAAGGAAACATATCAGGAGGTATTTATCATGTTCCCTCTGAAGTGCTGATTACTGAGAATGATACATGTAAGCAAAAGAAGAATCAGAACTCCTATGGCAAAGCGGATGATGTTGACTTGGGTGCAATTATAGGTATCTGGAATGAGATGAGAAATCAAGGTCTGGATTATGAGGTGGCATGTTAAGGGTACATTGTTATTTTATTTTATTTATCATAATTTGTATACTGCTTGGTTGCAAAAAAACACACACAAAAAAACAACCACCAAACTTTCTAATTGGTTAACAAATATAATATACGCTGAGCAGTTTAATGTGCATAACAACCAACCATTATATATATTCACCAGGCTTCATGAAGAATATGCATGTAATCTGTCCATGAAGAGGGAATTGAGCACATTTCCCAATCAATATATCTCCAACAGTCCTTGGGGAATGTGCATATAGTGTCTGAATTTTGTACACTCTCTGGTCAGTATGGTAAGTCTCCAACAGACCTTGGGGAATCTGCATATGTCGACTGAATTTTGTATATTCTCTGGCCAATGTGCATAATCCCCCAATAGGAGCTGTTTTCCCCAAGCATCAATCTTCCTGTTAGAAAAACCTTTATCTGCTAAATTACCGTAACTCATGTTAAAGGCACATAAGAATGCCTCTCTCCACCATACTAAGCCTAATGTGACTGAGACTTGCATGTTTTGAAGCTTACAGGAATTTTCAACTAAGCTTCAAAGACCTCCTAAACCAAAGCCTGATACGATACCTGATATCAGGATCTCCAAGGAAACACTGGGTGCAGAAATCATAAAAGGCTCTTCTATGCTTTCATAGATGCAGCTATAGTTGCCTTCATGCTCCCGTGTAAAATTGCTGATGGTAAATTCACCCACATAAAAGTGACCATTCATGAGCGTAGGATTTGTGTCTCCTGTCTTGTGAAGAGAGAAGTTCACATATTCAGAATCAGATTCACACTTGATCTCGACCTGCCCTCCATGTGCAACACATCCTTCATGTTGGATGGAAATGACAGGTGCGGACAATGGGGAATCTGTGCATAAAAGGAAACAGGAAGTGAGATGTCAACCACCAGTTCTCAGCCATCAGAAGACGTTGTCCTCTTCTTATTCATATAATAGGTTTGTATGCTTCAATATAAATGTTTGGGGGCTGGCTTAAAATCCACAAAGACAGATAGATAGATGATAGATAGATAGATGATAGATAGATAGATGATAGATAGATAGATGATAGATAGATAGATAGATAGATAGATAGATAGATAGAGATATAACAACAGCATGTTCTCATCACAGAGGATAGATTTAAGTGAAGAGCCAGGGAGAATAAAGAGGTCTTTGTTTGGTGCTAAAAATACAGCAAGATGGGCCACAGGCAAGCAATTCTGAAGTGAGAATTCCATATGTTCCATATGTTTGACACCACAGATTCCACTAATGCCAACTGGGCATCCAATCCAATCTAAAATACAGGACCACAACTCCATGTGCTCATATGATTAAGTTGTCATTGAGTGGCAGCACAATCTAGTCCTTTGGAACCATGACTGGAAAGACGTAACGTATTTTTCCATGTATAAGACGACCTTTTTTCTGAATTCTTTTGTGATAAATTGAGGGTCGTATTATACACAGGTTAATATGCTAAGTAACTGAGGGCTGGTGCTGTGGCGGTAGCAGGGATATGTCAGCAAGGAGGCTGCTTACCCACTCTTCCCAGCTTTGGAAGAGTATTTGGTGAGTGCCAGTATGCAGTGTATTATGGCACCAGTTCCGTCAACCAGAGCGGAGGATTGTCGAAAAGTTGCTCAACAGCTCAGCGAACTTACAAAAGAAGCTCAACAACTGTTGAGGCCTCCCAAAAATAAGGGTCGTCTTATACATGGGGTCATGTTATACACAGGAAAATATGGTATGTTTAACAGACAAAACTATTTTTCAGTGTAAGGTTAGTAAATAAATAATAATAATAATATAATTTATTTATACCCCGCCCATCTGGCTGGGTTTCCCCAGCCACTCTGGGCGGCTTCCAACCGAATATTAAAAACAATACAGCATCAAACATTAAAAACTTTGCTAAACAGGGCCGCCTTCAGGTGTCTTTTAAAAGTAAAATAGTTGCTTATTGCCTTGACATCTGCTGGGAGGGCGCTCCACAGGGCAGGCGCCACTACCGAGGCGGCCTTCTGCCTGGTTTCTTGTAGCTTCACTTCTTGCAGCGAGGGAACCACCAGAAGGCCGTAGGCGCTGGGGGTGGAGACACTCCTTCAGGTATACAGGGCTTTAAAGGTCAGCACCAACACTTTGAATTGTGCTTGGAAACGTACTGGGAGCCAATGCAGATATCTCAGGACCTGTGTTATATGGTCCCAGCAGCCACTCCCAGTCACCAGTCTAGCTGCTGCATTCTGGATTAATTGCAGTTTCCGAGTCACCTTCAAAGGTAGCCCCACACAGAGTGCATTGCAGTAGTCCAAGCGAGAGACAACTAGAGCATGCACCACTCTGGCAAGACAGTCCGTGGGCAGGTAGGGTCTTAGCTTGCGTACCAGATGGAGCTGGTAGACAGCTGCCCTGGACTCAGAATTAACCTGCGCCTCCATGGACAGCTGCGAGTCCAAAATGACTCCCGGCTGCACACCTGGTCCTTATTTCCTATGAAGTCTGCCTGTCAGCAAAAAAGAACTTACTTCTCAACAAATGTGCATGGGATTGTACTGGCAGACTTTGAGGTGGTTGTTGCTGGTACTTCTCTGCTGTTTCATCCCTTTCTCACCCTCTCCATGCCTTCTGCTTAACACGAACAACTCACTTTCTACTTCCCTTCCCCCTTCCTTTTTCCTATTCTCTCAGCTCATTTTCTTGCCTCCTGCCTCTTGCTGCTGGCACACACCAGCTTCCCTCAGGCTCAGTTTCCCTCCTGTCCTTTTCCCCCACACAACTTCCCCGCCTCCTCTCTCACTTCCCATTAACCTCACTTCCAGCTGATAGCAGCCCCTGGAAGAGGAAGGAAAGCTCTTTAAAAGGACTGTGCTCAGGGAAGAAAATATTCGTGACAGAAAACCACACACATCCAAAACCATGTAGAGAGAATGTATGAGCATGCGAAGAGAACTCCAGGTTATCTCCCCCAGTAGACTGTTTATCACAGGTAACTAAACCCAGGTACAGTTGACTTCCCCCCAGAGATAGCATAACATGAGAAAACTCTTTATGTTACCTAAGATCAGCAGTTTCACTATTTCGCTAGAAACTGAAAAGACTTCTGATATACTGCTGTATTTGCAGCTGTATCCTACTGCATCATCTCTGCTCAGGTTGCTGATGACAAGGTGAGCGCCATCCACATTGTTCTTCAACAGCTGTGGTACAAAATTATCTCTTCGCCTATAAAATTTGAATCGAACACCTTGGCCTTGGCAATTGAGGGTCACATTTCCCCCCAGAGGAAGTGGCCCTCTAGGACTCAGGGAGATGGTGGGTCTGGCTAGGTCTGGATCTGCAATTGAGAAAAAGTTGTGAGTGAGATGCTGGAGCTGCAACTAGCCTTTTTCCAAACAGATGTTAGTTTGTGAAGTAGCAGAGATAACAGTTCACACATCATCTCAAATAATCCACCATTAACATATATGACGTTTTTCCATCTGATTCACCTTAACTCTACTGAGATTGCTTTTTTGTCCCCATTTCCTTGTATACACCAGCCTCAGGACTGCCAAATTACCTGTGTGGTGCTGTGGGTTAAACCACAGAGCCTAGGACTTGCCGATCAGAAGGTCGGTGGTTCGAATCCCCACGACGGGGTGAGCTCCCATTGCTCGGTCCCTGCTCCTGCCAACCTAGCAGTTCGAAAGCACGTCAAAGTGCAAGTAGATAAATAGGTACCACTCCAGCAGGAAGGTAAACGGCGTTTCCGTGCACTGCTCTGGTCCGCCAGAAGCGGCTTAGTCATGCTGGCCACATGACCTGGAAGCTGCACGCCGGCTCCCTCGGCCAATAAAGCGAGATGAGCGCTGCATTAGGTCACGACTGGACCTAATGGTCAGGGGTCCCTTTACCTTTGCCTTACACTGGAACTTAGCCTAGACTTTTGCCAAAGATGCCTCAAGTTCAAGAGTTTGGAAATCTTTTTAATAGTAGCAGTAGTGGTAACAACAACAACAACAACAACAATAATAATAATAATTTGGATTGCTGACCCACCCTTCATTTTAAGATCCAGGGCAAGTTACAACAATATTACGTGTGTGTGTGTGTGTGTGTGTGTGTGTGTGTGTGTAAACAATGAGCGTTTTTTGTTTTAAAATGAATACCTCATTGTGCTCCCAAATGCTTTCCCCACTGGAGAACCTCCACTATTAGAGACAGTATATCTTGGAGAACGAGTGGTGAGAGCTGCTGCTGCTGCTGCTGCTGCTGCTGCTGCACTCAGCTCCTTCTTTTAGGCTTCCACAGTCATCTGGTGGCAACTATGAGAACAGGTTGCTGCACTAGATGGGCCACTGGCCTGATCCAGCCGGGCTTTTCAGGGTATTCAAGCTGTTCTGTTTCCAACTTCCTGTTATATTTTATGTTATATTTATATTACTGTTTGAGATGTGTTGTAAGTTGCCTGGAGACCTTCAAGTAACAAGTTACAAAGTAGTAGTAGTAGTGGTGGTGGTAATAAAATTAATAATAATTTCTAATGTTCTCATATACCCTCAAGTAAAGGATTCCCATGGTTCTATAGCTGCCCTGTACAAATAGCCTGATCACAGTTTGCCACAACTAACTCTTCCTCTTTGGCAATCACTCATAGCTGAGTAAGATTGTCTTCCATAAACACAGTTTTAACAATGAGTCCGTAAGTGACTGTGGAGGCCAATTCTGGATCCACACGTCCTTTCACAGCGGGGACATTGGTTTCCGGGCGGGAGTTGATCATGGTGTGGATTTGCCAAGCATGCCTTCCTCTTAGCACGCTTCTCCCACCCAGCAGTCATAGCTGCAGCTAAAATTCAATTAATTTAAAAAAAGAAACCAACCAAAGATGAATGGGACTTTGGGTTGGGAAGCAGATGCATGCAAAATCAGATTTTTTTTACCTGTTAGCTGTAACTCCACCTCATCGCTGGGTTCTGAGATGGCAAAGCAATCTGGCAGGGTGCTGTATGTGCAGCTGTAATATCCCGAGTGCTCCCAGCTTGCATTGCTGATGGAGAACTTGGCAACAGTTCCATTGTTTTGGATGAGCTGAACAGGCTTCGCAACTCCATACTTTTGGAAATAGAACCTGACAGCAGTGGCATTGCTTCTGCAATCAATCGTCACATTACTTCCTAGGGTGACCTCTTCATCGTGGCTCAGGCTGATGCTTGGTTTGGGTAAGCTGTGATCTAGGTAATAATAATAATAATAATAATAATAATAATAATAATAAATTTTATTTATACCCTGCCCTCCCCAGCCAAGGCCGGGCTCAGGGCGGCTAACAACCAATAATAAAAACGAGTTGAATGAATACAACTTAAAAACAAGATTAAAATGCAACATTAAGTGAAGAGATTATACCCCACCCATCTGACCAAGGATCCACAAAGGTGTGCACTCATCTTTCAAGAAAAAAAGTCAATTCTTCTACCCGTAAATCTGCTTGGATGACAAAGGAGGAGAAATGGCTGGGATATTATTCACATTGTTACATGATAATTGGTGTGTCTCTCCCCCGCAGCAATTGCCAACAGAGTCTTCTCTGGGCACACTAAAGACTGAGTGTTACATCTGAGCAGTGTCTCTTAAAGCTGTGAGAGAAGTTTTGGCAGTCAGTGGTGCATTTAGCCTTAACTAAGCAGCCATCTGGGACACGGGTTGCACTGTGGTCTAAACCGCAGAGCCTAGGGCTTGCCAATCAGAAGGGGAGCTCCCGTTGCTCGGTCCCAGCTCCTACCAACCTAGCAGTCTGAAAGCACACTAAAGTGCAAGTAGATAAATAGGTACCGCTCTGGCGGGAAGGTAAATGGTGTTTCCATGTGCTGCTCTGGTTCGCCAGAAGTGGCTTAGTCATGCTGGCCACATGACCTGGAAGCTGTCTGCAGACAAACGCCGGCTCCCTCGGTCTATAGAGTGAGATGAGTTCTGCAGCCTCAGAGTCGTCCACAACTGGACCTAACAGTCAGCGGTACCTTTACCTTTACCTTTTAAGCAGCCATTTACAAATGTACTCGCCAAGGACACCATGGGTGACTGTTCCTCTCTGCACTGGCATGCAGTGAATCGATAGATAACATGGGCTTCAGGCAGCCTTTAAAGCAGTGGCATAGCGTGGGTTGCCAGCACCCAGGGAAAGGAAAGTATTGCGCTCCCTAACCAGCGCATCCATGCGGCGCTGCTGCTGCTGCTGCACAAAGCTATGGAACAGCAGCCAGATATGCCCACACCCCTCCTCAGGCTGGGGTGCCATCACCACCACCTTCGCAAGTCTTGCCATCCACTGACCTCCCCTGCCAGGGACACTGTGCAGCCGAGGGATGACCAAGGGCCCATCGTCTCCCAGCTCCTGCTTGGTGTGCTGGTCAGGTGAAGTGGGTGAGCAGGATGGGGAGAGCCTTTAGTTGGAGTGGCAGCTACAGAGGTGCGCCCCTAAAATATTTGCACCTGGAACAATCACCCCGATAGCTCCTCATGCTACACCTCTGCTTTAAAGTGGAAGCTTGGGGACCTGTGGCCCTTCAGGTGCTCCTGGACTGCACTTCCCATCATCCCGGACCTTTGACCATGCTGATGTGAGTTGGAGTCCAACAACTTTTGGAGACAGAGATATTCCCCAAACCTGTCTTTGTGTGATGGCCTGGGAATCTGATTCAGAGGCTGAACCTGAGGAATCCCAGCCTGCACTGGAGTCCCCGCCTCCAGGGCCGGCTGAGCTGGGGCAGGGGCTTGAACCTGAAGAGCCCTCACCTGTGCTGGATCCTCAGGAACAGACACCAGCTGAATCCGCTCTGGCTCCGGAGGTGATCGAGGACCCATTGCCTGCAGGTGCTCCTCTCCCAGCCCTGTCAGGGGAAGGTGAGGTTGCCTCTGGGTCCAGTAACCCTCCAGCCTCTCCTGAGCTGCAGAGGCTCAGAGCAGAGAGGCGGAGGGAACTAAGTTCTCGCAGGAGGAGTGCTCGCCTTAAGGCCAGGAGAGGCGAGTCACCTGTGGAATGGGGCCGCCCTATGCCTCAGAGGAGATAAAGGCCAGCCCGCCCAGTCCCAGGTTGCGGGAGCAACATCGTTGGTTACCTGTTCCTGCCGGCACCCTGTCCTGCTTTCTGCCAGAGTTCCTGACCATGCCCGACTCCCTGCCTTGGACCCCGCTTCAGCCTCGGACCGGACACGGGCCATGCCGTACGGTAACACACACACCCCGGACCAGCACACTTTGGCATTGCCGTACTGGCTGTTTCTTTTGTGGCCAGGGAGAACTAAATTGGGATCCCTTTGGCCCACCCTTGATTGGACTCTGAGCGAGTTGAGCAAGGAGATAGATGGGCTTGGGTTTCCCTCATTCAGGTTTCCTGGATATGAACACGCAGGGTACACAAGCAGAATGTGTGTCATTTTCGGTGGGGAGGCAGAGGAATGAGGAGGGGAAGGGGACAATGATGTATGCTGGAATGCTAATTTATAAGCTCAGCCTATCAGGCAGAATGCATGAGGTGGGAGGTAATGATGTGGGTGTTCAGGGGAGGATGGCTTGGCCTGTGCAAGTGTGCCTGGGTGTGGGGTTTTTCCTTCACCATCCTGGACTAGGCACAATTTGGATTTGGCGGCACAGAAATGTGGTTTATAGAATAACCCTTGTACAGGATCTCACTACCCATCTTGATTGATTGATTGATTGATTGATCATTTAATTTCTATACATTGGTACCTCAGGTTAAGTACTTAATTTGTTCCGGAGGTCCGTACTTAACCTGAAACTGTTCTTAACCTGAAGCACCACTTTAGCTAATGTGGCCTCCTGCTGCCGCTGCACTGCCAGACCATGATTTCTGTTCTCATCCTGAAGCAAAGTTCTTAACCCGAGGTAATATTTCTGGGTTAGTGGAGTCTGTAACCTGAAGCTTATGTAACCCAAGGTACCACTGTACCACTTAATACATTTAAAATATCTGTAAACGGTGCATGGAAAACTGAAGCCAGGACAAACAAAACAAAATACAGTATTACAAAAATAGTTACTGTACATATAAAAGTGTTACATTAATACTAAGTTACTAATATATATAAATCAGTATCAATTCATTTTCCTTCTAAAACAACCTCCCTCAGCACCTCTGGGCTCTCATCCAGGGTCCAAGAAACTCTCAGCTCACCCACAAAAGTCTCACAATGAGAAGAGTTGCTGGAAACAGAGGGCATCACCCCTGTTCCTCACTCTAGACTTGCTTTTTATGGGCAGGTACTTCCTCAGGCTGCCCACAGCTGTGTCCCATTCAGCTGGACTTTCTTCACCCAGTTCCAGGTACAGCAGGTTTGTTGAGTTTCTCAGGGGGATCCAAAGGATGGGAAGAGAGTGCCCCCATCCATTCACAGCTCTTTATTCTCTCTCTATCCTCTCCTCCTCCTCCAGCTGCTTATACCTGACTTCAATTAATTAATTAATTAATTAACGGACAAATCAAGGACAATGAGAAGCTACAGGGAGCCGGAAAAGGGCAAGTTAGATATTACACACCTGTTGCTGGAAGTTGCAAGGGGGAACTGTGGCGTGAGTGCAAGAAAAGATTTGATTGAGGTATATAGCTGCACCTGTAGCTCCCTTTGTCCTCCCAGCTGATGTTCAGGGAAAGCTCTCCCTCATTTGACTTTGGGCTTGTGAGAAACCTTGGTTTTGGGTCTCCAGCTTTATGGAGAGAAAACTTTGCAGATTCTTCTTCAGTTTTACACTGGATAGTGGCTGAGTGGCCCAGGGAAACAAACGAACTGGGGTAGATGGAGATGACAGGTATGGGTAAACTGGGATCTGTATACAGAAAGAAGGAAAGCAGAAATGAGATCACAACCATCTTAAGATGGTTCCTGTCCTCAGTCGCAGGCCAGAGAGGTACATTTGGGACATTGCACTTCCCTCTGTTGTACAGTTATAACTTCGCTCAGAAAACATATAGGAATCATTAACTTATATTAATTTTAGCCCAAACTATCAAGGGAAGAAAGAAAGAAAGAAAGAAAGAAAGAAAGAAAGAAAGAAAGAAAGAACATTTAAAACAAAAGATTTCACATCCCTGCTGTAATGGGTAGAAATTTGCCTTTTTTGAAGCACTTGGTTTCAACTACCCCTTGTCATCTGCTTCTTTTTTTAAAAATTTATTTATTTATTTATACAACAAGAAAAAAACACACACAAAAAACACAAATACCAAATTACACACGAATTACAAAACTAACCATAGACACATAATTTTCTTGGCAAACAATAAAACATCTATTGGTCTTAACACTAAAGACCCAACTTCCCGTCTATTCCATATTTCAAATTCATATTACGTATTGCCAATACACATTTTTTTCATAATTAAACTTATTCTCAATAAATCTAATTTCTTCTATCTACCTAGCAACTATCACTGAAGTTCCTCGAATGCTGCAACAGAATTTAAACTACTATATTTATTTTTCAGATATTCTTTGAAAACCTCCCATTTAGAAACAAATTCCTGTTTTGATTTATTCTTTATTTTTTCTGATAAACCATCTAATTCGGCATATTCTGTCAGCTTTTGGATCCAATCTTGTATAGAGGGGATTTCATTACTCTTCCATTTTGCTGCGATCAAAACTCTTGCTGCCGCCGTCGCATATAAAAAGATACCCTTCCTCTTTTGTGGAATATCCAAATCTGTTATTCCGAGGAGGTAGGCCTCTATGTTTTTATTGAAAGAGATCTTTAGCATTTTTTGCAGTTCTGCATGTATACTCTCCCAGAATACCTGTATTTTCCTACATATCCACCACATATGGTAGAATGTTCCTGAGTCTCCGCATCTCCAACAATTACTTGACACATTTTTATACATTTTTGAAAGTTTCCATGGTGTTAGATACCATCGATGTTGCATTTTTGAAAGTTCTCTCTAATTGTGTAACAGTTTGTGAATTTCCAATTGATCTTCCATAAATTTTCCCATTGGGCCATGGTTATTGGATGGCCAAAATCCTGGGACCACCTCACCATTGCCACTGTTACCTCCTCCTCCTTGACTGTCCAGTCAAGGAGGAGTCGGTAAGTTTTGGAAAGAGTTTTTCTTTTAGAGTTTACAAGATCAGATTCGAATCGGAAAATTTCTGCTGAGAACCCCTTTTGTTTGTCAGATTTAAATTTTTCAAATAACTGATGGTATTGGAACCAGTCTGAAATGTGTTCTCTTATCTCCTCAAAGTTTTTTTAATTTTATTTGGTTATCCTCATTTTTTAGAAGTATTTTATATGTTGGCCAGCTTTCCTGAGTATTTTTCCGTTTTACTGCTATGGCTTCTACTGGAGAAGTCCACCACGGGACTTTAGGCTCCATCAGGTCTTTATATTTTTCCCATACAGCAAAGAGTGACTTTCCTATTATATGGTTGGTAAAATTTTTATGAATTTTCACTTTTCCATATATTAGGTAGGCGTGCCATCCCCAACGGTTGTCAAAACCTTCCAGGTCCAGGAGGTCCGGATCCTGCAACGTGCACCAATCTTTTAGCCAGGTGAAACAGGCAACCTCGTAGTAAAGTTTTAGATCGGGTAGGGAAAAGCCTCCTCTCTCTTTTATGTCTATTAAGATCAGGTGTTTAATCCTAGGTTTCTTCCCTTCCGACAAGAATTTGGAAATTTCTCTTTGCCATATCTTGAGACAACCTGCTTCACCCAGTATCGGAATCATTTGAAATAAAAGGATTAATTTTGGAAGCACATTCATCTTTATAATGAAAATCCTACCCAGAAATGTTAATTTTAGTTTACTCCAGATTACCAAGTTTTTTCTAATCTCTAACCAAGTTTTGGTGTAATTATCCTGAAATAAGTTTATGTTCTTGGGGGTGATCCAAATACCCAAGTATTTCGCTTTTGAAGAGATTTTCAGGCCCAATATTTTTTCTAAGTCGTCCTTTTCTTCTGTGGTTACATTTTTAACAAGCATTTTTGTTTTTGTTATATTCAGTTTAAAGCCTGCCACATCTCCAAATTCTTTAATCAATTCCAGCACTCTTTTCAGACTTTCTTTAGGGTTTTCAGTCATAACAAGTAAATCGTCCGCAAAAGCTTTAATTTTATATGTTTTGTTTCCCAGAGTGATGCCTTTAACAAGCTCATCCTTTCTTATCTGATTGTTCAAGACTTCCATCACCAAGATAAATATCAGTGGTGACAGTGGGCAGCCCTGTCTTGTTCCCTTGTTTATTTTGCACTCCTCAGTAATTCTTCCGTTGATGATCAATTTTGCATATTGTTCCGAATAGATGGCATTTATTCCTTTACAAATATTTTCTCCCAGTCCGATTTCTTCCATTAATTTTTTCATAAACTTCCAGGACACGTTATCAAAAGCTTTTTCAGCGTCCACCAACATAATAGCTGCTGGTTTATCAATTTTAATATCCAAATATTCTAATACATCAATCACACATCTAATATTGGATTGCATAAATCGTCCGGGAAGAAATCCGGTTTGATCTTTATGAATTATCTCGTTCAGCACCATTTTTAATCTATTTGCAAGAATGTCTGTGAATATCTTGTAATCGTTATTTAGCAGTGCAATGGGTCTGTCATCTGCTTCAATGTATCTTAATTGGGTGAGTTAGAGGCATCACTAGACCCTGAAATGCTGGTTTTGCATTGGAAATATTGGGGAATAAAATGTGTTTCAGCAACATTCCCAATGATGCACTTTGGCCCAAATCACCTGTCGTTGCACAAATCCACAGCTCCAACCAAATAAATCACATTGATTGCTATCACTCCTTTCCCATCCGTTTGACCAGCATATGCCACTCTCAGGACTCCCAAACTACCAAGACCCAAATGAGTGTCGGGGTATAGCCTAGAACTTTGCCAAAGTAGTTTTAACTTCATTGTAATGGAAATATTTTGAGAAACTTCTTTCTTGCTTTTTCTGATGAAAGAACTAGGTCCTCGAGAAATGCTACTGTTGGTTTATCCTCCCAGCTGCCCTGAATGGATAGCCTCCTAGTGCTTGGCTACTAGACATTCTGCAGACATTAATTTTTTTTATTTATTTTTTTGAAATGGATCCATATGGTGAGAGGTGGAGAGAGAGAGAGATTCCTTACCTTCTAGCAGCAACTCCACAGGATCACTAGGCTCTGAGATAACAAAGGGTTCTGATTCAGAGCTATAATGGCACCTGTAACCTCCCCCATCTGCCCGGCTAATGTTACTGATTGTGTAGCTGCCTCTAGTCCCATTGGTCTCCATGTGCTTATGATCCATTTGGTCTTCATCCTTTTGGAGATAGAAACCTGCAATTGGACTTTGGGACTGGCATTGGATAGTTGCATTTTTTTCAATGGCGCTCATCCGAATGGGGCTTATTGTGGGTTTGGGTAGGCTAGGATCTGTGGAAAGGAAGAGACAGGGCTGTGGTCATTCCCCTCCTGTAGTGGAAATGCAGAAGACAATTGTATTTCGAGGAGTTAGGTGACATGTCCCTTTCCCTCAAACATCCCCAGTTTGAGGTCTGCTGGATTCTTGTGTTTCACACACCTGACGAGAGTTTCTTGGGTTCTTCTGTGTTGCAAGTGCTGGCTGGATGCCCGCTGCAAGTAGTGGGAGACTCTCAGCCGCTCTGTATTCATCATGAGTAATGCCAGCTGCACTTGATTACATCAAGGCAGACTATAAAAGCCATAGGTGGGAGGGGCCCAGAGAGCTTCTAACCAGATCAAAGGACCTGATGCTGGGAGACCGACGGTCAGGGTCTTTCTCCTGCTGCTCCACCTGGGGCTCCAGGCAGCTGAAGGGGAAATTGTGTAGCCCCTGTCGGGTATGTTTTATTTTATGCTTTGTATGCCTGCTGTTTATTTGTTAATAAAACTGTTTTGGTTCCCCTTCCACCTCCTCATTCCTTTTGTCCTGATATCCTTGGAAAGAACTGCTGTATTTGGCAGCACACCTCCCAATTCTGCACTTTCTGTCACTGGAGTGAAAAAGAGGGCAACACCATTTAAATGTCCCTGAGCTTCACAGGTATCCACCCAAGCTGACCCAAGAATCTGCTAGTTTAAAATAGCCACGGTTTTGAAGTCCAGGAAGCAAACAAACATGGGCTGCCAAAATAGAAAGGCCTATATGTTGGTCCACAAGGTGGGGAAAAACACATCCAGAAACCATATTGGGCAAGTATCTTTATTAGACCAATCAAAAAGTCACAAAGGGGTGTGGAAGATTTTGGGTTCCTCAGCACTCTTTATCTGTCTGCTTGGTGGTAACCAAAGCAATAGCAGGGAGATGGGGCAGAGAGGAAATGTTGGCTGGTAGATGGAATCTGCTCTAGGTCACACAGAATATGGGAGGAGGTGGCAGACATTCATATGCTATGCAGGTTTCAGTTTGTACCACCAAAGGCCTCTGGGAAGAAGGACATATGATTTTTGACCTTTTAATCTTTGATAATCTCACACAGAGACCTTTCTCGGGTTCTCTACTCCCCGAGCCCAATAATCCAGGAGTCAGTTTCTCCTGGATCTAATCTTAGGCCATTTTCATGTTCATTCACTCCTCAGGCCCCTCCAGACATCCTTTTTTAATATACTGAATAGCCATGATCATTTGTGCTCATGATGCTAATGGGCTGGTAATACGTGAGCCCATTTTCAATACTGTTTGCAGCTGCAACAGTTTTGGGGTGGCCATACTGCTTCATTTCCAATCAGTGCACGTTCTGTAACTTGCTGGAATTCTGCTTTGGGGGGCTCTCCAAGCTGATGTTTCTTTGCAGCTTTAATTCCCCAATTCCACTGAATGACTGCTGTCCAGAGGGGCTATAGCACAACCAAAGTGGGACAAAAATAAACCAGGGGTTTCAGCAGGTACTTGCAGGATATGCACTGACTTGAAAATGAAGCAGTGTGTGTTCTGACCCCACAAGGTTCAGTTATTAATCTTGGTTGCGCAGTAATGGTGGTGAGGCGATCTTTGTAAGATGTCCTTTGGTGATAGATATCCTCGAGGAGTGTTACACCACCAGTCTCCAGAATGACTTTCTGCAACTTAACTGACCCTTGTGAGGGCAGAACAGTGTGACTATCTCGAAACTTCTGCAGGCACAAACAGTATTGAAAGCAAGCTCATCTATGACCCTGGTAGCATTCTGAGCACAGTTAACACAGAGAACACTACAAATGTTCTGGGTTTGTTTTTTGTCTTTTGTCCTGCTTTCATGGCACTATAGCTAGTCTGGACAGCAATAATGTGGTAGCATTTGAGATGCACCACAGAATAAAAGAAAATAAAACCATCACTAACATTACTATTGTGTCACAAATACACCTGCAATAAATTGCCACTCTGAAGGCCCAAAATACAGATGTTACTTAGGTCTTTCTATGCCCTTCGGCAAAATACACAGGTTTCTTGGTAGGAGAAAATAACAATAATTTTATTATTTATATGCCGCCCAGCTGACTGGGTTGCCCCAGAAAAGCAGGAACACTATTCTGTAGAATCAGGTTTAGAACTAATGAAGCAGGATTATCTTCTATAAGGCTGAGCAGGACTTTGGTCACATCCACTCCACACATCTAAATCACATATATACAACATTAACAGTCATGGCTTCCCTCAGAGGATTCTGGGAAGTGTAGTTTACCCCTCACAAAGTTACAATCCCCTCCACCCTTAGCCAATTGCTGAACCTCTTACCTAATATAAACAACTCCACGGAGTTGCTGTGTTCTGACTGGTATGTTTTCAGTGGCATTCTGTAGTGACAGCTGTATGTCCCTCCATCTTTTCTTGTGACATCACTGATGTGAAACAGTGCCTTTCTTTTATATCCACCTCTGGTGGTGTTTATTTTCACACCATCTTTATGCAGAAAGAAATCCAGCCAGCAGTCTAAATGAACCCAGCAAGAGATGGTGACATTTCCTCCCAGAGAGACTATCCAGCTAGGGCTCATGTGGATGTGGGGAGGATGGAAAATTCTCTCTGGAATGACGACAAAAAGAAAACAGTATGCTGGATGGTGGGGAGAGATTCTGCAAGAGAGAACCTATCTCTGGAAATTTTTCATCCCTAGGAGCCAAGCAAATTGCTGTGTGAAGAAAGCGAACACAATCCAACAGTTCCAACCTATGCCAAGCGTTGGAAGTGAGAATGACGGCTCCCCACATTAAATGTGGTTGCGCGCAGCCCCCTGGACCCTATGCGGCACCATTAGCACAGGCTTGGCTTCGCCTTCCCCAGGTGGGATACCTGGAGGTCTCTGTCTACCTCAGCCAGCTGCCCAATCCCACCTGGGGAGGTGTTGCCAAGGTGATCAGGCCAGGTAGGGGGAGGGATCACCTGCTTACACAATAGGGGGGGGGATCTTACCTGGGAATCGTGTCCTTATTGGTTCTCTTGCCTCACGTATAACACACACACACAAGCACTTATAAATTGTATCTCATGTAAAGTATCAAGGCAGTGTACAGCAATATAAATGTGATAAAACGTCATAAAAACATACAATATGTATTGCAGTGGTTCTGGTCCTTCCTGGAGAACAAGTCCCAGAAGGTGGTTCTGAGAGTGTATTGGCAAGGTTCTTTCTTGCTTCCTGTGCTTATTACTTTCTGTGTGGGTGAGATTGTCCAGATATTTAGGCTCAAGTGCTGCCAGGGTGTGGAGGACACCCACCTCATCCTCTCACTCTGCCATCTACTCCTAGAGAAGTAGAGGAAATTCTTAGAGGCTATCTGGGGTGGTGGTGGCATGAACTGAATGAAAATTATGATATCAAAACAAGATGAACGTGCTTAGGGATTCTGGGGTAGATGTATAAATAGTTTTAGGTGCGGTTGCACTCACCCTGAGGACTCAAGTTTGAAGCTCGGATAGGCTTTTGGATCTGACACTGCCCCTGAATGTGGCTGTAGTGGCCAAGAGTGCCTTCTTAGATATTTTAAAAACCAGCTTAGAATGGTGTGTGTTCTCATCCATTTTTTAGTTTAAAATGACAGTGATTATGCTATCAATTATGTGATTCTAGAAATCACAGAACATGCCGTATGTAGAGTGCCTTTGAAGAACATGCCCTCTCCAATCGAAATCCCCAAACTTCATGAGTGGCCAACAGGACTGAATGACAGGCATCTGCATGCAATGCTCGATCAGGACCTTGGAGATTGGAAAAGCCCCAAAGAATGAAAGTCAAAGACGCTGAAGGCGTGTGATATCTAAAAGGTTTGAGGCTACTGGAGTCATTTCCCCACTCCATCCAGCCTTGTCAGGTCCTTACCTTCTGAAACGATTTCCTCTTTAGTTATAGGGTAGCCTGGAAAGAAGAAATAAATAACTGAACTGATTCCACAGCAGCAGGATTATCACCATATCCTTCCATGCCCAGTAGTAAACACATATAGGCAGTGCTTTATTTAAGAGCTCTATACACAATGGTTTGCAATGAGCTGCTTGCTGAAATGGAGGGTTTTCTTTCTTGCAGAGGAAAAAAAAGCTCTGTTTTCGGAAGTGCTTTCAATGCAAACTACTTCAAAAGGGTGCAGTTAATTCTTGTAGGTCTCTCTGCCTAGTCAACTGCTTAGCACTTTAAGGGAGCCCTGCTCACAAGGGAACAAGCAGGAGCTCACTGTAGGCTTCTGATTGTTCTACTGTAGTCATATCTGTACCTGTCTCACATACTGTATGACATCAGGTGTAGTGTAGGTGGGTGGAGCTTGGAGAAAATGGCCTGTAGGCCAAAGCTTTCCTCAGTCCCCTAACTACAGGTTTCAGATTTTGAGCCCACAACAGTGAACTCAGTGCTCATGCAAAGAAATGAGAGATCTAGCTCTTTCTTACATGCATATACCACATGCATACGCATCCCCCTGTTGCATAATCTCACACTTCAACCATCCTCTCCCCTCCAATCCATTTCCCTCATACTCACTGGATGCTACAATAGAGAAGGTGGAAGAGGTCCAATGGATTGCACAACATTTCATTTTTTAGATAAAGGCAGTTGGAGTAGGACCACTCAGGCTTGCAAATGCACAGCTTCCTGAGTGGGACATCTAGCAACCAGTAGAGAGGTTTAGATTGGAGAACGAAGTGAAGAGAAGAAGTGCTTTTCTAAATAAATAACTTCAGCAGCAGGAACTCCAATCCCAGATCTCTCTTCTGTTTTGGCTACAAACAAGAGAGTCCCAGACCTTTTTCCAACTATACTGCTCCTGTGATTGTGGCTCAGTCTGTCTCTTCCTCTCCATTCAGCAGCACTGGCCGGGATCAGCTGTTCATGCCAGCACCATATGCTCAGCAGCACCATGGGCAGAGCTGGCCCAATATGAAAAGTTGTACATGCTTTGCCACTGCTGCTTCCTCTCCTCCCCCTTTAAAAAAAAAAGTGCATCTGCAATGCATGGTGATGCATCTTCCCCAATCTCCTGCTGGAAAGAAGGCCTCAAGTCAAAATGAGCAGGAATGTTAGTTGGCTAGCTTTGAGATGAAGGCCCTGAAGAGGAAGAAGGCCAAAGCTTGAGATCGGACAACTATTGTCATGCTGAAATTCATTCTCTCTCTCTCTCTCTCTCTCTCTCTCTCTCTCTCTCTCTCTCACACACACACACACACACACACACACACACACACTTACTTCCCACTTGGGGCAAATCCTTGGTTTTTTTGCTCACCAAAAAAGAGGATTAAGAGGACAAGTCTCATGATGAAGCAAAGCAGAAGTCTTTAAGTCCTGATTCCAATGTCACAGCCTCCAAGTCTATTTAAACTGATGTTCTCAGTTAGTTTGCAGATTACTTTTGCAGGGCATGGGAAATGTGCAATATCATTTTATCACCCACTCCATCCTTTGCCTTAAGCCTCTCAATCTGCATACCACATATGATCTGATACCACATATTTTTCGCCACTGCTCTCCTTACTTTCATGCTGATTATTGTACCAAGAAGAGACCAGAACTGCTTACAGAATGTTCACCCACAATGTAGGAAGCCAGAAAGGCTCCCTTAGCTAGCACTGAGTAACTCTGTCAGCTTTGGCTAGTCCCTCTTTCTCATTTTCACATCTGTAACAGCTCTCCAGAGTCCCACGTCAGTCAGGGAACTTTTTTCAAAACAGGTTCTCTTAAAAATCCATCAGTTTAGTACAAAATTCTCCTTCTCATCTTTGCATGCAATTTTGCTTAAAAGGCATGTTTTTGCAATGCAGTTTTTTCCATATACAGTATAATAAAAATGTTGATGTTATTTGCATTAGTATATGCATTTTTATGCAAACTTTACCCTAGCAAAATTATTCTTGTACACGTTACACTGCATTGCAATATCTTGAGAAGTGTGAATTTCAAAAGATGGCTGTGTTTTGGTTTGCATATCGTTTCAGAAAGCATGAATCTGGAAGGTTTGTCTGTATATGAGAACTGAATCAGATTTCTTCCCCCATAGTAAGTCCTAGCTAACCAAGCTGGGTTAGAAACACAGAGATCTGCCTTACAGAACACTGAGAGATGACCATGATTAAGTGGTATACAAATTATAATATATGGCAGACCTTCAGGCAATCTAGTTCCATATTGCCTGTAATAATTCTCCAGAGTTTTAAGCAGGGTTCTCATTTCTAAACTTAGTCCAGATGAATCTGGGCCTGAACCCAGGTTTTCTGCATACAGTGGTACCTCGGGTTACATACGCTTCAGGTTACAGACTCCGCTAACCCAGAAATAGTGCTTCAGGTTAAGAACTTTGCTTCAGGATGAGAACAGAAATTGTGCTCCGGCGGTGCGGCAGCAGCAGGAGGCCCCATTAGCTAAAGTGGTGCTTCAGGTTAAGAACAGTTTCAGGTTAAGAATGGACCTCCGGAACGAATTAAGTACTTAACCCAAGGTACCACTGTACAAAGCATAAAAGGTGGTTAGGAGGATAAAATGGGGGGGGATGGTTCTGTTTTTGTAGCCTTGTGCTTTAGGAGGAAAGGCAGAATATGAAGGTGATTAAACAAATAGGTCAGTAAATATGAAAGCACCAAAGAAAAAAATGGGAAATTTTGCTGCTGTTATTGTTTGTTTGCTTAAAATATTTATAGATTGCCTTTATGAGAGAGAACTTATTGAAGGCAACTTACAAAAGAGATAAAATACAATTCCAGTGATGTTTTTGTCGTGTTTATTTTTATTCAAAACCAAAACCATACAGTTCAATGACATAATGAATTAAAGAGAAAACAGAACAGAACCATATAATTGCATAAAAATTAAAACCAAACAAAAAAAAATACTAATTTAAGTTGCTGCGTTCACAATGCCTGTGATGATGATGAGGCATGTGTGTGCAGTACCATTTATTTAAAACAGAAATATTAAAATGTTTTATCATCACTTATGGTGTAGAGAAGCACATGGTTTCATTTTTTATTTATCTTATCTGGTTATTTTGATTCATTTAAAACAATACTGGCCCTGCTCCATCATACCAGCCCTGCTCCCCGCCAAATACTCTCTCTCCACATCCATAACCAACTGTCACTCCAAGTTAAACTTCAAACTCAACTGCCTCTCTCAACTGTCCCCCAGCAGAATTCAAACTCCTTTTTCAAAACTTCTATCCAATCACCATTCACTAGCAACATTCCAAGCACCCACCTCCCAACAACAAATGCCATTTATTTGCATATTATTCTTGATTTGATTGATTTGACATGGTTTATTCTATTTCTATGCTGCTTTTCTTTCAAAAGAATCTCCAAAGTGGCTTACAAACAATAACAGCCATATAACAAAACATAACAGAACTTCCCAAATACAGTATAAATCATAGTAAAATAATTAACAAACAATCAATAAAACAATTAGAATCCATAAAAGACTATTAATGAAACAGCCACTAATAATAAGCTAAACATCACAAATACAGCACAAGTCATACTATGGGATAAACAAATCAATATGGCACGTATAATCTATAAAACAATAGTAACAATATTAACAAAATAGCAACTAAAAAAAATGAGCTTGCCTACACACTTACCTCATATAACTCTAATATTATTACATATTATACATACAATACTATTTACACAAACACCAGAACATCACAGTTGACTTCAACGATTTTATGATTTTCTTACTTGAAGACGTTACTAATAACTGCAAATAATAACATATTTTACAAGGGACACTGTTATTTTCATTCACATATAAAATGTTTTTTTCCATGTAGTTGAAAATGAATCTTTTTCCTCCAAGTTCTGCTGAACTACTACCACTCCTTAGACAGCACACGCGGGCTGATGAGAGCAGTAGTTTGGTCTGTAACGCACCAGGCAGGCAAAGGCCAATGTAGCACACATGTGAAACCACCTCCGAAGACTTCACCTGAAAGACAAGGTAGAAATATGTCCCTTAATACCACCTCAATACCACCCAGCTGTGGCCTCTTCTGTAACATAAAGAATCCCCAAGCACCCCAAAAAAACTCAATTTGGGTTTCTTTGTTTCCTTTTTAAAAGGAGGCACATTGAGTTGGAGAAGAACAAGTTATCTCACCTAGTGTACATGCTCCCTTTGGAAACGCCGATCCAAAGTCAATATATAGCCAAGGAGTACAGTGACCAGACCACCTATGACAAAGCGAATGATATTCACCAGGGTGTGGTCGCTCTCTGAAAAGGAAAAGAATAAATCAAGTTGCAGACCCACTCACAGTGGCTCCTGCCCCAGGGAGAAAAGGCCTAGACAATGTTAGGTGTAGCAAACTGCACAAGACAATGTTCTGGGATTTTAAAAATTAGCTTTTATTGATTACAGGTGTAGGTAGCCTTTGGCTGAGGCATTTGGTGTACATACATTCTTAGCCTTCAAATGGAGGGCTGCTGAGCAGGGTCAGGCCTGGGATTAAGGGACGGCCTCAAGAACATGGGTCTACCTAGGTGGTCCTCCAAGATAACTGCTGGAAGTGTGGGGGTGATTAGTGAGGCAGGAGAGGCTATGTTATTTAATGATATCCTTCCTAACGTGCTAGCAAGTTCCATATTCTAGCAGAGTTCCAAACATCCCCCTTTTTAAATTATGCAGCCATTAGCTTCTTGTTGACTCATCTGAGTCTTACTATTAAAGATTCCTTCCTGGTAAAATCCTTTCTAATCCCTCTTAAAATGAATAAACACAAGAATCTGATTAACGTTAATATAAAAGTAGTTTACTCACAGATTCATTCAGGTTCACAGACATATCCCTGAAGGCAGGCTTAGGTTACATAACAACTAGAACTATTCCATAAAGAAGTTATGGAATAAGCAACTAAGCAATCACTTCTCCAAACACACAGCAACATACAAAATGGAGAACACACACTGATCAGAACATGGAGGACGTGTGCTCCTCCATGCTGGTACAACAGACCAGAACCTCTTCAAGTCACATGTAGTGGAAGTCTGTCCCAGCTCAGGAGGAAACAGGAAGGGGTACAAAACATCCCCTAACATGTCCACTGTAGGAATGTTGTACTTGACTGCAGTTTTACATCCCACAGGAAGTTCTATGGCCTGTTTGCTCTTATGCTTGGCTTCTGGGTGTACTTCCCACTAGACCCCTCTAACGGGTACCCTGTGATCACACCGGCTTTGGGTTGGAAGTGTTGCACCACTTTACCCTGACTCAACATTAGACTAAAGGATTCCACCCAATGCCTTATCAGCCAAAAGTTGTGACTATTGCTATGAGGAAGGCAATCTGTATGCAGGCAAATTCCTTCCCAGCTCTGAATACAGCAACCATGAATGAACCATAGCAAGGGCAATGACACAGTTACACATTTACAAATTAATTCATGGTTCAAAGTAGTGCATTTGATGCCATACGACCTGAGCTTTATGACAATGTCTGTTAAGACAGTGTTTTTTTTCTCATCATAGCAACACTAACAAATTTAATTATTTAATCATGGGCCCATGTGCTAGAATGCAGTCTGAGAAGTTGGTTAACCTTTAGTGCTGCAAAAGCAACTTGTTTTTAAGAGGATATCTTGTGGCCCTTTGGCTAAGTACAGATCTTCCTAGAGGGATCTCCTGTATTCTATCAACATTCCAGAATGTTGGTGTATTTTAATTCTTTTTAATCACTATGTAAATATCTTTCAGATATTACTTTGAAGCAACTTGACACCAGATAAAATTTCGTTAGAAGGGCACCCACCTACCCACCCAGCACCATCATCAACTGCAAGATATGTCTTTTGCCACATTTGACAACTTTTTACTGGCCCTGATTCTATGCCCATAACAGATGTTTCCATGTTAAGTAGGTTCCTGTAAAACAAAAAACCACTCCCTGCAAGGAAAAGGCATTACTTGTTTCATTTCTACATGACGGACAGCTGCAAAAGGCGATGAAGCAGGAAAACAGTGTTGAATCTCTCTTTTGTACCCAAGTTTGTACCCGTTTATATCTAGTTTGTACCCAGTAGCATTTTTTATGATTAATGTCAAATTCAGAATTAACTAAATAAGATTCAAAGAATTTGGGTGATAGCCAGCTAAGTAATACTCAGAGTAGATCCATTGAAATGCAAGAGATTCACCTTTGGTCCATTGATTTCAAGGGCGCTACTCTGAGTACGACTTACAGTAGTTGGGTAGGAACCTGTTAAACCAAATAATATAGTAAGACACACTGTTAGATAGCCAAGTCAGAAACCATACCTGATATCAGGAGTTCTATTGGGTCACTCTGTAGTGATAACGCCTTTGGCCTTTTTTCTGCTACATAGCTGCAACTGTAGCTCCCTTTGTTGTCCCAGCTGACATTGTGAATGGACAATGTACCATGATATAATTCACTTTCCATGGTCCAGTTTAGTGATGGGTCTCCATCCTTATGGAGATAGAACATCATGGCTTCTTTCCCAGTTTCACACCTGATTGTGACTTGTTCTCCAAAGGCAACCAAGTTGCTAGGACTCATGGAAATTGTTGGTATATATAAATTAGGATCTGTCACAGGAAAAGAGCCCACAGAAGTGAGATGACCATCAGTAGAACATGGTGGAAGCTGTTTTCAGGACAGTGTAGAAAGCTGAAGCAGGATCTTAGGAAGATAGGAAGCTTATACTGAATCAGACCGTTAGTCCATCTAGATCAATATTTTCTACACTGACTGGCAGTGGTTCTGGCAGAGTTCCAGGCAAGGGACACTTCCAGCCCTACTTGGAAATGCTGGGAACTGAACCTGGGACCTTTGGTATCCAAAGCAGACACCCTACCACTAAGCTATGGTCCATCCTCTTAGAGCAAGGGTAGAGAACCTCTTTCAGCCCAAAGGCTGTATACTCTTCTGGGCAACTTTCTGGGGGCCACATGCCATTGGTCAGTGGGGCCAATAAGGAGAGAACAATGAGTACACACTTTAACTTTGAACAATAGGGTAGTTTCTACACACACCCCTCTCTGTTTTCCACCCAGGCAAGCAAACAGAATTGTCTGAGTTAAAGGGCACATTGCAGTTAGGCAAAAGCACACTGTTACAAACGTAGCTGAACCAGACACATAAACAATAAGCAAAACACAACGAAAAGTACACGACCAAATCAAGCAATTTGCACACAAAGCATAATAAGATCTATTTAAAGTATTTTTTAAAATATACTTAAACAATACCCATGTCCTTCTCACCCCAAACCCCTTTCCTTGGCAGGGTGCCTCTGTGTGGACATGGGTGTCTTCTACTGGGAAAGCCAGCCAGGTAGGTGATACTACTCACTGGGCAGCCTGCCAGAGTCTGGAATGTCGGCCAGAGCTAGGCTGCTGTAGACCACTTCCCTCCTATTGCTGCTTTGGCTGGCAGAGAGGGCTTGCTACTGCTCTTGAGGCAGCCGCTACCTCTGCCCTGTATGCAGTTGGTGGGCAGCCCTGAGGAGCTGCCACCACCAACACCTCGCACCATGGCAGCAGCAGCTCCAGCAGAGCACTCCAGTTTGCCATGGCCACCTCTGAGGGGACCTCCAACCACTCCTCGCTGCCTCCCCCACTGCCCCCCCAAATGGTGAGGATGCAAGCAAGGACTAGCAGGGCAGCAGCCAGGCGATGGCCACCATAAAGGGAACCCACTGAAGAAGCCAGTGGGAGAGCCATTTCCAGGCACCATTTATCTTGATTTGCTTGCACAAAGCTTATGTGGAGATTAGAGCATATCCAGTCTTGGCTGAGCATTCATTCTGATTTGTTTATGGGGCAAGTTATACCAAAATATGCCACATTGGGCACCAAAATTCATTAGTTTAGAAGATCGTGAATGAAGATCCTCACCTACTAGGTAAAGGTCCACGGTATTACTTGCCTCCGAGATGAAGGGCCCTGATTGGGGTCTATAATTGCAGTAGTAGCTCCCTCCGTCAGCTTCACTCACATTGTTGATGAGGAACACAGCATCAGAGCTACTTGTCTCCACTGACTGTAATTCCTTCTTACCACCATCCTTATAAAGATAGCATGCCTTGTATGAATTATTGACAGAGCACTGAATGGTGATGTTTTTCCCCAGCTGTGGCATTGCACTAGGATGAAAAGAAATGCTGGGCCTGGGTAGATCAGGATCTGTGAGAAAAAATGCAAATGGCATCACTATTCTACTCATGGCTGAGGAACGTAACCATTTCGCCGGCAAAAATATTACGCTGCTGCTAGCTCATCCTCTAGACAAGGGCAGTCCTAAAATGTGCATGTCTAGAGGATGAGCTAGCAGCAGTGCAGTGTTGGCAAACATCCTTAACCCACTTGCTAGCTGTATTGTCCATACAGTTGTCATATTGTCAGATTCAGACCACACTGATGCCCTTTGTGCTGAATCAAGCTGTTTTGCCTTTTGAGATTTCACAGACATTGTGCTAGCAGTTTTGAGGTTATCCTCACCAATATTGTGCTAGAAACTTGCTGTTCTTTTCAGGGTGAAAAAAACTGCCACTCACTATTCTTAGCTGAATTCTGGGGTTATTCCCTCTTTCTCCACTCATGTGACATCATTGCATCTGTTCCTAAAAAGACTTACTTAACCTGCTTATGTCGTGCCATCGTGTATATGGACCTCAGAATAGATTGTTATACTTGTGGCAATTGTTGGTTCTCTCCTCAGCCAAAATGTTCTAAAGTAGTTCTTGGTTAAAATTTATGAACACCCAACCCATTCCTAGACTGTCACTGTCAGTCCATCCCTTCTGCGTTTCTGTCACACAAAACTCCAGAGCCAGTAGGTGCAGAGGTGCCCACCTGACTCTGATGCCATAGCAGCTTAGCTGGATGGAGCAGGGTGACAGAGCCAATCTCATGCTCTCACTGATGTGCCTGCACACCCCAGCCTCACCACCACTCTTGCCCACTCCAACTCCATCCTGATAGACGGCAGTGAAGCTGGTGTTACAAGAGTGACTCCACCCCATTGCAGAGATTGCTACTGCCCCAATCTGTTAGGAGTCCAACTATGCAACTATGCAAAACAGCCTAGTAACTGCAAAACATGATGCAGAATTCTAAGTAGAGAAGGTTGGTGGGGGGCAGTCTTCTTTTTAGTTTCTCTCAGTTCCCTAGGGCAGGAACGGGATCCTAAAGAGCATGGCACATGTTAGGAGCATAGAAAGGTGCTATTGTCTATTCTGATCAGCATCTGTTCCCCAGAGTTTCAGACAGAGGCATTCCCAGCCACATCTGGAGATGTTGGGGGTTAAACTTGTGACCTTCTGCATGCAAAGCAGATGTTCTACCACTAAGCTACAGCCCTTGATATGTCTGTCCAGTTATCCAGAACATGCAGCTTCCTTTGTACTTTCCTATGAGACATAGAACAGATCCTGTAGCTACAATTCAAATAATACCCAAAATTAAGAATGAGGTATAGGACTAGGTAGGATATGGGCAAAGTTAGTTCTCGTACCTGTTATCTTGATTGTCACCAAGTCACTGGGCTCTGAGATGATAAAAGGTTTCTCCTTGGTGCTGTACCTGCAGCTATAGTTCCCTCCATCCTCCAAGTTAGCATCTTTCATGAAGAATGTGCCCATGGTCCCATTAATCTCTATGGCTTGAAGAGGCATTTGTTTTCCAGTCTTCTCAAAAAGGAACTTTGCAGCCCAGTGTTGGCTTTGGCAATTGATGGTGGCATTTCCACCCCGGATAACCCACTGAGTGTGAGCCAGAGTGATGTTGGGTTTGGATAACTTGGGATCTGTGCAAAGGAAGAAATTAATGGGCGAAGGCTATTCCAAGCCAATATTTGCTCTGACAATGGATGGCGACATTTACCCCTGAGGGTGATCCATTGAGTGTGGGTCAGAGGACTGATAGACTTGGGTAACATGAGAACTGTGCAAAGGAGGAAATGAGACAACAAGGAACCACCCCCATCACCAGTGCTGTGAATGTTAACAGCCTTCTGCAGGGCTAACCAAGATAGTGCCCTACAGAAGTTGTTGCCTGCCATCTTGTCCATCACTTCAGGGAAGCAAAATATATTCAGTCAGCCTGTTGGTCTTTTTCTTTTTTTTCATGTTAGAGCACCTGGTCCTTTAGAACTCCATGACATATCGAAATTATAAGCTTCTCCCAATAGAAAGATTGGGCAGTTTGCTCTTATTTATTTATTTAACATTCCTTCCTCCCTCCCTCCCTCCCTCCCTCCCTTCCTCCCTCCCTCCTTCTCTCCTTCTCTCTCTTCCTCCCTCCCTCTCTTTATTTAACTGACTGAGATGTCTGCACTTGTTACAATTTCTTCCCTTCATTCTCTGCCTTCATTTCAGTCCCAACCCAAAGGTTTCCTTCCTGAGCTTCCCTTGTGGCTTGTATCCTATTTTCATTTCCTTGTTCATGAAAACTGGTGTTAAGCCAAAAGTGTTTGTATGAGGACTTTCAGCTATAAATTGAGCCCTCACCTGTACTAGGCATTTAAAGCACAGTTATACCAGTTGTTTCTTCCCACAAAGAATACTGGGACTTAATTGGTATCCTCACCTAGTACAAACAGCTCCACACGGTCACTGGCCTCTGAAGAGGTGAAAAACTGTGAGGGCTCTGTGTAGCTGCAGTAGAAGCTCCCTCCATGCTCCCAGTCCATTTTGTTGATACTGAAGTTCTTCCTGTCCTCATTTGTCACTGCTATTTGTAGACTCTTCTTGTCTTCAGCCTTATGAAGATAGAACCTCTTGCTCTGACCTTGGGCTGAGCACTGAATGGTGACTTTGCTTCCCAGGTGTGCAATGTAGCCTGGGATCAGGGAGATATTGGGTCGGGCTATGTTCTGATCTATGAACAGAAAGCAGATTAAATAGTGCATGTAGCATCGCAAAATATCCATCCATGCTTTGTACACATTGTACACAGTGTGATTGTACACATGCTTAGGATGAGTAAGTCTCGTTGAGTTTTGTGGTGTTTAGGATTGAATCTCTAGGCCATTTTGCAAAGAGAAACATGATGCCTACAGGAGTTTGTTTTCTGAATAGTCAGAAACAAAAGCTGACATCCATTTTTTGTTTTATGTAAGTTGGTCATTTGTAAATTACCAATGCTATGGATCATTGTAGCGATGTACAAATAAAAATACAGTAAAACAAAGAAAACACTGCTTCATGAAAACATAATACTATCACCAGAATAATCAATGATCAAGGACTTTTATTTCTGGGCAGGCCTCCCAGAAAAGAAGTCTTATGCACTTTACAAAATCAATAGTGTCAGAGCCTTGTGTCCTTTCTCCCAGTGGAAACTAGCATATAAACATTCATTATCTTCTTCTGAACTTTATTGTGCCAAAATTGTCAAATGTGAAATTTTAATAAAGTTACTGATCTTTTTTGAAATCTCAGCCTTGTTGAAAACAATTATTTTATTTTAAAATGCAGTTATTAAGTGACACAGTAGCATGTGTGGCTATGGAAAAGACGTGACGTGTGTTGTGTGTCCCACTCATGACAGAGATTCTCATCCCTCTCCTTGTGTGAAAAGGATAATCTCTGGGCACCATTATTCTGCCTTTATCAGAACTATACAAAATGCCCCCCTATGGATGTTGCCGGACTATGGCTCCCATCAACCCTGATCATTGACTATGCTGGATGACGCTGATAGGAGCTGGAGTTCCTCAGCATCCAAAAAGCACCATATTGGCTGCCCTGATTAATATATGGTCCCTTCTGCATTCTCAACAAGACTCTCACTCATTACTCCTCAGGCTGATAATCAAGAACATTATAAAAAGATGTAGCTGGGTATCCATCTTCTCGAAGACAGGTATCTCAGGTTCAAAGCAGCCTTCAATAATTTAAGTTATCTCTCACACCATAGTAGCAGCTTTCTCATGGCACTCAGTTTGGGAATGACTGAGCTTTCTTCATGAATACCAGTGAATGTTTGTTCCCTCTGAATGGGGCCACCTCCAGGTTTGTGGAACAGGGGTTGGGGGAGGACTCAGCAAAGTGCCCATTGGCTGGCCACTTCCTATTTCCATGGGTCTTCCAGTGGCTTTACTTGGTGACGGCAGCAGTGAGCTGTATCCCAGTAGAGCCACCATGTTAATTCCCCACATTACGTTGGGGCATCATGGGAAATTAAAATGGCAGCATCCATCCCCACAGCTCTCATGGGAACCTCATAAAAATTATTTGAAGTGTGGCCAGGGAAAGTAGACACAGCAGTGGGCCCTTCTGGGGCTCTGACAGCTGGCTGAGGATGCCAAATGCTAGTGCTATCCCTGCCTCTGAATAAATCTAATGTGAGGGAAACAAAGACAGGCCCAATTTTATTCTGTACTGAAATACAAATTAAGATTGTAACCCTATAAATGCTTACCTGGGGATAAGCCTCATTGAACTCAATGGAAGCTTATTTCTCAGTAGACATGGTACACCTAAATCCCAAATAAATAATGAGTCATGGGAGAGGTATGTAAATGCAAAGTTCACTCTTACCTGTCATTAGCAATCTCACAAGTTCACTAGTCTTTGAGATGATGAAAGGTTTTGACTCGCTGTACCTGCAGCTATATACTCCCGTATGCACCTGATCTACATTGGAGATGAAGCATTGAGCTGTGGTCTTATCAGTCCCCAAGCATGGCTGAAGCATCTCTTCTCCAGACTTTTGGATATAGAACCTCATGGAAAACTTTTTGCTTTGACATTGGAAAGTGACATTTCCCCCAAAAGCAACCAGCTCAGTGGGGCCCAGAGAGATAATGGGTCTAGGAAAGTAGGGATCTGTAAGAAGGGAGACGTTGGTTAATGAAGGACTCTCCATCTTTGCTGTGGCTTGTTTACACCATGCAATTTTGTGTGGTGGAAGGGTGCATAATGGAAAGGGAAACACTCCATGTTGTCCCTCAGCCTGGAAAGACATCCACGCAACTCTACCCAAGCTCCAACACTCTCTAGAATCAAGAAGGACGTTCACTAATGGAAGCAGTTATGATGCTGTAAACCAGGAATTTGGTGGGAAACATGAGAAGAAATAGGAAGGCCTTTTTCATTCTCTTTACTTATGCGACTCTCCAAATGTCCTTGGACTCCAGCTCCCATTGGCCTCTGCAAGTATAACCAATGGTCAGAGGATGACGGGACTTGTAGTCCAGCAACATCAAGGGGAAGGGGTACAGGTCTCCCAACCCTGCTCTACATAGTCCAGGTACTCTAAGGCTAGAGTACAAACATCCAGCAAGCTAGATCACTATATTTGTCTGGGAGGCAATGAATCAGAACCCTTACCTATGACAAACAACTCCAAATCATCGCTGAACTTGGAGGAGATAAAATCCCCTGATGGTGCTCTGTAGCTGCAGCGATATTTGCCTGCATGATGCTCTTGCACTTCTCTAATGTTAAATGTGGCCGTGTCTCCATCTGGTTTCACAGAATCTGCTTTCATCTTATCTGCATCAGTATGGAGATAGAACCTTTGGATTGGGCGTTGGGTTGCCTCTTTGAATGAGCACTGAATAGACACATTACTTCCCAGGTAAATCAGCTTCTTTGGGTAAAGGGTGATATTTGGCTTCGGTAGCTCGAGATCTGTGAGGATGAAGTCAACTTAGAATGTGAAAATAATGAGGATGAATGCATAAAAGGCATGCCACTGAATGTAGCCAATTACCACAGGGTTACGGCCAGCGGTAGGATAACAGGATGGATTGCAGGTGAAAGTGGACGCACTACACAATAGCACAGAGGTTGCCAACTTTTGGGGCCTAGTAGGCACATTTCAAATGTTGAGGTGGTGCTCTGGGTGCCAGTTACAAAATGGCTTCTGTGGGAGTGTGGCATAAGACAAAATGGCCGCCACATCTAAAAGAGCTGAAAAAGAAGCAGGGTCACACAGTAGTGCAGGCATGAGGTCACTCATATCCACCCCTCCCTGTCAATAGGAAAAAGGTCCCCACATCAGCTACTGACACACTCACAGAAAAGTTATTTGCACCTCTCCTTTGTTGAGAACAGATTGGGTGTCCCAACTGGCAGCAACTGAAATGTGGGCCTGTTTAAGGATGTGTGTTCAGTGCAGAGAAGACTGAACCATGAAGAGTGGGCAGCACTGCAGGGCTGTCTTTTTTAGGGGACATTTGCTAAGACTTTTGTGAGTGCCATAGGGGGTAATGGCAGGGACACTGGCACCCACGGGCATTGTGTTGGCAAACCCTGTGGTAATGAGATGTACACCAGCTTAAACACAGGAACAGGAATGTCTATTCAGCTCTAAATGATTTGCAGCTCCATTATAGAAAGTGATCAGCACAAAACCTGGACCCATTTGTCTATATTTTGTCAGGTTTTACCCACCCTGCAGGGAATACCATGCTTGTAAATATTACCCAATTCTCTCACTTTAATAATTTTCCCATCTTACATCAAGGTTCAGATCCAGGTCCAAAATGCTTCAGACTGAAGCAGAGGGTTCTCAGAAGTATCACATCAGTGTCCAAATGTAGGGCTTGTCCACAGTGAAGTCTAATATGGACTTGAAGTGGCTTGTATTCTCAATCATTTGATGTCATCCACTGCAAGGAACTGCGATTTTGCACATTTTTGCTTTTGAATTCAGCTTTCCCCTGAATCTCACTCTCTGTATTTGAACCAGCAGTCTCGTTTTGTGAGCTGAGGCACTGTGAAAGAACTGCGGTGCTGGGAAAGCGGTGGGCACCTTTTTACTCCCGAGGAGTGGACAAGAGTGAAGCCTTCCTATGGACCCACTCTGCTCCCCTCCCCAGGAAAGGCCACTCCTGGAGCCACCTGCCATTGGTCAATTTGCAGGCAGGCCATGATCACGTCATACAGATGATGGGATATTTCTGAAGTCTCCTATCTGCCAGAGGGCCTAGCAGGGAAGGGTTCCTTCAGGCAATGGCAGAGGGGAGGGGGAGGGGGCAGGAAGAGGTGGGGCATCTGGCCACAATGCCACACTACTTGCAGGTGAGCAGAATTGGGCCTGCTTTAGCAGAATGCATCACAGGGCTGCCTTGGCTATGCGTGTCAGCCCTGCATGGTTGTCCTTGTGTGACTCACCTGTGGTGTCATCACGGGGACAGCTCCTGATTTTGAGGCGGGAGGTGATATTTCCATGAATTTTGCAGTCATATCTGCCATTTCAAGGATTTTCTGAATGGTGTGTGGGACTGGGTGAGTTTACACCATGCTGGTCATCATTCCGCAGGCATTGTGGTGACACATGTTCCTCCCTTGTGTAATTAGTGTACAGGATTAGTTCTGCCTAATGTGCAGGGGAAATTCTAGTGTGTTTCTGCACTGCTGGTCCACTCCAAGGCTGGTGATATTTTATTGCTGCATGAGAACTTTCCTAGCCCATATCTACATTATGTCCTTCATCTAGCAGATGGAAATATTAACTGAGGCTAATGAACCAAGTTTCAGTGACCCCAGGATGCTATTCTGAGATCCTGAGGAAGTAATAGTGCCACTGTATTCTGCTCTGGTCAGACCTCACCTGGAGTACTGTGTCCAGTTCTGGGCACCACAGTTCAAGAAGGACACTGACAAACTGGAACGTGTCCAGAGGAGGGCAACCAAAATGGTCAAAGGCCTGGAAACGATGCCTTATGAGGAACGGCTAAGGGAGCTGGGCATGTTTAGCCTGGAGAAGAGGAGGTTAAGGGGTGATATGATAGCCATGTTCAAATATATAAAAGGATGTCACATAGAGGAGGGAGAAAGGTTGTTTTCTGCTGCTCCAGAGAAGCGGACACGGAGCAGTGGATCCAAACTACAAGAAAGAAGATTCCACCTAAACATTAGGAAGAACTTCCTGACAGTAAGAGCTGTTCGACAGTGGAATTTGCTGCCAAGGAGTGTGGTGGAGTCTCCTTCTTTGGAGGTCTTTAAGCAGCGGCTTGACAACCATATGTCAGGAGTGCTCTGATGGTGTTTCCTGCTTGGCAGGGGGTTGGACTCGATGGCCCTTGTGGTCTCTTCCAATTCTATGATTCTATGATTCTATGATTCTATGATTCTATGATTCTATGATTCTATGATTCTATGATTCTATGATTCTATGATTCTATAATTCTAATCTGAGGCAAGACCGTACCTGTTATCAGCAACTCCAGTGGTTCACTGCATTCTGAACTAGACTTGCTTGAATTGTCGTAGAAACAGGTGTACATTCCTCCATCCTTTGAGCTTGCATTAGTGATGGGAAAATGAGCCAATCCTTTGTCTCCTGGTCTCGGACTGGCTATTGTCTGATGATCTTTTTTCAGGTAGAAAGTCAGCCCTTCGGTGGTGGGTGCCTCACAAAGGATGGTGACATTTCCTCTAGGCAAGACTCTCCAACTGGGAGTCAATGAGATTTTGGGAGCAGGAAGGAGGATCTCACTGGATTAACAGGGAAAGGAGGAGGAGGAGGAGGAGGAGGAGGAGGAGGAGGGAGGAGGAGGAGGAGGAGGAGGAGGAGGGAGGAGGAGGAAGGAGGAGGAGGAGGGAGGAGGAGGAGGAGGAAGGAGGAGGAGGAGGGAGGAGGAGGAGGAGAAGGAGAAGGAGAAGGAGAAGGAGAAGAAGAAGAAGAAGAAGAAGAAGAAGAAGAAGAAGAAGAAGAAGAAGAAAGTATTTCCAAAATATCCCGGGCAAGTGAAAAAATGCACACTGCATGAAACAATCAATTACTTATAAAATATGTAATGGCCACCAAGGGCCACCAAAATGCTGTCTATGAGCCTGATGGCACCCTTGAGATCTTCCCTTGGTGCTCATGAAGTCTTTGAATCCCCTCCTGAAATTCACTGTCCCCTTGCTCATGTTCATATGCCAGGGGGCGGTGGTGGTGATGAAGCCCTATGTGTTTTCCAAGGCTCAGATTAATTATAAGCCACACTTTCTCTGGCTGGGTGGCTGAATCAGGGGAGAGAACAGAGACATAACCAGTGAGTTTGGTACCCACTCAAAAATTCAAAAGGCCCAAGCAGCCCAGTTTTTTGTTCTTTTAATGCAAGGTATGTATGTGCACAGTCCTGTTTCAGCTGCAGGAAAACATTTAGACCAATTTGCATCAGAATGAATAATGAACACTTCACACAGCTAAGGATGGTAGAGTTTGAGTCTGGTAGAGTCTTTATAGGTTGCTATGGAAATGCTAGTAGCCATCATGTTTGCATCATGGGGGGGGGGGTTGGAGCTGCCAGAACATTATTAATCTAACTAAATTGATGATAATGGTGAGATTTATTTATTTTTTGCTAAATCTGATAGAAGCAAATAGGTAATGCTATATAAAGAGCAAGGGGCTAGGTGCAGCTCTGACTAAATAAAGTATCTTTACTCTTGGTTCATCGGTGAATTTTTATATATATAAAAAACTCCCCTGCCCCAGATCTCAGTTCTCTGTGGACTCAGTGTGCTGCATCTTTTTGTACTCCATGGTCTAGTGTCTCCATGGTCTAGTGGGAAGGGAGTGGTCAACCTTGAAAAGTCAGTAGAGCTGATAGGGTTAGTAGGAAGAGTGATACACTGATCCTTAGCTTGGAAAAGTCCATAAAGGTGACTTTGAAGCAGAAGGCCATTCAAGGGAGCGAGGGGCTGCGACTACATCATCATCATCATTTTTAATTTGTATACCGCTTTTCTATCTTACAATACTCAAGGCGGTATACAAGCTGAAGAAACAAAAAATGTACATTAGAACAATCTAATGCAATACAAAAATGTCATAATAAAACATAACTTTAAAATAGGCAACCTCCATCAAAAAAGTAACATTCAACAATCATTAGAATAGTATAAAATAATAATCAACATATAAAAGTTAAACAGAAATCCACTCAACAGTTACAATAATATCTAAACTATAATCAATAAAACAACGGCAAGCCACAGTACATAAAACAATACAATACACTTTGAGAAGCAGAGGGTGGAGCAAGGCAGGTGGAAGGAGGCCTTGCCTGATGGAGTCTCTCCCCTCACAGTTCTTCCTCCAGGACCAGCTCCCGTATGATGACTCCTAGGGCCGGAGGGTGGGGCAAGGCAGGTGGAAGGAGGCCTTGCCTGGTGGAGTCTCTCCCCTCACAGTTCTTCCTCCAGGCCCAGCTCCCATATGAGGACTCCCAGGGCCGGAGGGTGGGGCAAGGCAGGTGGAAGGAGGCCTTGCCTGGTGGAGTCTCTCCCCTCACAGTTCTTCCTCCAGGACCAGCTCCCGTATGAGGACTCCTAGGGCCGGAGGGTGGGGCAAGGCAGGTGGAAGGAGGCCTTGCCTGATGGAGTCTCTCCCCTCACAGTTCTTCCTCCAGGACCAGCTCCCGTATGAGGACTCCTAGGGCCGGAGGGTGGGGCAAGGCAGGTGGAAGGAGGCCTTGCCTGGTGGAGTCTCTCCCCTCCCCTTTGAAGGCCATGGTTTTCCTACATGTGCAATGGTACTGAATAACCCATACCACACAATGGTAAACGGGCTCCTGCAAATCAACCCTTAGAACCTGCAAGATATTGTAATAGACAAATCTCCCTCCCTCCTCCATGCAGACCTGTCTCAAAGCTCCGCAGGTCAACGTAACATAATCCAAACATTCTTCGCCCCAACATTTCCTTACCTTTGAACACATTTTTCTCTTGATCTGGAGAGCAACCTAGAAAGAGGAGAGAAAAACAATTACTGAACAGGTCCCATGGCAATATGCTTTACTGCTGAACTATCACAATCATATCCCCCATTCATTTTTGACTCAGATCAGACATAAGGCACTCGTGGCCTTCAGGTGTTGCTGAACTACAAATCCCATCATCCCTGCCTATTGGCCAAGCTGGCAGGGGCTGATGGGAGTTAGAGTCCAGGAAGGACTAGAGTACCACAGACTCGCCACCCTTGATGCAGATCTGTAAGTTTTGCCCAACTAGACCCCACGACACTTGCCATTTCTGAAATGAAACATCTCTCCTTCCCCATCTCTTAGTCTTTCACGCATACTCCCACTGGAAAATGTTCTTTTCTCCAGTTCCCAGTTCTAGGCACTCCTTGGCTTTTGAGATTCTCACCAAAGCAACAGGATGCTGGCAGCAAGAGCCATGAGGCAATGTTGGGTCCCCAGGGGCTAGATCCAACCTCAGTGTCTTCTGCTCTGTTAATGCTCTGCTTTTCTTGAGTCCCCAGATTTAATCTAATGACACAGGAAACTGGGTTCAGACATTATCTACCACCCAGTCCGTAACTCATGAGCCTCTGACATGCACCCTTATAATCAGCAGGAAAAATCTCCTGTGATCAGATATCCATTGACTCAGGAAGGCAGCTCTTCAAATACAAATGTTCACAAAACCCATTCTGTGCTACTGAGATTAGATTGCTGACGGTTATGGAAAATACAGATGATAAAATTCTGGCTTTGTACTAAAAGAAAGATAAATAAGCCTTTCAAAGAACTTAAAGGCCAGATCACCTTTATAGGCTCCTTGTTCTTACTCTGTTGCTGGCTACTGTGCAGGGAGACCAAGGGTGGGCCGATATGTCAATTTGAGTTTCTCTCTCTTCCTCGTTTTTCTAGTCTTAAGATCAAGGCTCCACATTTTCATGTTTGCATTTTTGAAAAACATTTATTTGTAAAAGGTAGCAATAGAATGAGATGCCAGCTGAGTGTTGTTTTAATTCTCGAGTCTGGTCATTTTAATGGTGACAGTTCCTTCTTTAAAATCAATCTATCTGAATTTATTGGGACAGGTGGAAGCGATGAAAAAAACCCCAAAAGACAAACAGTGAAGATTGAACTTGAGGTTTGCCCAAACGTCATCCCCCTCCAAAAAAGAAGGAAGGAAGGAAGGAAGGAAGGAAGGAAGGAAGGAAGGAAGAAAGGAAGGAGCAAAGGAGCAGCTGACAGCTGTATACCATGACAAGAAGGTCTGACTGCATTTAATAAGGAAGTAGAAGTTTTCAACCGCCATTTCTTCTGTTCCTGTTGTATGTATTGAACTCAGCATAAGTATGTGCCACTCCTGAAAATGGTCTGTTATTTTGTAGCCTTCATCAAGAAGGTAATGTATCAAGGAAGAAGACAAAGGGAACTTTCTGTCATGGCTGTAATATTTTTTAATGAAGATGTAGATTTCCATTCAACAGAAGAGAACAACAAAACATCGAAGCACAATTTCAGCCAATGCCAGCTATGGATGGTGTTGTGGGCTGGTACCCATGATGTCACAAAGCTGCTTTATTTCTGAATCCCAGAACAGTTTTGCAACAACCAGCGGCTTCTGTTAAAGAAGGAAACAGCAGTAAATGCACATTTAAATCACTAAATTATACGATACAATCCTTAAAAAGAAAAAATAGGTAAGGGCATGCCTGACAACTGAACCAGCACTAAATTTGCTAGTAAAGGTAAAAAAAAAAATTGCTTGTATTCCTTGTTTGTAATTTAAAATCTCACTCCAATATAAAGTCACTCTCACACCACACTGAGAAACCTGTAGGGCATCCTCTTTTAGTATGGCATAATGTCTCCTCAAAAAATATGCATTTAGACATGTAGGCTGACTATACCCATATTCCAAAGACAGCAAAGCTAGAAATGAATGCAGGGACATTCACTGGGCAATCCAATCCAGGGAGTCCTGGAAATCTAGCTCTCAGTCCTCAAATAGTCCTCCTTATTATTAGAAATCCATGTTATTTATCTTCCATCTGAGCCTGGACTCCCTTTGAGTTGTGCTGGAAAACTGCAGCATAGACTAAGTCCTCAGAGCCATCATAAGATCTGGCTTCCTCTTGAGTATGTGGGGCTTCCCTCTTCAGATCAGCATAGATGATGTCTTCAGTCTCAGTTGGGGCATCGTGCTTTGGAAGCTGTAGGGAAATGAAAAGCATTCATCACGATGGCAGAGTAGTACGGTGACACCTTGGTTCTCAAACTTAATCCGTTCTGGAGTCCGTTCAACTCCCGAAATGGTTCAAAAACCAAGGCGTGTCTTCCGATTGGATGCAGGAGCTTCCTGAACTCATTCGGAAGCATCGGAAGCCGTGTTGGATGTTTGGCTTCCAAAAAACGCTCACAAACCAGAACACTTCCAGGTTTGCGCTGTTCGGAAGCCGATTTATGTGCGAGCCAAGCCGTCTCAAATGTGTCCATTTTTTTTTTGGAATATCCCTGCCTTAATAACTTACTTATACACACATGCACACACTCACACATACATTTATTTATTTATTTATTTATTTATTTATTTATTTATAACTGCAATTATTTAAGTCTACTTCATATTTATAAAACACTTATATCCCATCTTTATAACAGAATTTGTTTCGCACCATACCTAACTCCTGCAATGTGTCTTATAACATACCAACCAGAAACATACACAATTCTAAAAAACTTAAACCACAATAAAACCAACGGTGAGGAGTGACGAATTCTCGATACAATGGCTCAGATAGCCCCCTCCCTCTCCGCCCCCGCAAGCTCTCTGAGATAAAATAGTATCTGTTGTCCTCTGGAAAGCCAGCAGTAAATGGGTGTGGTGTGTTTTTCTAGGACGCAATTCCAGAGCCTAAGTGTTACCAACGGAGAAGGCCGATTCCTCGTTCCTTTGGGGTTTGATTAATTTGGGAGCATCATTTCCTGAGATTATTGTGAGATTTGTACTTTGTAGTTTCTCTGAGTACAGAACACTACAACTCCCATGATTCCAGTAGGAAATGACACATTATGTCAAGTTCAGGACTTGGGCAGCCATGCTGAGCCCTGCTTGTTATTGTTTATTTATTCTGCCTCCACATTCGAAGGGTTGTGTTTCTTACATGTGAAGGGCGGGCAGGGAGGGTTAGCAACAGATTGTGCTGCTAGTGAGCAATTTCCATTTTTAGCTGTGTGTCCAGATTCAACTGGGTCTGAGTCTAGGCCCAATTCAAGTGTGGCTCCTTTTTGAGCTGAGAAGTTCACATGTTCAGCTCCTGCTTGAAATTCATTGGCAACTCTAGTTTGATAGCATATGCATTACAGAGCCTAGGACTTGCCGATCAGAAGGTCGGCGGTTCGAATCCCCGCAACGGGGTGAGCTCCCGTTGTTCGGTCCCTGCTTCTGCCAACCTAGCAGTTCAAAAGCACATCAAGGTGCAAGTAGATAAATAGGTACTGCTCCAGCGGGAAGGTAAACGGTGTTTCCGTGCACTGCTCTGGTTTGCCAGAAGCGGCTTAGTCATGCTGACCACATGACCCGGAAAGCTGTCTGTGGACAAACGCCGGCTCCCTCGGCCTGTAAAGTGAGATGAGCGCTGCAACCCCAGAGTCGGACACGACTGGACCTAATGGTCAGGGGTCCCTTTACCTTTACCTTTAATCTTCAGTAAAAACTTACTTGTTTATGTATCCGGGTCCATCCAACTGCTAAGGTGCCTGCAGATGAAAGATATTCAGTGTGAGTTTTCAAAACATTAAGCTAGCTCGGCCCACTGCTTGGAATGAACTAGTCTGGCTTAATGAAATTCACTGAATTAGTTCAAAAGTCTCTGAACCTCACCTGAAAGTAAAGGTAAAGGACCCCTGACAGTTAAGTCCAGTGGCAGATGACTCTGGGGTTGCGGCGCTCATCTCGCTTTACAGGCCGAGGGAGCCGGCGTTTGTCCACAGACAGTTTTTCTAGGTCATGTGGCCAGCATAACTAAGCCGCTTCTGGTGCAACAGAGCACTGAAACCAGAGCAGTGCACAGAAAGGCCGTTTACCTTCCCCCCAGAGCGGTTCCTATTTATCTACTTGCACTTTTATGTGCTCTCGAACTGCTAGGTTGGCAGGAACTGGGACTGAGCAACAGGAGCTCACCCCATCGTGGGGATTCGAACCACCGACCTTCTGATCGGCAAGCCCAAGAGGCTCAGTGGTTTAGACCACAGCGCCACCTGCGTCCCTCCTCACCTGAAAGTAGTTCCCCATAATAGCCAGGTAAATTGAATGTGAATTAAGTTCATTTTAGACTAGAACTTTGAAAACCTTTCTAGTTCATCTTTAAGTTCTCTTACATGCAATTTTTACTCTTTGAGCCTTTGAACTTAAACATCATGCTTGCTGGGGAAAGCAAATTAAACCCTTCAGTACTGTAGTGATGTGCATCCCATATTAATAAGTGTGAGGAGGTTGAAACATCTGGACTGAATGGCTGGCTCAAGTTAAAATGTGCTTATGTTCCCTTTCATAAAAATTCAATGCTGTGAACAAATGTAACATTCAAACACACAGGGAGCAATATACTTTGCACTGACAGTGTGAAATGGAAGATACTTCACTTCTAAATCAAACCCATCCTCCAAAAATGCCATTTACTTACTAGATTCTATCTACCACACACAGCAATTCTTTCCCCCCTTCAGGCGACTCACACACAGTTACTTACTGGCAGGAGTTGACACCCGATGCCTCTTCATTACTCTGAAGGATGGTTCATCACTAACGAAGGGAGGAAAGAAAAAAACTTACTATGAAATATTGTTTAAATCCCCAGCCCCTACAGTCTTTTTTCACTAAATCTGCCCTACACTGATGGTCAAAAGCCATTGTCCCTTTTCCAATAAAAGTCAGTAATGGTGGCTCTCAGCATACACTGTCAGCACAATAAGAAGAGAGGCAATTATGAAAGCCAAACGGAGTGGCTGGGGAAACCCAGCCAGATGGGCGGGGTAGAAATAATAAATCTATTATTATTATTATTATTATTATTATTATTATTATTATTACTGTACTAATACTACAAACCATTAAAAAGCCAACTGGACAAAATTTCATGCACACACACATCATCTAAAATTTAAAAAGACTGTGCAAATAAGGAGTTCTTTGTGTGACTTTAAAAAACCCACTTCGCATCGCTTTTCTCCCAGAGAATACAGTGGTACCTTGGGTTACATACACTTCAGGTTACATATGCTTCAGGTTACAGATTCCGCTAACCCAGAAATAGTGCTTCAGGTTAAGATTGAATAGAACTGTGAATATTATTTGGACAGAACTGTGAATATTAAAGCAGCAGCAAGAGAGATGTTTGGATCCCTTTCTGAACTCGAAGCATGGGTACCCCCAACAAAAATTTTATTTTATTTTTTAAAATGATATTTATTAAAGTTTAAGAAAAAGAAAAATAGAAAAAAGAAAAATACAAAATACAAAAAAGAACAATTAAAAACAATTCCATCTTTTCATCACTTCTCTTTCATTTACTTGTTTCCCGGACCTCCTCATACCTCCCTTTTTTGTATTCCAGTTCAATTTATTAGTTCAGCAATTGCTTTCCCTCCTTTTTAATCCTGATCTTTAATCTTAATATATTATAGCATTAGGTTTTTACGTATTTAAAATCCAATTTTTCCATATTCTTTTATACCATTACAGCTAGAAACCACTTAACTTCAATCCAACATCATTCTAACATTCATTAATTTTGCAATATTTCTGTAAATAGTCTTTAAATTTCTTCCAATCTTCTTCCACCGACTCTTCTCCCTGGTCTCGGATTCTGCCAGTCATTTCCGCCAATTCCATGTAGTCCATCAATTTCATCTGCCATTCCTCCAGTGTGGGTAAGTCTTGTGTCTTCCAATGCTTTGCAATAAGTATTCTTGCTGCTGTTGTAGCATACATAAAGAAAGTTCTGTCCTTCTTTAACACCGATTGGCCGACTATGCCCAGGAGAAAGGCCTCTGGTTTCTTCAAGAAGGTATATTTAAATACCTTTTTAATTCATTATAAATCATCTCCCAGAAAACCTTAATCCTTGGGCACGTCCACCAAAGGTGAAAGAATGTACCTTCAGTTTCTTTACATTTCCAACATTTATTATCGGGCAAATGGTAGATTTTTGCAAGCTTGACTGGGGTTATGTACCACCTGTATATCATTTTCATAATATTCTCTCTTAAGGCATTACATGCCGTAAACTTCATACCTGTGGTCCACAACTGTTCCCAGTCAGCCATCATTATGTTATGTCCAACGTCTTGTGCCCATTTAATCATAGCAGATTTCACCGTTTCATCCTGAGTATTCCATTTCAACAGCAAGTTATACATCTTTGATAAAATCTTAGTTTTGGGTTCTAACAATTCTGTTTCTAATTTTGATTTTTCCACCTGGAAGCCGATTTTCTTGTCCAAATTGTATGCCTCCATTATCTGATAATAATGAAGCCAGTCTCGCACTTTGTTTTTAATTTTTCAAAGCTCTGCAGTTTCAATCTATCTCCATCTTGTTCCAAAATTTCCCAATATTTCGGCCATTTGACCTCCATATTGAGCTTTTCAGAGCTTTCGCTTCCATCGGTGACAGCCACCTTGGGGTTTTATTTTCCAATAAATCCTTATATCTTATCCAAACATTAAACAATGCTTTCCTGACAATATGGTTTTTAAATGCTTTATGTGCTTTGACCTTATCATACCACAGATATGCATGCCAACCAAATACATTGTTAAAACCTTCTAGATCCAAAATGTCAGTGTTTTCAAGAAGCAGCCATTCTTTCAACCAGCAAAAAGCTGCTGATTCATAATAAAGTTTGAGGTCTGGCAGGGCAAATCCACCTCTTTCCTTTGCATCTGTTAATATTTTAAATTTTATTCTGGGCTTCTTGCCCTGCCAGACAAATCTAGAAATATCTCTCTGCCACCTCTTGAAACAGTCCATTTTGTCCACAATTTGCAATGTTTGAAACAAAAACAACATTCTAGGCAATACATTCATTTTTACCGCAGCAATACGACCCAGCAGTGAAAGCTTCAAATTTGACCAAATTTCTAGATCTTTTTTCACTTCAGCCCAGCATTTTTCATAATTATCTTTAAATAAGTTCCCATTTTTTGCTGTCATGTTAATCCCCAGGTATTTAACTTTCTTAACCACTGTTAAACCTGTCTCATTCTGAAACCTCTCTCTCTCCATTGGTGTTAAATTTTTCTCTAAAACCTTAGTTTTTAACTTATTCAATTTAAACCCTGCAACTTGACCAAATTCTTGAATCAGTTCTAAAACCCTTTTGGTACTAGATTCTGGCTCCTGTAATGTCAGTACTAAGTCATCTGCAAATGCTCTCAGTTTGTACTGTTTAGCTCCGACCTGTATACCTTTAACCAACTGGTCCCTTCTTATCATATTCAGCAAAACCTCCAGGACCGATATAAAAAGCAATGGGGAGATTGGGCAACCTTGTCGTGTCCCTTTTAAAATTTGGCTGTGTAATTTGGAATTAATGTGATTTGGAATTAATGTGATTTGATTGGCCTGTTAATAAAAATTATTTGGGGGGGGGGGAAATAAGTACGGACCTCAAGAACGAATTAAGTACTTAACCCGAGGTATCACTGTACAAGAGTCCCATCTTCCAAAGTCTAACCAACCAACCTCATTCCTGGAGAATCTAGCAGTCCTTTGCTCAGATGTCACAAACCATACTTAGAATGAGATGCACTTGTAAAGGAACTTAAGGGTCATAGCTCCCCAGCCAGTCTCTACCTAGACCAGAGATAGTCAACCTTTTTATACCTACTGCCCATAATGCATCTTTTTTGATGGTAAAATTTCCTTACCGCCCACCTGTTCTTGATGGAAGGAGGATTCAGCTTGTGCCGTAGAACCCCCACCGCCCACCTAGAATCCTGAAACGCCCACTAGTGGGCGGTAGGAACCAGGTTGACAACCCCTGACCTAGACCTTAGGGTGGTATCCAGAGGTACCACTGTAATGAATTGTGTGGGGGGGGGAGTTGCATAAACGTTGTTATTAGGCAAAATTGCAGACAAACACAGGCAGCCTAAATGCTAGTGAATTTTCGTGAGGACAATCACAAGCCAATGTGGAAATGTGAAGAACTGAATTGGAAAAAGGAGAAATGGAGAGAAAGCAAAAAGGACAGATTCACTGATCCTTGGTTGCTCTTCAACCTGGCCTAATCCAAAGAAAAACCTTCTTCACTTCAAGATCAGTATCATTTTTTCAGCATCAAGTGCAGTGTGAAGTAAAGAGCTGGGATCTCTTACCTGCTTTGTGTTGCTTGTTGTATTGCTTTAAAAAATAAACAAACCAAAATGAGAAACAACGGGAAGAAAGCCCTTTCCCAAGCCCATAAACATACAAGTGATGAGCAAAACCAACTCCTCTCAATTCAGAATATAGGGGTGTTTTGCTTTTGCAAAATTCACGGGGTACAGATTTGACTTGGAAAGATCCCATTCTAAGGACCTCTCCTCCCTTTACAAAACTTCTCATCTATTAGCTTCCCCTCCATTCCCCCACAATTTCCTACTTAAGGGCCACATTGCCTCAGGAATAATCTATGAGAACCACATACCATCAGTGAGTAGGACCAAAGCCAGATTTTTTTGTGAAGTCACTCCCTTTCCCTTCTCTTTCTTCCACCCCCCCCCCATTTTCCTCCCTCTTGGCCACCTGCAGGGAATTAGCACACAGTGTGCTAGAATCTTGGACTGTGGGCTTCAGTACACCTGCGGTAAGGGAAACAAATCCATGAGAGATTTTACTAAGACCCCTTGGCCTCCCACATGAGCCTTATGAACCTTCTCACCAGGAGGACATACGTACAGTTGCTTTTTCCCTTGAACCAAAAAAAGGCAGCTGACAGAAGAAGGAAGACCAGAAACACAAGTATTCCTGAGACTACAACAAGACTTTGATTGATTTGAGCATAATTGCTTATTTGATTCAGTGAAGCGTCATCTGAAGAAAAGGGGGGGAGCAGTTAGAAGAGAGGGAAGAGTCTGCTTCCTTGAGAACCTCCCACTCAAGCTGTCACCACCACCAAATTCATTGATTGTTCTGGGCTTTTGGAGAACCCTTGAACAAGATTCTGTCAATGAGATCACTTGCAGAAGGGATTGACCTTCTCCTTGCTTGCAGCCCCTCTGCCCATTCACATGCCCTTACACTCTTGACCCAGTCAACACAGACACCCAGAGGCAGGTTAAGGCTGCTGCTCCCTCTAATCACTCTCGCCACTGCTTGCATGCTCAGAGAAGGAGGGTGAACCATACAGTGACAAGAAAGAGCAGCCAGGAACAGCAGTGGAGGAAGGAGGGTACGGTAGGTGCGGCCCACCCCGGGTGTCATCCCTGAGGGGGTTGAGATTGCTGCGCCACCCCCCTGGGATGCTCACTACAGGCAGCGCCCCCCTGCAACGCTCGCCGCACATCACGGGTGGCTAGCCCCATCCCCATGGGTGGCTAGCCCTGTCCCCGGAAGCACAGCCTCCGGGTGCCGGACCAGCTAGCTTCGCCTCTGGCCAGGACAAGAGACTTCAGGGGTTGTCAATGGATCCTCTGCAGGGGTTGTGGGCTTCAGCAGGTGCCAAGGGGATTTCCAACCCCTCCCATAAACAAACAAACAAAAAAGGCATCAACGGACAACCACAGGTTGTGCCTTTTTGACACCCTTGAAAGATATGGGGAGGCATGCCCCTTACCCCCCCATTAATCTGGAACCCCTCCTAGACACGGGAGCAACCAAGAGGGTGACTTGCCAGGTTCACTGCAGAACAGAAAGTCCAGAGAGGAACGTTTGTTGACTGCATTGCCATAACCAACTGTCAGGGGTGATAAGAATTTTAGTTGGGGAAGGTTGACTGGAAGGCCTCTGGCAGCATGGGACTGCCTCAGTTCATAACTGGGCCAAGACATAGTGCAGACCATGACCTCTATTTGTTTAAAACAAACAAACAAAAAAGTAAACAAAGCAGTGGGATGGGGGGGGGGGAGTAAAGTAAAACAGATACTGCACCTAATACTGAAAGCTCCAAGAGATGGCTGCGATTTGACACCAGAAATGGACTTCTTAATTTTGCCCAGCAGCAGCTATAGTTCCCTTTATCCTTCATGGTAATTTTCCTAAAGTAAAATTCAGTCACATTTGCATAAGAATCCCGGGCCCATTTTCTTAATTCTCCAGCCTTATGGAGATAGACAGTGGCAGGTCCCTCTGCAATTTCACACACGATCGTGACATCTTTCCCAACACTAAAGGGCTTCCTTGATGAGATGGAGATGATAGGTCTGGGTAACTGGGGATCTGGGCAGAGAAGGAACAAAAGGTGAGATGATAACCATTGCAGGACTAGGTCTTGTCCTCTTCTGCATAGCAGGGACCTGCATCAGGTGTTTCCTTCTTTACCGTGAGGCAGAGATTAGGAACCTGAGGCCCTCCAGATACATAGTCTCCAACTGACCATCTTTTGGGGCAAGCTTTTCAATTTTTTCCCTTTTGCTACTGTACTTCAACCCCAAAACGCTCAGGTTATGCAGCCTGACCCTGTTGAAGCTCATCAAATTAGGCTCTCTCTTTTCCTCTCCACCCCTACCCCTCTTTCACAAATAACAAGCCGGGAAATGTTTAATTATTCCCCATTTCCTCCAATGTAGGAACTGGTTCCTCAGAGAGACACCACCCACTGATCGCTCCCTACAGTTCTCCTCTCCAAAGAGCTCCCCAGTTATATTCTAAAAATCAAGCAGACTCTCCAGCTAAACTCCAAACCTTAAGGCTTGTGGTCGACATGAGTCCATGTGGAGTCAGCCCCTTTACCTGTTAACAACAACTCCACAGGGTTACTTGGCTCAGACAGGAGATATGGTTGCCTCACTGAGGTGTAACTGCAGCTGTATCTTCCTGCATCCTTCTTGCTCACATCACTGATGGTGAACATGTTCGTGTCACTGTGTACTGACCAGTCCTGAGAGTCATCCTTTTGCAGAATAAGACCTTTTCACTTCTCCTTGAGTTCCACAATGCATAGTGACTCTCTGTCCAATGGTGATTTCTTCCATAGGTTCCAGAGAGAGGACTGGTTTGGGGAAGCTGGGATCTGAGCAAAGGAAGAGAAGAGACATTGAAGGCCCTTAAGAAGGAAGGTTTGCAACCAAAATGACATTGCTTCCGGACACATTCACACTTTGCCCATCTCTATTGCCAGCATACCTTTCTTCCCACCAGATAGCCATCTTCTTATAGTTTCCCCACTTACCATATTTACTTGAAGGTAATGCGCACTTTTTTGTCAAATTAAGGTGCGCATTAGATTCAATGGTGCATTACATTCGAGTAAATACGATACTTGCCCTCCTAGAACAATATTCTTTGACTCACTCTTCCTTCTCCCACTTCTCTCATTTGCTAAGGTGAAAACCAATGATGTCCAGGTTAGCTTGCCTGCTGTGCTCAGTAAATAAATAATTTATTATTATTATTATTATTAATAATAATAATAATAATAATAATTAATTATTATTAATAATAATATTAATAATAATTATTAATTATTATTATTAATAATAATAATAATCCGTTGGGCTACATTTAAGTACACTGAAAATAGACAACACTCATTTGAATATTCTTTGTAGTGTAGCTCCAATGTCCTATAATCCTTTCTTAATGAGATAGGTTGCTCCCAGCCACATATGCAAAATATGGGTTGGGGTGGTGTTACTGCACTTCAGCAACACCATAATTTAAGATGTGTTGTTTTTTTAAAATGATATTTATTGGGGGGGGGGGGTTTAAAGTTACAAAAGAAAAACAAAGTAGAAAAAGAGAAAAACAAACCATACATATACAAATTCAGAATAGGAAAGAAAAAAAAACAAAAATACACCACAAACATTTAAAAACATTTAAAAACAAATCCATTATTCTCAACTCCTCAACCGTCATTACCCTCTTTCCTTGACCTCCTCCTCCTCCCCTTCCTTGTATCCTGTTTGTTAATTGTCACAGCAAATCCTTTCCATATTTCATAATATTCTGTCATTACATTACCTTAAACTATTTTAATCTTATCTTACTATTAAAAAAACCTTGAGACTTAAAACTTAAATCTTATTTTTACCAACTTCTCATAACCATATTATTCTTACGTAATTCTTTAAACATTTTTACTAAAGCCAAGTAATTTCATTCCAACATTTTTCTAACATTCATCAATTTTATAAAACAGTCCTAGTAGTGAAAAAAAGAAATAAAAACAAATCCAATCTTCATCCAGCGTCCCTTCCTCCTGGTCCCGGGTTTTGTCAGTCCTTATTATCCCATCAGTCTGGCGCATTAACCTGGTAATCTTATATCCGAGGCCCTTAAGTCCATTCCATGTCCCTTCCGCAGCTCTTCTTCATATTTATAACTGTATTTTCCTTTGTCTCCTGCTCCTTTCACTCGTGTGAACTCCAACTTGGCAATATTTTTGACCCTTCTTGACAGATCAGCCCCTTTTCCATAATCAACACTAAATTCCATGTGGTATTTAAAAACATGTTTCAGAATCCCTCCAAAATTGAGAGCCCCCACAATCCCAAACATCTCACGGCCCATTGCCAGACTTGAAAAGTCCAATTTCATAGGAGAGTCTATCCAACCCCCCATTTCCAAACCGAACCAAACTTTTTCTTTCCAAATCTGGCTTTTTCCAAGTTCATTTGTCAAATCCGAAAGCTCATATTCCTGTAGGGCCTGTTCTGTCAAGACACACTCCTGATTTAATTCCTGGGTGGGCGCCACATATTTTCCCACTGCCTGTTCAAAATTTCTAATCGAATCAGCCATCAAATTCGTCTTCTCATGTAACTGTTCCAGTAGGGCATTTGTTTTATAGAAAGCACACAACAGAGCTTCTGAATACATTGTCCTGAAGGTCAGATGTCTATTCCCACGATTGTAATCTGTAACAGGTGCCAGCTCCCAGGAGTTGGTTACAGTTTCTGCAGTCTCCCTCTAGGGGAAAACTTCTGTTTAATCTTTCTTTTAAAGACAAGTCTAGCAACAGAGTTTCCTTGTTTCAGATATTTTGTCAATATTTGTTCCTTTAAGGTGCGAAAGGAAACAATGGAATCACTATGTTCCTCTTCTTTTAGCTATCTGTCAAAAGCGCTTGTTTCTGGTCAATGAGCTTCAAACGTCAGTCCTGACACCCCGCTCCAGGATCAGGACGGTGGAAAGTTACTTACTTTAAACTCACTTCTGCAGGTTTAAACAGTCCAGAAAAGCTCCCCCTTCTTCTCCTGCTGCCGAAGGGGGGTTCAACAATTTTAAATGATGAAAGCCAATCCTTTAGAGGCGATTTTCTGAGCTCTAGTTTACGTTGTCTTTGCTTTATTCTGTCTACAAAGAAACGGAAGGCTGACTTCCTGTTTAGACCTTCCCGTTTCAGTACCAAATTGAAGTAAAATTTTTAAGTCCAGTTCCTTTCTGCTCGCAAGTCCTTATTTAAAGTCCAATTGTTCAAAGTTTAAGTACTCACGGGTGCTTATTTTAGAAGCCAATTTGTCCCAGGAAAAAGGCAGCGCTCTCCGGCAACAGCTGTGCGGCTTCGCTCCACGGAAATAGCAGTTGACTCACAGCACCGCGCCACTTCCCCCTCTTCGCTTCGGAGCCCGTTAGTGGGTTCATTTGCGGGTTGGGGGGGTGCTAAGGGTGCCCGCCGAGTCCCATGGTCACAGGCTTCATCCGCCTGTGATTTTTAAAAGGGTCCCCGCTTCGCCGTAGCAGAGAAGACCCGTTTCGCGCGGAGCTAGTCCCTCCAATTCAGAGGGAGTCCGCCATTGCCGATGGCGCCACCCCGGAAGTCCATAATTTAAGATGTTATCTCCATTGGTCAACACATCGAATCAGGGTCTGAAACTTGCAAATGAGGTCCCCATTGCCCCGGGATGCTCTTCTGAGATGCTGAGTTGAACTTAGAGTTCTTACCTCTTATCAGGAGGGTGAAATCCCTGGGTTCTTCCTCTGGACTACTCCTATCAGAAAAAACATTCTGACAAGTGTACATCCCTCCATCCATTCTGCTCACATTAGTGATGAGGAAAGTAAGCTTTGTGCTGGTGTAACTTCTGGAGATTCTGACAATTCCATCTTTCACCAAAGAGATGTTCATTGCCAGATTATAAGGATTGTCACAGATGATTGTGACATTTCCTCCAAGGGAGGCTACCAAAGGGGAATTCACAGTTGTAGAGCTGTGGAGAATGGGCAAGGTCTCCCTGGATTAAGAAAACAAGAAAATTGCATGTTAGCAAGGGAGACACTGTAGAAGATATCTCATTTGTGGGCCTATTTCAGTCCAAGGATCCAAGAGAATTCTTCCAAGAATAAATGGAATCAAAATAGAAGCAATTTAATATGATACATGTTTTTCAGAATGTCTATGTTTCTCTTGGTTTAGAGCCCCTGCCATCGCATAAAATATCTGTTTTGGGTTTGTTCCTTTCATGTCTACACATACCATGACTGTTCATCTGAAGAGCTGCAAACAGTTTACCTCTGGTTCCTTTATAAAGTCTCGCCATTATCATCATACCCTCTAACAGCAAACTCATGTGCTGAGTGCTGAAATAAATGGGGCTAAAATCAAGCCACTGATAAACTTCTTAAAACCTCTGTGGGGAAAGTCACCTGAAAAACAACGCAGTGAGGGCTAGGTATGTTCACTAGTCTACGAGTGATTGCCAAAGAAGAAGAATGTTGAGAGTCAAGGCTCAGCCAAACTTCTGCTTCTCCTGCAGCTTCCCCTCAGGAAAACCCAGTCATTACCACTGAATCAGAACAAATGACTCCAGCCATCAGAGAGCATTAAACACTCAGACCAAAAGAGGCCAGAATAATAACAATGCCAAAAATCAGAGGCTTTCTAGGACACTCTGTAGTCTATTATATGATGTGTGTGTTAGTCCATTTAAACAAATTAGCTGAAAGATAACTTTATAAATCTCTCATTATAACACAACTAAAAGTTTAAATATTAAGGTCGCAAGATAATAATGGACACCCTCCCCCCTGCTCTATAAAATGAGTAGGGAGCTTGTGCCTCACACCCCAAAATCTGCTTTTACAATGGGAAATCATGTTTAATAATTCTATATACTCTGGGTAGAGATGATTCAGGAAAGAACAATCAGTCTTTGGGCTGATTTATATACCACTTTTCATAGAATGACATAGGACATACTATGCACTTAGGAAAATATAGCACAGCGGAAGAAGCAGCCTGATTATTAAGAGTAGCAGCGGCAGCAGTTGCTACAATTAGAGTTCAGTATATATGCCAGCATTTGTCCAAAACCACAGGGAGATTTATAACCTTGCTTAGGTTTAAAGCTTAAATCTCTTCTTAACCTTGCAGCAAGCTGGGGTTGGAGCTTGGTTTCTCAGCCAACAAAATGGGCACATGACAAAGCAATCAGAGTAGTGATTTCGTTACCTGCTGCGTCAAGAACGGTTAAGCAATGAGTACCGCAAATATCACTACTGTATGTGAAAAGAAGCTGTGGTGCAAACCCACTCTTCCAGAATCTGGAGATCTGGAGGGCCACAGCTTCCACTCATATATGGAAAATCTGTGGTGCTTAAATAGTAGCTATTCAGCAATGACAAGTTCTTACTTTTCAAATCCATTTCCTCCTGAATAAGAGAGAAGCCTGAAAAAAGAAAAAAGAATTACTAAGCAGGCCTTGCAGCAAGCTCTTTACCAGACCACAGCACCCACTTCTCCAATCACCCTCCCAAAAACACAAACAGAGCCCTATCTAATAAAGTCATACTCACAGCAGACCCATCAAAAACAATGGGCTCAAGTTACTAATCCCAAATGTAAGCCCACTGACTGACTGATTGATCGATTACACTGGGCAACAATTTTTTACTTTTTGAAAGTTGTCTAGATTTCTACAACTGATTTAGGGTATTTTTGCACTGCTGAATCAGGAAATGGCATCCGTTTCTCTCCATCAGGTCAGGTTTTTGTGCTATGTTGATTTGAAAAAAATCAGATCTTGTGACAAAATCGATTACATTTTTGTGGCATTATCAGCTGATTTTTGTCAACACATATCATCCTAAATATGTTTTTAAGAGAAAAAAATGTTTTTCCAACAACATATATTGATTACCTGATAGAAACATTGATTACTGCAAACTGAATGGTGGGCATTGATAAAGGTAAGTACACGTAAATTGCATGTTGCTTCACCATTTTTCAAACTTCAGGGCTTGAACTTCCGTTTCTTGGAACTCCTGGAATGCTCAGCGGCAGGGAGGTCTCTCTTCAGAGTCCAACAGTAGTCAGCCAGCAACTGCGTCCCAGCGACCCTGATACCTGGTCTCCATCTCTTTCATGTCCTGATGGAATCTCTCCCCCTGCTCGTCAATCATTGAGCCCAGGTTCTCAGGAAACCGGTCCATATGTGAAAATAGGTAGTGCATCTTGACGCTCATGTTGCAGCCCAGGTTTCTGAAAGCAGTCAGCATGTTGTTGACAAGTTCTGTGTAGTTTCTGGCCTTATTGTTACCAAGAAAGTTCTTCACTACCAGAACAAATGCCTTCCACGCTTCCAGTTCCACTTTGTTCATTGAGTTTCCGAACTCTGGATCTCTGATGAGCTGACGGATCTGAGGACCATCAAAGATGCCAGCTCTCAACTTCTCCATGGTCAATCCTGGAAAAGCCTGGCACAAGTAAGTGAAGCAGTCACCATCCTTGTCCAGAGCCTTGGTGAACTGCTTGATTAAGCTGAGCTTTATGTGCAGCAGTGGGAAGAGTATTCTGTCTCTGTCAACCAGAGGGTCGTTGATGACGTTCCTTTCTTTGCAAGGCACCAATTCCTCCTGCACAGGCCAGTCCTTCTTTGTGTAATGCTAAGCATGGTCCCTACTATCCCACATGCACAGAAAACATGGGTACTTGGTGAAGCCAGACTGTTGTCCCAACAAAAAGTTCACCATCTTCAGTTCAACACAAATAAACCACTTATGCTGATCATAACCAATTTTCTCCAGCACATACTTCACCGCTTCATAGTTCTCCTTCAGTGTACTCGAGTGAGCCAGGGGTATAGAGGCAAACTGGTTGCCGTTGTGTAACAGAACACATTTCAGTGATCACTTGCTGCTGTTAATGAACAGTCTCCAATCTTTGGGTTCGTACTGTGGCACTCCAAGCTTGAGCAGAAGCTGCACAATATCTGCACAGTACACCAAGTCCTTCTCTTCCGAGAAAAAACGGAGGTACTCTTGATGCCTGTTGAGGAAGAAGCTGATGCAAGCACTGTCAGAGAGGAGGTTTTTTTCCTTCAATCTGGATGCCAATAGTTCAGCAGAGTCTTTTGACAAGCTGAGGTCACGAACTAGATCATTCAACTCCTTTTGGGAAAATGGATGTGGAGCATCATCTTCAAGAACCACTTCTTCTTCTTCTTCTTCATGTCCTTCAACACTGGAGGCGTCTTCGTCACTAATGTCAGGAAGTTCTCCGAAGATAGGCACTGGAATTTCATCACAATGAACTACAGGACGACGTTCTGATTGAAGATCAGGATACTTGAGGCTGCTCCGGTTCTTTCTGTTGATCCCAGTCACATCAACAGCGCAGAAGTAGCAGTCAGTGACATGGTTTGTCGGCTCCCTCCAAACCATGGGAATTCCAAAGTTCAGACTCCTCTTGCCATTGGCCCACCCACGCAGAGTCTCTGTGCATGCCTTGCACACCATGTGTGGCACCCAAGCTTTATCCTGGTCACCAAGTTTAATGCCAAAATAACTTTATGCTTTGCCGCACCAATTTATGGAAGATTTCGAGGTTTTATGACTTCAAACTGATCCCTTTTCGACATAATCACCCAGAACTATCGGACCTGAATACTTCTTGTCATTAAAATAATCATTTCCAATCAAAACAATTATTCGACATGGCATTTTACCCCACCAACTTCTTCTAAAATGCTCCACACAAGCGTACATGTGAACAAAAATGTAAAAAAATGACATGTGGCCATAGCTCAAAAACTTGACCTGATTGAGCAAAACCAATGTGATTTTTGGATTCAGCGCATCAAATTCATCCTAAATCAACTGAAAAAACGCAGACAACAAATTTGTTGTTGACCAGTGTTATTTAATCTCTATCCCACTTAATATATTAAAAATATGTCTAAGCAGTGTACAGAAAACTGAAGCAACAACAAACAACTCAAACAAAATATTACAAAAATACAGTTACATATAAAAATGTTACATTGATACAAATTTGCGCGCGCACATACACACACACACACACACACACACACACATTCATCATCCCTCTCAGCCTCCGGGCTCTCTCCCAGGGCCCAAGAAACTCTCAGCTAACCCACAAAAGTCTCACAACGAGAAGGGTTCATGGAAACAGCAGGCATCACCTGAGTCTCTCACTCTAGACTTGCTTTTAATGGGCAGGCCCAAAGTGAATGGTCCTTCCTCAGGCTCCCCACGGCTGTGTCCTATTCAGCTGCACTCTCCACCCTCAATTCCAGATGCAGCAGGTTTGATTGCAATGGATCTGCTCTGGAGCATATTTTCACTTCCAGTATCCTCGTCCTTCAAGCATCTGATTTATGTGAAATTCTCCAGGTTGGCTTAAGATTGCCCAACTTGCCACCCCAGCTCTTCATTTCAGACCATCGCCAACCCTCTCTCACAGACATCTAGCTTCCACCAACTAACTGTCCTTCTTTCCAGCTCCTTTATTTCAGAAACCTCATGCAAAAGCTTTCTAACTCCTTTTAATCAATAGCTGGGCCTTTGTGATTCTCACCAATATAAGATGATGGAGAGCACAGGCGTCATGGCAGATCACCATTAGTGTCCACAAGATCCGGTTCCAGCTCGAAGGTCCTCAACCCTTGCAGTTTAGTGCTGTTTTCTGTGTGCCAGCCCAGGTTGCATCTGAAGCTACAGGAAACTGAGGGGAGCAGCATCTCTGACACCCAATACCTCATGACTCTCGGAGACTCTCAATCTGCTTTAAACATCTCTGGCGGTCAGATAGTGCTTCATGTACAAAGTCTACTTATGCACTAAATATTTTATTTTTATTTTTTTGCAAAGCATAAATTGGTAGGAAAGCACAAAATACAGATTTAAGTACTATGCTAGAAAAGATATGCACGAATAAAGTTCATGTATGCACACAGAAACATCAAAAGGAACCATCTTGTTCCATTTGAAAAAATGCAAAATAAGATTAGTTGTTATTATTATATTTATTTATACCCCCTTTCCCCTGGCAATGGCTCAAGACAGCTTACAGATAAAAATAAGAACACCTAAAAACATAGGAGGGGGAAGCAATCATTAAAAGAATTAAAACTATATATAGTCAAAATCCACAAACTGGACAAAATCTTTATTGGGACCAGCCAAAAAACACAAAAATGTTATCCATAACTTTTAAACTTTAAATATCTTACACAAAGCAAAGGATGGGGAGCAGGTGGGGAATATGAAAATTAGGCTGGACATTTGCCTGGCGGTTTAGCACTTTATAAATTATCTAATATACCAACACGAATAGAAACCACAAGATTGTAGCCTTTATATAAGGGATTATTATAACTGAATGGAAAGGAATGGAAATTATTAAAATTCTTGAACGCAGAACAAAATGTAGAAGAATGAACTCATCAACTCTAGCATGCGAGGGGGCCAGTTTAATGAAATTGTATAATTTGACATTTTAATAATTGGCACTAATAATTGTATTAATTGAATAAAATTGGTATTGTTATAAGGAAGCTGCAATTGGAACAATATTGGAAAGTTGATTAATTTATTTATTTTTAAAAGAAATTAAAGTTTGCCTTGTAACCCAAAAAATGTCCCAAACCTTAAATGGAACCTCTCTCTGGTAGAAAGAGAGCAGAAATAAAGGGGAACATGATGGGCCTCAAACAAGCTGCATGGGCCTGATTCTATGGCATGATCACCATTGATTTCAGCAGTTTACTAATGAGTGAACAAGACTTTTTCTTTCTTTCTTTCTTTCTTTCTTTCTCTCTCTCTCTCTCTCTTTCTCTATTTCCTTCTGTCTTGTGCTCCTGAAGTTCTGTTCCTGGAAAAGGAGAAAGAGGAAGAAGAGATGATGTCACAATGAAGGGGAGAGAGGTCTGGGAGTGACTGCCTCCGTTATAAGAAAATGGGAACACCAGCCATTCACTCACCTCCTCACATAACAAGCACTACAGGCAAAAATAGGTGGACCATTATACTGAAAACTAGGTAAGTTCTGGGGAGGAAGCTAATAGAGACAGCCCGGCGTGTGCCCCAAAAGTCACAGACACAGTACTGAGTGTCGCTCAGATAATCGTCTAATGATTTCGCATTTTTGCTCAGATTCCAGCATTCCTTATTTCCATTACATCCAAGGGAGAGGAAGTGAGCAGTTATTTCTCAGGTTTCTAAACTGCAAGGGCAGCAACAACCCCAGTACTGTTGGCTCCTTGCTACATACGTTCTTCCCACTTTGAAATGTAAAAGGTGAAGAGCTGAGTTAGTTAAGACGACCACAGCATCCAACCAACCCAAGTAGGGAACCTCCCAAGATGCTACCTTGAAAAATCCTGTACAGTGGTACCTCGGGTTACACATGCTTCAGGTTACATACGCTTCAGGTTACAGACTCCACTAACCCAGAAATAGTGCTTCAGGTTAAGAGCTTTGCTTCAGGATGAGAACAGAAATCGTGCTCCGGCAGCGCGGCAGCAGCAGGAGGCCCCATTAGCTAAAGTGGTACCTCAGGTTAAGAACAGTTTCAGGTTAAGAACGGACCTCCAGAACGAATTAAGTACTTAACCCGAGGTACCACTGTATGTACACATTGATTCAAGCACTTACACATTTGCCAAAGATGACTGAAACCAGTTTGTAAGAGTCAAGGACAATGAACTTACTCATGGGATGGCAGTGAGCTCAGTGGGACCTCCGTGTAGGGTGTTCTGACCTGATACTGTCTGCCGTTCATTTCTCATGCTGTGAAATTGTGGAAAGGACCTTTCGGCAAGGGACCAGCTTGCTTGGTTTTCCTGTGATAGTTGGCCTTTCTCCTGCTGCAGAGGCTGCTGCGTCACATTTTGATAATCTGTATTGTAAGTGGGAAGGTTCGCATACACAGCCCGATCTTGAAGTTCTTCTGAAGAAATTTCTGCATGGCTTCTAGGGCCTACTTCCCTGCCATCATCTCTCCTAACTTGGACATAAACATGGAATCGAAAATATATATAATGATGCCACTTGCACAAACAGTTGTCACTTGCTGGGACTAACTGGCTACTAGAACATAAGAAGCAATTCTGTTATGCTGTCTGTGTGACTCTAAGATAAGACAAGCAAGAACAAACAGCAGAAGTAGGCAAGAATAGGTGAATGCATGGATGGACACCTCAGTACTGCTACAGTCCGCTTGTGTCTGACTCTCAGTTTTGTGCAGGGGAGGAACATACTGTTAGCTACATGGCTGAGTATAGAAGTGCAAGAGTATAGAAATATAAGCATGGTGTTACCAGACCCGCTTGTGCTTTCTGTACACCTGAATTTGTAACTTATGTGCATATTCAAAGACTCTTACTTAGGGGGTGTCTACTGGAGTCAACTGCATGCCACAAATCTTAATGCAGTGGGGGGGAATTAATTTAGAATAACCATTTACACCTTGCTTTATTTAAGGGAATTAGCATTAAGCAACAAGGTTTGGTGTGCTATAACTTGCTTGTTAAAGGGAATTAAGAGAAATGAAAAACATCAGTAACCATGGTCGTTTGTTCACACAGAGCAGTGGACAAAGAGTAAGAAGTATTCAAGTACCAGTGCAGGATAATCAAGAGACAAGTTACCATATTTTTCGCTCCATAAGACACACCTGACCATAAGACACACTTAGTTTTTAGAGGGGGAATACAAGGGAAAAAATATTCTTTAAAGGAAGCGCTGAGCAGAGCCTGTATGCAACTCAGGCTCTGTTCAGTGCTCCCTTTCACGAGCCGCGCGGAGTGTGTGTGCAGCGCTTGCAGGCTTTTCCCCGAGGAGGGAGAAGGGCAGCCCATCACTGACTATCTGGGATAGCCACTCAGCCTGCATTCACTCCATAAGACACACACACATTTCCCCTTACTTTTTAGAAGGGAAATTATAGAGCGAAAATTACCGCACTTAGTGCCTCCATCACCACATCAAGCATATCTTGCTATCTGCTGTTCACCTTTGGAGGCAAGTCCTGGCAACAGTACAATAGCAGAGGCCTTATCAGCTTTGATATTCAGGTCTAAGATTGGTGGGTCAGTATTGGTGAGTCAACTTTGTCCCTCCTGAGCCCCAATAAATGGTGCACAGTCAGCTCTGATGTTTTGAGTATCTTTATCAAGCTTCCTCAACCTTGGCCTTCCAGATGTTTTTGGCCTACAACTCCCATGATCCCTAGCTAGCAGGACTAGTGGTCAGGGATGATGGGAATTGTAGTCTCAAAACATCTTGGACAGCCAAGGTTGAGGAAGCCTGATCTTTATCATTCAATTTGTTAAAGTTGTATCATGAACACAAGCCCTGTCCCCAACAACGCTACTTACGGTCAGTATTTTCCACCCTGTTAGATCTTGATACTATGAAGGTATGTTCACCACTAAGCAAGAGAGGCAAAGAAAAACTTATTACAAAGGATCATCTGGACACCCAGTACTTACAGTCTTTATTCACTCACTAATCCCTTCACTCTAAACCAGAAAACATTTTCCGACTTTAAGAAAACCTAGTTATCCAGGGTCCCAAGCACACGCCATCAACACAATTCAGCCTGCTCATTTCCAAAGGAAACCAAAATACCCTAGATCCCAGTATTTCCTATTCTCACTTCCCCAAGCTAACCTACCAACCTCAGTCCTGGAGAACCTGGAGGTTGTTGCTCACATTTCATAAGCCACACTTAACATAGCATTTGATGCAAAGTATAAGGGAACTCGGGATGTGGGTGGCGCTGTGGTCTAAACCACAGAGCCTAGGGCTTGCCAATCAGAAGGTTGGCAGTTTGAATCCCCACAATGGGGTGAGCTCCCGTTGCTCGGTCCCTGCTCCTGCCAACCTAGCAATTCGAAAGCATGTCAAAGTGCAAGTAGATAAATAGGTACCACTCCAGTGGGAAGGTAAACAGTGTTTCTGTGCACTGCTCTGTTTCGCCAGAAGTGGCTTAGTCATGCTGGCCACATGACCCCGAAGCTGTCTTCGGACAAACGCTGGCTCCCTCAGCCAGTAAAACGAGATGCGCACCGCAACCCCAGAGTCGGCCACAACTGAACTTAACGGTCAGGGGTCCCTTTACCTTTATAAGGGAACTCAGGAGGCCCCACTCTCCACCTAGACCGCAGCAGGAAACCTCTGCACTCAAGTATTGTACCTCCCTATGTGGCATTCAGATGGAGTGCAAATAATAGCAATTGTTCTGCATTCTGACAACTCTTTCTCTCGCAAGCTCAGAACAACATTCCAGCATCCTTCAATCCAGTGCAGTGTAAGAGGAACAGTTGAGATCACTTACCTGTTTTGTCTTACTACTGTAAAAGAAGAAGAAGACAAATCAGTTGGAAGATGGTGCTCTCTCAAACCCATAAATAATCAAAACAACCTATCTCAATTCAGAATGTGCTAGGTGTTTCCTTTTTCAGACAATTCATGGGAAGCACCTAGAATTTACTGTATTTTAAGAGTTTTGCAAAAAGAAATCAAGCGCAGGGACTATCTTCCACCAGTTTCTCTCTTCCTCTTTCCCCACCCTGACACTTTTCCAAACTTATTAGGTCAGGGATGAGAAACCAGTGGCCCTCCTGATATTTTTTACTTTATCAGCCCCAGCTGACATAATCAGTAGTCAGGGATGAAGATAGGTTTAGTCCACAATATCTGGAGGGCTGCAGCTTTCCTATCCCAGCAAATAGATGGATAGGATGAAGGACTAGGCAAGATATCACTAGGAACCTCAGACCACCCAGAGAATTTATGGCCAAGAGCTTTTAAATCCCCTTCTCGCCTGGGTCATACTTACACACTCCTATTTTGTAACAAAGAAAGGCCCCAGCTGACAGAAAGAGGAAGAGCAGAACCACATATATTACTGAGAGATTTGGACTGATTTGAGCATCATCTGTTAAAAAAAAAAGCAGTTAGAGAAGAGGGAAGAGGCTGCCTCCTTGAGAACCTCCCACTCAAGCCTCCACCACCATCACATTCAGAGATTGCTCTGAGCTTCTGGAGGACCCTTGGGCAAGATTCCTTCAGTGAACTCACTTGTGGAAGGGATGTATCTCCTCCTTGCTTGCAGCCCCTCTGCCCATTCACATGCCCCTACACTCTTGACCCAGCTGACACAGACACCCAGAGGGGAAACAGAAGGCAGGTTAAGGATGCTGCTCCCTCTAATCACTCTTGACACTCCTTGCATGCTCAGAGAAAGAAGGTGAACCATACAGTGACAAGAAAGAGCAGCCAGGACAGGAGGCTCCAGGAGCTGTCGGTGTCATGGAAATTCTACTCAATGTTAATCCAAAGTAGATTCCAATGTATAGTTAGCAGAGTAAAAACCTAAGCACGTTGCAACAGACTTAAATTTGGAATAACTTATAATAAGTCTAAACCTTCACACTAAGCATACTATGTACAGAACAGCACACCAGAAGGAAAAGAAAGAGAAAGAGAAAGAGAAAGAGAAAGTGTGAAACTCAGGCTCCTGCTGGCCCATTATTACAGTTAGCATGACCTTGACAGAAGAGATAACAGAACCAATTTAAACCAGCTGTACTCAGCTTCTCTGAAGGAATAACCTAGACACCATGAACCTTCTGCTTGCTTCTTTCACACAGCTCCAGAACCCTCTTGAATGAAGTAGAATAGGAAAGATCTCTGCACTTCTACACTTTCTGTACTAAGAAATACAAACTGACAGTCAATGGGTCCTCTGCAGAGGTGTGGGCCTCAGCACGTGCCCAGCAATGCCTAACTCTAATGCCAGCCCTGACTGGCACAGTCAACTGTCAAGGAAGATGGAAATTGTTGTCCAACAATTTCTGGATAGCCAAGATTGGGGGGGGGGGGCTGATTGGCATGGGGCTTTCTCAGTACACCACTGGCCAACCATGTTTAAAGAAGTGTTTAATATGCATAAAGTATAATGTTTGAATGTATTGTTTTTAAAATGCTATGCAGAGAGATTGGCATAAGGTTTCACTCTAGCAAACACAGCAGAAAAGGCTAGATGTTTCAGTTTCTGTCTTTAAGCTGACATCACTGGAAACCCAAGAGCTCTCACAGAAGACAAAACCTGAGAACTCAGCTTCTTTGTCAGTGATGGATCCAGCAACAACCGCAATAGTGGCTAAGTTCCATGAAGATGGAACAAGAAAGTTGCTTAGGATCGAGAGAGAGAGAGAGAGAGAGTTTATTGACCTGCATTAAGGACTTACAGACGAGGCTGCACTGCTTGCATGTTTCAGAGCAATGTGTTCCTTTGTATCTTGCAATGTCTATTTGTAACTATTTTATTTGTACTTATTTATTTGCAACTATTTGTAACTATTTTTCCTGAAAAGTTTTGAAATTCATTCTTCCGTTTGAGAGCAAATTCATTTCTACTCTACGCAAGGTCCAGATCAGGGATTTCGCTTGCAGCAACTTTAATATAATGCAAGACATGCCTGCTTTTTGGTTAAAAACAACCCCCCCCCAAAAAAAAAAAAACCAAGCAAAGTGCAGTGGTACCTCTGGTTACACACTTAATTCATTCCGGAAGTCCGTTATTAACCTGAAACCGTTCTTAACCTGAGGCATCACTTCAGCTAATGGGGCCTCCGGCTGCCACCACGCGATTTCTGTTCTCATCCTGAGATAAAGTTCTTAACCCGAGGTACTACTTCTGGGTTAGCGGAGTCTGTAACCCGAAGTTTTGTAACCCGAGGTGTTTGTAACCTGAGGTACCACTGTAGTGAGAAGGAGAAAAACAGTAAAACAAATACTGTACCTGATACCATAAGCTCCACCCAATTGCTGCATTTTGACACCAGAAATGGACTTCTTGATTGTGCCCAGCTGCAGCAATAGTTTCCTTTGCCCTCCAAAGTAATTTTCCTGAGGTAAAATTCGGTCACAAGTGCATTAGAATCCTGAACCGTTTTTGTTGACTCTCCAGCCTTATGGAGATAGACCAAGGCAGGTGCCTCTGGAAAGGCACACGTGATTCTGATATTTTCCCCAACCTTCAAAGGCCTCGTTGGTGAGATGGAAATGGTAGGTCTGAGTAACTGTGGATCTGGGCAGAAAAGGAAACAGAAAGTGAGGTGCCAACTACTGTAGTTCTGGGTCTTGTCCTCTTCCACATGGCAGGGACCTGCATTAGGGGTTTAGCTTCTTTGCTGTAAAGCAGGGATTAGGCACCGGTGGGCCTCCAGGTACTGTTAGACGCCCAATGCCCATCAGTTCCCGTCAGCATGGCCAGCAGTCGGAGATGGTGGGAGTCATAGTTCAATCATACTTGGAGGCCAGCAGGGGCTCCTGAATCCCTGCAGTTAAGCCAAATCTCTGTTAAAACGAAGATGGGCTTTAAACATTGAACTGAACTGAACTATAACATGGAGGATTTCAACTCTGAAAGTTTGAAATGGTTCGAGGAGAAGCAGCTCAGCACACAAGAAAAAAAATGCTTAGGATGCTGATGGAGATTTCACAAAAAGCCTTCAACAACTGGGCTCTGCCAGTGGCTGTAGAACAAGCGGGGGGGTGCTTAGCACCACAAGAGAAGAAGAAGAAAACCTCTCCCCCCTTCTCTCTGCCTCTCCCTGAAAGTCTCCCTCACAGATTCTGGCCAGCTAACTTAATTTCCCCAAGAGCAAGTGATAAGGAGATATACCCTATATTCAGTTCTGACAAAGTATCCAAATGTCAATAATATCCATCTTTATTTAGGAGCCTATACCCCCACTTTTGAAAGAAATTTTTTATAAAAGCATTCACAAAGTGGCCTATACAGTTCTTATTGTGGAAGCCTGTCTATTTCAAGAGTAACTGTGTTTGTGAAAAAAATTCCCCAGTCTGGGAATATTTATTTGCCTCGAACCTGGTGGCAGATCAGCCCATTTACCAGAACTCTGTGCACTGGCCTGGAACGGACTTGAGAAAGTCCATTCAGAACCAGGGTTATTGCTGGCTAAGCTGGCCTGGTTCCGGCATAGGGAAAACAAGTCTTAAGAATAGTGTTTGAGCTACGCCACCATATGTGATGTCCTAACTAATGCTAGGTGGCTAGGTCACAGATCCAAACTGAATGGATCCCCCCCTCTGTGATTGGGGCCCCAGCATTTTAGGGAGTCATTCATCCAGAAACAGGGAGGAGATTCCAGAACAGTCGTATATAAGTGGGTGTGGCACTCTGAACATGCGCAGCTTCAGCCGGAAGTGCCAATAAAAGAAGAACTCTCGTTTTCGCTTTTTGTAGAGGGCTGACCAACAAATGCTATCTGCAAACTGCTACGTCATGGCTGCCGATAGACGTTGTTGCTAAAAAGAAAGAGGGGACTGAAACTTAAGTATGTAGTAGCAGCTATTGCTATAATGATTGTAAATAGTGCTACCGTGATGTGTTTATGACCAGCCAGGCAATAAATCACTTGACTGAGTTTTACGGCGTCTGTGAGTGTTTCATCTCAAAGTGTAACTTCAGTTGCTGACACTGCTTCCTGAAACTCTGCTTAATGGATGAAAGCTTCTAACGAGGTGCCTACACACGAGTATTCTCACACAGCGAAAGTGTGATGGACCTTTAATACAGCAGTCTCCCAGAACATCCCTTTTTTGGAAATTATGCCAGTTTAAAATCCACCAAGTTCACCTCGGCCTCCTGGCTGAGGTGGATTGGGGAAGATACATAGGCATATCTGTAACTGAGATGAGGATGTGAAGAGATGCCTGGATAGGCTAGCTTCTTGGGAACTTCCAGGCTCAGTCAGAGAGCTACTGGATCCTAACCCTGCTCATCCAAATGATTTTCAGGTTGGTTCCTGGAAAGGTTAGCGGGGGCACTGGAAAGAAAAAATAAAGATGGCTGCCCAAATAGGTACATAGGGGCACCTGTTCCTTCCCCCTACATATATCCATTATGGGGCGATAAGTCATAATGTAGTGCCACGCCCAGGGGCTCTTTACTCAAACATTTTGATAAAGAGCCAGAAGCACTGTACTTTCTAGCTGCTTCACACAAAATAATTTTCTTTTCATTCGTAATAATTGTTGTAATGGCTCATGCATTCATCAGCCAGAATTATCTTCCATGCAAATGTCTGCAGTCCCAAGAAAATTACAACTCAGCCATGATCATTGCCCTCAGCCCAACTTTTCTGGGAAGTTTTTCTTGTTTCCTTTTGTTACTGTACTCCAGCCCAAAGACTCCACAACACTCGGTTTATGCAACATGATCCCTCTGAAACTCAGCAGGTGTCCCCTCTCTCTCTTTCTCTCACACAGCAAGTTAGGAGTATGTAAATTATTCCTCATTTCCTCCAATGCAGAACTGGCTCCTCAAACACACACACACACACACACACACACACACACACAAAACACCCCACTGATCGCTCCCTACAGTTGCCCTCTCCAAAGAGCTCCCCAGTTATATTCTAAAAACCAAGCAAACTCTCCAGCTAAACTCCAAAACTTAAGGCTTGTGGTTGAGATGAGTGCATGTGGAGTCAGCCTCTTTACCTGTTAACAGCAACTCCACAGGGTTACTTGGCTCAGACAGGAGATATGGTTGCCTCACTGAGGTGTAACTGCAGCTGTATCTTCCTGCATCCTTCTTGCTCACATCACTGATGGTGAACATGTTCATGTCACTGTGTATTGACCAGTCCTGAGAGTCATCCTTTTGCAGATAAGACCTTTTCACTTCTTCTTGAGTTCCACAACGCATAGTGACTCTCTGTCCGATGGTGATTTCTTCCATAGGTTCCAGAGACAGGACTGGTTTGGGGAAACTGGGATCTGAGTAAAGAAATACAACAGACATTGAAGGCCCTTAAGAAGGAAGGTTTGCAGCCAAGATGGCATTGCTTCCAGACATGTTCAAATTCTGCCTTGGGCTTCTTTAGGAAGATGGATGGGATATAAATTGAAAGAATTAATAGTAATGAATAAATCCCAACATCTCGCTCTTTGGAAATTAAGTGTTGCCAGTATACCCTGTTTCCCTTCTATAGAAAATAGTTGCCTTGATCCCATTTGCAAACAAAACCCACAAGATGCAAACCAGTGTTGTACTCTAGCTTGCCTGAGATGATGATGAAGAAGTAGTAGTAGAAGAAGAAGAAGAAGTACTACAAATTTCATGGGGGTTGAATTAAGAACTCTTAGAATATACTCCCCTGAATGTTATTTGTGATTTAGCTCCCATGTCCTTTAATCTTGCACTCAGCGCCTGTCCACCAATGAGGAAGGCTGAGGCAGCTGAAACCCCAAGCAGCAGCCCTCGCAGGGGCACCCTCCCACTGGTAGAGACGTGGTGGTGATCTAGCAAGATCTCACCAAAATCTTGCAAGATCTGTGCGCTCTGTGACTTCTTGCAAATGCTCTCAAGAGCTCAATGGAACCCGCTGTCATCATTGCTGATTCACAGACCCGGCCACACAACCCATGGAAGGGAGGCTTCAGGGTAGCTTCGGCAAGAGAGTGCCAACTTTCCATTTTGCCTCAGGCGGTGAAACGAGGTAGGCTGCCTCTACCTGCGTTAATGGGTGAGACATCACTCATCTGAACACTATTCGTGGCGAAGCTCCAATGTCCTTTAATCTTGCATTAATGGGATTGGTTGTGCTCAGCTACACAGGATCATCAATATTGGAGCAGGAGCGGGATGGATGCACTTTTGCAAGAAGAAGAAGAAGAAGAAGAAGAAGAAGAAGAAGAAGAAGAAGGGGAGGGGGAGAAGGGGGAGAAGGAGGAGTTTGGACTTGATATCCCACTTTATCACTACCCTAAGGAGTCTCAAAGTGGTTAACAATCTCCTTTCCCTTCCTTCCCCACAACAAACACTCTGTGAGGCGAGTGGGGCTGAGAGACTTCAGAGAAGTGTGACTAGCCCAAGGTCACCCAGCAGCTGCATGTGGAGGAGCGGGGAAGCGAACCCAGTTCACCACATTACAAGTCCACTGCTCTTAACCACTACACCACACTGGCTCTCCACAATTTGAGATGTTTTAATGGTACAGTAACACCTGAACCTAATACTATATGATCCATTGTTCCCTTTGTGCAACTCATCAAAGCAGGGTCAGGAACTAGTGAACGGCCTCAGGGTGCTCTTCTGGGATGTTGAGCAGAGTCTCTTACCTCTTATCAGCAGCTCAAATGGATCTGTGACTGGCCTGATCCCACCAATATTGTACAAGCATTTGTAGATCCCTGCATCCGTTGTGCTCCTAATAGTGATTTGGAAAATAACGTGTTGTCCAAAATGATCTCTGGAGAAGCCTATGACCCTTCCATCCTTCTCCAAAGAGACATATGTTACCAAATGACGTATGATGCATGTGATGGTGACATTGTCTCCAAGTGAGGCTGCCAACGTAGAATACACAGAGCTGCAGGAATCAGGATGGATCACAGTGGATTAACAAGGAAACAAAAAGAAAATCATGTGTAGACAAGTGGGGAAAGACATTGCAGGTGATATCAAAGCTGAAACCATTTAACATCATAAATGGCCAAACAGTTTTTTCAGAATATCTGTATTTCTATTTAGGTTTTTAAAAATGAAAAATATGTTTCATGTTATTTGTTTAATTTCGACACATGCCCTGGCTGTTCCCCTCAAGAGCTTTTGACAGCCTCTATCTGGCTCCCAGGAAGTCTTATAATCATCACCCCTCTTACAGCAAACTCAAGTGGTGAGTGCTGACAGAAGTGGAACTAAAATGAGGCCAATGAGAAACAAATGGTATATATCAGCACATTAGAGGAACCCCTGGGGTTTGGAGATGTATAACTTTAAAACCTTGGTGGGAAAGTCCCCTGGAGACTGAGCATATTCAAAAAGAAAATTTGGATGAGGATAAATGGTGCATTCTAGAATAAGGTATGGCTGGCAAGTAGAAGCAATCATTGTATGCAGCTGTTCACCCTGACTTTTGTCCCTTGATATATATATATTTTACGACCCACCTTGTTTTAGTAATTTTAACTTGTTTAAAACTGTTTTTAATGTGTTTTGATGGTTGCAGCCCTCCTTGGGAACTTTCAGAACCCAGCTGGGGGAACTACCCTTCCATTGACCCAGAAGCAAAGTTCTAAATCAGAAAGGAAAAAGGGCTCCCACTGACTGCATGAGGCACTCGACACATTAAATCAAATATGGCTCTTCACAGGCCATCACTCGGCATTAAAGCACTTTAACCAAGAAGCAAGCCGGACAAACATACAATCACCCCTCCAAAAAATATTGAGTTCTAGAGTCACCTGCACTGTTTTTAATGGTTTGTTTGTGTTCTGATTATTTTAAATTATTATTTAAAAAATAAACAGAAAACTGTCTTTCAAAATTCTGTTTGCTGTTAAGCTAACACAAGTAAAAGATTAAATTCTGGGACCTCGAGATAATATCTACCATATTGGCACAAATATAAGCCGCTCCCTTAAAATTCCGCAGGCACTGACACCTGTTCTGTTTTACCGTATGTCTGTTTCAGCAGCGATATCGTAAAAGCCCATTTTTGCAAGGTCGCAAATTTCAGCTGCACTTTAACTTTTCAGAGTCGGAATCTGGGTGGGGGGGAGTGTGACTTATATTTGGGTCAATACGGTAAGTAGGCTGGACTCTAAAATAAATCTGCTTACCTGAAAGGGTCAGGGGCCTTGGTGCACAACTAAGTTAACCACTATCCTTATCCCAAACTCTGCTTCTGCATTACCCTTGAACCTTGCCTTCAAACACAATTTAGGTAAAGAGAATGCAAGCAAAATTAAACCCTCCTTTGCACTGATTTTGTTGTTGTTGTTTAGTCGTGTCCGACTCTTCGTGACCCCATGGACCAGAGCATGCCAGGCACTCCTGTCTTCCACTGCCTCCCGCAGTTTGGTCAAACTCATGTTGGTACCTTCGAGAACACTGTCCAACCATCTCGTCCTCTGTCGTCCCCTTCTCCTTGTGCCCTCCATCTTTCCCAACATCAGGGTCTTTTCCAGGGAGTCTTCTCTTCTCATGAGGTGGCCAAAGTATTGGAGTCTCAGCTTCACGATCTGTCCTTCCAGTGAGCGCTCAGGGCTGATTTCCTTCAGAATGGAGAGGTTTGATTTTCTTGCAGTCCATGGGACTCTCAAGAGTCTCTTCCAGCACCATAATTCAAAAGCATCAATTCTTCAGTGATCAGCCTTCTTTATGGTCCAGCTCTCACTTCCATACATCACTACTGGGAAAACCATAGCTTTAACTATTCGGACCTTTGTTGGCAAGGTGATGTCTCTGCTTTTTAAGATGCTGTTGACCCCTTTTCACATCATGAGAAGTGACTTACCCTCCATTTAGCAGTTGGCACAGCAACATCATGACAAGCGTGTGGGGGAGATGGCAGCTTCTCAACCAACAAAATGGCTACATTGCAAAGCAGCTTTCACTGTGTCAACGGTTACATACTAAATGATGGGTATCCCATATCTCACAGTCGCAGTGTGAAACGGGGTTTAATGAATCAAAGCGTCCACTCCACTGTGGAAGATCTGGTATGTTTAAATGGCAACATTCACTAATACCTCTCCACTATGACATATTCTTACCTTTCATATCCATTTCCTCCTGAAGCAGGAAGCAGCCTGAAAAAATAAGAAGCCATTAGAAAACAGGACTCACAACAAGAAGATTCCTGCTGGACCACAGCACCCACTTCCCGTAAAGGCTCTCCCCACACATATATACAAACAATCAGGGCTTGACTGAGACCAGGCTCTGGAAGATATTTTCATAGTCTAGGTTCTTCACCTGAAATCCACGTGAAATAGAATTTGTGAGCCCCCGAGCATGTGAAGAGTCCACAGTCCCATTCTCTTCATCAATAAGCAATGGCCTATATTGTCCATCCAAACTGGATTAATATAGAGTTGAGGATTTGCAGGGCAAATGGCATAATTTATAGGCACAACCCTTCATTTCAGATAGTAACCCTGCCTCTCTCACACACATACCCACACAGTTGTGTTGGTAAATTCCCTTGTTTCTAACTCCCTTGAACCAACTGTTTTGGCCTTTCTGATTCTCACCAATAGAAGAGGATGAAGAATGCAAGCATTGTAGCAGATCGCTATTAGCGTCCATAAGATCTCATTTCACCTCCTCCGTCCTCAACCCTCAAGATGTTGATGTTTTCTGTGGGCCCACAGTTGCATCTGAAGCTACAGGTGAGGCATCTGATCAAAATCTGCTTTGAGCTTAAAAAAATATATTTGTAAATATTTATATCTCTCTGCCAGGGAGAGACCAGCTGAATACTCTGGCAGCTGTTCAAGGGGCCCCACTGCTATAAATAGCAGTATTTCAGGGTTGTAAAAAGTATTTCAGGGTTGTAAAAGGAAATTAGAGCCAGAGAGCAAAAGGTCACACTGACCAGAATACAATCAAGCTGCAAAAACACAATTAAGAGCTGGTAAATAGTGAAATTTATTGTTTAACAGAAGACTCGAGCCATAAGGTTAAAGGTTAAATTGCAAGAGGAACAGCAGCTGGTTAGAAAAAAAAGCTTCTCTCCAAACTGTTTTGAAGCTTCAGAGAATTTATAGAACTTAGGAACTTAGCTTTTACTAAATTCCTTTAATTTGAAAAGGCCTTTCCTTCTAAAAATCTATCTATGTTATGTATGAAATATATTGGCTTAAATGTAATTATGCAAAGGATTTAGAAAGTAAGAAATGTTAGATTCTTATGTTAGATTCCTATTATGGTGGGTGAGAAGGTGAACTCAAGATCTCTTTAAGATAAAAAAATTAGAAACCATGCACCATCTGCTTTAGCCATCTGGTTTGCGGTGAATAGGGCAACAGGGGCCAAAGGTTATCTGGTAATTGAGGTGCCTGGTCGAGGTAAATGTAAGATATATGGCTACTTGTCTGCCATTTATGGATACAAGGAAATATAGCTTTTTGTCTCCCATAAAAGGAAATAGGAAATGGGTGTATCTTTTATGATTGGTTCTAGCAAACAACCAATAGGAATTTCAACCAGGCTGATTGGACAGAGGCAGCCAAAGGAGGAGCAAGGGGGCTGGGCTGAGGAAATATAAGTGCTGGCCATCAGGGCTGGAGTAGGCAGAGCTTTGGTATCCATATACCACTGTGTCTCTCATTTATTTGTCTGACAAATAAATTATTATTTTAATTTCTCTATTGCTGCGTTGAATATTTCATTCCAGCTAAGCGTTAACCACAAGCAGGGTGCTACACAGGAAATGGATGATAACATCATCTCCAGTGGGCCCAAGAAGTCAGAGGCTCTCAGAGGCTCTCAATCAGTGGAAAAGATCTTGGGTGGTTAGGTATTGCTTCACATACAAAGGAAACCATCCACATGCCAGGGATGTACAATATTGCTCTGTGTTCTTATGGGCCTTTAGGAATTCCACAGTATACTCAAATTCACTTCAGAGGAGGAGGAGAAAGTGGACTGTGGGACAAGAGGAAGTGTGGATTACCCCAAATCTGGCCCACTCCCTGCAGTGGACCAAATCTGTATCCTCCTGGAACACTTATTAAAATATCACACATTTTGCATCTGTTCCACGGCAGGCAGGTCAAAGTGGTTGTGGTGTTCCATAAAGTTAGACAGGGGTCAAAGTGGTCCCATAAAGTTAGATAGAGATTTGAAGGCTGGGTGCTCAGCAGGAATGAAATAGAATTCCCAACTCATCCTTGCGAAAATGGTAACTACAGTAAGCTGATGCAAGCCTCCAAACTCTCCACAAGGTGGAGATGTTGGCCTAGAAACGAGACTACTGCTCTTAAAAGGCAATTTACTTTTCAATATAGAGGTGAACTCTCAATATCCCCATTCATTTTGCTAGGTAAGTGGCTTCTTACGCAAGGAAAAGTGCAAGAGCCCAGATATAGCCCCTGCATTAAGTGTGCTGCTGCTTTAAGAATGCAACCTTTTGTTGAGAAAGGGGTTTGATGTAAAGAAAGCACTGTTCCCGCACTGAAATATAGCTGTGCTACATAATTCATTGGGGGGGGGGGCAGGTTGCACAAGTGGGAGACTTACATTGATTTGTGATTAAATAGGTCTATCGTGTAAGACTTTAAAAATGCTTGACATTTGCTTTCTCTTCCTGCACAGCCTGTCCTGCATTAACAAATAACACTCAAAAGCAGAGCGAGAAAGGTTCAAAGGCCTTTTTTATTGTCCTGTGTAAAATAAAAATAGCCCTAGTGCCTTTTAAACAAGCTATTATGTATGAGTGGAATATATCTCCAGTCAGTGTTGCGATGAAGATTCTCTGCTTTCAAGACAAAATTTACCATTTTGGTGGGCGCAGAAATATCTCCTGTAAAACTTAAAAGTCGCTCATTTATTTATTTTGTAAGGTACCACTGTTTACAGTGCTACTACTGCTTATCTCCACCGCCCCCACTGAATCTTCTTCCTGGATTAGTCACACAGGTAATTCCACTCGATTTGGCATCACATATTAAATTGGTTGTGTGATGCTACACAACCAATCAGATTTGGCTGTGTGATGAAATCACTGAGGGCAACTGAAAGACACCACTGAGGACGAAGTCAGTTCTTCTGAACAGTGCCTCAAAAAATGTCAGAAAAAATATTTTAAAAAGTTTTTTGCCCTGCTGAACAAATATACAAAAGAACGGCAAGTTATTTCAGCTCACCCTTAGCGACAGTAAATGCCAAAGCTCTGTGAATGTTATTAATACACAGAAAGAATAAAAGCTATGGTATACCTGCCTCAGCACAATCAGACGCCTTCATCAGCCCCAGCTGTATTGATCTCTACAGTCACAGCAATCACTGTAAATCTCCAATGGCTTGACTTGACCCCTGAAAGCCCACGCTTCCATTGTCTCCCAAGACAGAGAGATGCCAACCATCTTAATATACAATATTTCTTTAACATTTTAGAAAACCCGTGAGAAATCGCTGACATTTGACAGCAAAGTTCAGGAAACAAAGGCGACTTTTGACTGATAGTCAATTTTCATCCACATTTTTATTGTTTATTGGTAATTGCCAACATTTTCCAAGGCAAGTTGCTAAGTGCTCAAATGAAGCTGAATTCTGCCTATCCCCTTTCACAATCTTAGACATTTTCAGGCTTTCTTTGTTAAGTGGCCGTATCTTAAGAAAATGATGCAATTTCTGTGAGTTGCTGAAATTGGATATAGGCTTTTCAAAATTACCAGAAAATGTCAGAACTCCAAACATCATGTTTGCTTCAGATATTTTCTAACATAACTTGGCAAATTATGGCATCTGACAGTAAATTGTGAAAATGAGGGACACCACGAAGGATGCATTAAAAAAAATTATGCCTCGGTGTGTGTGGGTGTGTGGGTGTGTGGGTGTGGGTGTCCGTCTAGGTAGGGTAAATATGGAAAAGGAAGGCAGGTTCTGCAGTTTATGAGTCCTGACTGTCCAAAGCTTAAACCATTAATGGTTTCCACCAGGACGTTTCTGATCCCCTGGGAGCATTTTCCATGCATTGATTTGCAGGCCTCGGCACTTTATCGCTGAGTGTAGAGAGAGAAAATAGAGTGGTTGGAGGGAGCTTAACAAAGAGAGAATGAAAATAAAATAAAATGAATGAACTGATAAATACAAGAGGAAGGAAAATATAAAGACATAAGAAGTTGAAAGGCAGACCTGGACCCTATCCCTCCTCGTTTTTCAGTTCCTCCCCATCCCCATTCTGGCTCTCTCTCTATCCAGCTGTCCATAAACAGCTGGAGAGGGACACCCAAAAGCAGCCAATCCCAAAGGGCCAGGGGGAGGGGCTTGTGCTTGCCTCCTTTTCAACTCAAGGCAAATTACAGATGCTCTAGGGATTAGCTGGGATCTATGTTCCCAACAGTTGGTCTGAGGGAGCAGAGGAGAGTAAAAGTGAATGAGAGGTATCCTTGACGGCCAGGAGACGAGAATTAAGGAAGAGAAAAGAGGTGACGAGAGAGGAGGAGGAGGGAGAGAAAAGATACAGCATTACTGAAGAAGAGAAAGAGTGACCTGGAACAAACTAAACACTTCTGAGGAAAGATGCAGGGACGTCCAAATGTAATGGGGTAAGTGGTTTCTTTGCAACAGATGCCCAGGGTGGGAACTCAAAGGCAATGGGTGATTGCAAAAGGGTTTGCAGAAGGTTGCAGTCAGTCGTCTCTTGGTATTTGCCCTAATAGACCCAACAGTTACCCAGTCACCTTCAGAAGGAAACAAGTTATAAAACAGTTTGTCACTAGAATGTGAGAGAAATGGAGAGACAGCAGCAATGAAAGTGGATAGAAGGAACAGAAAGGGAGTAAAACGATATGTACAAGCAGGAAAAACAACCACCTCAGATTTGCTACTATACTTCTGGTATCAGTATAATGTTCTGGTTTCAAGCCTGGAAGACAGAGAACACGGGAGACTAGAGAGATGCATGAGGGAAAGAAGGAGGCAGAATGGGGATATGAAGTTTAGAGATGAGTGGCTTGGAGGGATGGATCAGTGTCTGGATACAGATTGACAGATATGGTACAAAGAGAAGGCAGGCAAGGTGGCCAACAGCTATACGTAGACAGTGCTGCTTAAAAGACAATGTGCTGCAGTCAAATCTAGACTGCAAATACCTACTCAGTCAGGTCAGCTGACAACCTGCCAGCTCAGCACTTTGCTCTGTGAAATGGGAATACTTGTCTCTTCTGTTGACGAATGAGAGAGATACAGAATCTTATTAAAAAGGACTATTGAAATGCCTTTTTGGAGATGGTCTTACAGACTAGACTGCTTAGGAATTTCAATCAGCACAAAATCTGGCAAACAAATGGATGACATTTTGCCAGACTTCTTGCCAGTCGGGCGACTGGTCTGTTTCTGATCCCAGTGCAAGGTCTTGCTTCTTCCCTTTAAAGTCCTCACCAGCTTAGCCTTGGTAGCCAAAACACTGCCTTCTTTAGGAACCTGTCTGACTATTAAGACCATCCACAGACACTCTTGACCAAATTCCCGCAATTTCTGAGGTGATGTTCATAGAAAGGGCCTTTTCTGTTGCGATACCCCAGCTATGAAATGTTCTCACTATGACACTGGTGTCTGTTTTTCTTCTGTCAACTGAATGCTTATTTAGTTGCCTGTTAGTATGTTTTTTAAAAAAAATAATCTGTTTTTATATTGAGATGATTCTGGTGCTCCAGTTGTAAAACATATTTATGATGTTATCTGAGTGGGGTAACAGACAATAGCAAAAGTTTAAAAGGACACCACTGGGCGTCAGCATTTATACTCTGACCTTATCTCGACCTTATGCAGACCCAGACCAATGACCTTGATGCTGACCTCTGTCTATGAGTACAGAGTAAAGGGTTAAATGTGAGGGGGAATCATGCTGGATTTATTGCTGTGACTAGAGGCTAGGGACAGGACAGCCCTGTCGGGCTAATAAAGGTAAAATGTTATGTGGCTGCTATGTGGCTTCTAGATGGTGGACTTCAATTTTAATTGGATTTGTCACTGCTTCAGGTCAACAGTGGCTGGTGAATCCATACGATATTGGGTCTGCAACCCAGCTATGGAAGGAAGACGTGGGGTGGAGGAATTTAGTTCCTGTGGTAGAGTTGGTTGTCATATCAGAAGTCAAGGGGAATTTATTCCCCAAAATCAAATGGGATGGAGCTCCTAGAGCGTTAGAGGGTGTGTTTTTTTAACCATCCATTTCCAAGTGGTTTGGTTTACTTGTTTAGTCCTCTGAATTTATTTGCATGCTAAACGCCTGCTCAAGCTGTTTTCTTTTCTTTTCTTGCACACTTTGGTTCGGTTGTGAAGATTTGGTCTATGAAGTGCTGGAAGGTAGATATTAATTCCCTTGGTTAAGAGATTGGATTGCCCTGCATTGAGCGACATTTTGGTGCTCCCAATGATGTTCTCCAAGGAATGCCACAGAAGGAGGAACATTTGAGCCTATGATTGCTCAGCCTAAAGTTTATAAAATAGGCCTCCATCCCAGACCCTCTGAGGATAGGTTTGGGGACTGCATTGCTTCCCTCAGGCCCAGCCCTACCATTAGGCAGAGTGAAGCAGCTGCTTCAGGTAGCAGATGCTGGAAAGCGGCAGCAAGGTATTGGTGGTTAGAACTGTGCACGCCTACATCCTCTAGGTGAGCTTGCTGCCCTCAGGTGTGCTCTCCTGTTACCAGTGTTGAAGTAAGATTCAAGAGCTAATCCAGCTGGCTTCTGTGTATGGAATGTGAACCACCATCTTGTACTTCACCACAGGCAGCAAAATGTTTTGGGTCTGCCTGCCTTCCCGGTAATCAATTGATTCATTTGGAATCCATACCCACTAAGTGTCCTGGAAGAAACAGGGCATCCCAATTTTATTTTGTTTTTGCACGAAATCACGGCAACCATTTTGGGTGCTGCGATCTTACAAGCTCGCATGCCGCAATCTTAAACCACCCCCCCTCCCAAAAGCATATTTTGGGGGGTGACATCGCAGCATGGGTCAAGTGACTCACCCGGGAGCCCATCCCAGAAGATGTCCCAGTTTCTGACGTGAAAAATTTGGACAGTATGGCAATCCACAAGACTTCTTGGTGTTTCAGCAGAAGTCAGACTTCACAGTTGGAGGCCAATGGGTAGATTATTCAGCGGAATTCAAGAGGTTAGTGTCTGCTTCCGACCATCTGGTTCTTATGATCTGCGTCACCCAATATATATTTTGTCTACACGGAAGTAGTCACAGACAGTAGACCTACAAAACCCCAATACCAGTGTGGTGTCGTTGTTAGGTGTATTGGACTAGGACCAGAGTGACCTGTTTTAATCCCCTTTCAAATAAAAAGGAGTGATCACTGGGACAATTGCTCAACATACCTCTCACAGGGTTACTGCGATCATAAAGTGAGGATCATGACAGATGTGTGGAAACTCAAGGTTCAAAGAATACCAATTTCTGGGTGACAACTTCAGGGGGAGGGTCTATTGGAAGTATATCCTGCTTGTGGCCTTCCTAGAAACATCTGATTGGTTACTGTGAGAAACCAAGTGCTGGACCAGAGTAATCCTTGGCTCATCTTATATTCTCATCAGGAAAGCCATATATGCCACCCCAAGCTCCTTAGAGGAAGGGTGTGATAAAATTGCAATAATACATTGTATACATTTATTTGTACTGATCACTGGTTTTAATAAAAAAAAGTGAAGCTTGCAAAAGATACAAATATAATTATATCATTTATTATTTCCAATCGAGTGTTAAATAAATATAACTCAGAACAGACCAATAAATAGCACGGGACCTAAAAATAACAATCACTGCTGGGTTCCTTCATGTAATTTTTAAAAGGCGTGAAGTTCTCCACCTTTTCGGTTAGTTGCAACCTTTTTTGTTCTTAAAGGGAGTACAGTGTTGTCCCTCTCCTTAAGAGAAATTATGTCTTGTAGTGCTGTGGTCACTCATGCAGATAAATTAACATGCACAAATGGTGTGAAGGTTGAGAAAGTTGTTTTTGTTGTTATACCCCACCAGTGCCGGATTTACATATAAGCTGAACAAGCTATAGCTTAGGGCCCCACTCTCTTGGGGGCCCCCAAAAAAATTAAAGGAAAAGAAACTGGATGTACATTTCCAAAATATGATAAAAAAACTAATAAAATAAAACCTACATATAGCAACAGTGATTTGTGTTGTGTAGGCTCCTATGATGTAAGTAATGGGTCCATAAATTACCTTATAGCATATATTCAACACAAAAAACACAGCAATTTGTTGTTGACAATGGACAGCTGGACATATAAAGGGCCCCATTACCTTCAGTAACTTAGGGCCTCATCAAACCTAAATCCAGCCCTGTACCCAACCCATCTGTAATGAGGCAAGTCATGAGGCAAGTTTTGAACTGAAGCAGTTCCATAAATGCATTGGCATTGTTATATATTTATTCTTTAGTCTGCACTTTCCAGAAGATTTTTAAACATTTAAAAACATAATATTGTAAAAATAAAATAAAAAATCACCAGTGACCATTGACCAATAGTGGATTCTACAGCCAGAAATTTGCAAATTGCTGCCACAATCCTGGAAATTCCTTTTAACTGTATACATTATTGTCCAGCTCACATTACCTGTGTCTATGCAAGAGCGGTTGGACTTACCTCAGGGCACCGTGGAGCAACATTTTATTGACTGACTTAACAAAACGATACCTTACCAGCTGAGACAGCTTTCAAACCAATAAGACCCAACAAAGTAATGTTGTTGCTGAAAACATCAAAAATACAGCTTGTCATCAGTTCATTAAAGCGGTGCTCTGGTTTCATGTTAGGAGCAGGGACTGTGCCGTACATTTTAAATATTGTCATGACGTTTTGATTTGTTAGCTAAGGATTTTTTAAAATGTTCGTTACTTGAAGTGCATTTATAGTTTCGTATCTGTGGGTCTTGTCGCGGATTGCGTTTGATTCATTGGCTGCGGTACGTTTCGTTTGAAAATGGTGCAGGGCACAAGTCCTTAAAATAAAACACATGCAGGCGTAGATCCAGTTTCTACAGCTCCTGACCCTGCTGCCCTGAAAGGTAGTAATAATTAGTATTCGCAACATGTAATGGGTTAATGAAGTTACACTTTAAATTGACTAAAAAGATGCCCGATTCATCAGGCTGCAGATTTTAAAGTATGTACTATTTTAAAACCAAGTCGTTATCGAAATTATAGATGCCAAACACTATCGTAGAAGAAGAATCCCCACCCACTTGCGGATCGCATCTTCTAATCTTCGAGAATCTAAGAAGATGCCTTTTACACAATCTATAGACCATGCAATACAATCGAAAATCAAAGCAAGTATCCTTTCTGTACCAGAAGGATTATTTTTACTTGTATAGATTTATACAAATATAATGTTAATTGATCAAGCAGCGATAGCCCTGACTGTAATCTAGTTTGATTTGGCGAAGCCTGTATGAAAGAAAAATGGCCATCCCTGCTCAGTTATCACCTCTCTGGCTCTTAAAATCCTCAGGCTCAAGGTTGCAAGGGATCACAGACAGAGAATAGGCAAATAAATTGGGCACAACACATCCAGTTGCTTGCAGGTATGAGAGTTTGATGTAGCTTAAGGAAAATACTACTAAACCTTAGGTTACGTAAATACAATCCTGGTAACAACACACACAACGTAACAGGCTGTTTTTGACTATGTAACTTCTATTTCAAACACAATTCATCATATAATATCTCACAAAGTGTCATTCCGTAGACCAACACATCATGCAAACAGAACATAGCAAGAGAAATTAAAGTCCAATGGATGGTCAGGAGATAAAGCCCATTTGGTTCCTAAATTGGAATATTGGCAATAACCACAATATGGTATGCTTATCTTATGATGTTCCACGTATCGCTGCTTTGAGGATTCTAACGTTCCTTGTATGTAGATATCAGATCAGATGGAAAACTTGAAGGTATGGCACGACAAGGATTCCGGGATAATACCTTGTTTCGCCCAACTGGGCTTCGTCAGCTGTGCATACTCATATTCTTGTACGACGGAAACATGGAACAAAATAAATTCAGTTTATATCTACATACAAGGAACATTAGAATACAATATTGTGGTTAATGCCAATATTGGACTTTAATTTCTCTTGCTATTGGTCTATGGAATACACTTTGTGAGATATTATATGTTGAATTGTGTTTGAAATAGAAGTTACATAAACAAAAACAGCGTGTTACGTTGTGTGTGTTGTAGCTTAAGGAAAATAAGCAAGTCACGTGCCGAGTACTACATTCCTAGAGTTGCACCTTTAAAATTAGATGGAGAAGAACAAGCAGTCACTTCATATGTTCTTGTTTACCAGGGACTGTCACAGTATTCTGGTCCCTTGTAGGTCACTGTCCCTGCTTTTGTCTTTGAGGACACTTTGTAAGAATGCCCTTGGTGTGGACTGTAAGATCAGTTACTCTTTGAGTTTCAGCTCTTTCCTCGTCATCTCTAGAAGTGAAACCTTTGAGTGATGGGTGGATGCAGTGCTTCCCCCCCCCAAAAAAAAATATGTTTAGGGGTACTCTCATTTTGACTCAAGTAAATCACCATTTTATAGATCAAATCGGCGGGGAAAATAAATACAGTAAATGGACAAAAGTACAAAGATTCACAAAACGTTTAGGGGTATGCGTACCCCCAGAAAAAAAGCACTGGGTGGATGCATCTTGCTCTTAGGAATACACGTGCAAGAAAACCTAAGGACTGCACAGTGACATTTCACACACTGCTGCTGAACTGCTGGTAACACACTGCAAATCAGTTGTGTGTTTTCCTAGCATATCTTTAACCAGAAGGACAATCACCCTCTTGCTTCAGCAAAGTGTAACTGGGCAAGGGAGAGAATGCAGAGAAGCAGAGGGTAATTAAGAATCAGGGTGTTACAAGTGTGTCCTTATTCTCACCTGTAAAATTTTGGAGGGTAAGGGGTGGGGGGAGAGAACAAGTTCGGTTCTGAGCAGCTCCTTTGCCAGAAGCAGAGAGCTTCTGGTTTCCTTGCTGTGACTAGTGACTGACAATCACAGCGCATGAGAAACTCTTAGCTGACTGGCAGCTCCGTGGATATCAGCAATTCAGCACGAGGCTGAACACTTGATGGGCCTCTCAGATGGTGTGTGAGGCAAAGGGCAGGCTCAAGGGCCACCCAACACCCTCAAGGCCAATCAAGGTTTTTTCCCCATTAAGAAAATGTATGTGCTTTGGAAAACAGAAGGAGTAGGTGTGTCTTCAAAGTATTTGTTATATGTGGATTCTTTAGTTCCCTAGTGGTATACTGTACTCACCTAAGAAACTCCCTCCACATCTTTGGCTTGAGAATGAAAACCAGTCCTTCACATGGTTAAATATGGTAAGGTATTGTTGCAAGTGGTTATGTTCATTTATTCTGCTATCATCCCTGTCTGTTCGCTGGTTTTGCAGATTTGTATAGCATGACAGTTTGATTGGACCCAGTAGTGGGACATATGAAATATGCGTATGTTGCGCACTACAATATAAGAAGACATGTGTCGTCTCCCAAGCCACTCTGTCAAAACAGCTACCACCAGCTTTTTATTCACTTTATTAAACCACCCAAGGACCATATCTCAAAGCATAGGAGCCAACTCCTAGGGGCTGAAGTGTCTTCGGCTCCCCAAGAAAATATTTGAGGGGGCCAGGCCCCGCCAAAGTTGATTCGCATTGCCATTCAAAGTGGGGGGGGGGGAGGTGCCGTGCCATGTGATTTAGTATGTGGAGCGGGGCTTCCCTGTGCCCCCCAATGTTTTATTCCAGTTAGCACCCCTGTCTCAAAAGTAGTGATTTGATTCTGAAAAAGAGAGGCCTTGGGTGTCAAATATGTCAAGAAGCCCTGCCGCCTCATCTGCAAGCAACTGCCTCCAGTCAGGGCTGTCTCTTAAGCATATGTGGCGCTGAGGTGCTGCCCCCCCCCCAGGTTGCCCAGTCCCAGGCATGCAGGAGGGCGGAGCCGTCCAGCCGCCTCAGTATCTCGCTGGCTCGCTCGCCCCTGAACTCGCGGTGCAGAGCTGCCTGCAGCAGAAGAGCCCGCTGTGGCACTCTGACCGATGGGCGGGCTCTTCCCTGGACTCAAGTCTCAGGCCCCAGACTCTCGGCCTGGCACCCCTGAGAGCCTGGCGCCCGGGTGCCCCGCACGCTTAGCGTCTATGGGTAGGACGGCCCTGCCTCCAGTTTAAAGGCCTGCCTCCTAATGTGGGTGCCATAACCTCTGGCTTGAAGACGCTTGTCTAATCTGTAAACTGGGCCCTCTAGTTTAAAGCTCTGCCTCCTAATCCAGAAACCTTGCCCTCTGTCCTAGAGACCCTCCTTCTGATCTGGAAGCCATGCACTCTGGTCTAAATCTCCCCCTTCAATCCAGAACCCATGCCCTCTAAATTGAAGCCCTTTCTCCTACTCCCAAATATGGGTGTAGTCCATAGTGATTTTCCTTTTCTAGTCCTCAGTATTTTTTTCTAAAGAAGCTCTGTGATTAATTGCAGAGTAGGGGTCCCGATCCTGCATGGGAGTGTGAAATTGGCTCCCTTTTAGGTTTCCCCTATACAGGAGAAGCCACCACAGCCCAAATCTTTTTCTAGTTGCCGGAAGATGGCTCCTTCATCCTATTCTGACCTTGAAATGAGCGGCTTCCCAAAGCATTAATAATGTATCCAGAGGCAACTTAAAACTTTCAGCAAAACAGGGTTGTGTGTTTGCTTTCCGCTCCCCTGGATTAATTACAGATTAAAAAGTGGCTTTAAAGTTCAACTCAGGGTTTGTCTACATGGGGAAGTGAGCTTAATCTGTATTAATTTGGGTGAGGATTTGTGGTAGGGACTAAACCCCATACTTACATTGAAATTGTAAAATTATGTGTGCTACCACGTGCGCGCGCACACACACACAAAAGATCCTTTGGATTCAAGTACTGTTGTGCTGCCTTGAATAGCTTCAAGGAAAAGAAGATGGCAAGCTGGTTTGCACATCATGCTAAACCATCGTTTCTTTTAAAGTTTGGCTGAGTTGAGAATGTGCCTCCCACTCCTGTGTTGCTTCCCCTTATTCTTGTGGCTGCCACAGCAGCGCAACCAGATCATAATATGACTTGTTGCCTCATGCAAGCTTGTGAAACAAACAAACCATTATCTCAGTACAACACGCCATTCTGTGGCTTGCTTGTGTCACTTCTTTAACAGGGTCAGACGACACGTTCCTGATTAAGTCACAGGTCCCCCATGCCAGTCAAGTCTTTAATTTCTGTCATTTCACACTGGCGTGCATATCACCCTTCTGCAATGGCTTATGGTACAGATTTGTAGTTGAGTGCATGAGCTGATTCCACTGGAAAACATGAGTTCAATGGTGCTTAAAGGTAAAGGCAAAGGTACCCCTGACTGTTGGGTCCAGTCATGGACGACTCTGGGGTTGCATGCTCATCTCGCTCTATAGGCCAAAGGAGCCGGCGTTTGTCCGCAGACAGCTTCCTGGTCATGTGGCCAGCATGACTAAGCAGCTTCTGGCGAACCAGAGCAGCGCACGGAAATGCTGTTTACCTCCCCACCAGAGTGGTACCTATTTATCTACTTGCACTTTGACATGCTTTCAAACTGCTAAGTTGGCAGGAGCAGGGACCGAGCAACGGGAGCTCACCCCGTCATGGGGATTCGAACCGCCGACCTTCTGATCGGCAAGTCCAAGGTTCTGTGGTTTAGACCACAGCGCCACCCGTGGCCCCCTTCAATGGCGCTTACTCCCAGGTATAAGATTGCAGCCCGCCTTGCTTACTTTGTTTACCTCATTTGTATCCTGCCAGTGCTCCCAAAGGTTCAGGTTAGACCCTAGAGTCTGTCCCCCGCTTTAATCCTCACGACTTCCCTGCGATGTAGGCTGTGCTGAGGGAGAATTCATAGCTGGGCAAGGGTTTGAGTCTGGGGTCTTTCCGGTCACAATCCAACACTCTAGCCTCATACTGAGTCAATCGTTATCAGTCAATCTAAGAGCATTCATTCAAGTAGGATTTCTTTAACTAGAGGACAGAAGAAGGTATTAGGTCTGCTATGTTCCATTTGATCGCTGCAACCTAAAGCAATAATTTGCATGTCGTGATCGGAATTGCAGATCAAATGCTACAGGTGCGCTTTCGTGCTGCTATAAGAGGTAGGCAGAAGGTAGATAAGGATCTACTAGTACATCTCTTGATCAGTTGCAGTAGATCGGGAAGGGGTTTTGACTGTTTGTTTTTTCTCCCCAAAATACCAGCAATGAAACAACAGTTCCCATCAAAATTAGGCTGTTGAAATGAAGAATGCTAACAAGGAGTGGGTTTCTGTGTGAAAGGACTGCGAGCTGGGTCCCAGTACTAAAAACAAGTCCCTATGTTCAGAATGTGCTCAGGGAAGTACCCAGTTGTTTTGTTCTAACTGTATGTCTTTTGCACCTGGTTCCCTTGGGTAGATCTTGTGGTTCTAGTAACAAAAAACAAAAAGCAAAGCAACCTTGTGAAGCCTGAAGTCAGCCCAGCCCTGCTGTGGAATAGCTCAGAGCCTCTTAACAAACTTTACTGAGAGGAATAAAGTGATATATCTGAATGCAGAAACCACTCTTAAATCAGAGCAATGCTCTTTTAAAGTTGTGGTACAGTGGTACCTCAGGTTAAGAACTTAATTTGTTCCGGAGGTCCGTTCTTAACCTGAAACTGTTCTTAACCTGAGGAACCACTTTAGCTAATGGGGCCTCCCGCTGCCGCTGCGCCGCCGGAGCACGATTTCTGTTCTCATCCTGAAGCAAAGTCCTTAACCCCGGGTACTATTTCTGGGTTAGTGGAATCTGAACCTGAAGCATTTGTAACCTGAAGCGTCTGTAACCTGAGGTACCACTGTACTTTTAAAGGCTGCAACCCTAAGCACAATTCCTAGGAAGTAAGCACCGATGAGCTCAGTGGAATACTTTGGATCATTCCACATGTGTTTATTAATCTGCCCTGGCACAAAGTAAAAAAATAAATCCATGTATTAATTAAGTAAACCTCCCCCTCACAATCTAATCCACTAAATTCTATGATAACCCAGGAATCCCTTCCTTGGTCTAACTTACTACATTTAGAAATGGAATTATTAAATGTAACTTCCGGTAAATGATGGCAGAGATATATAGCTGAACAGGGTGTGTGGGTGTGTGGGTTTTCGATGTGGGACCAAGGAGAACCCAGGGATCCGAATTTTCGTTTCTAGTGCTTCCTTGGACTCTGTTCCAGGTTTGTCAGCAGAATTTTTGCAATGAGGGGTAGGGAATCTCCGCAGGACAGTCAGAACATAAAATACAGGTGGCCTCATTTATTAAAATGTATTTCTTTTAACATTAGTTCTTAGTGAGCAATTGGATAGAATATGGCTTCTAGAAGAAGAAGAAGCAGCTAATGCAGTCCTTTTCAGAGAGTGGGGACTTGGAATAACCTTGAGGGAGGAACAGCCTTGTGTTATTCATGTGCTGGCTCCTGGTGCCTAAGATGGTCTCCCTTGCGTCTTGTCTAGGGCCCACACTCTCCTCCTCTGCCCAAATCCTAAATCCGGCAGGGACCAGAACAGTTTAGCATGTGGTGTCCTCTGGGCAGCCGATCAAGGGCAGCTGACTTCTGGCACCATCAACAAGGTTTTACTCTGGCTTTCCGGCCCTGATAATTAATCAGACCAGGAGCATGACTTTAGGAGATGGGGACACACACACACACACACACACACACACACACACCAAGCAGACAGATGCAATTCCATCCGCTTGTATTATATAGCTGGAGAAATCCCATAGTTTGTAACACCTCCCCTGTCCCCAGATTTTATAACTGGAATCCCTTTATGAAAACAAGAGCAATGTGTACGGAGAGATGTGTGGATTTATTATGATTTATTTATTAAAATCCCTTGATAACCACATTTCTGTATATTTAAGAGTGTATTGCTGGGGGCGGGGGGGGGACACAATTATTTAAAAAGAAAACAGTACCAAATGAAAGACAAAGGGGGGGGGGTTGCAGCCTCCAGAATGCCAATAGAGAGGGGGGAAGATGAAACCGTTTATTCTACCAGTTTGGGGCAACTAATGTAAAGGCCTGGCTTCTCAGTGCTGCAATTGATACCTCCGTTAGAGGTGGCACTCAAAACAGCTGGATAACAAACGGGACAATATAGGGAGAATTATATTATTATCACTGTCGTTTATACCCTGCCTTTTCCTCTGATGGGACTTGAGGCAGCTTACAGATAAAAACAAGAATTGCTAAAAACATAGAAGAAACAATAATTAAAAAACATTTAAACATTAATAGAATTAAAACTGTATACATATATAAAAACTGTTGAAAACATAGAAATAATTACAATAAAAACTTATATACTTATAAGTATATATACGCCATTAGTTTCTAAAACTTTCCGTTTCATTTTTAAAAATCATTTTTATTAAGTTTCCATTTTATATAAATATAACATACTCAAATTTTTCACATTATATTCCGCTCTCGCGAGCACTCGACTCCCCTCCCTCCCAGCCCATGATTACGGTACCTTAAATTGTATCTTTTTTACTTGCATTTCATATTTCCCCTCTTTACTCTCTATTCAATTCTGATAATCACGGAATTATGTTAATTGTAAATTGGTGCTTTCTATAAACTATCAAGCTTTAAATCAGTCCTGTCAGTGTTGTTAAATGTTTACAATTACCTTTCAAACACTCTATAAACTTATTCCAGTCTTTATGAAACATTTGGTCCTGCTGATTTTGGATTTTCCCAGTCAATTTCGCCAACTCAGCATATTCCACCATCTTTTTTCTGCCAGTCCTGGATCTTGTTGTTTCCATCTCTGTGCTAGTAAAACTCTTGCTGCAACAGTTGCATACCTAAACAGTTTTCTGTTTCAATTGCCTCAACTTTCTGTTTCAATTGCCTCAAAGAACCCAAGCAAAACAATAACATCCACAAAAACAAAAGGTCTTCATCCTGCCAAACTCAGAACCTTTTATGCTTAAATCTCCCCACCAACAACAACTGGAATCAATGACTTAAATATGCTTCGGTTTGCCTGGATCTCAAAGTGTATGCAGCCTGTACAAGCAATCTCAGGAGCAAAGAGGACCTTAAAGGTCTCTATCGACCAGTGGCGTAGCGTGGGTTGTCAGCACCCGGGGCAAGGCAAGTAATTTGCGCCCCCTAACCCGTGGATTTGCGCCCCCTACCCTTAACCCCTAGATATTGCGCCCGGTGCGGCCAGCCCCCCCTGCACCCCCCACGCTACGCCACTGCTATCGACAAGGTCAAAGCCACAAACCAGGAGGAGAGCAATGCCAGAAAATCAATGGCTTAGAATCTTAAGAGGCAAATATCCAGGAACACACATACACACACAAAAATGGATGTGATAGAAAAGGTTTGACCGCATGTGGAAAGCTTTTCCATAATTCTGGTATCACCCCAGAGAGGGCTCTTCTCCGCACCACTAAATAATCTATTTCCCAAGGATACTGCGCATAAGGCAAGTCCACAGAATATGTTAAAACACAGCAAAGTTCAGCTTTTCCAGGCGGGTGGCAGATGAACTTAGGTTTCATTTTTTTAAAAGATAAATAAATCTAATTCTGCTATCTATCTGTAGTGGTAGGTATTGTAAATGGAATATCATTACTACATTCCTCCTCCACCACAGCCATAAAACATCAATGGTAGAATAGCAGGAAGGCGGGGGGAGGGGGCAAGGTTTTGGATGCTTTGAAGAATGAGTAGGTCAGCTGGATCCAACCAGTTCTTTGTAGATTTGAGTCTTAGGCTTTTGCAACACACCATTAGAAGGACCTTTTATTCTTCTTTTGCCCAGAGGAATTTCAGGAATAATGATATCTTACAAAGGCAGTGTGCCGTCTCTTTTCATGTTTGTGTGTGTGTGTCCAAAATGGTGCTACACACTCAGAGATTACGCAATTGTATGACAAGGCTTATATGGATAGTCCCCGCAATCCAGAAATTCTTAAGGTGCTCTTAATTTGTTTCCTTGTTGGCACAATAATTTGCCACCATTTATGAAAGAATATGAGACGATATCTATCTATCTATCTATCTATCTATCTATCATCTATCTATCTATCATCTTTCTCTGTCTCCTGGGATCTACGGAGATTCTCCTTGCAGAGACACTAGATGGTCACAGTAAAAAATTACCTCAGACAGCCTCAAATACCCAACATATCTGGGGAAGACCTCTTGCCATCTGCACCCAACGAGGCTGAGATAAGGGCCTCTCTTCAGCTTTTTCTCTCACAGTTTTGCACGTAGGTACACCTGAGGCAAAATAGTAGCCAGCTCAGGGCTCCATCAGAACTCCCTGACAGAAATAGATGTGCTTCTTATCTCCTTCAGATCGAACAATGAACAAAAAATGTAGGCGTTCCTTTATTCTGCCCTAAGGCTCTGAACATTAGCCAATCCCAGCCTGCTGGTCAGATCTGAGAGCAGGGCAGTAAACTGGAATCGAGAGAAAGAGGAAGATATCAGGCAACAAAGGGGCTGAAATAGAAGGTGACCTGATTTAAGGCCTTGGGGTGAATCCTGTGAGATTGGTGTGAAAGTGCTACTGAAGGCAAACTTGGCCTATAGGTATCCCCTGCTCTCTTTTCATGCAAGATTCGGATACCTGTGCACCCTTCCAGATGTTATTGGACTCCAACCCCTGGGATGGGCAGCCATCTGGGAAGATGGGTGCAACATCTGGAAGACTACAGGTCTTTCCCTGTTTTAATGGCTCCTCCTGGCATGCTCTGGCCCACTCCAAACAGGACACAGGGAATGCATTTCACAAACAACTGCCCAAAGCCAGGACAACCCAGATGTGCTGCTGTCCTCCAAAGAAGTTGCCTCTCCGCTCCATGAAAAGATTATAGTGTGTCTCTATTTTTGCATTTGGTTCATTGGTTTGTAAATTTTTTTATTATACCTCTCTTTTCAACCAAGGTTGGCACCCAAAGCAGCTTACCATTAAAACCCACCCAATTACAGAATGTTACAGGTGGTGGAATGGAACAGGTGGGGGTGGGGGTAGTTTATATGGCAATTCCTTCTGGGCCCTGGGGGTCCTTATTACAGGCTTTTGTCTCCCTAGGAAAGAAGTAGATTGAGCCGCAGCTGGAGCTGACATTCTAGCTGATGGTAAAGATACCGACGCACACAAGCAATCTTTCCAAATGTTGCTCCATGAGACCAGCTATATTTTACTTTAATGATGGCACGGAATCTTAAAAAAAAAAAATACAAAGTACAGAGAAGGCCATTTTTTATCAGGACCACTGCATGAGAAGTGACTGTCATGCAGGGAGAAGGATTTTCATTGGATCACCTCCTCATGACAACAGAGGGAATGCCTATTTTTTAAAAAACAAAAACAAAAAAATCCACATGGCCTGATTGATAATTTTGTGGTGACTACTTTGGTGTGGTGTAGTGGTTAAGAGCGCCAGACTCGTAATCTGGTGAACCGGGTTCGCGTCTCCGCTCCTCCACATGCAGCTGCTGGGTGACCTTGGGCCAGTCACACTTCTCTGAAGTCTCTCAGCCCCACTCACCTCACAGAGTGTTTGTTGTGGGGGAGGAAGGGAAAGGAGAATGTTAGCCGCTTTGAGACTCCTTCGGGTAGTGATAAAGCGGGATATCAAATCCAAACTCTTCTTCTTCTTCTTCTTCTTCTTCTTCTTCTTCTTCTTCTTCTTCTTCTCTTTGAACAGTCCATTATTACGCAGCTTACTCCTTCCCACAGAAGCAGAAGCAAAGTCTTGCACAACATGTGATCATAAGCCTTGCCTATCCAAGATGTGATCACACAGACAGAGGACCTCTCCAGACAACCTGTTCGATAGGCCTTCATCCCAAATTGCTTGCACAAAGCTTACATAGAAGTGAGATTATATATCCAGTCTTTATTGAGCACGTACCCTCCAACTGACCCAATTTTGCCAGGACCATCCCCAGAACCCACTAGCCATCATGGCTTCTCACGCTCTCATGGAAAGTTCCCAACAATACCCCCAGAGCAGCTGAGAGGTTCCTGCCGCTCAGCTCCACAATGCTTTAACAGCAGCAACAGAGCTGCCATTCCTAGACTGGGAGGGAAGGCTGGCAAGAAAGGAACTTCCGTTTCCCCCTCCGTGTTGCCCTGGACACTTCTGCCCTCCCTGACTGACACAGGTTTCTATCCCATTTCCCCTGCTGCTGGCTGCCATGGAGCATGCAAAGTACAGCAGGGTTCCTGAGGGAGGAAAGAGTGGGAGGTGGGGAAAATGGCGACTGAAGTGCTGGCAGTGGCAGAGGAGGAAGAGCAGGAGGAGGAAGCAGATGTCCTGGTGGCAGTGGCACTGCCTCTTGGACGGGTCTTGGACGCAATCCTTGGAACAGGAACAGGAGTTGGAGGCAGCCAGTGGTGCCCTCAGCCTGAGCGGCAGGAAGTTGAGGAACTACTCACAGGGCAGCAATATCTGCCATGACATCAGCAACACGACACAGGCCGCTGAGCCCAGGGGAGAGGGGAAAGAGGGGAGCTGGTTACCTCCAACATTCCCCAGATGAAAATGCCTCTCTATGTTGGAGGGTATGTGAGCATCCATTCTCATTTGTTTGCGGGGCAATTATCCAGGAATGAGCTTTCATTCTGAATCCATCCTGATATGTAGACACGTCTTCCTGCTAGTCATTTGTTCACCCCCACACTTTTCAGTGCTGATCCTCGTCACTTTCCAAACCTCGAAAAATCCAAGTGGATTTGTTGCTCTTGAGTGACAGAGCCCTTTAATCCGCGTCGTGCACAAATCTAAAGTTCCGGTATGTGCTGGATTCCCTCCTGCAATATACTGATCATTGAGAGGTTCCCAGAGCATATTTCTGTGCAACTGGTGCACATGCATCCTCTTTCCTGCTGAGGACAATGTGTGTGTACAGGATGGAAGCAAGGCTAGTGACCATGAGTTGTCACAATCCCACTCCCCACCTGTGCACAAATTCAGACAGTGTCTGAACAGTGCTACTGTGCAAGAGAAGCTTTCCTTCTAAATTGTGCTATAAATTGCATGCCTGTTTCGATAACATTTTTTATTTTTTATTTTTAAAAATCAGTGCATTGAAGGTCTTCAGGAATTAATTTGTGTTCCACCAGCACTTAAAAATAGCTTTGCATTTCAGGGTTAGAATTATGCTAAAACCAAATGAGTGCTTGTCAGCACTACAGTGAAATATGGCCCCACTAGATAGCTGCATATATCTCTTAATCTTCAGCGGTATATCTCAGCTATCGTCATTAACATAACCAGGCAGGTTCTTCAGTTCCTGCTAGTTATTTTTACCACCTCTTGTAACATAGGTCTAGCTTTACGTGTCCAGATCAAAAGGTGAAATTTGCCCCATCAAGTAATTCCCTGAGTTTCAGGCCAAAAGGCCACGATTGTCTTTGGGGGACACTTGAAACTCATTCGTCTTTTTCTCTCTTTTTTTCCCCAAATGAAAGGTGAGATCTCAGAGTGCTGATTTCTGTTCCCAAATCCTGCACTTTCTCCAAACTTGCAAAAAAAAAATAAAAGAATGCATGCAGCCCTGCATATGAAGCCTTTTCCTCTGGCAGGTTCCTGCTTATGTCCAGCCAGTGAATAACGGAGGGAGGGAGGGAGAAGTGTGTTTTGGGCCAGAAATCTTGTCTGAGATTAGGTACTGACTTTGTCATGAAATTCCACTTATCCAAGCGCTAAGCCCAGCATCGGCTTTATTTGGAAGCATAAGCTTCCCATGCGCGTGTCACTGCAAGCACAGGGACTGGGTACTCTGCGGAGCAAAGGCTTAGAGCCACAACAGAGCAGAATCCAGGAATCCTGGTTCCTTGGCAGGTCCCAGGAAAATCAGCTTCAGGGGCCCCGTTCCAACAGCGGTAGGCACTGTATTGACAGAAGCGTATTTTGCAAGATAAACTCACCTTCTGATAAAGCAGTTGCCATCTAGCAATATGTATTCCTCAAGGCTCAATATGTATTATGAGGTTCATATGCTCAGATACAGCATTAATATGCAGATTTGCATTTATTCAAACCCTGAAAGAGTATCGCTGTACCCTTCTGGCAGGCTATTCCTGCATTAGCTGGATTGCTGTAAGGCTGCATGCACATCATATAATTTAAACTGCGTGCCCCCACACCCTACCCCAAGAATCCTGGGAACTACAGTTTGTTAAGGGTGCTGGAAATTGTCCTTGTGATATGGGTATTCTGTCGTTCCAATGATGGCACGTGCATGGTGTGTTCACAGCCTAATAACAGACCAGGTTTGTTGGTTGGCACTTTACCAACGGAGGTATATAGTTGGCAGGTGGTTTTCTGATACTCCCTGTGTTTTTGCACCCATCAGAGTTTAGAGAAGCTGGCACTTCCCCACCTGAGGACAGGGAGGGTTTCTCCCGCCCCCTTACATTTATATTGTTACGGAGGTTGTGTGCCACCTCGAATCTCTGCCAAGCAGTAGCAAGATTCCAGGGGGTTCCTGGCACTCACCCAGGGTTGTGTTTCTGTTGGGAAAATCAAGGCACAGTGGAGGCTGGTGTCTTTAAGAAATATGGTTTATTTTACACATGTTTACTCCTAAAGTCTTCAACAGAGGGGGTGCAGAACATTATACACCAAGGATGTCTCTCATTGCCCCTCTCATAGCTTCAGCAAGCTTGTGCCCATAGCAGCAATCAGTCATAGCTTCCGGTCTCTCGGTGCAGCCTCCTCCAGCCAGGGCCAAGATGGGTTCTGACTTGTTGTTGTTTAGTCGTTTAGTCGTGTCCGACTCTTCTTGACCCCATGGACTAGAGCATGCCAGGCACCCCTGTCTTCCACTGCCTCCCGCAGTTTAGTCAAACTCATGCTGGTAGCTTCGAGAACACTGTCCAACCATCTCATCCTCTGTTGTCCCCTTCTCCTTGTGCCCTCCATCTTTCCCAACATCAGGGTCTTTTCCAGGGAGTCTTCCCTTCTCATGAGGTGGCCAAAGTACTGGAGCCTCAGCTTCACTATCTGTCCTTCCAGTGAGCACTCAGGGCTGATTTCCTTAATGGAGAGGTTTGATCTTCTTGCAGTCCATGGGACTCTCAAGAGTCTCCTCCAGCACCATAATTCAAAAGCATCAATTCGGCAGTCAGCCTTCTTTATGATCCAGCTCTCGCTTCCATACATCACTACTGGGAAAACCATGGCTTTAACTATACGAACCTTTGTTGCCAACTTCCTCCTTTTTGTTCTCAGAACACCTTCAGATTTCAAAAAGGGCACATTTTTCTGTGACATCATGCCCCCCATCACCTTGGCAACCTGCCAAATCTCCTGCCTCTGTCCACACCTCTGAGCAGGGGGAAAAGATAGCTTTTTGAATTGCCAGTGGCCTTTAATGGCCCAATACCCAGCATCCCATTATTTCTCAATGGCTTTGCACTTAGCTAGAGCAGCCAGGCTGGTTTGCACAAGCTAACCCAGGAATTTCTTGTCCGGCACAAGTTCTGCAGCTTGTATTTTCCCTTCATATCCCGAATATCATCTCAGTACTACCATTTATTAATTTCTGCCATTCAATAGCAGACTTTGGTACCCCAGATCCATGACAATATCCTACCTTATTTTCCCCGTTATATAATTTTTTTTGAGGTGGCGTGCTTAGGATTCCCAATTTGTTTCCCATCAAGGCTGTGACTGGACCCTCTGAGTTCAGCAAGGTTGCTGCTCTGTATGTCTTCAAACCACACCCTGGGGCCATGTCTAAGTGCCGGGGGGGTGCATGTGTGAGAAACAGCAGTTGGCAGCTTTTAAGACAGAGACAGATAGAGTTTCTAGCTGGAGCTAGTCGAAACTAGCGGGGGCAGTCTTGGGGCACTAGCCAAGTTGCTCTCTGGGGACCTTTGGCCTGGCCTCCTTGCCTTTAATTATGTTCTGCTTTTATATGGGTAAATAAAGCAAATATAACACAGGTGCCTCAAGTCTCCAGAGTTCTCCCAGAGGAATGCAGAGCATATAATGTTGCTTTTCCTTGGGTGAGTAGGAAACATGGAACAATATGGAATGCAATATTGAAAATGATCTCCCTTTTTCCTTTATAAATGACACTTTGACTACTTTTTTTAAGCATTCCTGGATTAAAATTTGGCCATCTCTGCTCAAGCCCAACCCATTTATATCACTATCAGGAATCGATTGGAAGAACGGGAAGCAGGACTCCTGGGTTTTCTTGGCGCCATGAGGAAACACAGGGAGGGTGGCAAAACGGAAAAAAGAATGAGGCAGCCAGGAAATGTGGGTGCTAAGAAAATGGGGAGCATGACTGGTTTGTGAAAGAGGGCCATTTATATTTGTATATGTACGCATAGCGCTATCAACCAGCATTGCATTTTATAAAACAGAAGAAGGCAGGCGCCTGCCTCAAGGAGCTACAATCTGCAACTTTACGGAGATGAAAGCGAGGATAAAAAGAGAAGGAATATGCTTTCGGCTGAGTTGCTCCTAATTACATTTACAGTTTCCTCTGAGGAGTCCAGGACTGTACACGTGGTGTCTCCATCTTTTTATTACCACAACAACTCTGTGAGACAGGTTAGAGCCACGCTGGGCTGACTCTGTAATACATATGCAAGCTTAGTTTCAGGAGAGGGCTAGGTTGGTTGTGGCAAAGGCTGAAGAAAGTGTGGATTGTTTGTGAGGTAATTCCATGCTCAGTGGAAAGGAAGAGTGCAATAGAAGTCCTTTGTAGGAAAGGATAGAGCTGGAGAAGCAAAGGCCACACAGGCAGGGATGTATCCATATATAACGGCAGAGAAATACAAAGGAAGAGCTAGACACTAGGAACACTCAGTGTCTAAAGATGCATCTACAAGAATGAAAATCAACCATTTTTTAAAAAAACCTATGGATTCCTTAATCTAAAGCAGGGGTGGGGAACTTGTGGCCCTTTGAATGTTGTTGGACTCCAATGCCCATCAGCAGCCAAGAATAATGGAGAGCCACATCTGGCTGAACAACATCTGGAGGGCAACAGCTTCCCCTTCCATGAGACAAAGCAGTCCCAGGTTCCACATATACAGTCATGATCCCCCTGTAGTAGAACAACATTCCTGCTACAAGCATCAAGTGTAAGTTTGGGTGGGGGTGACCTGCTCTCTTCACCGCCACCTTGTTGTGAGCCCCAAACAGGGGCAAAGCTAGCAACAGAGTTGTTGTTTTGTAATCTCATGTCATCATAACTGAACTAAAGAAGCCTCCACCGATCACATGAGTTGTAGTTAATCCATTGCTTACAATGCAATCCTATACGGTTGCAAGTGGGTGACTGCAGCCAGACCGTCGGGAGTAAGGAGAGGTGGCTCAAAAGACCAGGCCCCATTCCCCATAGGAGACGCTGCTTTCTAGTAAATGGTCTACTGTGCTGCTAAGGAAGGAACATTCAGAAAAACTGGCCACCTCATTGATACCCTCTGATCCCATGGGCTTCTTGTCTCAGGGGCAAGGGAGGATAAGGCTGGGGGTGTGGAGGTGCTGTCACTGCCACCCCTTTTAGTTTTTGTGGTTACTTGTAGGTTTGAGGTAGGTACGTGTAGGTTTGAGTTGACTTGAACGCTATGTGAGTTGCTCCTGGGTGAAAGTAGAGAGCGCCCACAGTGGTTGGAATGTGAACTACACTAATGCCTTGGGTAGGAACTGGGATATTTGGCTGTGTCCCCTGAGACGACAGGCCTGGCTAGTGACTCTGTAGACTGTGAATCATGGAGCAAGTGATGAGTAGATGAGGGGGGCTGTTTTTGTGGGCCTTGGGTGTTGACAGAACCCTGTACATTGTCCAGCTCAGTGTGTTGTGGCCACTGGCAAAGTGGTAGATGGGATCCTAATATGTGTATGTGTTGTGATGAACTTGGAGTCGGTTAGGAGAGGTCAGGGTGAAGGTGGATGGGTGTTGATGGGTGTGCCTGGTGGTGTTTTACGTTGGTTGCTGAACAACTCCCTAAGCGTGTAGGGTATGCTGGTCGAAATATGTTGACTCATGAAGGGTGTGCTTGGCAGAAGGAAGAATGGCAAGGATGCCCTAATCACTGTGGTTATGGCCAGGGAAGAAGGTGGGGTGGAGAGGAAGTCATCAACAAGAAAGGAATAGAAACGTGCTCAGGCCATCTCTTCTGACACGTTCTCCATATCTCAGGTGGGCTACTGGGTTGCTGGGCCTTCCAGTGTGGTGGTGCTTGTGTTTAATTCCAGATCAGTTCATAATAAGATCCCAGTTATACACTGTCTCATCATGGATAATGTAGCTAAATTGGTGTGTATTATGGAGACCTGGGTGGGTGAACAGGGTTTGATCTAACTATGCCCAAGTGGTCTCAGTGGCTTCTTTTTTTCTTGCTTTGGCTGGTGCACCAGTTACAACCCTTCCTGGACCATGACTGCAAAGCCACAGTGATCCAAACATCTGTAGCCTCAGGTCTGGTCTACTGCAATGCACTCTATGTGGGGCTGCCCTCAAGGCTGGTGCGGAAGCTGTAGCAAAATGTCGTGACCAGACTGATAATGGAACACTGTGCCATGCGCTTATAATATCTGCAGTAGCAAACCAAATTTGAGCAACTTAGGGCAAAGTTGGGTGAAAGAATGCCTTCTGCCAAATAGACCTTCCTATTCAGTAAGAATTGGCGAGTCGGCTCTAATAATTATGCCTCGTTTTAGAGAAGTTCATCTCACAATAACTTGAAGGCGAATGGCCCCTAGCCTGTGGAATGAGCTCCCCATTGAGATATGTCGTGAGCTTCCAGCAGCTATTTAAAGCATTTGTTCACTCACATTTTCCCTGACCTTTGATACCAGTTGAACGATATCTGGTTACTGTAATTATGACAAATTCTTTTCATTTGATTGTCTTACGGTATATTGAATTGTTTTTGAATTCAATTCAAGGGGCCTTTTCTGTGGTGGCCCCTCAGTTGTGGAATGCTCTCGTCGAGGAGGTTTGCCTGGTGCCTTTTAACACCAGGCAAATAAAATACTCTCCCAGGCATTTGGACAAGATCATGGTCTGGTTTCAGGTTGTTCTTTTTGGTGTTCGTGCTTATGGGGCTGCAGTGGTCATTTTCTGTTGTCGGTTCAGTTTTGTGGATGAACACTTTTAGTATATTTGTTTTGTTTCGATGGATTTTTTAAATTGTATGTTTTGGATGCTTCTGCACCTATCAATCGCTTCATGACCCCTTCTTGCAGCATGAAGCAATACATAAATTGAATTGGATCATACTTAATTGTTTTATTGTACAGTGTCTTGGGATTATTTTAACAAGGCGGTATATACAGATATTTTAAATAAATTGTGCGTGTGTGTGTGTGTGTGTGTGTGTGTGTGTATCTACTCAGAAGTAAGTTCTACTACATTCAGTGAGACTTATTCCCAGGATATCAGGTATAGGATTGTAGGCCTAATGAATTCAACCTTCCTAGGTTCACATGGGAATAAAATACTTCTGAAGGGGGGAAACACCTGTACTTTCCTTGTTTTTAAATGATGCATGTATGTTGCATCTCTTGGGAGAGGCTTGTGGGTGGGGAAAGTGGGGCTGCTTTTTCTAATATGGGGCTGGCCACCCAGTAAGTTGTTGTAGTCAAAAGATGTATAGTTCAACCAGTTTGAGTAAATAACACAATATTAACTTGACCGCGGGGCAATAAAATCAAGAATAAATTATAATACTGCAGCCAAATTAAACACAAGTACACACAAGCAAGATCATACAAAGAGGTATATTCGTTTTGACAGCTTATGGTGGATGAGCTTACATATTCTCCTGTTTCTTTGCCACTACGTCAAATCTCGTGCTTGAAAATGTAGTGTAATTTATCTCAGGCAGAAGGTTAAAACTTCTTGAATTAAGATACTGTATGTCTACAATTTCCATTTTGTTGGGAGGTGTCTTTTGAATCCATCAAAAGATTTTGCACTGATTAATCTAAACATTTCATAACCTAAACGTTGGAACTCTGTCAATGACTCACCTCAGAGGTGGAATAATGCGTGGATGACGACGCAGGTGCTTTGAAAAGGATTTGGGCTTTCCCTGATCCCCTATCCATAAATCTTCTCTTTTTCTGACGGAAATAGTTTTGGCCTTCATTTCTTCCTTCTGTATCCTTTCTCCCCCTTGCGGGTGCTGGATGTCGTCTTGCCTGGTTCCTTTGCCCCGGAGGGCTGGAGGTGCCTTTTGCAAGCCATCTTGGAAGAGGGCCTGAGGGGGACTCACTCTTGAGGAAGAGGCCCAGCCTCCTGGCGTGTCATGCCACACACCCTTTGCTTCCAGATAAATAGGCAAGATTTCCCCTTAGAGACCATGCCTTCTAGGCACACCAGGCAAAAGGCAAGCCTTCCACAGGAGCCAGATCAAAGACCCTCCATTGGCTTGAGAGCTTTGTGCAGGTGAGTGGAGTTTTCTAAGACAGCCAGCTGCAACAGAGAACAAGGCTTCTGTGCACCAGCTGTGTACAACAGAGAATTGCAGGAGGCACCACGGTGCTATAGGATCAGGGAAAGGTACTCCTGCCACAATACTCTCTGCACACCTGTCTGCCTTTGCATGGGATGAAGCGTGAAATCAGGACAGCTCTGGGAGGGATGGTCACATTGAAAGCTGCCTCAGTGTTACCTGTTGACTGGCAGTTGCTGTCCCAGGTTTCAGACAGGGGTCTTTCTTACCTGGAGATGCCAGTGACTGAACCTTGGGACCTTTTGCATGCAGAGTGTGGGCTCTTCCACTGAACTGTTCCTGTGGCAATATAGAGCTTCAGGATAGCTTGGACCTCTGGGAGAAATGAAAGGTCTATTGGAGTAAATTGTGCTGTGTGGCAGAAAGTAGGAGATGTTGACTTACCTGACAGTTGTGTACTCCCCCACACACACACACCTCTGCACTTAAGAATTGTAGCAATTTCTGCAGGGAAAAATCTTTGTATCCCTGCATGGCAGAAAAAAGCATAACTCCCTAAATTTCTCTCTGTTGTGTAACTGTTAAAGATGGAGTCAAACTAAATAAATAAAATTTTAAAAAATTGTCCAGTAGCACCTTAGAGACCAGCTAAGTTTGTTCTGAGTATAAGCTTTCGTGTGCATGCTCACTTCTTCAGATACATTGAAACAGGAGTTAAAGATAGAGTAACCTTAACAGGAACAAAAGTTGGCAATCCCAGTTTCTCTGGGAAGGGAGATCAACCAAGCAAGATTGTGAGGAGTAGAGAAAAGGCATGAAACATAAAATGTTATAAGCCAGAGTGCTACTGTTAAGATTGCCAGCTTTTCTTCTGATTAGTTTCTCAGTTGGATTTTTGACTTTTTCTTAAAAAAAATTACAAAAGATGTTGGGAAGAGTAGCAGTTAGAAGTTACTGGCAAGCAAGCCTTCAAGTTCAACAAAACTCTTCAGCAGGTGGGTGTTAAGCAAAGAAGCAAGAAAGCAAATCAGGAAGAGAGGTATTGGGCGCGATAAAGCCTGAAAGTTAGTAATAGTCTTAAGACGGAGTGAAGGAGATGCACAATTATTGCCAGTAAGAATACACGTTTAAGAAAGATTAATTTTTTGGATCAAATTAAACTGTGGCTTAGTTTGAGCCAGGTCCCAGCCTGCAATCTCTTTTCAGTGCAGCTGCTCAGCTCTGAAACATGTAAAAAGTATAATGTGTATTGTTCTCAATGCCTAAGAACCATATCCCCACACACCCCAGATAACAGCTTCCATATACATCTCAATCCCAACCCCTCCTTTTTTAAAAAATGAATTGACAAGCAAAACTCATATTGCAAAGATAAACAATAATAAAGCTTTGCAAATGTTGAGATGTTTCAACAACTTTCACAACCTAAGAACCTAGGTGGAAGGAGAGCACCTTGCAAGACCTGAGCTGCTCTATAAGATAAAGTAAATATGCCTTGAGAGGAATGTGGTGCACACCAGTTAAGAAGGCTTTTAAACCCTCTAAGGCACAAGATGCCCTGTTAGCAGAATGGGTGGCCCACACATTCACAAGAACGGGCTCCATTGCATCTTGGTAGTGAAATGACATCACAAGGTAGGAAACAGGCCTAAAATGAAGTAGAAGTGGATCACAAATCCTTACTTTAAATTCCCTTTGGCTTCTTATCATCCTTTGGGGGGGGGGGAATCGGAGTTTAAAGTGAGTTAAGGAGATGTGCTAATGGACATGAGTCAATGACGGTCTTTGCCAACTCTCTCCTCTTTCTGCTTTCAGGTTACTCAAAAGCGACAATTCTGCACAGCGCCACACTATCACCTGCTAACACCTCCCTGACACCAGCTTTTTTCTGCACAACACACAGGCTGGGCCACCAATCCCCCAAGCCCGGCCTAGCCTTGGCCGGGACAAAGGCCAATCCCTCCGATATGGGGGTGGCCAAAGCCATCCGTCGTTTCAGTGGGGGCGGCGGGGTGGGGGAGCTGCGGGAAGAGGAGTCAGTGGAGTCCCCCACCAGCTGCCACAATGGCAGGCCCGCCCCCGTCCGGCAGCGCAGCCGTTTCGTGAAGAAGGACGGCCATTGCAACGTGCAGTTCGTCAACATGAGCGAGAAGGGCCAGCGGTACCTGACAGACATCTTCACCACTTGTGTGGACATCCGCTGGCGCTGGATGTTCCTCATCTTCTGCCTCTCGTTTGTGCTCTCCTGGCTGGTCTTTGGCTTCACCTTCTGGCTCATTGCTGCCATGAATGGGGACCTCGCCCCCGAGCAGCCTCCCAACTCAAAGCCCTGCTTCTCCGAGGTCACCAGCTTCATGGCCGCCTTCCTCTTCTCCCTGGAGACCCAGACTTCCATCGGGTACGGCTTCCGCAGTGTGACGGAGGAGTGCCCATGCGCCGTCCTGGCTGTGGTGCTGCAGTGCATTCTGGGTTGCATCATTGACGCCTTCATCATTGGGGCCATCATGGTCAAGATCGCCAAACCCAAGAAGCGCAACGAGACCTTGGTCTTCAGCGAGACAGCCGTGGTGGCCATGCGCGACGGGAAGCTCTGCCTCATGTGGCGTGTGGCCAACTTGCGCAAGAGCCACCTGGTGGAGGCGCATGTTCGGGCACAGCTGCTGCAGGTAAGGACGGCACTATAGGAGCAAGGCGGGAGTTGGGCGGCAGCAAGATGGTTTTTGGAAGTCCTTTGAATGATTCTTCTGGGATGATTAAACCAGAAGGTAGAAAATGGATGAGTAGATAAAAGGCAACAAAGCTGTGTGAAGAACTTTAAATAGAGAAGGACAGAAGTTTGTGGGAGGTAGGTGAACAGATGTGGAGAATATTCTTCAGATTGTTGCTAGAAAGAGGATGTTGTAGCTGCTCTTGGTACTCAAACAGCTTGGCTCCCGGACACCGCAAACCTGGAAGTGAGTGCTCCGGTCTGCAAACGTTTTTCGGAAGCTGAATGTCCGACGCAGCTTACGCAGCTTCTGATTGAGTGCAGGAAGCTCCTGCAGCCAATTGGAAACCGGGCCTTGGCTTTTGAACCTTTTCAGGAGTCGAACAGACTCCTGGAACGGATTAAGTTCAAGAACCAAGGTGCCACTGTATTTGTATAAGGCAGCAACTCCCAGTTGGTGGCCACCCACCAAGGGGGTCCAGGGCACCATTCACACACCATAGAGATATCAAAAGTAGGGGGTCCATGGCTTGGCTTTTGAAAAACAAGTACTTAGCTCATTGGTATTAAGGGATGGAAGGCAAGACAGATAAATAGATGAATGAGTCTGATGTAAGAGAGGGGAAACTGTGAAGGGACTGGAAGGAAAGATAGACATGAGGGAGGTGTTTCTCAAAGGGACAGGAGTCTAGTTGACATATGCAAGTAGGCTGCTTATTTCCTCTACATTCCTGTGTAGGAATTGTGTTTTAGAAAAGGGCGGTCTTCAGTAGCCAGCAGCCATTTCAGCAACTGCAGTGGCAGTTTTCCCAATCAACCCTGGAAATGGCTGCTGGTCATAGGAGCCAACTCCTAGGGGCTAAGGAGTCTTCAGCCGCTAATATTGGGGGGGGGCAGGCCCTCCCAAAATTGATGGGCATTGCCATTCAAATTGTGTGTGCCATATCATGTGATCAGTTATGCAGGGCGGGGCTTCCCTGGAGCCCCACCCCCTTAATTTTATTCCACTTGGCCCCCCTGCTGCTGGGCACTGCGAGTCATACCGCGAATACACATTTATCAAGTCCTGTTCTGTACATAATGCCCTCCTTCCTTTGCCTTCTCTCCCGCAGCCTCGGGTGACCCCCGAAGGCGAGTACATCCCTCTGGACCACAACGATGTCAACGTGGGTTTCGACAGCGGCACCGACCGCATTTTCCTGGTGTCGCCTGTGACGATTGTGCACGAGATCGACTCCGAAAGCCCCCTCTACGAGTACGGCCCCGCAGACCTGGCCGAGGCGGACTTTGAGCTGGTGGTCATCCTGGAAGGCATGGTGGAAGCCACGGCAATGACCACTCAGTGCCGCAGTTCCTACCTGCCCGGCGAGCTGCGCTGGGGACACCGCTTTGAGCCTGTGCTCTTTGAACGGCGCGGCCACTATGAGGTTGACTACCAGCACTTCCACCGTACCTACGAGGTGCCCGGAACCCCGACGTGCAGCGCCAAGGAGCTGAGCCATCGCAAATACAGGGCGCCCCCTGCAGGAGCCACCGCTGCTCGCGCCTCCTTCTGCTACGAGAACGAGGTGGCGCTCAGCTGCTGCCGCGAGGAAGAGGAGGAAGAGGAAAGGCAGGGAAGCCGGAGGGTGAGCCTGGAGAATGAGGCAGCCGGCACCACGTGACGCCACCAGTGTCCTTAGACTGAGGAGGGCCGAGGGGAGGTGGGGAGAAAAGCAGCTGTTGTAGCACCAACACCGCCTCTCCACACAGCAAAAAGATAACACTTTCATGCTTCACCGTTCCTGACCCCCCCAAAAAGCACATCTAGCAAGGTCTGGGCTTTCTAGAACAGGCTGTGGTGTCTGTGTCTCTAACTGTTGGGAGGAAGAAAGGCCATTTTCTGACATTTTAGCCCTTGGACAAACTGAGAGTTTCCCCGTGATAGTTGGAACTGCTGAAGGAGGTTTAAGAGGTTATCGATGCTAAAAAGGGAAGGGGGCGGGAACCAAAGTAAAACACAGCTGGTAAACTTCACAGGAGGAACAATATTCACCTCATGTTCATAAAATTATGGATGTGGCTGTGGGAGCTAGCTAAAAGTGTTTATTGTACGGAGTTCCAAGGACTTATAAGGGGGGTACTTAATGTTGCTCAAATGAAGACCTGCCCCTTGTGGATTTGAGCCGTGGATGTCTAATATATCAGGCTCTATGATATATAGAGGGAAGAAGGGTTCATTGAGCTCTGGAGGCGACTTTTCAGGGGATCTGCTGGAAGGTATCTGGCCTTGTAGGATCTATGAAAATGCAGGAGGGCAGCTTGTTTCCGAAATGTGTGTTTCTTTTCAGATCTAATGGCCAGAAATCACACCCCTACAGGGTGCAAAACTACATGTGGTCTTAGCACCCCTAAAACTGGTTTGCCAAGCCCAAATCAGTAAGTCCTATCTAAAATTCCAGTGGAAGTAACTGGAAGTTTTCATGTGTGTGCATTTAAAAAAAGAGAGAGTAACTGGCAATATTTCAAATAAATCTTTCTTTAGAAGGAGACAGTTAAGGCGCATAAAATGTAATCACACCACAAAACAAGGGTTGTCATTAAAAAGAAAAACTGAAATCCAACCACTAATGGTCCCATGTGTTGTTGTTTTAAGTCCTGTAGCAGAAGCAAGGGAAAGAAATGGAAAGAAATGCCCCCTAAAACAAATAATGTAAGTATGGTCGCTGCCACCACCATCCCATTAAATATTTGGGGAAAGGCCAAAATATGGGTGTGAGTGTTATATCCCAAGTTTCTCTCTCTCTCTCTCTCTCTCTCTCTCTCTCTCTCTCTCTCTCTCACACACACACACACACACACTTGCTTTAAAGTCAAATGTATGGAATTTACCTTACTCAATAAATAAAAAAGGGACGCGGGTGGCGCTGTGGGTTAAACCACAGAGCCTAGGACTTGCTGATCAGAAGGTCGGTGGTTTGAATCCCCACGATGGGGTGAGCTCCCGTTGCTCGGTCCCTGCTCCTGCCAACCTAGCAGTTTGAAAGCACATCAAGTGCAGGTAGATAAATAGGTACTGCTCCGGCAGGAAGGTAAACGGCATTTCCGTGCGCTGCTCTGGTTGGCCAGAAGCAGCTTAGTCATGCTGGCCACCAGCTCCCTCAGCCAATAAAGCGAGATGAGCACCGCAACCCCAGAGTCGGTCACGACTGGACCTAATGGTCAGGGGTCCCTTTACCTTTTATAAATAAAAAAGAAGGCAGGAAAGGAAGAAACACCAGTGGAGATGGGGAGCCACGATTGCTGCACGCTGACCATACCACCACACTCCATGCTAGCGATACCTATGGCTGAAGACGAAGCTGCCTTTTATCAGGTCATTCTATTTGCCTAGTAATGTCTATTCTGACAGGCAGCAGTTCTCCAGGATCGTAGGGGAGAAGCCTTCCTGTTATATGCTACAGGACCTTCTGTATACAGTGCATGTGCTCTCCCACTGACCTATGACCCCTTCCTGAAGTGCTGCCCCCTTCCCATTGATATACTTTCATTCATTCCAATGAAGCACAAGAGAACCTGACTGAGGACTGTGGCCCAGGGGTCAGATCTGTCTGTCTTCCACTTTGCTGGCCACTTCTTGGAGGGAGGGGGAAATAATCCCAGCACTAGATAAAAGATCCCTATATTAACCTCTGCTTCGAACCTGGAGCAGGAGACATCTCAGAGCTGTACGAGTGATCCCACTATAAACAGCTGCTGTCCAAGCCGGTTGGGTGACAGCAGCGTAGGCTGAAGGTCAGATCGGTGAGAGCTCAGATTGGATTCGCAGCTGGGAGCTCAGATTAATATGACACAGTTCCATCGCTAATCCTGACTGCTTTGCGCCAGCACTGGTGGAGGGGGGGCGCATTGGGGTCTGCTCCCTCTGCACGCCTGCCACTTTCTGCTCCTCTGCCCTGTCCCATCACCCCGTGCCTCTTAGGTGCTGGCACCCACTCTTCACACTGGCACGCCAGAGGTGATGGGATGTCAGGAACTCCTCACCGGCCACCGTGGAGCAGGTGACAAGATCAAGTGGAAAGGCATTCTCCTTGAGCCAAAAATAACCTCTCATGAGTCCCTAATCTCCAAGCCTAGGGCATCTATCAGACTGGGATGTGAAAGTCGCCAGAGGTTGGGACAGAGGTCAACTGCAAGCTCTTATCTCAGGGCAGCCAATGGGTGATCTGACATCCATGTGGGGCTGCCCCTATATTACCAACTCCCTTCGCTCTCCCTTATCATCACAACAACCTTGTGAGGCAGGTTAAACTCCGTAAGCTTCGTGACTGAGTGTGGGGATTTGAAAATGGGTCTCCTGGGTCCTAGTCTGAACTAATTCTAGTATATGAAGTTTTCAGACTCTTATTTCCACCCCACACATGCCCAATAATATTTCAAGGGAGGCCTTTATAACTTCGTTTCATAAACAGGGAACCTGAGTGAAGAGCAACGAACCAATTTCAGCAGGTGAATCACAGAATTTGAACACAAGTCTTCCTTCTGCTACTTTTGTTTTCTTGACATGGCTCTGGTGTCTTTAACAGCTGCCAAATGGGCAGAAATTCAACAGTTAAAGCATTCCCCAGTATGGAGGTGCTGGGTAGGGAGAGGTGTGACAAGGGAATATTCTAGTCCCTCTGTCCCTAACTGGGAAAAGGAGATGCTTCAACCATCTCTTGCCCAAGCTGCTCCCACCCTCCCCAATCCTGCTCTGCAGCCAATGCACACTTTACATCCACGTTAGGCCAGTTTGGCTCCAACAGTCAAGAAAGCAGTTTCTACATGTGCTTTAGAGCGAAGTGAGGGGCGGATGAGGCTCCTCAACCTGGGAAGAAAGCCCATCTAGGAGAAGGAAAACTCCACTGCCTTGAGGAATATCTGCAGGAAAAGAAAAGCCTAAGGCAGGGGTCAGCAAACTTTTTCAGCCGTGGGCCGGTCCACCATCCCTCAGACCATGTGGTGGGCCAGACTATATTTTGGGGGGGGGGGATGGATGAATTCCTATGCTCCACAAATAGCCCAGAGATGCATTTTAAATAAAAGCACACATTCTACTCATGTCAAAACACCAGGCAGGCCCCACAAATAACCCAGAGATGCATTTTAAATAAAATGACACATTCTACTCATGTAAAAACACACTGATTCCCAGACCGTCTGTGGGCCGGATTGAGAAGGCAATTGGGCCACATCCAGCCCACGGGCCTTAGGTTGCCTACCCCTGGCCTAAGGAGTAAAACCAACACAAACTCAGAGTCCTTATGACAGTAGGATGGTGCTTGTTGTACGCCTCCTTTTGGCAACTCCTGCAACCAAGCTGGCACCAAATGTGTTGCTCTGCTTTCCTTTGAACCACAACAGCGAGGCTGAGGGGGGTGGTCTTGTCATCTGTGCAGCCCAGGACCTCCATACACACCACCCAGCCTTGCGCTGCAGGGAGGGCACTTGGGTACTGCTAACACAGCGGTTTTGACTTCACCCCTGGAGGTCACATGTGTGAAAACAAACATAGATGCAAAGGCAGCTCAACTGTTGAAGAGATGGGACACATACCTGGGCAGAGGGTTGCCAGGTCTCCTGAAGCTCATCAGAATCGAGATGAAGGGGTGGAGTCTAGGAGCAAAGGGGTGGAGCCTTGAGGCACCTGGGGTACCTAGCCACCAGACAAAATGTCTGCATCATGGAGAGGGGAGATGGCAGAGCAAAAGGCAAAACCTCTCAAGCCAAGCAGAAAATAATTTCTCCCCTGTGTTCAGGACCTTCACTTACTCTGGAGACCCTAAAAAAAGCACTGGAACAACAGGTCAAACCCTGAGACCTAGTAACTTTAGCTATCGAGCGTATTGTGAGTAGTTAGTTTTTCAGCATCCCTGCTGCTCCATCAACTCCAATAGCTCTGGTGATGCCAAGCGCCTTTATTCTCCTCCCCAGACTAAGCACATGGGTGTTGTGTCGCATTAATGGACAGCCGAACCACCTCTGACTTGCAAAGGAAGAGTCGCAAGGTGGAGAACGGCTCAGGCCCTCTATCCAAGGCACTTCCAAAACCTAAATTAAGTCCTGGGTGCCGCAGGGTGGCAAAGCTTAAGAGGCCTCCTCTTTAATTCTCTCATTCCAACTCAGCCTGAAGGTTAAGAGTACTTGTGGAAGGACTGAGAAAGAGGAGGGTCAGAAATACAGATGCTCAAGAAAAAGCACAGCAAACTGTATCCCCGCCCTAAAGAATTGCTTTTGGAGGATATGTAAATACATGTGGGGCAAGGAAGAACATTAAGGCCCGGGGGGAAGGGTGTGGATTTGCTCCATCTCCACCCTGTGTTAGCACTAAATCCATTGCTGGTAAACTTGCTTGGCCCCCATCCAACTAATCAGCATCCACAGAGCAACTTATTAGAGACAGATGGCTCACAAATGACTCTTTGCCCTGACCTGCCAGCTGCCCCATGACACTTGAGCCTCAGCCTCAAAGAGTCAAGACTCACACACAGGATATCTCAGTCAGTCAGTTCCCCTTCAGATCTGTCAGCACCCCCATGAGAGTAACCCACAGCAGCCTGCTGATCACCTGCATTTATTCCCCATCCCTCTGTTTGGAGAAGTGTAGGGTTTAATATAGATTATCTTAGCACCCCCTCTGGTGTCCACAGCTGGAATAGCAAGGTCTGCAGAATAGCAAGATCCCATATGTATGTATGGGACGTGGGTGGCGCTGTGGTCTAAACCACAGAGCCTAGGACTTGCCAATCAGAAGGTTGGCAGTTCGAATCCCCACGATGGGGTGATCTCCTGTTGTTCAGTTTCAGCTCCTGCCCACCTAGCAGTCTGAAAGCACGTCAAAGTGCAAGTAGATAAATAGGTACCACTCCGGTGGGAAGGTAAACAGTGTTTCCGTGCGCTGCTCTGGTTCGCCAGAAGCAGCTTAGTCATGCTGGCCACATGACCCGGAAGCTGTACGCCGGCTCCCTCGGCCAGTAAAGCGAGATGAGCGCCGCAACCCCAGAGTCATCCACGACTGGACCTAACGGGCAGGGGTCCCTTTATCTTTATATATGTATGTGGTACTGCATGGTGTGAGTGGGTGTTTTTACAAAGATACTTCTTGTGTTTCCTGAATCTGAAATTCATTACCTGAATTCTGGTTAAAGTCTACTTGGTCTGCTAAGACATGGAGGACAACTAATAGCACTCCTCCAGGTGATAGTAATCAAGCTGGGATATAAGTGCTCAGACTGAGCCTCTTGGGCTTGCCAATCAGAAGGTCGGCAGTTTGAATCCCCACAACGGGGTGAGATCCCGTTGCTCGGTCCCTGCTTCTGCCAACCTAGCAGTTCGAAAGCATGCCGAAGTGCAAGTAGATAAATAGGTACTGCTCCGGTGGGAAGGTAAACGGCGTTTCCGTGCGCTGCTCTGCTTCGCCAGAAGCGGCTTAGTCATGCTGGCCACATGACCCGGAAGCTGTTTGTGGACAAACCCCAGCTCCCTCGGCCTGTAAAGCAAGATGAGCGCCACAACCCCAGAGTCATTCACGACTGGACTTAACGGTCAGGGGTCCCTTTCCTTTATGTTAATATAAGAACCCTGAACGTAGCCCAGGAGCACATCAGCAGCCCATGCAGATATTTTAGCAGAGACACCACATGCTGTCAGCTCCCATCAGCAGTCCAGCTGCTGCAGTTTGCACTGGCTAAACTTTCAGATCAGGCCTAAGGGCAGTCACACATAGAGCACATTGCAGAAATCCAGGCTGAAGGTCACCAATGCATGGACTACATTATTAGGGATACATACCCCTATTTTCTGGACACTGTCTGCCCCGATAAATCATGGTCCCTGCATTGTTCCTACTTTTGCCCTTTGAGGATGCCTTGTTAAAACATTGTTAATGGGAGTTGCTAGATCTGCCCATTCGTCAGGTTTCTGCATGTGCATGGGCAATAAGGCACCATATTGGGTACAGAGAGTGTCATTTCCCACACAGGGAAATCACATTTTGAACCACTGATAACAGATTTTAGGGCAACTGTGTTTTTCCAACATATGTTTAACCAAAGCAGAAAACACCAAATAAGTCTGCACTCCTATGCTCACTTACTTAGGAGTAAGTCCCACTGAACTTAAGGGAATTTACTTCTGAGATTTCATTTATTATTTTCAAACAGGATAGAACAGGACTATTGGAGAACAAATCTATACACTTGGCAGAGCAAAGTGTTCAACGAGGGGAAGGGCCATTGCTCAGTGGTAGGGTACCTGCTTGTATGCAGAAAGTCCCAGCTTTAATCCTCAGCATCTCCAAGTAGGATTGGGAATGTCTTCTGTTTGAAACTCTGGAGTGTCTCAGTCAATCAGTTTGATCTAGGTGGACCAATGATCTGACTCAGTAAAAGGCAGCTTCTTATGTTCCTATCGGAATAATAGGAGTGTTGAGGCAGGACTCAGAGATCACAGAATCATAGAATCATAGAGTTGGAATAGACCACAAGGGCCATCGAGTCCAACCCCCTGCCAAGCAGGAAACACCATCAGAGCACTCCTGACATATGGTTGTCAAGCCGCTGCTTAAAGACCTCCAAAGAAGGAGACTCCACCACACTCCTTGGCAGCAAATTCCACTGTCGAACAGCTCTTACTGTCAGGAAGTTCTTCCTAATGTTTAGGTGGAATCTTCTTTCTTGTAGTTTGGATCCACTGCTCCGTGTCCGCTTCTCTGGAGCAGCAGAAAACAACCTTTCTCCCTCCTCTATGTGACATCCTTTTATATATTTGAACATGGCTATCATATCACCCCTTAACCTCCTCTTCTCCAGGCTAAACATGCCCAGCTCCCTTAGCCGTTCCTCATAAGGCATCGTTTCCAGGCCTTTGACCATTTTGGTTGCCCTCCTCTGGACACGTTCCAGTTTGTCAGTGTCCTTCTTGAACTGTGGTGCCCAGAACTGGACACAGTACTCCAGGTGAGGTCTGACCAGAGCAGAAGACAGTGGCACTATTACTTCCCTTGATCTAGATGCTATACTCCTATTGATGCAGCCCAGAATTGCATTGGCTTTTTTAGCTGCCGCGTCACACTGTTGGCTCATGTCAAGTTTGTGGTCAACCAAGACTCCTAGATCCTTTTCACATGTACTGCTCTCAAGCCAGGTGTCGCCCATCTTGTATTTGTGCCTCTCATTTTTTTTGCCCAAGTGCAATACTTTACATTTCTCCCTGTTAAAGTTCATCTTGTTTGTTTTGGCCCAGTTCTCTAATCTGTCAAGGTCATTTTGAAGTGTGATCCTGTCCTCTGGGGTGTTAGCCACCCCTCCCAGTTTGGTGTCATCTGCAAATTTGATCAGGATGCTCTTGAGTCCATCATCCAAGTCGTTGATAAAGATGTTGAATAAGACCGGGCCCAAGACAGAACCCTGTGGCACCCCACTAGTCACAGGGTTCTGTCTTGGGCCCGGTCTTATTCAACATCTTGAATAACATCTTATTCAAGATCTTTGGTATGAAAATAGGGGTGACAACTGTGTGTATATTTTTACACATTCACATATTAGTAATGTAAGTGTGCTAATTTAGAATCACGCTGTACATATATATCTCACTCTCCACCACCACCCCCATTAAGTTTTGAGAGCAAGGAAGAAGGGAGCTGGAATATGAAGAAAGACAACGCTAGCACACTTGCCTACAATGCTAACAATATTTTTGAAGGTATTCACAAATCTGGGAGAGATCATATCAGAAATACATTTGTCCACGGTAAACAGGGATACTTAGTTGGGGGAGTGTATGCCCTCATACAAAAATGAAAAACCATTAGAGTTATGAGATCGTAATTATGGTGCTAGTGGTGAAATCATTTTCCAAATTATTATTTGGGAGAGAACGTTGCTTCCACAAATATATGCAAACAAATTTCTCCCTCAGTGCCCAGCTTTATCAGATATTATAAGATTCTATCTACAAAGAGTAATTTTCTTGTAAGAGGTGATGGAAAATTTGGCTTTAACTGTAAATCTTATGGGGAGTGGCACCTATTAAATCAGTGACACTTTAATATACAGTTAACATGTTGTAACTTAAAGCCAGATTAATGTCATCTTGAACCAGGCAAACACCATTTTTATTTTTATTTTTTTGTTGCCATCATGCAAGTTTTAAGAGGAACCAAGAAAGAACAGAGAAGTGTGTAAATGAAAGATATAGACATGCGCAAGGGCTTGACATTTAGATGTATAAACAGGAAAATGCCTAGATAGTTCTAGTGTGGAAACATCTGTATTTGCAGTTAGGGTGAGCTGTTACACCATACCCATGGGTGCTTTGCACGTCTAGTCTGTATTGCTATATAAACTGTGTGTGAACGAAGACTGAGGTTCTAGCCTCTGATAGTTTTCTTGATTGTTTGCTGTAACCTTTTCTACACATGTAAGAAATAAAACTTTGCTTCTTGGAGAATTTTCAGGTGTCACTTGTCATTGCTGGTGAGTAAAAGGGACTTGGCTGTACAATGGGCCTCAAGAGGAGTTTTCCCACATCACCAGCAACTGAGGATATTGACTTCGTGCCTCTGATGCAGTGGGTTGTGTGGTCCACAAAAGCTCATGCCTAAATATGTGTCTTAGTCTTTAAGGTACAGCACGACTTTTTGTATTTTTAATATTCATAAAGAGGCCTGCTTTACCCAACTGAATTACTAGGTGAGGCTGCTGGGGTCTATGGCAACCGCCTAGGCCCCTCTTGGCAACAGAGTGTTCCCTTTCTAGTCCGCTCCGTTGGCCGTGCCTCAGACAGAGCCTTCTATCACTCTCTTATTGGCTTCTTTGCACATCACTCGTCATGACTGACAATAAAGCAACGAGGGCGGGACACCAAAGGTATCTTTTGGAGTGCATAGACTTGTGCCGTATAGACTTCCAAACGGATATCGGATTTCCGGGTTTAAAACTGGAATAATATTCTTCCTGCCCTCGGGCAGAAGCGAGAGCTGCCAAGAGGAAACAAACGGAGAAATCGAGGATACTCGCATACTAGGCGTGTCCTCCTACGGGGGGGGGGGGGATGTCGTGCTCTTCTTTTTTTTTAACCCTGATCGTTGGCAGGGTGGGTGTGGGTAGGGATTTTACACAAAGCCGCAGCACTGCTTCATGGAAGCCAGTGGGGCGTCGTTGCAGTTATGCAACCGAGAACTGGATTTTGGCAGGAAGGCTTAAGGGGGAATTCGACGACCAAGTGTTTTGCATGGGGAATTTGGGGCTGCAAATCCAAACCACCCCGGCCTATAACCATAGCTGTCAACTTTCCCCTTTTTTTGCGAGAAATTCCCTTATTCCAGCGCCGTTTCCAGCCGCTATCCCGTATTGTTAGATATCCCGTAGACTGTCCCCGGGACAGGTGAGGCTGCTGATCCCTTATTTTCGAGGCTGCTGATCCCTTATTTTCAAATCTGAAAGTTGACAGCTATGCCTATAACTTATAATATGAACAATAGGCTACATTGCAGGGCTGTCGTAAACTGCCCCCCGCGCGGCCACCTATACATAATCAAACCAACCAGCGATGCGGGAATGGGCTGCACTTGCGCCGCTGCCAAGTGTGGATTTTGTGTTTCAAAACGTTTAAAAGCTACACACGCGTTATCTTTATCGCGTGAAATAAGGCCTGAGATATAAAGGGCACGACGGACTCCTCTCTCTGGCGCTGCCTTTTGTTTGGCTGCATAATCAATGGTCCACGAAAAGGCTCGCGTTCTTCGTGGTTTCCCACGGATGGAAATAGCGTCGAAAGGAACCAGGAAGCGCCCTCTCAGCCATCGTGAGTTATCACTCTGATTTCTAGGTAAGCGTATAGGGTGGGACAGCTGAAAGTCTATAGCGTCGACTGCATATCCACAGAAGGATATCGGGCGGGCTGTTAGGAGAAGTCCCAGATTTCATTGAATAGCTCCCCTGTCAATATCATCGAGGAGGTGCCTATTGGTCGAAATGGACGTACATCCCAATTCTGAGAAAAAGCACGCCATGTCTATTGGCTCCCTCTCCGAGCTGTCAAGTGGCGTTCCGCGGGGTCTCTCTTTTCCTATTGGCTACGCCCTTCGCACGGGGCGGAACGTTCCTTTCAGTGCAGGACCAGGCTGCTGCGGGAGGAAGGCGCAGCCGTTGGGAGCCCCGAAGAAAGGAGACACGGAGAAAGTGAGGAGCTCTCATTTCTCCCCTTTAGGGGCACTCTGGCCACCATGGAGGACGGCATCTATGGTAGGGACCCCTGAGACCCGGCCACGGGGAAGCTTAAAGAAGGGCGAGGCAGGCGGAAGGGAGCATTGTGAGACCGTCCAGTAACTACAATGGGAAAAGCGGGTAGGCGGGCCGAGCCATTCTGAGCGAGAAGACTAGGGGGCGGGGCCGATCCCTTACAAAGAGGGGTGGGGCTGGGCTGAACCATACCAGTGACAGGGGGGATGTGCGAGTGGGCCATCTCATTTTATTTAAGGAGCAGACATGAAAATTGTATAGATCTGGTGACGTGAGCCATACCCGATGTACACCATTCGATTGTCAGGGCGGAGGTTTTTTTTAAGGCTGTACCATTCTAGCGGTGTGGGGGGGAATTGGGATGTACCATTGCTGTGAGCAGCTGGGAGTACCTATTACAATGAAAGGAGGGGGCGTGTGGGTCGTACCACTTGGCTGAGTGGGGGGGTGGCGTTAACCGGCAGAGCCATTTCAGTTGGCGGAGGAGGGAAGACTAAAAAAATAAAGTTACAATAATTTAAATAATGGTCTGTACCATTTCTCTCTTGGGGAGGAGGGGTGTCTGTGTCCCGGGGCTAAGCATTCTGCGGGGGTGGAGGAATATTTGGAAAATGAGTCAGAGAGGATCTTATCTCTGGGCTGCCTTTTATTTGCAGTGCACAGGAAGGTCAAGCATCATTATTACTAAGAACAACAGATTGATTCTTTATTTTATTTCATTTTTTTGAAGTTGCTTTGTGAGCTCAGTGCTGGATGAAAGCTCAATGTGAGAACAATTAATTAATTATTAGTGCCGCCGATTAATTGCGCTCAGGAGTTTATGTAAGTGCTTCAGAACTTGTGTCACCTCAGGTTCCCCTGCAGTGCATTTCTTCCCTCACCCCCAGCAGCTCATGAGAGATAAGGAACATATCCTTTTCATTAAAATGAATTTAATTTAAAATTCGAGGCACAGTTTGCAAACACAGAGGAAAAGGGGGGGGGGGGAGCTTAGTTTTACTGCATTTAAGAATAAGAACAACCCAATCTCAAAAGGCTGTCTGTGGCATACACACGGCTATTCTGCAAGAGCTGCTGTGCCAAGTGTAGCTCCCTTGCTCTGAAGGTCCTCACCAAGGCCACATCCCCACCACACATTTAGAGCGCTATGATGCCACTTTAAACAATCATGGCCTCCTGCAAGGAATCTTGGGAAGTGTAGTTTGCTGAGGGTGCTGGGAGTTGTTAGGAAATCTCCCATAATCCCCTCACAAAGCAACAGTTCCCAGCAACTCATTCCCTCTTCACAGGGAACTCTGGTCATTGTCACTCAGCGAGGGGAATATGGAGATCTCTGGACAACTCTCAGCAACCCTTAACAAACTACACTTCCCAGGGTTGTTTGTGGAAAGCCGTAGCTGTTTAAAGTAGCATCACGTTGCTTTACATGTGTGGGGTGAATGTGACCCAAGTTAAGTGAGACTACTCAGGAGAGCCCATCTCCCTGGTGATGGCGCCCTGGTTGTGGGGTAGCCTCTACAGAGAAGCCCGCCTGACACCTTCCTTATGGCTTCTTCAGAACTAGATGAGGGACTTTTTATCCTCCCAGACTTTTTAAACCTGCGGTCTTGCTTTATCCCACTGCTTTCACGGTGTGTCGTACCTCAGCTTTGCTTTTAGGTCTTTCTCTGCTGGAAAGGTTTACGCTGCAGCTGTTTTTTATGATAGTTTCATTTTTATATTTGTGAGATACCCAGAGAACTACGTTATTGGGCAGCCAAAATAAATAAGTAAATGTTTCAAAGGAAGCCATCTTGGAGGAAGCAGCTCATGCAAAGCTTATTTATTTATTTAATGTCCTATCTTCCCGGCAAAGGGCTTGAGGGAGCCTACCTAGTTCTCTTTCACATGCACCTATTTTCACCTTTGTAGGTAGGTTAGGCTGAGAGATAGTAAGTGGCCCAAAGTCACCCAGGGAGTGACCTAGATCTCTTAGTCCTAGTGTGGCGTGTTAACCGCAACACCATGCTGTCTCATCTGAGGACAGGTAATTTTGCCACATCTGGGTATTGGGAGTGTTTGGATGATCCAGTCACACCTAAGTCCGAGACCGGGAAGAGTTACTAACTTCTTTCCCTGATTACCCCCAGAGGCTGATTAGGAAGGAGACAGGCCCAGAGGGGTGAATCATGCACTGGCCAGCCCCTTTTGTGGTTTGATACTTTAGACCTACAGGCAGCAACAGGCCTTGCAACTATCTTGTGTGCAACTATCTATCCTCATATTGAAGACTGGAGGCTGAGGGAGATTCACAAGTCTATCTCTTGATTGCTACACCACATTATAAAACTGGAAGCACCATCACCCTCCACATCCAGATGTTTGCGGCCACCAACTCAGATCACAGTTCGCTCCTCAGTCCTCACTGAATGGGGATCATTAGTAATGTGATGGGGGTGGTAATAAGTTAATTGAATGTGTGTTCTCTAGTGTACAAGCTTTGTCCGATACAGAGAAAACTCTTTGAGGTTTAGGATTATTAAATCCATACATCTCTTCCTACTGAAGTAATCCCAAAGAATTTTACAGCCAAAGTAAAAAATACAATGATAAAATTGCATCAACGTTATTTTAAAAAGATGTAACAGTAAAATATATTGTTGGTGCTGTCCGCTGCCTGGTGCTGAAACAACACATTTGCCTGGTGCTGAAACAATAACAAGGTTGGCTCCAGGCAGGTCTCCCTGGGGGGAGCATTTCATAAATGGGGGACTGCTGCAGAAAAGGCCCATTTTCTTGTCACCATACTATAAATATCCCCTGGAAGTGGCATGCAAAGAAGGGTCTGGGCAGGTTCAAATGGGGAAAAGCCATCCTTTGGACTGAGAATCCTATCTGGAAGGCTGCAGTCCTGTCTAGAAGTTAACTTACCAGTGAACTCACTGGCACTTCCGAGTAAGATTTATTTATGTGCTGCTTATATGTCAAAGGGGTTTCTGTAGGATTGTACAGTAGACATAGAAATGGAAATCCCACCTGCTTCAGCTTTTCCCATTCACTCTGCTTCAGGGGCAGTTCTTCCTTCTTCACTAATCCCATGAACCATCTAAAGTATTAGTTACCCCTAACCTGCCACATGGAACCCCCTTTCTATGCCTTTTCTATTTCTTTACCATACTTAATCTGCCTCCGACCCTATACAGGCATTCTGATCCCTCCCACAATGAGGGATATCGGGGGGGGGAGGGAATACACTGGCTGTGCACCCCATCGCCCTCTGCAAGTTGGAGAGAGCAGTGGGGAACCTTTCTCAACTAGCATAGGCTCCCTGCTTGATTTATAACACTGGTCTTCCAAGCTGACTCTGTGCCCATTGTATCCTCCGACTTGGTGCCCACCTCCATGCTGCAGCTTCCATTGCCACCAGCAGGGTGTGTGATCAAAATGGCTAGAATATTACACTTCTTCCCATCTTCTCTCCCCCTGCCCCAGTGCCTCCAGACCTGACGCCGGAGGAGAGGCTAGAGTTGGACAACATCCGCCGGCGGAAGCAGGAGCTCCTGGTGGAAATCCAGCGGCTGCGAGATGAGCTCAGCGAAGCCATGAATGAGGTGGAGGGGCTGGAAGCCAACGAGGGAAGGTGAGGGATTCCCTTCTTTTGCAGGTGGCAGCTTGCTGGTAGAGCATCTCACTTTGGTGCTAAAGGTCCCTTGCCCCCAGTGTCTCCAGATAGGGCTGGGAAAGACTCGCTGCCTGAAGCCCTGGAGAGCTGCTGCCAGTCAGTGTGGCCAGTACTGAGCAAGAGGGATCAATGGTCTGGCTGTATGAAGCAGGCTCCTGTGTACTTGGACATGGCCCTGCCTTGGCCACTGGTCAGGGATTCCTTAACAATATGTGTGGGGAACCTGTGGCACTCCAGATCCTGCAGGACTAAAACTTGCATCAACCCTGACCATCGGCAACACTGACTGAAGCTGATGGGAGTTGGAGTGCGATAACATCTGGAGGGCTGCAGTACAGAGTGTGGCCGCTTCCAGAATGTTGTTTATATCCTGGTGCCAGGACAAGCCTTTCTGGCAGCAACTAACCTCATTCCTGCAGCATCTGCATTCAAGCTCAGAATGTGCTAATCCCAATACTTCCTTGCCTGCCATTCTTTGATTGCCTGGGATTTTCTTGCAACATTTAATCCATTAATCAGTTAGATTACTTCATGTTGGGGAAAACAAACTGTCAGCTGACCAAAATGATGTCCCTTAGGAATCAGGCAGCATATATTTAAGTGTGTGTGAATACAAGAGGTTTTAAAAAACTGCAGATGGCAAGCAACCATCTTAAAAGAAAGCTTTCCTCCGCTCACACGTACATCTTTGCCTCAGAAATAATTGTTTCCCCCCATATGCAAATGTGATTAAAAGCTTAGTCAATTAATCAGCCAAAACTCAGGTGATTAATGGATTAAAATGACTCTGATTAGGTTGCAGCCCTAATTGAAACCAGGAGTGGAGAAGCCTCCAGGTGTGCAGAAATACATTTACTGAGCTCCACAAACATAAATGTATCTTTATATTATATTGAAAAGGGGTTCTTATTCGTTCAAACACTAGCTTCAATAAATACTTGTTTGTGTAGGAGGTTTCTTCTCTTCTTTTCCAACAGCTGCTAGAGACCATGTTAAACTATCAGAGAAATATCCCAGAAAACCTTGGGCTACAGTGCCCTTTCTATGCAAGGTACATGATGGGGGAAATGTAGCTCCTTGTAGAGCGTCCCATAGAACCTCATGCTGACCATGCTGTGAACACATCCTGATTCCTCCCGTGTCAATGCCAGCCTCAAGTTAGAACTTCCCTTCCCTGCTTAATGAGTAACAGAGGATAAGCAAATGAGTTCTCTGGTTCCATTTTGCCGTTTACAAGTGCTTGTGAACTTCGCCGCTTTTACAAGGGCTTGTGAACTGCCAGGCAGGCAGTGTTGGAAACCAGGCACTGGCCATAATGGATCTTTGGTTGGCTGTGGCACAAGGCTGTTCCTACCACCTTATTTCATTTTTCGAGAGATGGTTCAGTGTCTGCTAGTGTGCCTGTCATGGTAAAGAGTGTCACCTCTGATAATCCATCATTCAGAGCCAGGTTGGACGCTTAGGGGTCTGGCAGTACAGTGGTACCTCGCAAGACGAATGCCTCGCAAGACAAAAAACTCGCTAGACGAAAGGGTTTTTTGTTTTTTGAGCTGCTTCGCAAGACGATATTGCCTATGGGCTTGCTTTGCAAGACGGAACGTCTTGCAAGTTTGTTTCCTTTTTCTTAACACCGTTAATACAGTTGCGACTTGACTTCAAGGAGCAACTCATAGAACGCGGTGTGGTAGCCTTTTTTGAGGTTTTTAAAGACTTTGGTGATTTTTGAAGCTTTTCCAAAACTTTCCCGACACCGTGCTTCGCAAGACGAAAAAAATCGCAAGACGACAAAACTCACGGAACAAATTAATTTCGTCTTGCGAGGCACCACTGTACCATTTTTTGGAGCGCAGGTGGGAAGTAGCATGTACATTTCCCCAGAGTTTCCATTTGCTTCTAAAGGTTTGCAGCCCCTTTGTTCTTTCAAGGGCCAAAGGACTGATGGGTGCACTTCTTTGTCTTGTACAGTAAAACGCTTCAGAGAAACCGGAAGATGGGGATGGGCCGCAAGAAATTCAACATGGATCCCAAAAAAGTAGGTGGCTGGGGTGTGGGTGTGTGCATGCAGTGACTGTTTCTGGTATCAAATATATGCAGCACCTTCAGCCATCCACCTGGAACAGATGGAACACAGTTCCCCTCCCCCCCCCAAGCTGTGGTAATAGTTATTGTTCTCATGCAGCAGTTGGATTCTGACATTGATCAGGCATTACAGTTGCATAGAGTCGCCTCAGGAAATGACAAGTCATAAATGGCATGTGATTGGCAGGTGGGTGGGGGCTAATCTCTCAGGAACTGCATGATAAGTGAGGGCAGGGCTAGAGTCACAAGTGGGATGGAATCCCTTCTGCCACTACCTCCACTATCTTTCTGCCACCGTCTCCCTTTCTTTCCCCCTCTCCTGGCCTTTCCTCCCTCCTCAGTGGATTGACAGGAAATGGACACTTGACAGAGGTCAGAACTGACTGCTTTTGAAATTAGGCCAAGGGGTGCTTGCTGAACTACAGCTCCCATCATCCCTGGCCATTGGCCATGCTTGCAGGGACTGATGGGAGTTGGAGTCCAACAGCATCTGGAAGGCCAACTGTTCCCACCCCTGTGAAAAGGTAACGGAAACTTATTTTCTTTTTGCTGGACGGGAGAATCGTGAATCCTGAGTTCTCTGCAATTGCCTCAGAATTGCAATTTAGTGGGTTAGGGAGCCAGTCCTCCCAAGTATTCTCTGGGAAGTATCTCTATGACTTAAATGTTTTGTTAGATTAGGGGCATGCTTGAGCTCTAGGTCCTACAGTTCTCAGCTTCTCTGTTTTGTTTTTTTGCAGGGAATCCAGTTCCTGGTGGAAAATGAACTGTTGCGCTCCACCCCCGAGGACATTGCCCGCTTCCTCTACAAAGGGGAAGGACTCAACAAGACGGCCATTGGCGACTACCTGGGCGAGCGGTGAGAAGGGTCGGGGAATGTGGGAGGAATAGCCTCAAAGAAGTGACCATTTATAACCCACCGTGGTGGTGGAGCTTTGGAGTCTCCAGGACCTGGGAAAGGATCATAGGGATGGGGTGAGAAGTAGCTTTGCCTAGCAGAGGGAGTGTAGTCAGCAGGAGAGAAACAAGGGTGTGGGCCTAGCTGACTGAGGGGGTTCAAAGGGGAGGTCTTAACTGTAGCTCTCTCCACCTTTTATTCAGGGAGGAGTTTAATATCGCAGTACTCCACGCCTTTGTCGATTTGCATGAATTTACTGACCTCAACCTTGTGCAGGCGCTCAGGTGAGTCTGGGAATCCTCAGCCCTCCTCTAGAGTTGAGAGCCCTGGCCTGCTGGAATAGGTCTCTCAGCCTTTTAGCTGCAGGTTCTCGCCTTCTCTCTTCCTGTGCTGGGTGGGAGGGGAGGCGGGAATGGCACCGGCAAAGTGGCGTTTTCCTCAGCCAGAGATGAGCACTCTTGGCTCTTTTCCTCTGCTTCAAAAATACATCCCAGTCTTGAAGTGTAACGGTTGCCTTCCCACAGACACACCACGTGGCCACAAGCAAAGAAGACAAGGTGGGGCCCTTGTATGCTCAGGCTTTGTACACACCATACATTTAAAGCACATGACTTCCTTCAAGAATTCTTGGGGACTGTAGCTTACCCCTCACAGAGCTATGATTCCAGGCACCCTTAACAAACTACAGTTCCCAGCATTCCTTGAGGGAGAGAGAGAAACCTCCTGTGCAGTCACGTGTCCCTCCCGTTCTCCTTGAGCACAGCTTTTTTATTCCCAGTACACAGAATTCTGTCAGCTGCATGTGCATAGTTCTTGTGTAAATGTGATTATATCGGGAACCTTCATTGGAAAGCTGCTTCACCACAGGAAAGCAGCAAATGAAAGGCACCATAAGGAGGCTTTCAGGCATTTCTTTTCAACAATGTTTCCCTCCACACACAAAAGAAAATCAGAGTAATCGAGCTAGAAAGGGGCTAGAACAGGGGTGTCAAACTCAAATTCATCGGGGGCCGCATCAGCAGTTTGGTCACCCTCAAAGGGCCAGTTGTATCTGTAGGACTATGTGTCCACTCTTTATTATCATAAATTATTGTCACTGCATTCAATTATTACTGTTTTTTCATATGTACTTACAGTACAGGAGAGAAGGGTTCAGGCAGCCGTTGGATCTGTCACATCACAGGATGGCATGCGCTCAATATAAAAACAAGTGGAGGTTTCCTGAATGCATGTAAAGTGGAAGTTTCCTGTGTAGAACGGCCGGCGCTGCTAGAGGGCAGACATTCTCTGGCTTGTAGGCTGCCGCGCATGCACTGAAGAGGCGGCTTTCTTGTGTAAAAAAAAAAAAAAGGCGAGAATAAAAGGTGAAGGCTGGCGGCCGGCGGCGGCTACACGGGCCACATGACGAGGTCTGGCGGGCCGGATTCTGCCCGCGGGCCTTGTGTTTGACACCCGTGGGCTAGAAAGTCGTCAGTTACAACACTGTCCTGGAGGTCCGTTCTGTTATATTTGCATTAACTTGCATGACCAAAATTACAAAATATTACATACAGAGAATAAGTGTTTACGGAGTAGGCATAAAAGCATAGAACTGTAGAGTTGGAAGGGTCGTCTAGTCCGACCTCCTGCAATGCAGGAATCTTTTTTGCCCGACATGGGGCTCAAACCCACAACCTTGAAATCATTCTTTTCTCTGTTCATGGTCTTCCCTCTAAACCCAATCTAGGCAATTCCTGTGGAGTTTCCGACTGCCAGGAGAAGCCCAGAAAATTGACCGTATGATGGAGGCCTTTGCCCAGCGGTATTGCCTGTGCAACCCGGGAGTCTTTCAGTCCACAGGTACTGGGTTCTCCGGAAAAGGGAATGCAACTCTTATCTGGTGCTAGGAATTGTGGGGCTCCTGTGTTCTCCGGGATGGAAAATAAATTCAGTTATGCCGATCACATTCAGGCAATCCTATCTTGGCTTAATAAGACAAGAGAGGAACGAGCCTCCTTCACCTACCTGCCTGCTGCTGCTTTGCTCCTCTCTTTGCAAAAGCTGGGAAACAAACCAAAGCCAAACAAATCCAAACAAAGGAAACTCTGGCTGAGGGCGGAAGTAGAACCATCCGCAATTGCACTGCCTCCTCTGTATTTTGTAGGATCAGCACAGAAATCAGTCAGAAAACTGTTAGAGCTGCAGAGCAATCAGCTTTAATTGACACCACTCACAAATATTTCATAGAATTAAAGCTTTTATTACTGCAAAGTCAGAGAGTCTTGGCAGACGACTTAAAAGATTTTTCTGCCTGTGGTAGCAATTGTAACGAGATGTTCTAGATGCTGCGCAGTTTTTAATTCTTATTGCTTCATTTATTTCGTATTGTATTTTATCATCTTCTATTTTGCTCAGATTGTTGAAAAGCGGTATACAAGAAATGAAGGAAGCCACAAACATACAATTAAAAATCAGTACAAATAGTTGTTTGTGCTGTTTTATTTATCTATACAGTGGTACCTCGGGTTACATACGCTTCAGGTTACATACGCTTCAGGTTACACACTCCTCTAACCCAGAAATAGTGCTTCAGGTTAAGAACTTTGCTTCAGGATGAGAACAGAAATTGTGCTCCGGCAGCGTGGCAGCAGCAGGAGGCCCCATTAGCTAAAGTGGTGCTTCAGGTTAAGAACAGTTTCAAGTTAAGAACAGACCTACGGAACGAATTAAGCACTTAACCCGAGGTGCCACTGTATATTTTGCCGCTTCAACCTAAATGAGCAGGGCCCTGGTGGGGGAACAAGGCAGCCTGGCTGCTAGCCCCCCCCCAAAGCAGAATTAGCTGCACAACATGGACGTGCCGAGGCAGGTACTGAGTTCTTTTCCTCTGTTCCTTCCCCTCCCTGCCGCAGATACCTGCTACGTCCTCTCCTTCGCAGTGATCATGCTCAACACCAGCCTCCACAATCCCAACGTCCGCGACAAGCCCACCGTCGAGAGGTTCATCACCATGAACCGCGGCATCAACGACGGAGGGGACCTGCCTGAGGAGCTGCTGCGGGTGAGAGGCCTGCCGGAGGGGAAGGGGAGGCCTGAAGGGGGGGTTTCAATGGGCCTGCTGCTTTGTTCTTTGGGCGTTTTTCTGGGAGAGGGGGAGGCCATCGTAGTCGTCTTCACCACTCAGGAATCCTCCGCCGGCTCGTGAGACGCTTTGACCTCCTTGATTTCAAAAAAAATGCCCTTCGTCGTGAGCACTTTTTCTACCTGGTGTTTTGTCTTCTCTGCTGTATCTTTGGTGGCCTCAGTGCTGTGCTGAAAACACACAAACACACACCCCTTTTCTCTCTGCCTTGGGAAGGGCTGTATCCTGCCTGTAACTCCTCCCCTTCCTCCCCATCCCCCCAGAATCTGTACGACAGCATCCGCAACGAGCCCTTCAAGATCCCTGAGGACGATGGGAACGACCTGACCCACACGTTCTTTAACCCTGACCGCGAGGGCTGGCTCCTCAAGCTGGGTGAGAGGTGGCCCCCACCCCCACACTTCCCTTTAAATACTGTGGTCTCTTTCCTCCCCCCTTCCGTTCCCCGCTGCCCTTCCCCTTGCCCTCCCCCTACCACCACCGCTACCCGCTCCCCCCGCGATCTTTGCACGTCTCTGCGCTCTCCTCTCTTCCCCCCCACCCGCCTGTTGTGTCATTTAAAGCATGACCTCTCTCTTCATCAGATCAAAGGGATCCTCCTGAAATCCACCCCAATAGCCCTTCCCCCACCCACCAGCAAATACATCATGACCCATTTGGACCCACTTCTCATCGGATTGCAAGGATCGGGCAGAAACCGGGATCCTCCCTCCTCTTCCCTTCCCCCTCCCCAGCTCCTCATTGAGGTGGATCTCCTCTGAAGGATGATGAGAGGGGTCTGCTGGGATTTCGGAATCCCTCTAAAAGTAGGAGAAGTCAGCTACTGAAATTTCTCTTAAAGCTCCTCTCTGGCGTCTTAATATTTCGCCAGTGGCTGCAGATAAGTTTTCAAGCCAACCTGAAGTGCTTGAAAGTGGCCTTCTTAAACTAACAAAAAAACCACCACCACTATGGGATCTACAGAATGCTGAAGCCTAAAACTGGTCCCATATTCAGTGTCTGATGTTCATCTGCTCCTTAATCATAATAAGTTCCCAGAATCGAGTCAGGGGTTACTAGTGAAATTCCCACCGGAATAACTTCTGCCAGAAAACAATCACATCTCTGTAGTCCCAAGACACATTGTTTGCTGGATCTGTTGCCTCGGGCAGCTTCCCAAGTCCTGAGCTGTATGTGGTTGAGGTGCTCCCAAACGGTGATGCCATTGCAGAGCTTGAATTGTAGAACATGGATGTCGCTGTCCAAGCAGCCCTGTAATAGATGTGCTGCCACAAATGGGCAAGGATTTTGTTTCAGAGCAGCAGATGGGTCAGAAATGGGGTTCTTTATCTAAGGGGATGAAAGGAACTTACACCGTATCCTCACACCAAAAACAAGTAACTCAGATGGAAGACTCCAAGGCCAGGGCCTTATACGGCTCGGTGAGGCTGCAGTTGGTCCTTGAGATGATTTAAGTGTCCAGAATAGGCTGCTACTGCTGTCCAGAAGCATAATGTGGCATCTTTGCGGTGGCAAGGCATAGGAGGTGAGTTATTGGGTCCTGACTTGTGGGAGCCCCTATTCAAGACCTCCATCCGCTGTCCTCCGCAGGGGGGTTGGCGTGAGGGTGGCCGTGCTTGACCCTGCTCTTCTAAACTTAGAGCAGCTTCAGTGAGGGCAGACCTTCCACCTCAGCCACCTCCTGTTCAGAGTAGAGGGCTACATGGAAGCCAAGTTTCATTACCACCACATCCTCCTTTCTGCCCTTGATGGGGGTGGGGGTGTCACCAGTATAATACGGTTGCCCATTGGCTGCCCTTGGCTTAGAGGCCAGCCAATCAAGAGCAAAGAGGAGAAGTGTTAGGAGGCTGAATCAGCACGGCTTCAAGATGGAGGCATCTGAAGAAAGCAGTGTTATTTTTTGGAACCCCCTAGCTCCCCACACAAAAGTGGGCAGCATAATGTACACACCTTTTTTAAAAAAAAAAAAAGGAGGAGGAAGTGGACTCGGAACCTCGATCCCTGGCCTGGTTAAGATGTCAAGATCCACCACAGCTTTTCCACAGCTCCCTGCGGAGGCTGATGTTTTGGAAAACCATTCCTACAATCGCTAATGCCAACCTCATCTACACTTTTAGCAGTAGGGTTTCTTGTGACGTGCCAGAGTTTAGGGGTCTACGTTATTTAGCCAAGTGACGCCCATGACCTTACGTCCACCCCAATAAAATTTTAAACCCTTCCTCCCTGTGCCTGCCCCTCCCACCCCACTCCTGATGCCCCCCAAATGCCTGTGTCTGTGTCGGAGGATTTTTGATTTGACCATGTACTTCTACCTTATGTTGATGTAACTTGTTCTCCTTTCTCTCTTTCTCTCTCCTTCTCTTCCTCTCTCTCTCTTGCTCTCTCTCTCTCTTTCTCACCCCCATTCTCTCTATCCTGACTCCCCGGTCCCCACCTCTCTTTCTCCCCTCTTTCCCCACCACTGCTGCCCTGACCCCCCTCTCTCCTCCACCGTCCCACGGCGCGGACTACATTTGTTCCACTGTCTGAATTCTGCCCCCCAACCCAGGAGGTAGGTGAGAAGAGGGGGGCATGTGTGCTTTGCCGCCGAGAGCTGGTTTGGTCTCTTTGGAGGGGAGGCGGGGGGCGGGGTTGGAAATGAATTGTGCTGGGTGCTCAGGGACAGATTCAGTGGGCTAGGAATGGAAGACTAAATATGGAACTTGGGTTCCTTTGTTGACTGGAAGGGGTACACATCTTCATGCATTCATCTTCAGCCAGTCGATCAGGAGGACCCACAAATGGGTCACACCATGACCTATAGTGGGTTTCAGTAGTAGCATCCTGACAGAGAGAAAATCAGAGAGAGGGTGACCAGATGCAGCAGAGGACAGGTATACCATAACCTTTTAATACGGTGTTTCTCAAACTTGGGTCCCCGGCTGTTGATGGACTACAACGCCCATCATCCCTGGCTACTGGTCCTGCTAGCTGGGGATGGTGGAAGTTGTAGTCCAACAACAGCCGGGGACTTTAGTTTGAGAAACACCGTTAGCTGAGGATCTTAGGTAATAAATTGGAAATAAAGCTGCCAATATCATAAAGCCTTCATATAAATCTGTGCTTCCACTGTCCTTGGAAGGCTGACTGTAATTCAAGTCACTGCACCTCAGAAAGTATATTATGGTGCTGAGAAAGGGCAGCTCTAATTTTCAAGAACTATTGTGCTAATGTCCTACCTGTGGAAACAGAATGCTGGGCTATCCCAAAGACCCCGCTAGCCCAACAGCCTGGCCTGATAACAGCAGAACTCTTGTTATGTACTTACTTGTTAAAGAAGATGATTGTGTGCAACCTGCAAGCACAGAAACAAAACACCCACAGCAAGAGCAGGAGAGGGCTGTGGCTTTCAAGCCCTGCTCAAGGGCTCCCCAGAGGCATCTGATTGGCCATGGTGGAAAAGCAGGATGCGGGGTCCCTAAGAGGGAAGGAATATCTGCAGCCCATAGCCTAACCCATGAAGGCATGGGGAAAAGCAAGGGAAACAGAGAAATTTCGCACACACACAGTTTTTCAGAAACAAATAGGGGTGGGGAAATGGAAGGACAAATTTTCCAGGCCTTCACATCCCTAGCTGAAATACCCTCTTCGTAACTGTTAAAAGCAGAGGAGCCCTCCCCACTCTTGCATCTGGTCACCCTAGAGAGAAGCAGGAAAGTGGGAGGTGTTTATTAAAAAGAAAAGGAAGAAAACAACAGAGAGTGGGTCCCATGTTAACAGGGGTCCTGAATCTGAAAGACAGAGGACTACTATCTTAATGGGTAAGGTGAGAGGAGCAGAATGAAGGGAAGTGTGTGTTTGTTTTAGATCAAAATGGGGAGCTTAAAGGGGGGGGTCCAGGATGAACTGAATTTTTCCAAAATCAGTGTCCCCCAAGGGCTGAAACATTTGCCCACTGGCATATATGAGACACCTCCAGCTAGACGTGCAGACATGCAAGCGTATTCACCTTGCCTGAAGCCAGGAATGTCTGTTGGCTTTGTGGAAGCATCTGGGAGTAAGAATTTGGGGATAAGTCTGAGCTTTGTAGAAGTAGTTGGCCTTCAAGCCTGTAGCAACCGCTTGCCTTGCATGCTGAAACTGGTGGCGGTTCCCTGGAGGTCCATATCATCAGGAGTCCTTTTACTGAATATGTGAAGTGGTGTTTATTCAGGAAAACCCAGTTCACCAGCAAAATCTTCCTCCCATAGAGCTTGAAAACACATTGGAAGCATCCTAAGCTGGCAAGTCCTCTTCCGGAAGAACCTTGCCTAGAGGCAAAAATGCCTTTTTCAAATTGCAGCTCTGTTTTCTTTTTGGCGGGGGTGGGAGGGGTCACCACAAGGCTAGTCCTGCCCCCCCCCCAGTTGCAAAACAGCAGGACATAACTTGCTGGGAGGCTGCCTTAGAGGATGCTGAATGAGGCACAAGCCCTCCACTGGTCATTTTCATCTCAAAGTAGCCAGTGCTTGCAAAGCAAAAGCCACACAAGAACGAAAGAGAAAATATATCCCACAGACTCCTATTCTACAGGAACTTCCTCCCACACTTGCAGTTGTGCTTTGTGGTTACTTTGAGTGTTTGCTGCCAATTTCCTTCTTCCCACCCTGGGGTGCCATTTTCAGATTCCCCTTTGTCGTTTGCCTCCCCTCGTCAGCTTTTTGTTTGTTTATTTTGTTTCCTTTTCTTTTCACACTTCTGCTGAATCTTTTTCGTTGCGTCGGCTCTGTCCGTAAGCATGGCTTCCCGCCCCCGAGGCTCCACGGGTGGGGAAGGGTTAAGTGGCGGAAAGAAAATGCATCAATGCGAGCACAAATCCCTCCCCCCTCCCTCCTCTTTTGCTTTCAGGAGGGCGAGTGAAGACGTGGAAGAGACGCTGGTTCATCTTGACTGACAACTGCCTCTATTACTTTGAATACACAACAGTTAGTACGGTTTCTCTCCCCGCCTGCTCCCATCCCATGCTCCCACCCTTAACCAGCAACCTGGCACCCAAGAGCCCCAGCCCAGGGCAGTATCTGCCGCCCAAGAGTGCCAAACGGCCAGGGTCGGGAGGAACAGAGACCGAGGAGGGCAATGGAGGAAGCTGCCTTATACTGAATCAGACCTTGTGGTCCACCTAGTTCACTGTTGTCTACAGTGATTGGCAGGGGCTCTCCGGGGTCTCAGATAGGGGACATTCCCAGCCCTGCCCTGGAGATAACCAGGGAATGAACCTGAGGCCTTCTGCCTGCAAAGCAGATAAATGCTCTGTGGCTGAACTTTGGCCATTCCTAAACCCGGAGCATGGCAGCTCCTCCAGAGTTCTTTGCTTGGGGCAGAGAGGGTAGGACACGGGGAATAGTCCTGCAAGTTCAGCCCTGTCTGGGTCAGCAGAACCAGCAACAAACACACCACCCTTCACATCCCCCCCCCAAAAAAAAAAGCTTGGCCACAAACAAAAGAACAGGAGTGCCATCTGGCATGCCAAGTGCTACAGTGTTGAAGAAGGTGCCAGCCCTGCTTGTTTGCAACAGTGGCAGAGGGCTGAAGCTGGAGGAGCCCTGAGGTCTGAGCTGCACCCTTCCCCCAAGTCTTCTTGGATCAGGCCCTTGCCCTCCTCTCCATTCCCTTCCCAGCTCAGGTTTCAGACACCTTCCATTTCAGCTCCATCTCTCTCTCTTTAATCCACTGACAGGACAAGGAACCAAGAGGAATTATCCCTCTGGAGAACCTGAGCATTCGGGAAGTGGAAGACCCTCGGAAACCAGTGAGTTAGCACTGCCGTATGCCGTTTTTGCATCTTGGCTGTGGTTCTTTGATTTGATGCCCCATTAAAATCAGCATAACTACTGGGTTGCAGCATTGCAATTGTTATTCATTCCTCTTCTGTCTATTTAAAAAAAAAAAAATCCATAAGATTCCTTTAAATTTCATGCATTTAAGCTACATTAGGAATTATCCCAGGAACTGCACTAAGATATAGCCAAATACATTCCTAGAAATTCCCAACGCACTTTTTATATGACGTTCAAGTTCCAGTTATTTAAGAATCTTACATGGTTTTCATTATTATTTTTTAACTCTCTCATTAATTTAACGATGTTACCAAATTGCTGCTTTAACTTTTCCTTTGTTTGGTGGGGGAGGAACTTCCATTCCGCCTTTCTGCTGTCACAGAAAATGGTGAGGAGCTCTTAATAGTAACAGCAGCAATTTTTGAAAACACAAAATGTTAATCCCATGATGTTTTCCTGCCCACTTGCTGGTTGCGAGATCCCGTGCGGTCAGCCTCCCCACCTGCCTTCTTCCTCCTGTGTCCTGCCTAGCCCTCTTTCTGAACTTCTGGAGAGGCACGGGGGGGGGGGGAGGCTGCTCACAGACACCTGCCATTCTCAGGGATTTCTCTCTCTCTCCCTTTTCTTTGTTATTAGAATTGCTTTGAGCTCTACATTCCCAACAACAAGGGCCAGCTTATCAAAGCCTGCAAGACAGAGGCAGACGGGCGTGTGGTCGAGGGGAACCACATGGTCTACCGCATTTCGGCGCCAACGCAGGAGGAGAAGGATGAATGGATCAAATCCATCAAGTGAGGATAAGGCACCATTCCATTCGGGGGGGGGGGTCCTGGGAATCCTACCCCCATCAACAGCATTTTCTTCCTGCATCTCTAGCCAAGGAATGGAGAACCTGTGGTCCTCTAGAGGTTGCTGGACATGCAACTACCATCACTCCTGGTCATTGGCTGTGCTGGCTGGGGCTGATGAGAGCTGAGCATCCAGAGATACCTGGAGGGGGCCATAGGTTCTGCAGCCCTTCTTAAAGCCTTAGATACCACACTCACTTCCCAGAGAATTTGACACACCTCCTTCAGATTTCTAGAGCTCACTTATCCTAGGGCATCTCTCTTTAGGCTCCCCAGGCCCATCCTTAACCTCAACCTGAAATATACCTTGATCTTTTAATTCAGCCTTTTGGAGAGCCGCTTTAATTTAAAAATGTATTTGGGGACCATTTTTTCTTTTTGCTATTTGTTTTTATTTCTTTATTTATTAGACTCATCTCTCGCCCTTCATAAGATCTCAGGGCAGTTCACACGATAAAAATATAAGGTAAAAGTACAAATAAATAGTTGAAACAAAAACAACCCAACAATACCCTTCCTCCCAAATAAACACATTTAAAAGGCTATAAATATTAATCAGGCCTGGTTGAAGAGGAACGTTTTCGCCGGATGCCTAAAGATATATAATGAAGGTGCCAGGCGAACCTCGCTGGTATTTATATGCTGCTGCAACCCACCTTAGATCAGGCTGCAACATAGGTCCCAAGACATTTGAATGTATATCTTCCTTGTCCAGTTTTTGACTTCCCAGCTTTTTCAGGGCACATCTGGCATTGTGGACATGCTGGTTTACGAGATGCCTTTTCCCTAAGAAAGCCTGGGATATGATGCTCAGGGGAGGCAAAGCTGCTGCAGATCTTGCATTCCCAGCGAGCGTAGGCAAGCTGCCTTATCCTGAACCAGACCATTGGTCTATCTAGCTCTGTATTGCCTGCACTGACTGGCAGCGGCTCTCCAGGGTTTCAGGCAGGGAGTCTCTCCCAGCCCTGTCTGGAGTTGCCAGGAATTGAACCCAACACCTTCTGCATGCGAAGCAGAGGCTCTGCCCCTGAGCTGCGGCCCTTCTGCAAGGATTCCTAGGAGCTGATGGGCAGGGAGGGAGAAGGCAGCTGAGCAAGTTAGAACTGGTACATTTTGGGGAGACCCTGGGGCTATGAACCGAGAGCTTCTCCCAAGGCTGGCACATTCATTTAAATTTCCTTTGCTGATTTCCCCCCAGCCATTGAGATCAGGAATCGGACAAAGCTTTTAAATGATGGTTAAACTATTTTTTTCTCAGATGAAAATGAAATTAAAGCATCTCCCTCAGAAATCTGACCTGCAGCGGCATTGCAGGAAAACTTGGGGTTGATCGGATGAGAAATTAAGTAGGTTTGTTAGTTTGAGAAAGGTTGTGTTAAGAGTGTAGCCATGACACCTCTTTTCTTAAGAGGGTGGGTGGTGTGACAGCTGCGGTCAGAGCGTGATGCGGCTGCGGAGCTTAGGTGTGATGCATTTGCTGTTTTGGAAAAAGCAACACAGATAGTGAGTCACCCATTCTAACCCTTACTTGGAAAACCCCCAAATTCACAGGCTCCCTTTCTCATTACACTAAAGATTTCTCAAAATGTTTCTCTTTTGCTCTGACTACAACAAACATAATTTCACCCTCTCTCTTTTTTCCCCTTCCCCCGCCCCAGCTTTCTACTCCTTTTAAGTTACATAATAAGAGTAGTATAGAAACATTTGCTTAAGTCAGTCTCACATTACTAGCTGCAGACCACTGACCTGGAGCAGATACAGTGACTCTCTGGCCCTCCAGAAGTTGCTGAACTACTGTTCCCATCAGCCACAGCAAGTAGGGCCAGTGGCCAGCATTGATGGAGTTGCAATTTCAGCAACATCTAGAGAGTCAAAGGTTCGTCAGGCCTAGCCTAGGAATCCTGGCTCTTCCTCTGTTGAATCACAGTCCTCTCCCAAGAAGGGAATAGACCAGAAGTCTTGCATCCTAGCTGTGGCAGGGACCATTCCTACCATTAGGAGCAGGTGCGCAGTTTCCTGCTTCTCCCTGCTTTCCCCATATGTCCGGGCTGTGTTCTGATTTCCTCTTCATCCCATCTCCTACACTTCAGGCAGTCTGTGTCTCCCCCACCCCACCCCCCTCTTAAGTGTTTATCATGCTTACCTTGTCAAAGATCCATATGTTACCTGATTTTGTTCCTTATGGGCTGCATGGAATGCAAGCAAGGAGAGAGACAGGTTGCTGGCAGCAGACCAAGGTTGGGACAGTGCTTGGTTCTTTCTGACAAACCAGACTCCACCAATCCCAGAACTCCTTGACCCATCCAAAACACGGTGTGCTGTGCCACACCAGCTGGGACAGAGCAGAGTGCCATGCAATGCCAGAGGCTTTCCCCCCAGGCACACACATCCCTCATGACCTGGCAACTCCCTGACTGGTGGCTGACCTGTCCCCATTCCTCCCTTTGCCCCTCCCAGGGCTGCTGTGAGCGTGGATCCATTTTACGAGATGCTGGCCGCCCGCAAGAAACGGATCTCGGTGAAGCAGAAGCAGGAGCAGGCATGAAGCGGGGGTCCTCCTGCCCCTCCTCCTCCCTCCCTGCGCTCTACCTTCCTGCATCCCCTCTAGGACCTGCCGACAAACCCACCTGCGTTGAGCTCCATGAAACCAACCAGCCAATCCCCTGCCCCCTTATCCTTTGGATCGTTGGACCACCACGCAACTCTGCCAGCCTGATGGCATGCCAGCACACCCGACGCCCTCTGCCCGCCTTCCCCTAGTTCACGTCTCCAGAGCTTCCACTTGGCCTTTTGGGATTTGCCTATGGGGGCATGAACTTTGTCTGCGCCAGGGACTCTGCAAGAGTCTGAAGTGGGCCTTCCTGTTTTGGGGGGGCAGCTTCTCCCTCTCTGAGTGGTATCTTGTCTTATGCCCCCCAGCAGACTCAGGCAGATGCCTTTGAAGCCCCCTCTGCAGCTTGACCCCACCTGGACTTCAGAGGGCGACACGCTGGGACTACATTAAGGGAAGGTTTGCCGCCTGATTGGACCTTCAGACTATACCTGTTTATGCTTCCCCAGTTTAGAGCCAGTCTACATGCTCAGAATAATAAGGAGATGGGAAAGCTCTCTCAGGACTGTACCACTTCAGAATGCAGGCGGGAAATTGCACGCTTCCCCTGGCCAACTGCATAAAAACAGCATCCTGCACACCTAAGCAAAGCATGTGCAAGAGTAAGCTAGTGTGTCTCTCTGATATGCTAGTTTTCTCTGTAGGGGGAGGTTTCTTCGGTTTTGTTTTTACCGCAGGGGAATATTCGGTCCCCTGATTTCCCCCACCTGCATTCTAGTTCTGGTGCAGTCCCGGGAGAGTTGTTCCACACCCATTTCCCTGAAGGTGTAGGCCACCCCTTAGAGTCTGTTGCCAAACCAGCTACACTGTGTCTCCCCGTATTCCGGCTCTGAGCCTCTAGTAAGTACCAAGGGCTGTACTGCTATACCCCGTTAAGTTGGCATTTGCGAAAGGAAGTGAACATAACTGACAGCCACGAGGGGGAAGCAGGGAGCCAGACAGACCAATGCAAACACTGACACAATGTCAAACACTACCCAGTTCCTCTACAGCAGGAATAGCCAGCACATTTGTGTAACTTGACAGCTCTTGACTCTTCACAGCCAGGGGACAGGGTTGGAAGAAACCTTCAGTCCCTCTTTACTGCCGTCACTGCCATTTCCAAGAAACTGAGCTGCTACTCACAAACCTTTGCAGAGGCAACTGGACCATTGTCTGCGAAATCAGTTCTGCTTTTCCCCGCTCCAAAGTCCTTCTCTGTTCAAAGACTTTGATGCTCAAAGACTACCATCAAGAAATCTGGGGCTTCCCTGTCCCAAATGTCTCCATACCTTTGAAAGAGGAATCTGATAGGGAACTTTGACTTCAGACCAGCGATCTCTGTAAGAAGGCATCTCCTGTGCTGAGACGACACAGTGGAAGTGGTTGATGCCAAAGTTCTGCCTGGAATGAACTGAAATTTGAAGCAACACCCTCTTCTCCTTCTCCTTCTCTTTCTCTCCCCCACCCCACCCCAATCCCATCCCTCCCTAAACAGTTTACTTCAAGGTTAGGACTCCTGTCTAAAACCAAAAGGCTCTTCCATAACGCAAAACAGATGAGCATTCCCTGAACACACTTTGACCTCTCGTGGCTGAAAAAATCAGGATGGTTCAATGTTGGATATTCCCCACCTTCCCCAATACATGCCGCAGGAAGTCAAACCCAAATAAGTAGTTGATGAGGTCAGAGGCCAGGATGTGATGTTTCCATATAAATTAACCCGGAGTAAAAGAGAGTGACCTTTTGAATGTGCTGAAGATCTAGCTTCTACAGCTTCTAACCAGATAAAGCTCTAAATTATTGGGTGGGACATTGTACCTCCACGTCCCACAACTCTCTAACTAGAAATCTCGTCTTCCACCACTTAACTTGCCTCAGGCAAACCCTTGGGTATGGCAGCTGGGGTCCTGCAGGACTTATTACGGTCCTGAGGTGTGATTGCTGGAGCCACGTGAAGCGCTTTTCAACTAAAGTTTATAAACTCCTTTGCGAAGACCTGGTTAGATTTGCTGCAAAGTGCTTGTAAGCCTGCAAAGGTCTTTGACTGCAACAGGAGTGTGGCCTTGTCTTTTTCTGCTGTGAGCATTTTAAACTTCCCATTACCCGCAAGCCAGGGATGAAGTGCATTTTTTTAGGACAGCGGCCATTTTAAATCCTTGAAACATAGGTAAATCTGGTTTGAGGCATCCTGGATTTAAAAGGGATGTAGTTTGGTCTCAGTCACAGTGAGATCCACTCTTTCCGTATGGAAGAAAGGCAAAAGGATTCGAGGCAGGACAAGCAAAAGAAAACGGTTTGGTATTAATTTTCAGTTAATATGGGTGTGTGAGAGGGAGAGCTATTCTGTTTGGGTGTAACTGACATGGTAAGGGCCAAGTTTAATTAGAACTTATAGAAATTATGTGTCATTGACTGTCTGAATCGGGTCACTTGATATTAAAGATGGCAAACCAGCCGTCTTTATTCTCTCAATTCAACTTTTCCAAATTTATGGGAAGCATATATTTACAATTATTCTGCTGAACAGGCCATTCCCCTTGCGCAATTAAATTATTTCATTGCTCCCAAAGCGCCTGGAAATGTTGATCCTAGCAGCTGTCATCAGTCACCCACTCTTCCCCGAAATCCTAGAAGCCTGTATTCTATACTACTAGAACCCAATTCTAGGAAATTCCAAGTTTACAGCCCTTTTCCTGTTAGATCTCACTGCCTTGCCATAGTCCCCTTTTAGTTCTGAGAAAAACTCCTGACTTTAAATGTGCCTGCATTGAACAGGCACTTTTTTCTAAATGCAAATATCAGCTACTCTGGAGTGGGGTGCTGATAATTATCAGGATTGCAGCAGGCAGGGAGGGGGAGTTTGACACATCACCTGGCAAAAAATTGTGCCTCCCAAGCTGCTGTTTGCATTGGGATGGCAGCTCCACTTGCACATTTTAATGAGCATGACTGCAGCAAGAAAAGGAAAATATTCAATTCCTCCTCCTGCCCTACTGCGATCTTAATAATTATTCACCACGATCACCATGGCTGTTTGCATTTCTAAAAGAGTGCATATTAATTATAAATGTGCATTTAATGTCACTGATAGTTTGGCTCTGAGTCCTAGTTTTTCTCTCTGGCCATTTGTGGCTAGTTTTCTCTCCAGCATCACGTGCAAACAGCTTCTCTCTCTTCCCCACCTTCATCCCGCCTCCAAATCATCTCATTTTTTGACTTTTACAAGAAGCTATTCACATGGTAGCTCTGGCAACGCCCAGAATTGGTGCAATTGAAAGATGAGGACTAGTTCTACAGCAATATCAATGGTAAAATTTTACTCTTACCACCCCTCCCATGGCAAACTTCTCATTGTGGATTTGTATACCTGTGTTGCTGGAGTGGGGGCAATATAGCAGCCCCCACCTGTTCCAGAACAAGAAAGAAAGAAAAGTGGGCATTTTTTCTTGTTTTTAAATCCATTTCCTTTTATGATGACGATGTCTCTTTTTTAAAAAAGAAAAAACATGTTAATTATTATTTAAATTTTAATGTATGCATCGTTGGATGATATGTAAACACTGCAGACTTGTCTATGTGTTGCAGGAGTCTTTATTATTAGTATTAACTGAACCTGAAAGAGCCAAGATGGAGCAATTGCACACAGTTGGGGGGAAACTGAATCATTTTTCCCAATTTGGGGAATGGTGAGTACAGCTAAATGTGGGCTGGACTGGGGGACCTGTGGCCCCACAGGATATCATTGGGTTTCACCTCTCGTCAGCCTCTGCCAGCATTGCCAATGGTCTGGAGATGATGGGGGTTGGAAGTCGAGCAACATCATGGTTTACCACCCTTGAATCAAAGGTTGAGAGAACAAGCTCTTCCTTTGGGATCTAACTGAGAAAGTAAGCTGGTTTTGGGGGCCCAGCAAATGTACAACCTCACCCCCTCTCTGGTGTAGTGATGGGTGAGCTCCACTCTCTTCCCCATTCCAAAAAAAAATGGGGAATATAGTGGTACCTCGGGTTACATACGCTTCAGGTTACAGACTCTGCTAACCCAGAAATAGTGCTTCGGGTTAAGAACTTTGCTTCAGGATGAGAACAGAAATCGTGCTCCAGCGGCACGGCAGCAGCAGGAGGCCCCATTAGCTAAAGTGGTGCTTCAGGTTAAGAACAGTTTCAGGTTAAGAACGGACCTCCGGAACGAATTAAGTACTTAACCCGAGGTACCACTGTAGCTCATCTTATTTCCAAATCCAAATTTGGAGTGAGTCTCCTATGTATCAACCCAGTCCTCTTCACCACACCCATCTCTTCCCTCCATCCTTTCTTATGAAGACTGGTGCTTTGAAGTACTCCAGTAGCAACAAACGGGGAGAAAGGTGGAAAATCTCTCGTACCTCCCTGCTGTGAAGCAGCCTCTGAGAAACAGCCATTCCAGGGTTTGCTTTCAGCCAGATGTTGGCCCTCTGCATAGCAACACATCAGGCAAAAGGATGGGGGACTTTCACAGAGCACCAGCTCTGTGCAATATGGTTCAAAGGTGTAGCCCATGACTGGGGACAGGGATTCCTCTCGGGATCAGATTGAACTTTCTCCAGCTCAATTGAAAATCTGAGCCAGAGAAGAACCATGTGTACTGCTCACTTTGCATTTGAGCTGAGCCTTTTGGGTCCAGGCATTGTATTGATTTGGGAAAGCAAAAGGGGAAATGTCAGATAATATCAAGGGTGGACATCAACTACAGCTCCTGAGACCAGCTTGCTGTGGAGAAGCGGAAGCAAGATACTGCCTTTCTCCCCACCCCCTTCCCTGCTTCCTGGAGCCAGACTATATCTCTCTATTGGCCTTGGGGTCACTAATGCATCCTTCCTGAAGCTATTAATACTTTGCTGCTCTGCTGACCTTGCATGTCCATCCCACAGCTGAGGGGCCAGATCTGGCCTGAGCCACTGCTAATGAGATCAAGAACAAGTGAATGACCTGCCTGGACACGAGCCAAAGCAATGCTGGAATCACTTTTCTCCAAATGAAATTCTCAGGTTTTCCCCTTGAGAATTTTGATGCAAGATATCCACTGGATATTCTCTGAACGTTATTAGCAATTGCTCATAATACCCTTATTCTTCCCTCCATAGCAATTCACACACGTTCCTGGAACATATCCCATCTGCTCAGCTGACGGGGTCAAAAACTGCTAAGCTCTCTGCATTGCGTTGCCAAATGTTGACTGAATATTTCATATCTCTGTTCAATACGTCTTAGCTGACGGTATATTAGGGATGGTATCCAGTATTTGATAGCTGAAATGCAATTAGGGCTGCATACACTCTTCTCTCCCTGAAAGGTAGTCAACTGTCAAACTCCATAAATGACATTCAGTAGTTAAAAGCATGAGCTGTAAATCTGGGTGGGAGCTCAAATCTCCCCTTGATCATAATCTTTCTTGTGTGTCCGTGTCCAGTTCTTACTTGCAGCCTCCATGCCCACAATATAAGGATAACATATTCCCGCAATAGTTTTGTCATTGAAAAAAACTTGAAAATCAGCCTCAGAGGCAGCAAAAGCAAGTTGAAAAGTAAAAAAAGAAGCCTCAGAGGCTGCAACTGGGAATAGCAGAATAGGGGGTTGCTTAACCCTTTCCAGCTGGTTTTCTGGTCAATCCCTGCCCAACTATGCCACCTGATTTTTCCATCAACAAGAGAAAAACCAGAGGTTTCCCTTCACTCTTAAGAACTATTTTAAGAGGGTATTGGGGAGGGGTATTTTGAGGTTGGAAAATAATTCCTGGAGAAAAAACGCAGCATCTCCCCCACCCTGCCATTCTTCCACTCAGCCTAGCAGCCCTGCTAAAACTGCTTGTACAGTGGTACCTTGGTTCTCAAATGCCTTAGTACTCAAACAACTTGGAACCCAAACACCACAAACCCGGAAGTAAGTGTTCCGGTTTGTGAACTTTTTTCAGAAGCCAAACGTGCTCCGTTTTGAGTGTTACGCTTCCGCTTTGAATGTTACGCTGAGGTCTGTTTTCGCTATTTATTTTGCATTTTTGTTTTTGCGGCTTTTTTGTTTTGTTTTTGTGACTGTGTGGAACCCAGTTCAGCTACTGATTAATTGATTGATTGTGTGACTGCAGTACATTGTTTATTGCTTTCATTTCATGGATCAATGGTCTCGCTAGGTGGTAAAATTCATGTTAAATTGCTGTTTTAGGGTTTTTTTTTAAAAGTCTGGAATGGATTAATCTATGGGAAAGCGCATCTTGGTTTTGGCATGAACTTCCAGAACAGATTAAGTTTGAGAACCAAAGTACCACTGTATTTAAAAGAAATGTGGAGGAAAGTCAAGGTCTAGTTTGATCATGAGCTAATATCTGGGGTCTAGGACAAGTGCTATCTAGATGCAATGTGTGTTATGAAAGAAACATTTGGAGTCTTAAAAGCAAAGACCATAAAGCATGTGGGAAAGGGTTGCAGTTACTTTGGCAGGTTTATTGCATCCAGTTTGAAGTATGAAAATTCAATTAACATCATACCCCCATGTAGCTACACCCATTCCACAAATGAACGCTATCAAAGCCCAGGAAAAAAAACAGTATTTACAAAGAGAGAGAGAGTGATAGAAAAACCTATGCTAAGTTTATATATATATATATGATATATATATATGTACACACATACACAAGAGAAGACATTTGGTGTTTATTTGGAGCAAACATTAAAACTCTGGTCTGCATCCTTCACTGATTCCAACAAAGCTAGGTTTTCTGGCTTCTAGGCCCCTCCCTTGAAAGCCAAAACAGATGTGATGTAAGATATTCCTGATCTGCCATTACTGTAGATCTGCAATGGATAAAGCTAGCTGCTTCAAAATGATTTAATTCCAACATCACATCTGTTTCAGCCCTTTCTCCCTTGCAGTCCCAATCAGGTGTGGGGAATCTTTGCCGCTCCTGATTCTACAGAACTACAACTCCCATCTGCCCCAGCAAGCATGGTCAATGGCCAGGGGTGATGGGAGTTGTAGTTCACCAGTATTGGGGTGGGGAGGCAAAGGTTCCCCACACCTGGTGTAGGCAGGCTCCTCCAGAGTTTGGATATCCTTGCTTCTAGGCACACCTGCTCTCTTGCACTGGACCTCACTTTTATACTCTTATCCACAACGTAGTTGTATTCCTCTTTCTATTTATAATGGAGGGGTCCAATATATTGCCCTACATTTACTAAAATGACAATCAATACAGATCCGTACAACCATTTTGCCATTGTTTTTCTCCAGCACGTACTGTGTTTTTGCAGTTAATCTGTGTCGAATGTGTGTATGAGACTAGTTCATGGCATTTTCCATGTGACCAAGCACTTATTTTCAACCTGGTCTGTGTCTTCCATCCTGTGTTCTAATGTGCATGTTGTGAGTGTCAGCTGTAATGAGGGTTGAGAATGTGAAGCACTGAACTGGGGTTTGTATATACGAGCAAATGTAGCAACCAGGCATTCCCTTTGTCGCAGCGCATCAAAATCTGAGCTGCCACCAACAACAAAATATGCTTTTATGGTGATGTGCATTATGGATTTATGGTGTTTCCAGAATCTGACCGAATCCCATCAACCCACGTATCAGCTTGCTTCTAGACTTTGGCCCATGGCTTTTGTGTTTCATTCAGCCCATGTCTACATTACACATTTGGAATAATTTCCCTCAAACAGTTGATTTTCTTGATAATAGGTGAACATATCTTGAAATATTTACAAATCAGCCTAAGATACGCAAACTAGTGGAACTGGGTTAAAAACCTTTAGGAAAATGGTCATGTGAATCCACATAAGGAGAGAAGCATCAGTGTAGAGGCACACGTTTTATACATATTGACAAAGAGAGCAAAATATTCCTACAGATCCTCCCCAAATCTTATAGGAAGGCCTAGATCCTGGAAGTTGTTCCCAAGGAGCGGAAAGGAGATGTTAAAATCAACAAAGGTTCCAGAAGCGAGCTCCACCAAGTTTTGGGATAACTCATGGACGGGCTAAGATTGATACACAGAACTTTAACTCTCCTAATAGGATGTGTAGGGTGTATTTAATTGGTCAGTATGTTTGGGATGAAGGACGGAGGTCTTCCTGTTTAGAGGAAGCAGATAAGCTGAGGTTTGAGTTCACAAATGGCTATTTAGTTTAGTAAAAAACAGTAACACAGGATCTTGTCTTCTGAACTGAGGAGGGAGTGTTAGAGATCTCCAAGACAAAACAAAAAAGTACCTAACTTTCCCTCCAATTCCTGCCAAGCATATTTCACAAAGGCAACAGAAGAAAGCTCCTATTTAAAAACAGATTTAGAGATGGTTGGGAAACTCAGTTTGCCAGAGATTGGATAATCTGACTATTTCCAATCATCTTCCCAATGAACCAATGCTGTGCTATTAAGGCCTTACAAAAGACCTATATAAGCAGTCTCCTCTATTTTACATGCATCTACCTTTATGTTCCACCATGAGAATGCCGTTTCCATTTACTTCACATATTAAGGAAGTGCTCCATTCCAAAACATGATGGCGCCATTTTACAGTTGGGACAAAAGTCCCTCACCTCGACAGAACAGACATCAATGCTCCAAATGTTTGCTTACTTTTTAAAGGTAAAATTTTGATCAGGCACCCTTGTTGAAAATCCAGGCATGCTAGATTCCAGATCCAAAGACCCCCCTGCACAAAACTTGGCTACATACACCCCACCCTCTCCTAAGAGATCCAGGAGTACCCTTGTCCCAAATGGAAAGGTCCCCATTATTTTCCAAACCCTACCCTCTTTTATAAAAAACAAAAAACCACTAGGTATCTTTGTCTCTCCAGAAAATCCTGGGGGGCTTGTGCCCAGCCCCACCCTCTAGATTTCACTCTCCTCTCAAGAACCCAGAAGTCCCTCTTCCTTCGTAGCCTCTCAGTGGCAGGCATTAAATGGTAGCTTGACTACTCCTCCGTGAAGCTCCATGGAGGCTTCGGCCCAGTTGATGATGTCGCCACCGGCGTAGCTGGTGCAGGTAGCCATCTTGTAAACCTCGCCTGGTGTCAGGATGTGGCCCCACATGTTGAAATCTGAGATTTCCCCAATGAAGGCTTGAGTGGCGTCAAAGCGGCCACCCAGAGTGTCCTGTAGGAAGAGGAGTGGGGAAAGAGAGTGAACACACAGCAGGGCAAGAGAACCTGTGGCCCTCCATGTGGCGCTGGACTCCATAAGAACATAAGAAGAGCCTGCTGAGCCAGGCCAACAGCCCATCCAGCCCAGCTTCCAGTTCTCACACTGACCAACCAAATGCTTATGGAAAGCACACAAACAGGACCTGAGTGCCGAAGCTGTGCCCCCTTCGGTGGTTTCCAGCAAGTGATATTCAGAAGCATTTACTGCCTCTGAGAGTGGCGGTAGAGCATAGCCTTCAGGGATCGTGGCCTCCTCCTCCATGAATTTGAATCTGGTTCTCATTAGCCCTAGCTGGCATGGCCAACTGTCAAGGATGACAACACACCTTCCAACATCTCAAGACCCCAAACCAGGACGCACATCTTTCTGCTTGTGCTCCTGCGTGAGTCACATGACCTCCACAAGATCACATGTCCCGTGTGAGATCACGCAACTCAGAATAGACCATGCTTGCACAGAACCCAAAAATGCATGTTTTGGGGCACTGCGTAATTCAGCAACACTTAGAGGGCTACGTGTTCCCCATCCCAGATTTAGAGGAACCAGAAATGGCTCTCTATAAGTAATAATTGAGGGGTATTTACCTGCTCCTGGCCCAGTACGAAAACACCCCCAGGCTTCACCGGATGCCAGGGAGCCAGGTTCTCTCCGCTCCCCCTCCGGACTCCATCCTGGTAAGACTCCCAAATGCCATCCCGGGTTGACCAGGTCACACAGATGTGGTGCCACTTAGCATCATTAATGGCCAGTGGTAATGTGGCAGCCTGCAGAGAAAAAAGGTTAAAGTGGGGTGAGCAAACATCCTGAGCCCTAAGAGTATTGCTGCAATAAGTGTATCATGATCTGAATGGCACCAGCTATGTTGAACCTGCACAGCCTTGGAACTAGAAGAAGCAGGTTATAGCTGCCATCCAGACAGCTATAAAGCCTTGGGAATATCTCTCTGTGCCTCACCTCCAATGTTTTTGGGAGGGAGATCAATACAGTGGGAGAGGATAGGCAGGATGGAGCACAATATGTTTTGCCGATCCAGTTTCAATGGAATCCTGAGGCATGCCTCAATATCCCTTCTGAGGTCTTTGCTGAAGGCTGTGGCCAAAGGACAAGCTGAACTTCAAGACACGTAAAAGGCAAACGTCAAAAAGAAACCAAGTCCATAATGGGGTAATACTCTTAATTCTTGTTTAGTCGTTTAGTCGTGTCCGACTGTTCATGACCCCATGGACCAGAGCACGCCAGGCACTCCTGTCTTCCACTGCCTCCCGCAGTTTGGTCAAACTCATGTTTGTGGCTTCAAGAACACTATCCAACCATCTCGTTCTCTGTCGTCCCCTTCTCCTTGTGCCCTCCATCTTTCCCAACATCAGGGTCTTTTCCAAGGAGTCTTCTCTTCTCATGAGGTGGCCAAAGTATTGGAGCCTCAGCTTCACGATCTGTCAGTGAGCACTCAGGGCTGATTTCCTTAAGAATGGATGCGTTTGATCTTCTTGCAGTCCATGGGACTCTCAAGAGTCTCCTCCAGCACCAGAATTCAAAAGCATCAATTCTTCGGCGATCAGCCTTCTTTATGGTCCAGCTCTCACTTCCATACATCACTACTGGGAAAACCATGGCTTTAACTATACGGACCTTTGTTGGCAAGGTGATTCTCTGCTTTTTAAGATGCTGTCTAGGTTTGCCATCGCCTTTCTCCCAAGGAGCAGGCGTCTTTTAATTTCGTGACTGCTGTCACCATCTGCAGTGATCATGGAGCCCAAGAAAGTAAAATCTCTCACTGCCTCCATTTCTTCCCCTTCTATTTGCCAGAAGGTGATGGGCCCAGTGGCCATGATCTTCGTTTTTTTGATGTTGAGCTTCAGACCATATTTTGCGCTCTCCTCTTTCACCCTCATTAAAAGGTTCTTTAATTCCTCTTCACTTTCTGCCATCAAGGTTGTATTAGGGCCAACCAAAAAATCACAGCAATGTGGCAACTTCTGAGTTCTCCAGAACATCAGGCAATATAGGATGGTGGGGTGAAGATTTTTATCTAAAACTGAACTAGCTGTGTAGCTTGCAATCTGCATCATGGAAATGGCAACCTCGTGGCTACAACATCTAGTTGTGTACTTTTTGTTTCAAATTTTTCCTTGTCTGTCTCTTTGTGTGATATCCCATCTGGTGAAGAGCTATGGAGAAACTCAAAACATTGCCACATGTCTGGGACTTTTTGGCTGGTTCCAATAAAGACACGATGCAGCTGTGGACTCTAGAGTTGTAGCTGTAATTGTGAATGAATGGATGTTTGTTGATCAAGGTTTGTTCAATTGACACAATTTATTCCAAAACCAGAATTAGGTAGGGGAGGATATAGCTCACAGAATATTCTAATGCAAAAGTCAAGGTATCTATAGCTACTGTACATCTCTCGTTTACAGCAAATCTTTGGTCAAGATTTCTTAATCCCCTGTCTGTGTCCCCTCTTGTCTACCTTGTGAAGAATTCAATTTGTTCTGTATATCCCAGAACCCCAGTCCAGAAGGCCTGAAATGGCAAACAAGGCAGGCTTCTGTCTCTTTAATTTATTGTTGGGCCCTCTTCAGATTTGGCAGGACATCATTGAATTGTTCCAGCCCAAGTGATCATAAAAAAACTGTTTTTGGTTTTTTATTTATTGTAACCCAAAAGGCAGACAAGACAGAGGAAAAACATGAACATGGTGGCCATTCTTCAAACATATTTGATTATTTGATTTCTAGACCACTTCATATATTTATAAAATATCTCTAAGCGGTGTACAGAAAACTGAAACAACAAAAGAAAGCTTCGACAAAATATTACAAAAATACACCGTTACCTATAAAAATGTTACATTAATACAAAGTTACTAATATATGAGAGAAAAATATATATGTGAGAAAAGGGACACGGATGGTGCTTTGAGTTAAACCACAGAGCCTAGGGCTTACTGATCAGAAGGTCGGCGGTTCGAATCCCCACGACGGGGGTGAGCTCCCGTTGCTCGCTCCCTGCTCCTGCCAACCTAGCAGTTCGAAAGCACATCAGAGTGCAAGTAGATAAATAGGTACCACTCTGGTGGGAAGGTAAACGGCGTTTCCGTATGCTGCTCTGGTTCACCAGAAGCGGCTTAGTCATGCTGGCCACATGACCCGGAAGATGTACGCCAGCTCCCTTGGCCAATAAAGCGAGATGAGCGCCGCAACCCCAGAGTCGGCCACGACTGGATCTAATGGTCAGGGGTCCCTTTACCTTTACCTTTACTAATATATGTAAATCAATATCAGTTCATTTTCCTTTTGACTCATCCTCCGTCTCTGCCTCCAGGTTGTCATCCAGGGTCCAAACTCTTAGCTCACCCACAAAAGTGAGTCTCTCAACATATCTGACCACCGCCACCCACTCAAGAAGCTCCCAGATTGGCCTTGCTCCCGTACCTTGTCATTGATCAGCAGTTCCATGGGGTTATTTCCCCACTCGATGAGCACCACTTCGTTGGCCTGGCCTGGCACAGAGTATGAGAAAGGGGTGCCCATTCCCGGTGCTGAACTGGACTTGAGCCAGAGGCAGATGGAGAAGGCAAAGATCTCGTGATGGAGCGTACGCTTCACCTTGACGTACATGTAGTTAGTGCGGAGGGGGAAGCCCACCCGGAAGTCCTCAGACTGCTTCTCCACCTTGTTTCCTGGAGGACAGAGGGGATCAGAGATGTGGGACTGAGCTGCCAACACAGAGAAATGGAGGGGAATTGGGTTTGTCCATCCATCGGCTGCTAACTGCCCAGTTTATCTACCAAGCATCCGCCCCCCAAATACTCTTTTGATCCATTCCCATCTTCCCCCCACCAACTGTAACTAAGCCTGATCACCAGAAATATCATGCGCAATTTCCTAGTTGACTCCTCCCTCCACTTTCACTGTGGACTTCCTTGTACTGGGTTTTTACACTGTTGTACACTCCTAGGGGCAGGTACCTCTTCTTTGTAAAGCCCCATGCACACTGATGGTGCAAATGAAATAATATTAATGGACAACAACAGCATTCATCCATCACACTCTGCTGCCTGTCTCCTGAGCTGTCCATTTCCATTCATCATGGTCTATCCAGTCATATCTGTTCACACGGCTGCTAAAGTTTCCTTCCACCTATACAACAAGTGAATTCTGAGAATCCTTAAAATGGGCATACACACCTAACATTTGAAGCACACACCCCCTCTCCCGAGAAGCTGTCGTTTCTTAAGAGTGCTGAGAATTGTACCTCTGCGAGGCTAAGACTACAGATCCCAAGATTCTTTGCAGGGGATGTGCCTTAAATGTATGCTATGGGCACAGCCTTATACTATAAGGTTCGAAGGACAAACCTCCAGCAGATATTACTCAGTGGTTTGAAGATCTTACTGTCATTTCTGTGTTTGAAAGAATGGCTTATAATTGCCAGTCTCATTTTAGGTATCTATCTGTACATATGGACTACTTATATTGATCCACACATTTAATTTAGGATTGATGGAATATATTATTGACAAAGTCAGCTGGCATTTAATTTTTTTTCTATGTTTCTTTTTGTTGTATTTGCAAATTATGTTTTGTGTTTTTTGTGTGTGTGTTTTTAAAAAATCTTTAAGGTTTCCTTGTATCCCACAACCAATGAACCAGCCAATGAGCCACATATGACTGCTTTTATCTACCAAGCCATGTTTTCAATGTTCTGTCACTGAGCCATCCATCCCCACATCTTTCATTCTGCCTCCCCGTGGATCTGCCGATCTACGAATCCACTGTGTTGTCATTCCTTCCACACATCCTTCCGCCCATCTCTCTTCTGACTGGATCATGATTCACCCCACTAAATAATGACATCCACTTATTCCACTGTCCACATGCTGATAAATTTATTTGCCTAAGAAATTAATTTTAGAGCAGGAACCTTTGGCCCTCCAGATGTCGCTGAACAACACCTCCCATCACCCCCAGCAAACATGGTCAGTGAGCAAAGATGATGGGGAGTAGAAGTTCAGCAACATCTGGAGGGCCAAAGGTTGCCCACTCATACACACTTGATTCAGAGCCAGCATGGCTCTGAAGCAGGGTTTGCCAGTGCAGTGGTGACCTCCACATGCTTTTGTTAGAATTCCTGCTCCATGTTTGCAGTCATGGGATTGTTGTCTATCACATGGCGGTCTATGTTTTGAGACCACAGAGTGGGAAGTGACGGAGAAAGGATGTTTGTGTTACTGTGTTCCGTGAAGTGGGACTATTGTCCTTTGTTCTTTTTCTCTTTGCTGTCTGATGCTTGAGAGAGAGGGAGCCATGTTGCAGTGCTCCGTGTGTGTTTATATGTAAATAAAGTAGATTAGCCAAAATGCTGAGTTGCTGAGGTCTGTCATGCAAGCTGCAAAGACTATGCGGATCCCTAAGTGTGCCGATGTCTGTTGGCATCGTTCGCTGTGATGTTTGGGCTGAAGAAAGCTTCTGAAGCTCCCGAACGATTGACCAGGAGGGAGAGAACATGCCAGTCAGGCATGTGTCTCTGCCAGAGTCCTACTCAAGTGTAGGACGAGCTCCTGACAGTTTTTAGATTCCAATTCCCAGTCAGCATGGACAGTGGTCTGGGGGAATTATGGGAGTTGTGCTCCAATAACATTGACTACCCTTTCTCTGGAGCAACAGAAAATGAATTTATTCTATAACAACCCTTCAGATACTTGAAGATGACTTCCTTCCTTCCTTCCTTCCATCTCCACCCCATTGTCTCAAGACCAACCCCCCTCTCCCCACCCTGACCCTGGCAACACCTGGTGTGTGACTGCCACTCACCTTTCTCAACACTGTGCCCATGAGAGATGTGCTTGTGCCTGAGCCCTGCTGCTGTTGGCACACCCGTGTGATGCTCAGAGGTGTTTGATTTCTCATGGATCTGATGCTCCAAGATGCTTATCTTTTTCTGGAGAGCATCGCGCAGGGACGTGGAGAAGACAGAGCTGTTCCGGTTGTGCTGGTGAAGGCAAGACGAGCACACATGTCAACCATTAATTCTGTAACTCTGCCACTTATCTCTTGCTGCCTCAAAACCCCAGAACCTCCTACCAGGACACTTCTGTTGCCTCTCTCATCTTTCTTATCCTGAAAGCTACTTTTTTGTGAAACCATCTTCACAATCTATTAGTTCTCATCCCCTGCTGAACGTATAACCAACTAAACACATGGCCTTCCTGTGACTTTTGCCTCCATCTTTTTTGTGTTGAATTTTAGATAGTTAAGTGCCACAGAGAAGGAACCTGTGTTGCTTGTTCGTTGTTCTTTAAATGACTTTGGCTGCATACACACCATACATTTAAGCTTTAAATTTTAAAGCACACTTAAATAACATTCTTCCCCCCAAAAAAGATTCTGGGAACTGTGGTTTGGTAAGGTTGCTGGGACTTACAGCTCTGTTGGGGGTAAAATACAGTTCCCAGGATTCTTGTGTACATTTGTGCTTTAAATATATGTTGTGTACGCAACCATACACTCTAGTGGCATAATAATAATAATAATAATAATAATAATAATAAATGCATCAGACCTTGTCTAAGATGCAGCCTACATAAAACAAACAGTTCGTTGACTGTACAATCCTGCATGTGTCTACTCAAAAGTAAGCCTTCAATGGAACTTATTCCCAGGTATGGGTCAACAGATCTGTGGCACTGGCTACCCGGAGCCAGCCCTGCCGCACAGCAAGTGTGACAAACTGCTTCAGGCAACACCAAGAGGGGGACAAGAAGTGGTGTCTGACTGATGCAGCAAGACTTTCTCAGGTGTTTTCTCAAATGGGGCCGGGGGCTGGGAGGAAGACATTTGGGTTCTGTTTCTGGAAGCAAAATATCTTGAGCCACTACTGCCAATTCCCACAGTCCCTTCCCTGCCCACAGGCCTGGACTGGGAGACCCACCAACTTTGATACTGTACCCCCACATCCAGTTTGGTGTGTTCCTGGATATCTAATTCTTGCTTACGTATTAAGAAGGGGGAAAGCGAGGGAAAAGGGCAGCAGAATTATTTTTAGTCACTGCACTCAGGTTAACACCTCAGATGCTCTAGTAATCTCTATTCCCACCCACAGTGATGGCAGCAGAACTGTCCTGTCCCTCCTTTCAAGGTTTCTTTTGTAAAAGCCATCACGTACGAAGCAGAATCATAAAACCATGTACAAAGGTGCTATTCAGAACATATTTTGAAGGCCTCTACTCTTTTTGAGAAACAAAATATCTTGGATTTCTTAGCTTCTGGGCACTCCAGCTCCACAGGAAAAACTGAACATTTTAAGAGAAAACACAGGAATCCTGTTTTGCATTCCTCCCTTCACTCCACAAAAAAACTGGCCAATAGATGGATGCGTGGGAAAGGGCCTTCTCAGTGGTGGCCCCTTGATCAATGTTTCTTAACCTTGGGTTCCCAGATCAGTTGAGACCACAACTCTCATCATCCCCAGCCAGTTTAGCCAATGGTCAGTTGTAGTCCAAGAACACCTAGAGTCCCCAAGTTGAAGAAAATGGGCTCAGGCCAGTGGTTCTCAAAGAGTGTGGCAGGAAGATTCAAGGACAATCTAAGAAATGTTCAAACATTTCAGTGTAGTATCGTATAGTATCAATATATACTTTTTTATTTGCAGGATATTTGCATTGTTTTATACTTTCTGGATGCCCCATGATCATATTAGAAAGTATTTTGTTCTCTATGTTATAAATCAAGCACTGCTAGGAGTCATTTCTTTTTGTTTTCCAGTGTATTTCTTATCAATTTAAAAAAAAAAATCAGTGTGGCAATGAGCAATTTTTTTTCCTGAAAATGTGTCCCAGAGAAAAAAGTTTGAGAACCACTGGCTTAGGCTATGAAATTACCTGCCTCAGGACAGAGATCTCTCTATGCCTGAAGTATCAGTTGAAAACAATGTTGTTCTGACATGCATTTCAGTAGGAAATTCTTACATGTTTTGTATTAGTTATCAAGCAAATTTGGGTGCGGGGTTTTTTTTTTGTAGGGTGTCATTATTGTTTTTTTAATCATGGTTTTATGATAGCTGTTTCCCAGATTATAGGTCTTGTAAATATGAGCTGTAAATGTTTTTTTATAAATACAAAACAAATAGTAGTAATAGTAGTAATAGTAGTAAGTAGTAGTAGTAGTAGTAATAATAATAATAATAATAATAATAATTTATTATTTATACCCCGCTCATCTGGCTGGGTTACCCCATCTACTCTGGGCAGCTTCCAACAAAATATGAAAATACAATAGTATGTCAAACATTAAAAGCTTCCCTAAACAGGGCTGCCTTCAGATGTCTTCTAAAAGTCTGGTAGTTGTTTTTCTCTTTGACATCTGGTGGGAGGGTGTTCCACAGGGCGGGTGCCACTACCAAGAAGGCCCTCTGCCTGGTTCCCTGTAACTTGGCTTCTCGCAGCAAGGGAACTGCCAGAAGGCCCTCGGCACTGGACCTCAGTGTCCAGGCAGAACGATAGGGGTGGAGACACTCCTTCAGGTAAACTGGACTGAGGCCATTTAGGGCTTTAAAGGTCAACACCAACACTTTGATAGCAACAAATAGCAACACAACAGAAGCTGCTTTCATACCTCAGGGACTTTGGCTTCTATCCTGATTTGCAAGTGCAGTTCTGGCCCAGCAGCCTAGGCTCAGGATATCTAAAATACCACTTTCTACCATTTGTAGCTGCCCATCAATTGGATGTTCACCTGAGGCCCTCTTCTCAATAGCCCTGCCCTTTGGAGGTTAGGGCCTCCACTGTGGGAAAACCTCTCCTATAGAATTACCTCCCTAAACAAATGTCCCATGTCCTCTTAGCCCTTGTCAATGTATGTCTGGTGGGTGTTTTACACTGTTTCAATGGGAGCGACAAATCTCTTTGAGGTTTGTTACACTGGAAAGTCAGGATAAAGATCTTTTAAATAATCACAACAACACTAGCAATTAGAGCTGTCATCCACTTAAAGAAGCCTTAGGCTGTGTACACACTATACTTTTAAAGCACATTAGAAGCACATTTCTCTCCCCCTCCCCATCAATAATTCGGGGCACTGTAGTTTGCTAAAGGTTGATGGGAACGGGCAACTCTTTAAGGCGTAAACTTCAGTGCCCAGAATTCTTTGGGGGAAATCATGTGCATGGGACACGCTTCAGAGGCCATCGTGTGTACCCCATTCCCAGCCCTACCTGAAGATGCCAAGAATTGAGCATGGGGCCTTCTCCATGCAAAGCAGGTGCTCTAGTACTACTGAGCCTCAGGTTGTACAGGGTTGCCAAAGCTGGCAGTGCCCATGAAAAACGCCCAGAGCGACCTCTCAGTTATTTGCTGCTTTGCTGCCAAACCTGTCAGTCCTGTCCTACTTGAGTTCTGGAGAAGGATTTTGGATGTATTTTTCTTATTTGAAAACAATAAAGGAAAGTTCTAACCAAATAAAAACGTCATCCTGTTTTGAAATGGACTCTTTACAGCTGGAAGAAGAAGAAGAAGAAGAAGAAGAAGAAGAAGAAGAAGAAGAAGAAGAAGAAGAAGAAGACGACTTATCGTGCTCATAATATTTGTAGCGCTTGGCCACTTGGTAGTGTCACCTCAAAGTACAGCTGTGTTCTATTTCTATCGAGAGCAAATCACATTGAACTGGAAGTTGAAAAATAAGCAGACTTTAAAGCTGACTAACAGAAAATCATTTTGTAGCTTGTAAATAACAGGTAAACTATCTCCACCTTCACCCCCCACCCCACCCAGTGTAAGCTGTGTGGCCCTAGAGTAGCTTGATTGTCTATTTCAGGGATGGGAACCCCATAGCCCATAGATACTGTTGGACTCCGTCCCAGCAGCCCCTGCTAGCATGGCCAATGGTCAGGAATAACAGGAACAACATCCTCCAGGAACATCTGGAGGGTCATAGGCTCCCCATCTGTAGTCTATATTAGCCTGCCATGTCCCAGGAAGAATTTTTACCATGTATCAGATTCAGCTGTACAGGAAAATGTGTGGTGGAATTATTAGTAGTAGTAGTAGTAGTAGTAGTAGTAGTGCTAATATTTATTGAATTTATATACCGCCCTATACCCGGAGGTCTCAGGGCAGTTCACTGTATTGTTATTGTTCTGTGCTTTTACTATTTTTGTACACTGCTTTGTGTAATTTTCTTTCAGGGTAGGTCACAGCAAAATAAACATTTTCCCATTAAAATCAATGCAGTGAAATACAACAATATCTGCAAAAGCTTGGTATTAGTCACTATCAAATGCCTGAGCCAGCACATAGATCTTAAATGTCAAAAACTCATCAGATTTAGCACTTTCCATTATTAGTATTATTTTCTGATTAAACCTCTCTGTCCAGGAAATGAAGGAATCCTGCCATCCAAATTACCCCCATATAATTTTACTGCAGCTGGACCATAAAGAAGGCTGATCGCCAAAGAATTGATGCTTTTGAATTATGGTGCTGGAGGAGACTCTTGAGAGTCCCATGGACTGCAAGAAGATCAAACCTCTCCATTCTTAAGGAAATCAGCCCTGAGTGCTCACTGGAAGGACAGATCGTGAAGCTGAGGTTCCAATACTTTGGCCACCTCATGAGAAGAGAAGACCCCTGGAAAAGACCCTGATGTTGGGAAAGATGGAGGGCACAAGGAGAAGGGGACAACAGAGGACGAGATGGTTGGACAGTGTTCTCAAAGCTACCAGCATGAGTTTGACCAAACTGCAGGAGGCAGTGGAAGACAGGAGGGCCTGGCGTGCTCTGGTCCATGGGGTCACGAAGAGTCGGACACGACTAAACAACAACAACAACATGATTTTACTTCCTATCTGAAAGGGCCATTGTCTAAAATCAAACCAGTCAATTCCCACCCCCACCCCCTTTTGAAGGCTTAATTAATCCTGTTTCCCACTTAGGCTGCAAACAGACCATACATTTAAAACACACCTAAATCCAACTACTTCCCCCAAAGAATCCTGGGAACTGTAGTTTTGTTAAGGGCGCTGGGAATTGTAGATTTTGTGATAAGTAAAGTACAATTCCCAGGATTCTTTGGGTGGGTGGAGGGGAATGTCCTTTACATGTATGGTGTGTATGCGTCCACATATAACCCCTGACAGAATGAGAGCCATATTGTGGGAATCCGGATATGCACAGGAGAAAAATGGGGCAGGACCTGTACAGGAATGGCCTCCGAAGGGTAATTAACAGGTGGTGTGTGAGGGGAAAGCTATGAAGGTGAAGAAAAGGGGCATGGAAAGGTGTGGAGCACAGCATGAGAGGCAGGTCAGATGGCCAGGTAGGCAAGTGGGGAGGGGGACACTAAGAGAATAGGCAGCACATAGTCTGCAATGGAAGTGCCATTCTGTGGTGTTCTCAAGACCCATTCTGCCATCTTAAATGACTCCGGACCTGTCCCTGAAGAGGAGGAGGATGCTCTCTCAGATCATATAAACATTATTATTTATGTGCCCCTAAAACAGTTGCAGCACCAAATGACCTCCTGAGTTCCTTTTTGCAGTGAGGGCCTGAGTGTTACATCTGCCAGTCCTTCACTCCATCTCATCTGTTCTCCCATCCTCCTTTGTCTCATCTATCCTGCTTTCCTTCCAACCTTCCTATGCATCTAATAATCCATCGATCCACCTCTGCGTTCCACGAATCCATTTGCATGTTTCCTCTCTCCTAGATTCCTGGCCTATTTGTTATCCCTCGTCCGACAGCCGTTTTGGGAGATCTTGCAGTTGCTCCACACGAGGGGATGCAATTGTAAGGTACGGGAAGTGCAACGTGGTGAGAGAGGCCCAATTTAACATGGTCGGTACAGGCTTTACCTTTATCACGTATTATTATTGTTCGTCTCAACAACCCTGCGAGGAAGGTGAGGTGAGGGATAGCCTTTGAGAGGAAAGGACGGTCAGAAAGAATTCCTAAGGCCTAGATGAATGATGCCGCCACCCTGGCAGTAGTTTCGGCTGTTGTCAGAAGAAGGAGGGATGGGGAGGGAAAGGAAAACTTTGATCTTCATTAAAAACTGATGGTGAGCCATAAGGGGGAAAAACACTCCAAAATCATCAGGCAATATGTTGCTTGTGCAATGGGACTTTCTCCCCTCTCCTCCTCCTATACACCCCATAGTATTGTTTTAGGGGGATTGAAGGAACCCCCAGAACAGTGCATGGGGGAATGGTGGGGAGGTCATTCCACCTTGCATGCTGCCATGCTTGTCATAGCACAACATTGAATTCCACCCAAGGTCTCAATTTTCAAAATGCTGAAAAAAGAAAGTTCCTATTTCCCATGCCTCTTCTCTTTTTGTACAACGTCTGGAAAACTAAAAGGCTTGTGGTAAGTCCCCAATAAAGGTTTCACCCAGCTGTCGATTTTGGAGCTTGGTCGACATGTTATTCCTTTCTTGGGAGGTGTGGTAGGCCTCAGGGAGGAGGCTGGTGTGATATGCACTTTGGGAAATCAAGGTTTGTGTGTTGGGGTGTGGGGGAATAAAGGCTCATGAAGACCATTTTCCCGCTGAGACCAAAATGCCTCTAAAAGGACCTGCTCATTTGCAGGTACCGAGATAGCTGAGTGCTATCTTGTGTGGATAGACTGAGCTTGTAAAAAGAAATGAATTGACTTCAACTGGAACCAGAAAACTGACTTCAACTGGAATCATTGTGCTGTATCATGTGCAAGCTGTTGGTTCTGTTACACCAACCTCACTTTTGTAAAAGCAAAACAAGATGATTTTCTGTCTCTGGTTATATATGGCCATAGGGAGGGAGGGAAATAGACAGACAGACAGAGTACATGTGAGTGAGTAGTCATTTGTGATAAGTTCAGGAGGCAAAGGGCAGAGAGACCACTGACACCTAACAAAGATTTCACCTACATTTATCCCTGCGGTTAGGAAAAAGGTTGCGGGAGTTCCAAGAAACCATGTGAACTATCTTCCTTACTGAAGGAGATACATCGGCAGCTGAGATAGATATGTTGATGGGAGAGACAAGGAATACAGGGTGTTTGTGGAAAGTGGGGTGGAAGGAAAAAGAGGGAGGTGGACCTGAGGGCAGGAAAGCAACATGACACCCAAACGTTTAGAAAGTGTGTTAGTCAGTATGAAGAAAGGTAAAGGAAACTGTGTATGTTTAGACTAGGGAAAAGAAGATTAAAAGGGGACTCAGTTGCAATCTCTGCCTATTTTTAGAGAGTTTAATACAAAGGTGGCAGAAGGCGATCTTTTCTCTCTTGCAACAGAGACTGGGACAGGGACAATGGGTTTACACCATACTATAGTTTTAGAGCAGCTCCCATCAGCCCCAGCCAGCCCAATGGTCAGGGATAATGGGATCTGCAGTCCAACAACATCTGGAGTGCCAGATGTTGGCACCCTCAAGGGATAGGAACATGGGGTGTGGGGTGGATCACTTCTTAACTGAAAGAATGGTGGCCAACCGTATGTGATAAAGCCAGAAACGCATGCTCTTCACTTGATGACTGCAACAAGAAGTGATGACTGAGATATAAATCCACCTAGAGAATTTTCTTTACAAAAATGACTTTCAGCGCAATTTTTTTCAATGGAGTCAATTCAGATATTTTTCTGCCAGACATAAAGGGTAAAGGTGTATAGAAACTGTGATGAGAACCAAGCTACAGATGACCCAGCTCTAGAGATTTTACAGAGTGGGAAGAATCAGGACCTGATCGATATGGCTTAAGCAGGAGATATACTGCCTTAAGACAGAGAATATCCTCCTTTATCCACTGCTTTGTGCAGCATCTTGCCTGATGAAGGCCTCTGTTACAGAAGATGGATGAATAGACATGTAGGTAGGTTGATCAGTCTACAACGGCGTCCTTAAGAAATGAGATCCAAAATATTTCATAGAATCATAGAATTGTAGAGTTGGAAGGGACCTTGAGCTTCTTCTCATCCAACCCCCTTCTCTGCAAGGTATCAACTAAAGCATCCATGAAAGATGGCCACTCAACCTCTGCTTAAAAACCTCCAAGGAAGGAAAGTTCACCAGCTTCCAAGGGAGTCCATTCCACTGTTGAACACCTCTTACTGTCAGAAAGTTCTTTCTTGTAACCTGAAGCCATTGATTTGAGTCCTACCCTCCAGAGCAGGACAAAACAAGCTTGCTCCATCTTCCATGTGTGACAGCCCTTTAGATATTTTAAGATGGCTATCCTATCTCTCTCAATCTCCTCTTTTCCAGGCCAAAGATACCCAGCTCCCTCAACCATCCTCATAAGGCTTGGTTTCCAGACCCTTGACCATCTTGGTCATCCTCCTCTTGTCCAGCTTGTCAACATCCTTCTTAAACTGTGGCACCCAGAACTGGACACAGCACTCTAGGTGGGGGGTCTGACCAAGGCAGAAGTTCTATTACTTCTCTTGATCTGGACAATATACTTCTGTTGATGCAGCCTAGAATAGCATTAGCTTTTTGTGCTGCTGCACCACACTGTTGACTCATGTTAAACCTGTGGTCTACTAAGACCCCTAGATCCTTTTCACATGTACTACAGGCAAGCTAGGTGTCCCCTGGGAGTACTGACTGACCTTAATTTGTGATTTCCCCCATTCAGATATTGTTGGTAGTGATGGGGTAGCTTCATAGGCCGTGTCTTCACTATAGCTTTAAAGCACCTCTCAAAGTATTCTGGGCACTGTTGTTTGTTAAGGGTTGCTGGGAATTGTAACTCTGTGAGGGGTAAACTACAGTGCCCAGAATTCTTTGAGCGAAATAATGTGTTTCAAATAAACTGTCAAAATATTAAATTTTGCTTCTCACATGCAATGTCCAAAAATCATCCCTATGGGTAAGACAACTTAGCCATGTGAATCTATTTGTGAAGAGGAAGCAGGAAAGCTTGATGCGAGAAAGTGTATCTGGCAGAATGGGAAATATTTTTGGACATTGGTTGTGTGTTAAATAAGGTGGGGTTTTTTTTACCAGGGATAAGGAGCATTGCCTGCCATTGTTTATTGTGATCACGTTAAAGGAGGGAGGGATGGGAGGCAAACTTGGGTGGTGAATATTTGGGTAGACAAGGAACAGATGGACAAATATGAGAAGAAAGCATAACTGGGAAAGATAAGGGATAGTTTTCTGGAGAAGAGGTGGCTGATGCACAAGACTTGGTACCTGAAGATGCTCCAGTCTCTCCTTGAGGGATTCCAGCATCCTCTCCATCTGGTTCACCCCAGATGTCTCCTTGGGTGGGTCTTCCATGGTGTTGGCAGCGGCAGCCCCCTTGCGAAAGGCATCGTGGTTGCTGTGCCCCACCTGTAGTTCATGGTGCTCCCGTTGACCAAAATGGTGGTACTCGTTCTCCCGGGCATGGATGCCTTCATGGGGATCTCGGTGCCCAGCCTCATGGTGTCCCCTGTGACTTTCTTCATGGTGGCCCTGATGCCCATCCTCGCGGTGGCCTTGGTGTGCATTCTCATGATGTCCCCTGTGACCATCCTCATGGTGGGTCCGATGCCCACCCTCGTGGTGGCCTCTGTGAACTCCCTCGTGATGCCCATGCCCATGGCTGTGGTTCTCTTCATGGTGACCACCATGGTGCTCCCCAACATGTCTCCGGGAATGGGCTTCACAGCGGCTCAGCTTGGCCGTCAACTCCCGCACCGTCTCCCGCTGGTCCAAGATCGTCTCCTTCTGGTGCACCACGGTCTCCCGCAGGTGCAGGATGGTTTCCTTGGCTTCCTCAAGAGTCCCTACCCAGTGCCCATTTCCCGCGCTGTTAGCCCCTGCTCCGTGTCGCTGCTGGCTGGCTGACTGGCAGCCATTGTCCATATCCAGAGGCATAGGGCTGCAGATGAATTTGGGCAAGCCGTATTCAGTGGCCGGCATCAATGGGGAGAAGATGAGGCAGAGCAACGCCCAATGCAAGGCCATCTCCACAGCTGCGATGGCTCTGGCGGATGGGAAAGGGATGGGGGTAGGGAGAGCAGTCCGGAATGGGTTTTGCAGCCAAGGAAGGAGGATGGAGGTGATCCTAGATAGAGGCCGGTGGTCTAGGTATCATGGACGTTGCTGCACAACAGATTTAGATGCAACCTCGATCATCTAGGCCCTCTTTTAGGAGGCCAGCGAAAATCCCAAGGGGCCACCTCAGAGGCCTCTGTTAGGAAGGCGATCCGAAGGTCTTGATGGAAAAGTGGACGTTAATTCCAGCCGGAGCGTACAGTGGAGGGAGTCAAGTTGGGCCCACCAAGTCACCAAACACGAATCAGGTCTTGCCCTCCCCAGAAATCTTGTAGCGTTGCCTCAGCCGTCAGAGCCTTTTCTCCTTTGCCGGCATCTGCTCTTTACTACCTAGCGGAACCGAGCTGCCAGCAGGTATCCCAACACTGTAGGCAGGCGGGATTTGTGCTTTTCCTGCCTCTCCTTCCTTTTCAATTTGCCAAATCCGTTGGTGATGCGGAGAGAAGCATCGTCTCCCCTGGCGACCGAGAAATTAATGGGCTTAAGGTGTCACGGCAGAGCTTTTTCCTTCACCCTTGCCCATCCTCCTCCCACCCCTGTTGCTAAGGCCTCTGCCTGGAAGCCTTTATAGAGCCCCTCCTCATGCCACTGCCCTCCTCCTCCTCTACCCCCACCCCAGCAGATAAGAGACTTGCAAAGCTAAAACTCCACTCAGAAGAATTAAGTTACCAGTGAGAGACACAGAAGCTAAGTCTGAGCTTTGAACTAATTCACTTGTTTCTCATCTAATGAAAAGTACTTACACGGGGCCCATTATTCGCAGGTAGAATAAGAGGACATAAGGGGAGCCAGGGTGTCAAGTAGGCCATGGGGGGGATGGATAGCAAGACGGTGGGAATATCTGTGAAAGATATATCAATACGTCCTACCTGTAAATATTAGACATATATTCCAAAATATAGGGAAAATATTAGACATATATTCCAAAAGCACAAACAGTATCCCCCCCCCCCCCGCCCATGTATTCGAACTCAGGGCTTATAATCATCAATTTCATTTAGATATCTCTTTGGATATTTGGACTGCCTATATTTAATTTATATGTTTAAATTATGGAATAGTCATATTGTTAATGCCAGCTAGCAATGGTGTTATTATTAGTAGTAGTAGTAGTAGTAGTAGTAGTAGTAGTAGTAGTAGTATCTTCTTTCTTTCTGTTAGATTTGCATTTTTTTTAAAAGTAAAAATCAGATTGAGATTATAGTAAACTTCAGACAGAGCCCAAGGGCAGAGGTAGTTGAGGCTCAGAGCTCAGATAGGGATGGAAACATCTGTCCTTTTGGGGTTTCTGTTTCTCATTTTTCCAATCTTAAACTGAGTTCTCCACACTTCTGCAGCAGTTTGCAGGGGCGGGGATTAAATCCTCATGAAAATTCGTGCAACTTTCTCCTAAACACACACCCCCCAAGCAATTTTGAGGATGACTGTGTTTTGATTCTCATGTTGTTTTTGAAAAATGCGCATATCATAGATTTGGTCCTGAATGCAATCTGAATAGCATTTCCTCCATCCCTAGCCTCAGAGCACAACAGGTTGGTTCTAACAAGTCTTGATTTCACATATCTGACATGGGAAACTGAACTTGCCAGAACACTTTTACATGAATGGGGTTTCCCCTTACAGCCCCCAACTCTAATAGCATTTATAACTGGGAACGTTGGATCCATTGTACCAGGCATTTTACATTTTAGCACATTGGGTTGTGCTAACGAGGCTAAGCTTGCTGCACTCAGTTCACACTGAAATCAATAGGATTTACTTTTCCCATTGATTTCAGTGGGGTTAAGTGCAATTAATTTACGTGTCTGCAATGGATTCAGCCCCAGTTACTCTTTTGGGATCGAAGTCATTGTACTAACCATCTATAATTACATACAGACAAGAAGCAGGTGTCAAGAAGAGCTATTTCTACTAGCAACCCATAAAAGCATATCATTCAGGATACAGATAACATTTCGAACAAATCTGAGGGAATTATATAATTTTGCCATTAGAATTTTGAGCCTTTTAGACAACAATCCTAATAACCGCAGTTATTGATATTATCAATGTTTCTAAAGCACTTCAACACCCAGCCATCGCACAGCAGCAATAAACCTTGAACACATGCTCAGAATGTATTCCCCCCCCCAAAAAATTGATTAATCCCCAACGGATTTTTTTTAAAAACTCAATTTAATTCTTTTCTTTTAATGAATTTTAAGGCAATACTGTAAGGCATCAGCTTACTAGATTCAATATTTTTATACTCCTTCCCCTCCTCTAGATGGTTAATGTGAGCCCCACAAGTCCCTGTCCAATTTCAGGCAGCATCGTTTATAAAACATTCTGTCATCCAGAGATGGAAAGTGCCATGGCATCCTTTGTTGGTGGCGGCAATCGCAGTACATGTTCTTCCTTCTGCTTCATGTCATTCTAGGTTAGTGTTTCTTAGCCAGTGGGGCTCCGCCACCCCTGAGGCTTGTATAAAGATCTCAAGGGAGGGGATGTATTCCTTCCTTCCTTCCTTCCTTCCTTCCTTCCTTCCTTTTTTTTTTGAGGGGATGTATTTCTAAAAAATATATTCCAAGCTAAGTAAAAACAACAACAAAATTATTTATCTATAAAAGTATGAAATACATTCATTTCTATTATTAAACACAAAATGCTATTTACAATTAAAAGTCACAACATTTCAATGGAAATTCAAATAAACTTATAAGAGGAGCCAGGTTTGAAGGGGGTGTGGGGAGGGGGGGATTTCTATGTTAGCTAAAAGGCCACACAGTTGAGAAGCACTGTTGTAGGTTAACCGATCCCAGGAAGGCTAGTCACAGTGTTTTGCTTTGCGGCCGTCACCTAACAAGTCACGCTAAATTGCATAGTGTTTTGCTCTGGCTCTCCACAGCTCAAGGCCTCGTGCAGTTTGGTCCAGAACACATTCTCAGCCTCAGGGTCCTCCGGCCATGTGAGGTAGCTCTCTTGCTTCATCAGTTTCCTTAGGCGATGATAGGGAGACAACCTAGGAAGGAAGGAAAGCAGGGCTGAGGTTTCCCATTCCTTAGCAGACTGACCATACTCCACACCCAGACGTACTCAATGGGGTCCTCAAGAAGTGGCCCGCTGGAGCAGACAAAGGCTGAATCTAAGCAAAACATCCGGCTTCCCTTGGTGGCCAACCAACTGTGGGATGTAATATAAGCAGTCAAGTACAACACTTCCTGTTTGCCTAGAGTGGACACACGGGGGGGTGTTACTCCACAGCTAGGAGGACTTCCTGTCATACTTCCTGTCTGGAGCTTCCTCCCCCTGCATGTGACCAGGTAGGTGGGCGTGACCCTGGGAAACCCCATAAAAGGGGCTGGTCACGGAGCCACCTCCCTTCCTCTTCCTCTTGATGCCATGCTCTCTGGATACTGATGTATTTTGCTGTCTGCTGGCTCTCAGCCACCAGGACATGGGCTCATTCCCATATGGGATGAACTCAAACCCTCTTCTGTAACTCTAAGCTAAAGCCTGCCTTCAGGAATCCAACTGTGAACTGAATGTGAGTAAAATTCTTGTTGCTTTTAAAAGAAGCTTCTTGTGTCTTAATTTTTTTTTTTTTAGGAGGGGTAAAAAGGGGACTTACCAGGAACAAAATCCAATCTGAACAAACTTTAGAAGGATGTTGGATAGAAACTAAGAGGTTTTAGCTGTAATGCTTTAAGAGACATGGAAAAAAAAGGTTAACAATTGGGTAAAAGATTAATGGTAAGGATTTGCTGAACCAACAAATTGAATTGGAATACAAAGAAGGGAGGTATGAGGAGGTCCGGGGAAATAAGAGTAAGGAAGATAGGCTATGGAACATTATTGTGTTTTTAACTGTTTTATTTTGTATGTTTTTTTTCCTTATTTTTTACTGTTTTTGTTATATCTTAAAACTTTATACTTTTTCTTTATTCTGTACTTTCATGTATCTTTAATAAATATCATTTATTAAAAAAAAAAAAAATCCAATCTGAACAAAGCCAGATTGGATTGCTTAAGTAAAGAAATTCAAACGAATCTACCAACTAGCTTCCTGCTATATATTGGGGAATGTTGTTCTGCTGCTGACTCACAAGCGTGAGTTAGGAAGGATACTATTAAATCAATATATCCTCTCCTAGTACCTACAACATTCCCACACCAGCTGCATATGGGAAGCCCACAAGCAAGGGCGCAAAGGCAGTAGCCTTCCCCAGCGTTTCTGAACATGGGTGTTAATATTAAATTGTGGTTTTATTATGATTTGTGGAATTGTACCCTCCTCCGGGGTTATTTTAAACAAAGGATAAGAAATGTTCAAATCAGAAGGAATGAATGAAATAAGACCTCCTGCCTTGGCACTCAATATTCCTGTCTCACCTTTGCGGCTGATGAGCTATCCTCACTCACCTGTAGTTAGGGATTTCCTCCATAAAGACCACAACCAGAGGGTCCTCCCTGTGGTAGTAGATCTTGGAACAAGCAAGTTGGATTTCCAGTGAACACCACTCACTTTCCAAGTAATTGTCGCTCACCACACACAAGGTCTTGCGGCTCTGGCTTATTCCATTCTGAACGTTGTCTATGTAATATTCTCCAGGCGCGAAATCTCTAGGCCCAAAGCAGAGCCGCAAGCTGGGTTCTCCTTGCACTTCCAGCTTTTCCAGAACATTGTTCACCACCCATTCGTGGTCCTGACTACAACAAGAAATGTAGGCATCATACTGGTATTCCTGTCCCTTTTGGCGCTGGTGCTTGAAGCCCCAGCCCCTCAGCAGGTAGTAGCCATGTCTGAGGGTCCAACCAAATTTGGCATAGACTAAAACAGTAAACAGGAAGCAAAGGGTGATCACAGTGGTGGCAATGAAGAAGTATATTTCCCTAGTCTCAAAGCAGAAGGAGAAATCTTCATAAGCAAAGAGACGGTCAGTTGTGCCAGGGCCAAAGCAATGATATGAGCCCAGCAAGGACACCTGGATATTTGGTTCTGACACAGACCAGTTTTGAAACCAGGCATTATCACAGGAGCATGTCAGGGGATTCCCAGAGACATCCAGATATTTCAAGGAGGACAGCCCATGAAGCGTTTTTTTACTGATGTTCCTCAGGTCATTCTTGCTCAGGGAGAGTTGCTCTAGAGATGTCAAACCAGAAAATATTTGTTCAGGCAAGTCCTTGATGGCACTGTCATCTATCCAGAGTTGGCTTAAGTTACCCAGGCCTTGGAAGAAATTTAATGAAGGTTTCCAAGAGTCATTGAATGGACTGATTTCGGAGACATCTAAAGACTTGAGGCTAGTCAGGTTAACAAACGAGATGTTAAGGAACAAGAGACTGGGGTTGCCCTTCAAAGAGAGGTACTGTAGGTTCCCAAGGCCTTGGAGGACTTTGTCTGGGGGACAAATGGGTAGTCTAGGACTCTGAAAACTAAGGTCCAGCTTGCGAAGGGAGCGGAGACCAGCAAAAGGACTCGGGTAATCATATTTGTTGTAAGTAAAGAGGTGGTTGTGACTGATGTCCAAGATTTCTAGTTTTTTGAGGGGTGTAAAGACTCCCCGAGATAGCTTGTAAAGCAAGTTGTGGTCTAGGTAGAGATATCTCAGGGAGTTCAGTTGGTAAAAGCCATTCCTTTTGACAGTGAGGATTTTGTTTCCTGACAGCAGGAGAGTCCCCACGTGCTTGAGCAAAAAGGCACGGGGCTTGATTAATTTGATGCTGTTATCCCTCAAGTCCAAGAATTCCATCTTACGGGCATAATGGAAGGTGTTGCGGGTGACAGCTGTGATCTGGCAGCCCTGCAGGATGAGGGTCCGCAATGCCTCCATGCCAAAAAAGGATCTCTGCTGAAGGTTGGTCAGGTGGTTCTTTGACAGATCCAAATAGCTCAATTGGTTCAAAGGACGGAAGACAGAATCCTCCAACTGGGAAATGGAATTTCTCCTTAGGATCAGGGTTCGTAGCTGCATCTGCTTCCCCCAGGCACTAGAGCTGAGCCTCAGGACTTTGCACTTCTCCAGAGAGAGGAATTCCAGGCCTTGAAATGTTTCGAAGACCCCATTTTTCAGATACTTGTACCCTGTGGTGGACAGATCCAGCCACGTGAGATTAGTGCAGGAACCCAGCTGCCTCAGTTGAGTGTCATTCATTTGAGAATGTTGGATGTCCAAAGAGGTCAAAGAGGGTAAGCTTTTGAAGAAGGAGCAAGCTGCTGACATGCTCTCATTTAATGGTGGATTCATACTGGATAAATGCAACATGGTTAGGTTAGGGAGAGTTGCATTGATAAGCTGGGAGATATCCAGGGGGTTCATGTTGAAGGACAACTCCACCAAAACAGGGGTGGCCCGAAAGGATCCAGCCTCCACTTGCAACATGTTGTTAAGGGTTAGGTTGAGTTGTTGCAAGTTAGGGAAGGAGCAGTTAGACAAGTCCAGCCTGGAAATCCCATTGCTGTTGAGGCTGAGGTTCCTCAGGGAGGGAAAGACAATCCAACTGGAGCCCATACATGGAGTAGAGATCTGATTGGAACCCAAGTCAAGGAAGGTAAGGTTGGCCAAGCCTTGGGTAGCTGTTGCCACCTCTTGGAGACTAGAGAGATTATTGTTGGGAAGGTGCAGTTCCTGCAGAGCCACCTGGGATATGAGGGAGCTGGGATGCAATGTGGCAATACCGTTGTGACCCAAAAACAGCTCACGCAGATTCCTGAGGCTGGACAACATGGAAGACTCCACAGACACCAGCTGGTTCCAGCTCAGATCAAGCACCTCCAAGTCCTCCAAGCTTTGGAAGGCATTATACTCAATGCCTGATATGTTGTTATGGTCCAGGTAAAGTTCCAACAAGTGAGGAAGATGGGAAAAGGTCGTTGAGGTCAGGTGCGTCACTTTGTTGTTGGAGGCGTTGAGCCAGCGGGTGGAGTTGGGCAGCTGGAGGGTAACAGAAGTCAAGTTGGAGATGGCCTGGCCACTGCAGGTAGCAAGGCCCGGCCTGTTCGGGGAAAGAATACAGTGAGCGAGCCCAAAAGAATGAACGCCCTGATGCGGCCACACAAAGAAGACTAACAGTATGTAGAGCATCATGGAGACAAGTCTAAAATTGGGCATTGTGAGCTCTTTGTGCTTCCTGTATGTCATACTGTGGGTTTCACAGGACCAAAGGCAGTTGTTTTTTCTCCATCTTGGGTTGAGAGAACCATCATGCAGCAGCTTCATGCAGAAGACGTTCAGCTCCTAAAGCAAGAATATGAACACGCTTCCAGTGAGTTAAACTCAGGGTGGTGAAATGCGTAATCTAGTATACTGCATTGACATGAAGGCAGCTGGATATGTGAGGTTCTTCTGCAAGGTTTACTGAGGAGGAGTGCAGATATGAATTCACTAGTCATATACAAGGGTAATAAACTGCCCACGTTCCCTGCCCCTTCAAAGGCTCAGGGATGCAATATGGGAGTACAGCAGAGTTCTCTCCTTATTTCTAAGGCACAGCAAGGGGCCATTGTTCATGCCCCACCTATTATATTGAAAGGAGCTGCCTGCCATAGGAGGGGGGGAACATCTTCTCAATGGTACTCAGGGGGATCCTGGGAAGGGGTGAAAAGTGTCCCTTCCACACTGCGCAGGCAAGCCTTTAGCGACTTCCCCAAAATATGTTAGTCTTGAATGAAGGAGAATAGCGTCTAAAATGCAACAAAGGGGAAATGGAAGCAGGAGAAAACAGAGCTGTAGGTGTAAGTCAACTTTCCCCAGCCTGGTGCTCTCCTGATAATTTGGACTACAACTCCCATCAGCCCCAGCCAGCATGGACACACACACATACTCTCTCTTTCTCTTTCCTTGCCACTGTCGCCCCTGACCATGCACTTGGCTTCTTCCTCTGAAACCAGCCCCACAGCTGCCCACAAAGTGAGATGAATGGCGGTCAGCTGTTCCTTCTCCTTTATCCTACTCACCCAGAAGCCAGGGCCATGGTAGATGTGTGGAAACAACTGATCTGCACTTTTTAGAATAATTAAATAAATAGGCACCATGGGGCAGGGGTGAAGCTGAGCAGAATCCGGATGGTGGTGGGCAGAGAGCGGGGAGTTTAACCCTTGTCTTCCTGCCACCATCCTGGTTACACACATACACACAAACAAAGTGTGATTTGTATCAGGAAATAAACTCCCATGGGCTCCTGCTGCGGCTAACAGCAAATTGGGGTGTGTCATTTTGATCATGATCACAATGGGGTGATGGTTCCCCAACGCTGCTGCCCCTATCCTCACGGGGAGGCTGCTCACATGCTAGTTACGGCATGCTAACTGCTTTTACACACCTGTAATTTTATTTAGGAAAGTGGCTTTGCGTTCAGAAGGTGCGGATGTTCAATCTCTTGGTGGGAAAACATTTCCTTGTCTGAGCCGCTGGTGAACTGCTGCCAGTCAGTTTTGACAGTCCTGAGCCAGATGGAGCAAATGGTCTGACTCTGTTTCTGTGCCCTCAGAGACAGCAGGTGGGTGGGCAACAAGGAGAGAGGACCAGCAAGCAGGCTGCGCAGATTGGCAGTGGGTCTTCTGCTCTGGCCTAGCAGAACATCACCCCCTATCGCCAGCACCTGCCCCCATCCCTGGGTGCCCTCTCATCCAAAGGAAGCAAAACACACCGCACAAAACCACACTTCTCTCCTCTCAGGAAAGTGAGGAGCAGCATAACAATATGCGAGGAGACAAAAGAAGCCTCCGCAAACCTCCACAGCTAAACAAAGGACCGCTTCAGACCTTGAGCAACCTCAAGTTGTCGAGCGATTTGTAAATGCCACATGTGAGGAAGCCCAAGGCGGTATGACTGGAGGAATCTGAAACCGCAGGCTTGTGATCCAGTCAGACACAAGAAAGCAATCATTTCCAAAATCCAGAGTTTACAGAGCCTCATACTGTAAGGTTTGCAAGTCGTAATATCTCTCGCTCTTTTTAAAACACCGACTGCTAAAAGGCAGTTTCAGCAGAAAGTTTCAGCAGAAAGCTTGCCCTCTCGGGCTTTTGCCTTGCAAACGCAAGAGTGCTGCCATGGGCATATTATTGCACAAGCAACCAGACAGGCATGAGAAATACCCATTTTTTCCAGCCCCATCATTTCCTCTTTGCGCTTCCACTCATTCCGTTTTGCAAGCTGCCTCTGTGACTGAAGCCAAACCTCCCCACCAAACCCCGAAGGTCCTGCCATGGGCAGACCCACCTTTAGTATTGGGTCTTTCTCTCATCCGCTGAAGCAGCTGCTCAAGTGTGCTTCCTCCTTCTCCCATGGTACGTGAGGTTTGAGTCGAAGTGCTGCTTATTTCCTCCTCCTGTGGTCAGCCATGTGCCCCTTCACTCCCTGGGTGTGCCAGTTGGGAACTGAAACTTATGACAGAAGGAGGTGTGGCACGAAAAGAGGAAGAGGTGGAGCAACCCTGGGATACTTTCGCTCTCTCTTTCACCCATGGGTGAGCTTTAAAAGGAGAATTAGACAAATTCATGGAGGCTCAGGCTGTCAGTGGCTACTAGCTACAATGCGTATGTTCTACCTACGCTCTATAGCAAAGCTTTCCGAACTATGTGTTGCGACACAATAGTGTGTCGGCTGCAGTGTATAGGTGTGTTGTGCGAACACTCCCCATGCTCCTCCCGGGACTGGAAAGGGGTTGGTCCTTTGACTGCCTTGGTAGTTGGAAAGCCTCCGGGCCAGAGGCATCAGGGTACCCTATTTTATGCCTGTATTTAGTTTCTAAACTAGGGTCGTCAGGCCCTAACCTTGCATTTAGGTCGCCCACCAGCAGGACCTTTCCTCCCAGATAATCTGCTAGCAGTAACCTGACATAAGAATCCAGTCTATTCCAGTTGCCCTCAATGTCGGGGTTTTTTTTGCTAGTTGGGGGAATATAAACGTTAATAATTTGGGAGCTTCTTTATAATGAATTTAAAAAAATGTTTAAATACACTTTTGTCAAAAAACCTGAAAATTTCCTTCTGGGGATGATTGGTAATGAAATCAAGAAAGAGGACCAGATTTTATTCCAATATGCAACAACAGCTTCTAGAATATTAATAGCACAAAATCGGAAGTCAACTAATATCCCACCGATAAGAGATTGGCAAAGCAAATTATTCGAATACGAATTATCAAAAATGACACAAAAAATTAGAGATCAGAAAGAAACAAAGTTTATTAAGGAATGGAACAAATTTATAATATATATCGAAGTAGATTTAAAAAATGTAAAGATCACAGTAGGCTCAATATAACCCTACGACGTGCAGATATTTTAAAGAGAAACTGGGGGGGAAATCCTTTGTTACATAACCCAAAACCGAGGTGGAGGGAAGTCAATTAGTTATATGTTGTTTTGGTCTTCTGTTTTTTTTCTCTCTCTTGTTAGTTTTGTTGTGTGTTTTGTTTTTATTTGTGATGAATTTGTTTTGTGTGTATTTGTGTGTAATAAAAATCAATAAAGAGAAATTTAAAAAACAAAAAACAAAACGTTAATAATTAGTAAACTGCAGTTTCCCCAGGATACGAGTAGGGCCATTGCTAGGTGATCTAGAGGGGACAGCTCCTTACAGGTGGGGTTTAGGCATAGTGAGATCAGGATGCATAACCCCCCTTTGAGCCTCCCTGGTCCTCTGCCTGCGACCGCTCTAACTGAAAGGGGTTAGTTTAACCTCTGCTTTGCTAGTAAAACTGAATTGCTGTGTCGCAAAATGATGCGTATCTAAAAAAAGTGTGTCACCAGTGTAAAAGTCTGGGAAGCTCTGCTCTGTGGGGCAGTAAGTTTCCGAACACCAGGTGCTGGAAACCACCATACCCTCCAAGTGCCCCGATTTTCCAGACACAGTTCTGGATTTTCAACGGAAGTGTGCAGCTGTATTGAGCAGCACCGGGTGTTGAAATTGTGCACCCCTAACAATTTTGCACCTGAGGGAACCACCCCTGTGCTGTCGCTGCCCGTGCTACAACACGATTTCAGGACTCTGGGCTTAATGGTCATGTGGTTGGATTCTTTAGATGGTAATGTGCATTTCTTCACTTACAGTGGTACCTTGGGTTACATACGCTTCAGGTTACATACGCTTCAGGTTACATACGCTTCAGGTTACATACTCTGCTAACCCAGAAATAGTACCTCAGGTTAAGAACTTTGCTTCAGGATGAGAACAGAAATTGTGCTCCGGTGGCACGGTGGCAGCGGGAGGCCCCTTAGCTAAAGTGGTGCTTCAGGTTAAGAACAGCTTCAGGTTAAGTCCGGACCTCCGGAACGAATTAAGTACTTAACCCAAGGTACCACTGTACTTCAAAACATGGTTACCTGGCCCTGCTGCATTTGGGGGTCTTCCTTCTCCTGCTAAGTGAGGCCTTGGACGTCTGCCCCAAACCCTGAGGGCACCACTGTGCAGGCAGGATTATAGCAAGCAGACTGCAGCCCTCAGCAAGGTGTGGCAGGGGCAGCTCAGGCAGTGATCCCTGGTATTGGAATTGGGGTGCTACAAACATGTTCCATGGCTCACCCTACCAGGCCCAGATCAAGACCTAAAGTTCTGCAGTAGGCCTAGCCTGTTTTCCTAACCCTTTTGCTTTCCCTTGCCAGCTCCAAGTGCCAGAGACAGCCAGCAGGGGGCAGCGTGAAACCAAGATGCACCCATCTTATCAGGACACACTGCGGTAGAGATACAGGATTGGCAGGCAAGTCCTAGGTCCTGGACTTTCACTACAGGGGGCCTGGACAGTGTCCCATGGGAAAAACGAGTCGCCCAGAGCTGGCATTGCGTGGCTGGGAATCCTGCCAGCCCTGGAAAGCAACAATAGCAGGCATAGCCAAACCTCCTGCCAAGCTCTGCCAAGTTATGCCCAACTTCCAAATCCATTGCTGTCGGAGACCATTTTTGGAATCTCCCTCTGTGTTACATCTCATGTATTCTCCAGCCAACCTATACTGGTCAATGATATCTATTTCCTAGACTTGAACCTTCAAGATCAGAGTTCAAATGCTGCTTTGCAGACTTTGAAAGTTTGTTTACACTGCACAGCAGATTTTCTTGTGTGCAAGTTTTACCACTTGTACATACCAAGTGTGAAGGGAGGCACGTCTATAACCACATAGGATTTTTTTTACTACTGTTGTACTACGATGATTAAATTTATTAGTCACTTTATATGTAAGGCCCCACCCATCGCTGGAATGTGTCCTTTGCATGTTTGCCTGTGAGGAGGAAACACAGCCTTTGGCTGAAAAAGATTCCCCACCCCCGGTTTAGACAGGAAGATGAATATCTTCACAATGTTTGGATTGATTGTAGAAAGGGTTCCTGATTAATCAAGCCAGCAGATTTCAACATTTTCAATTATTATTTTTAATAGAAGCTCTTTCGAAAACTTCAGCAGCCTTGAGTTCTGTGTGAGAGAAAATAAGGAATAATCAAAACAAGGAAGATGATCCCTGCTGCAATTCTACATACACAACTTTATTAATCTAAGGAAGTTTTTTCCTGCTTTTGGGACACTTTTTTCCTCCTCTTTAAATTTATGCAGATAAAATACCAACTTCTTCATTTGATCTTCCTAATAAATATCGTTTAGCCTCGTCATCCTGAACACAGCTAAAATTAACTTTTCAGACTTCGGACATCGTGTGTGGGTTTCAAACACTGAATTTTGCTTTTGTAGCCTTGAGAAAAGCTTACAAAATCTTAAAAATTTAAGACGACGATCACCGTGACTAACTTGCTAACTTTCATATTTTTTCACACCTGGGCGTTTATTTCCTGATAACCTTAAAATCCAACAGCATTCCCTAAATGGGAAACACTGAAAATGACTCCAGACGGGGAGATAAAAAAATTCCCTACTAGCGATTTCAACGTAAACCTCCCTCCACCCAAAACAAACGGCGCCTTTCAGATGCTGGGGATTCAATTCTCCAACATTTGGCAACAGTATGTATATACCTCCAGCACCCTGTGTACTATTAAAAAATAAGATAAAAATGGCCGTGTATATGAGCCTGACACTAACACGCTCTATCTATCTATCTATCTATCTATCTGTGTGGTCCGCCTGCTAAGGATCCCGTTTGATTTCTGGCGCTGCTCTCCCAGCCTTTTCCTTCCCAGCTGATCCGGCTCCCAATCCCCTCCTGCTTCCCCCCATTTTAAGACCCACCCCTCAGGCCCCCACCGGGGGGGGGGACACAACCCCACCCCCTTTCTAACACGCCCCGTCCAGGCCCCACGGCGCTCACTGCCCCGGCATCATGTCCCGCTCGGAGGAGGTAAACCGGCTCACGGAGAACGTCTATAGGGTGAGTGAGCGGGACACTTTCTATCCTTCTCCTCATCCCTTCCTCATTCCCTCTTTCTCTCTCCATTCTTTCCCTTGACCCTCTCTTCCCAGATCCAGCCCCCGTCCATTTCTCAGCCAGCCCTCTCCCCTGTTTATTCCTCCTGTTCTTCCTTTCTCCCCCCCCCCTCCGCCTCTCCCTTTGGCTCCCCTTCATCTCTCTCCCCTCCACCGCTTCTCTCCCCCCCACTCTGCCCCCCTCCGTCCCTGATTTGTGTTTCCGTCCTTCTTTTCCTCCGCCCCACTCCTGCCATCCACACCCCATCGCACACTAGCCCTTTCCAGCACCGCCACACACAAAAAATCCCCTTCCAACCCCCCTCCCCCCCTTTCTTTTTTCCTTTCTGTCTGTTCTTAACCAGCCTTTTGTTCACCTCCCAAAATCTTTTTGGAAAAACAGAGCCTCGGAAAAGGAAGGGACAGGGGAAAGGGAGGAGAGGCCGGTGGGGCAGAGTTGTTCCAACAAGCCACCCCCCAACCCCACATTTCCACAAACACACACACTTTGTGCACCCCACCCCCGCTGTCCCCCGCGCCCCCCACCCCACCTTTTGAATGCAGAGAAATGCCCTGGATTTGAAGGTAGCGCAACATTAATAATAACGTCCAGGTCTGGGAAGTTCCCCCTTCCCTCTAGTAAATGGGGGGGGGGAGAGCCAGACAAACCCAAATTAAGATGGAGAAGTTGTGTGAACTTTTAAAAAAAAAGTTTTGCTCAGATAACGGACCTGTTCTGTTATTTGCAGGAGAAATGTGGCTACAGACAACTTTATTATTATTATTATTATTATTATTATTATTATCATTCGGTCCCACTGTTTTATTAGAAACTCAGCTGTGCATTTGGACATGTGGATGGAAAAAACTTGGGGGGAAGTTCGTCAATGGTAATAGAAATAGTACCGCTAATAAAGTGTTCTTGTTTTGCTCGCTTCCTTGGAAAGAGACACTTTGCTAAGGATGTGGGGCCAGATTCTGACCTGGGCTCCCTGCTTTCAATGAAATCTGTGGTTATCCGCTTTTCTGGTTAAGTTCAGATGGAGCTGGAAGCTTTTGCTCTTTCTGTGTGTTTTCTTCTCCCATATGGAAATGAAGCAAATCCCATGCCAAATCCCAGTCTCAATGTACTTGGCCAGGAGGAGGGAACACTTAACCCTTTCCGCTCCCCCGAGATGTGTTGCCTAAACATCTTGACTCCAACTGGATGGGATATTCTCTTCTTATCCGGGGAGGAAGCACGCACATAGGCCGGGGTTCCTGTGCTTTCTTTGCTGTCTTCGCTCAGCAGAGACACATCTGACAGCTGTTAAAGCAGATGCCGAGAAGGGGCCATTGTCTCCTTGGGGCTGGGAAGGTGGGGGCAGGAGTGGCGCTTGTGTTGTCTGAAATCTGGGTCTTCAGAGCAGTTTTCCTTGCGTGTGTGGAGAACATTGTACTAACCAGTGCTGTTATTCCCTCCGATGTCTGGGCTGTGAGTGTCGTTGGTTATGTAGCCAAAATGGTACCACCCATGAGCAAGAGGTATCAGCAGGCTTAGGAGAATCCCAAGGTTTGCAGGAGCATAAAATAATATTTAGGGTAGAGACCTGAAAATGAGGAGCTCCTTCCCCTCCAAAAAACCAAATGAGGACTGAGCATGCTCAGTCAAGGCAGAATTCACTGTTGTGGAATGGAAAACCAAAGTGGTAAGGGAGAATGAAATGGACTGCATATTCCTAACATTTTGTTGCAGTGCCCACTTATTCTAATTTTTTATTACATTTTTAGTTCACATTTCCTCAGAGGAGCTCAGGACGATCCTTCATTTGATGGTCACAACAACTTGTTGAGATGAGGTTAGACTGAAAGATAGGGACTTGACTCATGGGCTTCATGGCTGAGTAGGAGTTTGGGCCTGGATCTGCTCAGTTGATTACTCTAACCATTACTCTGCAATAAGTTGTTGAAGGCATTTTTGCGTCTGCTAGGCTAAAAGATCATATCATTAGCTTATGCTAATGAGGAGGACATATGAATATTGTAAATTTAGAACAGAAAATGGAAGAAAAGGCAGAATGTGATTGTGGTGTTCACCTGTATATTATTACAGGAAATCAAAATACCCTTTTTCACATCATGCATGAAAATGCCTTTTTGTGATGAAGCAACAGCAAAAGAATCAGGTGAGAATAAGGTGGCAGAAGAGACTATTCAGCATCTGACTACAGGAAAGGGATTTTTAATCTGTAGGTAGAAAAATAGCATCAAAAGAAGTGGGCTGGCTAACATCCTCCGCACTGTGCTAGATTTTTACTTGCAGAGAACTTTAATATGAGGGCCAGGGGAGACACGTGCAGTTTTAAATGATTAAAAGCTAAAAGACCGCTGACAGTTAAGTCTAGTCACAAACGACTCTGGGGTTGTAGTGCTCATCTCGCTTTACTGGCCGAGGGAGCCAACGTTTGTCCGCAGACAGTTTTTCCAGGTCATATGGCCAGCATGACTAAGCCACTTCTGGTGAACCAGAGCAGCACATGGAAACGCCGTTTACCTTCCCGCTGGAGTGGTACCTATTTATCTACTTGCACTTTGACGTGCTTTCGAACTGCTAGGTTGGCAGGAGCAGGGACCGAGCAATGGGAGCTCACCCCATCGCGAGGATTCAAACCACCAACCTTCTGATTGGCAAGCCCAAGGCTCAGTGGTTTGGACCACAGCGCCACCCGCGTCCCTTTAAATGATTATAATGCCTCATTCTACCACAGGTCTAGTGTCAGGGATCAGTGGGACTGAGCACCTTCCCAAAGTCCACAGGCAAGCTTGGGTCCAACAACTAACCCTAGATGCAGACCAGACCTGATTTCCTATTTCCAGAAGGGAAAAAGTACTTGGTAGCACCAGGGCAGCTCTCTCAGGTCTGGCGCCCTCTATCACAGCCCCAAATGATAGGGGGTAGGGAGAGGTGTAGACACTCTGTGACCAAAGCTGACCCTTTTTCACCACTTATTTCTGGTGAATGTTTAGGCCAGGCCAACTCCATTCCACAAGACATCCCTTCTCCTCTCCCTCTGTCCATCATCTGCTCCCTTCATCCAGTTCCTGTCTGTCTTTCCATCCTCCCACACATTCCTGTCTGTCCAGATAATCCTCCCTCCCTCTCTCTGTTCCCACCCCCCTTGGGCACTCTTGATCGGAGTCAAAACAAGATAAATAGCTTCCCGACCAGTAGCTACCAAGCAGCACACATGAGTCAGGGAGAACTGTAAATTTTCCTAATGCATCCCTGTAAAAAAAACAACAACTACATTAAAACCAATTCCTTCATTAAAATGAAATGAATAAAATGTCACAGTCCTTATCAACAATTATTTCTCGATTCCCAAATATATGAATTGACTTTTGCATATCAATGTAACATACAAAATATAGGTCATAAGAAAATCTGTAGAGTTTTGATTGTTTTATTTTTCATGCAGAAATTATGTTAATTTTAATTTTATAGATGTGGACATTTTAGTAAAGTTTAGGGCTTCTGCTCATTCTTGATCAAGCCATTGTGGTGGTTAGCTTGCTAAACTGCAGTTGGGTTGCCATGGGTCAGTCAGCACTTCTGGACCCACCTCATAGGGTTGCTTTGAGAAATATAGGGATATATATATACTCAGTTGAACCCCTTAGAGGAAAACATGGATAACTAAGCTATTTGACCTAGCTACTCACTTTATCCATTCCTAGACTTCTCATCTACCTGTGGCCTGGTTCACATGTCATACTAAGTCAATCCATGGTTTAGCATGAGTGCTCCTGGAGAGGATGTCATGGCAACATTGCTCTTCTCTCGTTACTCAGTGTTATGCTGAGTTAAGTTGTGATTTATCTTAGTCTGTCCTCTGCATCAGAGGTTATGGTTAAGCTCTCCTGGACAAACAACAAGCCATAAAGGACAAACCTTAGTTACAGCTTGTGATTGGTCTGCGGGAGAGTGAAATCACAAGCCCGGTTCCAGACAATACGCTAAGCTTAATGATGGCTTAGGTCAGTGCAGCTTCAGAATGCCTGGGGAGGAACAAAACAACCCCAATCTACTTTCCCAGAGCCTGCAGGTTCACACTAAACCATGGTTTGTTTTGTTTTAGCATGACATGTAAACCAGGTCTGTGTATTATTTCCCAGGTACCCTCTGTCAACTCACTGCAGGCCACCACATATAATTCTTCCCTTCCTTGTGCTAGTTTATATATCTTCTCCCAAAGTATGTCATTTTGTTTTATTTTTTTCATTTGTAAGATTTTTAGACCACTTTTCTTCTTCTTTGGCGATCACTTTTAGCTGAGTAAGATTGTCTTCCATGAATATGGTCTTAACAGTCTGTTCGTAAGTGACTGTGGAGGCCAATTCTGGATCCACACATCCTTCCACAGTGTGGACATAAGCTTCCAGGTGGGAATTGATCACGGTGAGGATTTGCCAAACATGCCTTCCTCTTAGCTCGTTTCTCCCTTTCATCCTGAGTTCATGCTTCTTCAAAGTCCAAAGTTTCATTAAGTTATACAAAGTAGTTTTCCAACTGTAAGAAAAATATAGGTTAACATCAAATACAATTTAAAATCAGACCATACAGAACTCAGACTCTTCTTCACCTACTTTCCCATCAGTTTCTCTATCAAGTACATTTATTACAAATTTAATAAATAATAATAATATTAGTGTCTGTCTCTTCTAAGCACTCATGATTCATCATGTTTTGCAAGGAAGTCCTCACTCCTGATAACACGGAGAGAATCTTGATGCTAAGGAGATGAACCAATCACTTATGTCCGTCTAATTCCTATGGATTTCAGCGAGGAAATGAAGCACACGCCTCAGCTCTCTGTGGGAAGTTAAAGTGCCTAAACTTTGTCTGAATCATGCCAGAAGGATTTGCATTATTTGTTTGTTTTCTTCTCCCTTGTAACCAGGCGATTCTGGACCAATTCAACCCCAGTCTAAGGAATTTTGTTTCTATGGGAAAGAACTATCAGAAAGCACTCTCAGGTAATGGAATGCCCCAGTCCAGCCCTTGACCTCAGGCCAGGTCAGAGTTGGTGTTCCTTAAAGGGGAAAGGTCTCTGCAGCTTTTGTGTTGAGAGTTTATGATTCAATGGTCCATCCCTCCACCCCTTGCAGGAGTTACAGTGGCCGCCAAGGGTTATTTTGATGCCTTAGTGAAACTCGGCGAGTTGGCCAGCGACAGCCAAGGATCCAAGGAGTTAGGTAGGTTTTTTATACGACCTGTGGCCCCCTCTCTAGGGAAGAGACTTATTTCCTACTACTGAACTCTCTCTAGAGCACTCTTGCGCACATATTTGTGCTTGCAAAAAGGTGTTAGCAAATCTGGAGTTGGCATAACCCCAGCAAACCCACAGCATCTAGTCTCTGTTTGGAACCACATAGTATTGGTCACTCATGTTGCTCGCAAGTGGTTTCTTGGGTGGAGCAGAACTGCAACACTGGTGTACCAGCAAACAAGTCACTGCCACTTACCAGGAGGGAGAAGGGAGGGGTGAAGCTGCAAGGAGGTCAGTGCAGTGCAGGGGCACCAGCAGAGCCACTCCTGCACCCCTTCCGCTTCCTGTAATTGGCTGTGGAATATCTTCTGGGAGGCTTGAGTTGCAGCTCTGCTCCACCTGCCAAACTATTTCCAATGAGGATACCACTTGCACTTGTCTCATCATGTACATATCCAATATCTGGACTATTGGTGGTGAATAGGATGGCATTCCATGTGTTCCTGGTGACTCCATGGAATTCTGCCCTTCAAGCATTGTGGAATCATCAAGGGATGACGCCTCAAGAGAGCAGAGACCCCACATCTCTGCTTCTGTGCGAACCGAGACGTTGAGCCAGTTTGCACATTCAGCAAAACCAATTGGTAACGTTTCCTTTGGGCTGGGCCGTTTCAGGATGAAGGCGAGGGTGTTTTGTGTGTTTGCATGCTTGAATCCTTCCTTAATTAAAAAAGAAACCTTGTATGTTTGAATGGCATGGCAGGGAGGAGAATCTGGCCTCAGTTTCTCCCTGCCAACCTATTTTTCTGCATGAAGGGTTTTGTTTTGTTTCACTAGCAAGCATTCAATACCCACCCATAAGAAGAGTCTTCTCGATTGGGCCAGTGGCCCATCTAGTCCAGCAACCTGTTCTCACAGTGGCCAAGCAGATTCCCCATTGGGAAGCCCACAAGCCAGACCTGAGTGCAACAGCAACACTCTCAGTCCATCAGCACACTGTCCTTGACAGTGGAGGCCGAACATAGCCATTGTGGCCAGTAGAGCCTTATCTCCCATCAATTTGTCTAATTCTCTTTCAAATCCATCCGGGTTGGTGTTCAGCACTGCTTCTCGTAGCCTAAAACTGCACATGCCTGAGGAGATTGTTACTGCTTGGCTCTGCTGACGGTGTAAACCAGTCTTTAAGCTCGTCGGCTGTGGGGCCTTGTAGTTTTTAGCAGTAGCTGTTTTGTACTAGTCTCCGCTGTAGATAGGGCTGCCAAGCGGCTAAAGATTTTTTAGTGGTTCTGTCAAACGATCCATCAATTACATGTAAATAAAACTGCAGCAGGCCCTTTCTTGAGATGTTGAAGGAAATACGAGATAAGGTACGATTTCACAAACAAAAGCTACTGCTCATTGTTAGAATCAAAGGCAATCTTTAATATTTCCTCTTTTCAATTCCCTGTTGCAACACCAGAACCAAAATAGACTCCAGCATAAACAAGGGTGCCCTTAAGTCATGGCCCGATTGATTAAAATGGGCCCCTATCATTAATCAACTCCACCATGCAGCAGAGGGAGGTAGCAAGAAAACTGTGGTGTTAGGGTGGGCTGTACCACTTCACAGGAGAGGTAGGGATGCCGGTTTTGAACACTGCCCCATGTGAACACAACTCCCTGCAAGTTGTAAATTACACATAATATGCTGTATGGTATAAGAGATTCTAGAGTCCTGCCCATTCCCTTTCGTCCTGTTTACTATTTATTGGGCAGTTTTCATGTAGCTGAGCATTCAAACATGCCATCCATACCTGCAGCCTGAAATGGTACAGCCCACATTCTGCTGCATGTGTATCCCGGTTATAAATCTGTTGATGGTTCCTCCTGCCTTGCAGCCCTAACTGTAATGCCACCTTTAGATGGGTTTTTTAAAATGTAAAACCTCAAATATAGTTCAGACACATTTTTTTCTGTCTAAATGGTTTGGGGCCAGGTTATGCTGTGGAATGGTCTTCTTTGAGAGGCTGGCAGGTTTTTTCCCCTCTTACGTCTTCTGTATCTTGTGATTTTGTTGTATACCTTCTTGCTTCCCTGGCCAAACCACCTCCCTTTATACCTCACCCTCCCTTTCACCTATCCCCTCACAGCTCGTCCCAACCTTCACCCCCATTTAAAGGATGGGGTGCCTTGCCTTCATCCATTCAACCCCATTTAACGGGGGGCGGGGGGGGCTTCACAAAACAGCTTGCTGAACTCTTATGTGAAGCACCTCTCCCCCCTCGGTTAAGCCCCTGTCACCAGCACTGTTTCATGCTGGAGCTAACATGGCTGCCCCAACTACAGAGCATGACAACAGCCTTAGATTATTATGTACACAGAAGATAGTTGTGATTGGCAATGCTGTAAACTTTTTTTGAGGGCTCCTGCAGCCAATAGGCAGGATACATGTTTGCTTTTCTTTTTTAAAACATCTTTTTGTCACTTTTAGCTATTTAGGCAATAGGGCTATGAACTGCCCCTATGCTAGATCGCACTTTCTTTTGGAGGGGGTGCTCCCATCTAGATGTGTGCTGCGTCACACTGATCTAATCTCTGTGCCAGGTGTATGAATTGCACAATGCACCTCCAAAGCAGAAGCTGCCGAGCGGTGCTCAGGTTTGTGTGTATGTACCGAGTTGAAGACCTCCTTCCACGAATCCCTGCCATCGACATTTTGGTTCCAGTTAAAAGCTGGTTGGAGTTCCTTGGTCAACTCCTAGGAAAGGAATTAACCCGAAAGGAGATTATCCAGGGACAGGCAGAGTCCAGGGGACAAAGGACCTTTTCATAGACCAGGGAATGTCTGGGGTATATTAAGCCTCCAATCACCTTGACCTACAGGTGACACGTTGTTCCAAATGGCTGAGGTCCACCGTCAGATCCAAGTGCAGCTGGAAGAAACGGTGAGTATCTGTATGTGATGGGCCCATTTAGCCTGGCATCAGGCCTGCCTGGATCAGACTGATGGGCCTATTTAGACCTCTGCCCTCTTCCCCTCCTCTCCTTTGCTGCCTCCAATCAGGACCGCAGGCCCACCTTTCCTGGTATCTTGTCATGTCCAAAAGCCATTCTTGGGACCTCCAATCTATGGGCGGGAGGGGGTGGTACTGGCCTTCGTCTTCCTGACTCTCACCCTCTCCTTTCCTGCTTCTCTGTCACCTGGTCCCAGCTGAAGCTTTTCCACTCGGAGCTGTTATCCCAGCTAGAACACAAACTGGAACTGGATATCAAGTATCTGATGGTGAGAGAAAGATTAATATCTGAACCCTCCTCTTCTGCCATTTCAAGTTTGTCTGTCTGTTGTCATGTGTATTCATCCGCCCATCACTTCTTGTGCAATATCTTATCCGAAGCTTCATCTTTGCTAGGGTTCAGTATCAGAATCTATCTATGCCCCGAATGTCTGAAATAATGATGAAGAAAAGTACCCCTGAGCACGTGCAGAATGACTTTCCCTCGCCACAGAGCCTGTCACAACATTCCTGGAATCTCCAGGTCAAATAGTGTCATAGTATGGCTTCCAGGAAGGCATGTGCCTTGCATTTGTTTTATTCATAGATTAAACACTGGTTCCATCTCTGTTTATATACATTTCCATTTCTTATAGCTGGCCATTTAGGAAGGTATCTGATTTACCCACAGAAGAGAGTGCCATTGAGGCAGGAATTTATTCAGCTAAGCATGAGTTGTGATGTTTCTTTCATCTTGTCTTTATCTCACAATAATTCCCTGAGGAAGATGAGACTGAGGGATAGTCAGAGTCTATGAGAAAGCAAAGGAGACGGTGGTCAGCACTTCTTCACAGGCCTTCACTTCTTGCTTCTTGCTAGCCAGCGACAAGGCCCAAACGAGGCCTTGCTATTCGTGTGGAAAAGCTTGAGGGCTGGGCACTCTCTTGAGAGCCCTCTAGGTCTGGGGCGGGGAACTTGTAGCCCTCTGGATGTGGTTGAACTACAACTCCCATCAGCCTCACCTAGCGTGGCCATCAGTCAGGGAACTTGTGGGTGGCCACAAGTTCCCCACTCTTGCCCAAGGTGAAGATGTGCAGCTCAGCTCTTAAGACTGGCTGTGAAGAAACAAGGCTCCATTGTCAGCATTGTTTCTGCCAGGTCCAAGATTTCTCTTAAGACAGACCCAGTTTGGCCCAAGCCCAGCTGTTGTCCCTCAGGGAAACCAATAATCCATTCAGTATGTCATATTGATTTGAGAAGGGTGTGACCTGAGGTATTTTCCATTCTGTCAACATGCATCTGTCCAGGGTTGGGGAACCTCTGGCTCAGGTTGAATGCGGCCCTCTGGGGCTCTTTGTTTGGCCCCTGGGATTCTCCCTATGCCACAACCTCTCCTCAGCTCTGAACTCTGACCCTGCTCCATCCCATCCTCCAGTAACTGAGACAATGCCTCTTGCTTGCCTGGATAGAGAGGTGTGAGCATGTGTAAAAGCCTTGTGTGACTGAAACTGTAGCCTATCGTATATAGATAAGAGATAAGACATTCAATGCTGTCCATTTTTGCCTCTGGCCCTGCCCGCCCCTAGCATGCGGCCCCCTGGTGCGGAAAGGTGGCCCTCAGACTGAGAAAAGATTCCCCACCCCTGATCTACTTGTTCATCCGAAAGGAATAAAAGCTCAACAGCCCGTCTGTTGAGCTGCTCTGTGTATTTATATGTGGAATGAGGCTCAGAGAAGCGGGAAGGATCCTGTTCCTTCAAGGCTGACCTGGCTATGTACTGTCTGGTGCCTGCCCTCCCTCCCCTAGGCCACCCTGAAGAAATACCAAGGCGAGCACCGTTCCAAAGCAGAGTCCATTGAAAAGTGTCAGACGGAGCTGAAAAAACTGCGCAAGAAGTGCCAGAATAGCAAAAACCCACAGAAATATGGGGATCGCGAGGTGCAGGTAAGATTGGCAGCGGAGAAGGGAGGGATTCCATAAAGGGAAGTGCTTAAGAGAACAATGGGAATGTTGCTTGCTCCCTCTGGGAACAGTGTCACATCCTGCCAGAAGCGGATATGTGGAATTCCAGGTCAGGCTATCTGGGCAGGAGACAGAACAGCCTCATGTCTCTCTCTCTCTCTCCTCAAGTTCAGTGAGCTTATTTACAAGATATAAGATAACAAGTGAAGCTACCTTATGCTGAGGTAGACAAATGACCTCCCTAGCCCATCTACCATCTACCTTGGCTGGAAGCAGCTGTTCAAGCAGTGGTCTTTTCCCCTGTCCTGCAGTCTAGGATGCCTGGGATTGAACCCACAACCTTGCACATCACTCACTTTAAAAAAATTAAAATCAATCTTGTAACTTTAAAATTTAAAGTCAGTCCGTCTCATGACATACCATATTAAAGCCCATGAAGTTCTGAAGAGAATGGTGTTTTTAGTTTTGACTTACCTCAATTCTGGGCTGAGCTTTTAAGGTGTTTGCGTAGCCCTGCAAGGCCAAAATGGTCAATTCTCACAAAAGGGATGAGATTAAAAAATTACAATTTTAGCCTTCAGCTACATTTCTAATAATAATAATAATAATAATAATAACAACAACAACAACAACAGCAGCAGCAACAATAGCAGCAACAGACAGGTTACAGAAAAAATGGTACACAACAGAACAACCTTGCTGGTATGTGTTGTGTTTCAAAATTTTGAAAATGTATAATATTGGGAAGTTCTGTTTGTGTAAATGAAAAAATACAGATCTGAATGCAAAAAGGTGTAGTAATATTGTTGTTTGGAAGTTCAGCTTTCTAAAGTTTTTCAATGGAGCAGGTTACACTCAAGACCTGGCTACTCCATACAGATGCCATCTGGGTGCTGGGATTGGGGTCACTAAGAAGTTTATGTCTTTAAAAGGGTTTAACATTCTTTGGCTGTTTAGTGCCTGGAGAGGTAATCTCTACAGAGGGGGTACCTGGGTTGTTGACAGTAATACAAAGAGAAATGTACACAGTCTCTCCGCCAGACCCGTGTATATACAGTACATCATTGTGCACACACCCGTAAGCGCATACGTGTGCAAATCATACATGCCATGTCCTTTACGCATGCACACCCTGTACCCAGAGCCTTACACAAACACCCTGCTTGTTCAGAATGCATGTGCAAGTGCAGTGTGCTGCTTTTGCACACCCACCTTCACATGCACAGTCGGTACACACTTACACAACAAACCTGAAAGGTCGGGCACAGCTTCTCTGCAAGGGGATGGAGTCCTGTGCATGGAGAACACTGCAGAAAGGGTGCGCCCGCCTTGATTCAGATGTCACCCGTCTTCCTCGCTCTCTGACTCAAATTTGGTCTGGTGCCCTGTCTCCCCTATCTACCATCCGCCACCTACCCCCATCCTGTGAATCCTAGCAGCAGCATTTGGCTCCGGAAAGGCCCCTTTTGTCAACCTTGTTGCCACGGCAACCATTACTTCAGGATCAAGGCCTGCTCAGGCTAGAGGCCGCAAGGAGGGGGCTGGTAGGGAATGGGGTATGGAGATAACCCTTCAGCTCCTGGATCCTATAAGACTGCCCCCTGCCCTTAGCTTCCCAGGATATAAAATCAGTACAAGCCCTATGTTTCCTAAAATTAGATTAGTTGTTTCAGAGCACCTTTGCATTCCTTTTGTACTCACAATTGGGCTGAAATTGTAAGGAAGTACTGACTTCTCCCCACAATCATCTCTCTATGCTTGCTTATGGATAGAGCTCAGATCCTAATTCACACTGGTGGTTGTGTGAGAGTGGAATTAGGCAGTGGCAATTACTCCGCATTAATTAATCCAGAACAAGGTGCCAAAGGATTCTAGAAACTGCCCTGAGGCAATGGAGTTGTCCTTTGCTAGGAGAGTGAGCGGCGCAAACAAAACAAAACGGTGCCTAATGTTTTTCCCTAGTGCATGCGAACAGGAGTACATTTGAACGCTAATGTATCTGTTGATTGTAATAATATCTCTCTGTGAGCTGTGCAGTTTTCTAAACGCTGAACAGCAGTTCCAGCCACGAGCCAGGGAAAAACTGCATTTGGTAAATGTCTGATATAGAATATAAAATAACAGGGTGTTTTATCTCACCCCACAGGCAACATTTCAAAGAGTAGGGAAGAAATTACCTTGAACAGGGGAGAGGGGAGGGAACAGCCCAGAGGATCAAAAGGTCAAAAAGCCAACGAGAAAGAGGCAGAGGAAGGCGGGGATGAAACCACAAAATGATGCTTGAAGTGAAAAGAATTTTTATTATACGATGTGATACTCCCCAAACATGTTTTGACTTGTTGCATTCTTCAAGGGCACTAGGAGAGATGATAACAGCAATGCGTGAAAAGAGTACTGAGTAAAATACTTGGAAGTGTTTCCGGCTACAATCCTAAATGTGCTTGGGAGTGAGACCTGTCAAACAGTCAGACTTACTTCCAGGTGAACATGCACAGATTGTGTTGTTAAGGCTAAACTCGACATAGCACCACGCGTCCAATGAACAACCACACATTTCGTTCTGTTTTTAAAAAGTAAATAGCAGGTATGTGGGGTGTGATCTGTATTAGTACTGGCTGCTTAGAAGGAGAGGAAGCAAGAGAGATGGGTGTGGGAAGCCTCTTCTGCTGTGGTCTCAATTGGAAATGAGACTCCTTTGCTGCTATTTTATTATTAAAAAAAAAGAAATCATGAAATTGCTAATTGCGTGAGTGATGTCGTGCCTGATTTGGCCCTTACTGTTGCTGGTTAAGTTTCTCTGTTTTATTACTCAGTCTAACCAAAGAGTTTAGAGACTAGAAGACATAGACAGAATGTATTCAGAATTCTCCTCTACACCAGTTCTTTTTCACTTTTTCTTTTTTTAGAGAGAGAATGGAAGTTAAATATACCTGGTTTGGTATGATTTTGAGGCAAAGTGTGTTTTTTTATGCAAGGTTATTATCGTCAGTTTAATAATCATTGTTGACATCTCTCGCACTCGCTCCTGAAGAAGGCGACATGTCAAAACATGTTTCCACAAAGTATAATAAGAAAACGATTTTGCTTCAAGTATGATGTTATACGTTTCACCTCCTTCCCCTCTCCACTTTTTGGCTTCCTAAAGAAATCACCTCAGTTTTAAACATCCATTTTTTTGAATGATTTCCGTCAAAAGGGTGGTGGGATATACATTTATGAAATTAAACGAAGTGTGCTACGTAATATAGGAGAGACTAAATAGTGTACGGGCTGCTATGCAGGCCTGGCTGTGAAGCAGTTGGGCCTCAGATTACAACATGATGGTTCCTTCCCTTCTCATGGTGGTTTTTGCCTTAGTATGTGGAGATCATGAGCACCAAACAGAGCGAACTGGATCGGTTCGTGGCTGAAGGCTACAAGGCGGCCCTGACGGAGGAGAGGCGCCGGTACTCGTTTCTGGTGGACCGCCAGTGTGCAGTCTCCAAACACTTCAGCAACTATCACACTAAGGTGAGCTGTGCCCTCTCCACCACAGAAGGAGGTATTAGAAGCCCCTGTTTCACTTTCCCTCTCCCCAATGTAGGCTTCAGGAGAGCGAATCAGGGAATCAGGAAGGGCCATTTGCATTCTGCGATTCCGCAACTGCACTGCAGAATTTGCCACTGGCGCGGAATTTATCATTCTGAGCCAGGGTGATGTTGTGGTTAGAGAATATTAGAATAATAGAACTGCCAGTGCTTTAGACTGTGCCAGCCTCCCTGCCAACTTGTCCCTCTCCCTCCCAGTAAACAGCTGCCACACAGCTGTTGGAAGGTCAGCTAATTATTGCCCCCCCCCAAAAAAACTATGCTGTCTGCTCCTGTACAGCCAAGTCTAGTTGAAATCTGGGAATTGGGGGGGGGGGGAGAGAACTCAGCACAACTTCCTGCAGTCTGGAGCTAAAAGACAACCACTAGTAGCTTAAGAGGGACAGGGTGGAAGCCGGTTGGCTAAAAAAAAGCAAAAACAAGCAACATGGACCTTCTTTTCATCCCTTTGCAGGTACGGGAGCTGCTGGCAGCCAAGTTGCCCATCTGGCAGACATCGTGCACTCAACCCACCCGCTTACCAGAGCGGGCCCTAGCCCTGGTCAAGCTCACGGCCAATAACCTCTCTGGTGGGACTCCCATACCAGCCAATGATGCCCTCCCTGGCTCCAAGGTCCTGGAAGAGCTCTCAGAGCTGGGGCCAAACCACGTGAGTCCATGGGGTGGACTGATGAATAGGCCGCTCATCCTGGAGGCCCCAACCTCCCTCTTTACTGCCAGGATTCAAATGGCAGCTCCCAAACTACTAATGTGACACTTTAGCCAACTATGAAGAAGGACCACACTCGCCCAAAAGTTATAAGTTCTCTGTGCGGCAGGGAGGTGGGGCAATAGGATGCATTGGGGTTCACCTGTATAATGCCCTATCTGTTCTTTGCTTTCTCTCTTCCCTTCTCCCCCCACCAATCCCCCACAGCGTGTCTCAGTCCAGGAGGTGATGCCGTTACCAAATGGCGACTCACACCGTGGGCGGGGATCTCGGGACTTGGGGCACCCGCCGGTCACCGAACCCCTCACCATCACATCAGGTCTGCCACCCACACAAACCACTCAGGCCCCTCCACAGACCAAGACCACCGACAGCTATTCCTGTACCCTGCCAATGCCACGCAAAATGTCAATGGAGACCCGCCTGGCAACGCTAGGTAAGTGCCCCAGGTTGGTTTTGACCTGCAGCCCATCTTCCTTGTTTAGCCAGCACCGGTTCAAAACCAGGATGAATGGAATGGGACTTCCACTGTGTAATTTATGCCATCTGATCAGTCATGTTTCTGTTGAATCCTCGTCAGAACTCCAGATTGTGCAGTGTCAGGACAGAACAAATTCTGCCCATTCCCTTAAAACAACAACAACGATATTGGAGTTGCACGAGGCCACTTTTTCACCATTGCACCATTTGGGAACTGGCCAGGATGGAGCATGAGATGCAGAACTTAAAGAGAAGCCATAAAACCTTTTGAGCACTGATTGTAAGAACTGTTGGTGACTTGTAGAAGTCAGTTGGTAGCTTGCCACACCTCCACCTGTGTGATTCATCGGCAGAGGATGTGGAGCCCTAGCAGAGTCTTCAGAGATTTCCTGCTCCCATCAGACAGCCTCTTCCAGAGTCTCCAGTTAAGGGGAAAACTCCTCTCTCATACAGTTCAAAGTAACAAAGTGTTTATTGTCTCCAGACACTAAACTATATACTGTATACAGCTCTTCCAGTCTTAGAAGTATATATACATATGTACAGAGAGAGCCACTAATATTACTGCCTTTTCCCTATCCCAATTCTATTCCCATCTCCTCACAGTGGAGAACAAAACCCTGCCCCGCATCAATCCTCTGTCAGTCCTGCCTCCACGTTCTGAACGGCGGAGGGTCCAGGCGATATTCTCACATGCGGCAGGAGAGAACAGCACCCTGCTCAACTTCCAAGAGGGAGACATCATTCTTTTATTAGTGACCGAGGCACGGGATGGCTGGCATTATGGGGAAAACGAGGCAACCAAAATGTAAGCAAGATCCTCCCCCTTCTGCCCCATACAAACACAACTGGTAGGCTTTCCCTGTTGGATGGGTGAGAATTTACCCTTACCTGTGTGGGTCCAGGTCATGTGTGCAGTTTGCAGGGACCAGGTATGAGGATTCTCTTGCAACCTCTGCAGGGGGAGGGAGAGAGGGAGGCCTGTTCAGCTTGGATAAGATCTGTAGGGCAATAGTAGCCGAAGGTCCCAGGTTCAGTCTCTGACATTTTATGGAGCAGGTGATGCGAAAGACCTCCGTCTGAGACCTTGGGGAGCTACTTCCAGCCACAGTAAGGGATACTGGACTAGAAAGATTTCCGTGGACTATACAGCCAGCAACCGCTCGACTCAGCTCCCTTGAGGTGAAGGGCTGTAGCTCAGTGGCAGAGCATCTGCTCTGCATGCAGAAGGTCCCAGGTTCAGCTTCACGTGGGGCTGGAAGAGACCTCTGCCTGGAACCATGAGCAGCAGCTGCCAGTCAGTGTAGACAGTACTGAGCTAGATGGACCAATGGCCTGACTCAGTGTTAAGCAGCTTCCTATGTTCCCTTGGGGAACGCGGGTGGCGCTGTGGTCTAAACCACAGAACCTAGGGGTTGCTGATCAGAAGGTTGGCAGTTCGAATCCCCCGACGGGGTGAGCTCCCGTTGCTCGGTCCCTGCTCCTGCCCACCTAGCAGTTTGAAAGCATGTCAAGTGCAAGTAGATAAATAGGTACCGCTCTAGCGGGAAGGTAAACGGCGTTTCCGTGTGCTGCTCTGGTTCGCCAGAAGCAGCTTAGTCATGCTGGCCACATGACCCAGAAGCTGTCTGCGGACAAACGCTGGCTCCCTCGGCCAATAAAGCGAGATGAGTGCCACAACCCCAGAGTCGTTCGCAACTGGACTTAATGGTCAGGGGTACCTTTACCTTTACCTTTATGTTCCCTTGCATAAGGGTCTGGGAGTCCTACTCAGAGTAGACTCGTTAACATGACCAATTTAGGTTCATTAATTTTAGTGGGTCTACTCTTGGTTGGATGCAACCCCAGCTAGGAGGCACTGTCCTTCAAGAACATTGCATGGCCCATTTGGTCCAGCAACCTGTTCTCACAGCAGCCATCCAGGTGCCTTTGGGAATTTGGAAAGCAGGACCTCACAGCCCTCTCCCCACTTGCAGTTCCCAGCAAGAGGCATTCAGAGGGATGCTGCCTCTGGTGGTGAGGCCGTTGTGACTCCTCTGCAAAGAACACTGGCTATCAGCCTCTTGGTTTTGTGACTAAACCAAGCTCATTCCCCTTTCTTGAGAACCCTGATCATCTGGGCTGCTAGCTGCTGCTGTTTCTTAGCCCACTAGGTGATCTCCCCAAACCTCTCTGCCTTGGCTACGCCTGCTTCTGCCGCTTCTTGTGCTTAGCACTGACCCTTCTTAAGCCCCACCTCAAACGCAGAAAGAATAGGAAGCAGTTTTTGGCCCTTTTCCTTTCTGGTCTTAAATGTCTGCTTCTCCTGTTTCTCCCTCCCCATTCCCCCTTTTACAGGAAAGGCTGGTTTCCTTTCTCCTACACCCGGCCCTTCCCCCCAGCCGAAGGGTCTGACAAACCGTTCAGCAGGTAAGGTGGGAGAGGGGGGCCCAGTGCCTCAGAGGGAGATTTGGCTGGTGGTGGAGGGGCAGGTCACTTTGACCCTTTGAGACGGATTGCCTTAAGGGTCTCCAGCAGCTGACCTTTGGGGGAGCTGCTCATCTTTTAATACTTGCCAGTCAGCAAGGGATTATGTGGGAATAATTATTATTATTATTATTATTATTATTATTATTATTATTATTAATTTATACCCTGCCCTCCCCAGCCAAGGCCGGGCTCAGAGCGGCTTACAAGCAATAATAAAAACAAGTTGAATGATTACAACTTAAAAACAAAATTAAAATACAACATTAAAATATTGAAACATTAAAATATTAAAATGTAGCCTCATCGCAGGAGGAGAAGGAAAAGAAAAAAGAAAGAGAGGGAGGGAATCAAATTGGCTCCAGGCGGAACAACTCTGTCTTACAGGCCCTGCGGAAAGAAATCAGATCCTGCCGGGCCCTGGTCTCATGAGGCAGAGCGTTCCACCAGGCCGGAGCCAGAGTTGAAAAGGCCCTGGCTCTGGTTGAAGCCAGTCTAACTTCCTTAGGGCCCGGGACCACTAGGGTGTTGGGAATAGGGTTTCCCATCCTTGTACTGCAGTGGGCTTTGGGCTCACCTGCCTCTCCCACTGCCAGATATATGTAGGTAAAGATATAGATGGATCAAGCAGGGTGGGCTGGGTGCCCAAGCTATAGGGTTTCCTCAAAAGCACAGAGAGGGGGAAATCCTGGATCAGATCTAGGAAGCAAAAGTCATTTGGCATGAATTGGCACAAAACTTTCTCCTTTCCCTTTCCTGAGCAGCTTCCCACTTAGCAAGATGAACAGTAGCAGCACAGGAAATTTGGACCGAGCTGGCTCTCCACCCATTGGCCCCGACGGTGGCGACGGGCCACGCTTTGGGCCTTCACCGCGTGCCACTGCATCCCGCCAGCGCCCTTACAGCATGCTGAACCCAGACCTGTCTCAGGTGAGTTTGCGGGGTGGCTGTGTGTGGAGAAGGAGCTGGAGAGCGCTAGAGGGGCCCTAGCCACGTCTGTCCTCTTAACATGTATGTGCTGCCACCCAGTGGTCAAAGGCCACTAAGCAACATTTCTTAGCAGAAACAATTCAAAATTCAAGTTGCAAATTCTGCAGTGCAAAGTTTTTACAGTTTTGTGGCTTCGTCTGCTGCTCTGGGGTTTAGATCTCTGAGTCTATGGGCCTTTTGCCTAAACTGAAAGGATTCTCTGAATGCAATTCTTTCTCGTTTTGCTTCCCAGCTAGCAAATGAATTTGGCAGTCCAAGTGGCTCCCCGTCAAGGTAAGAAACCCTCCTGTGGCTTCCACAGCTGTCTTTTTTCCTATGAGACATCCAGTGCCCCAATTCTGATATAATTTTGCATATAGTGCCTTAAGAGTCCCAGAGGGCACAGGGCACCATGCCCAAAAGCTTCTGGGGTGCCTTGTGATTCAGGCCTTGTTGACGCATTCAGGAGAGTGAAGTTGTAGAATGGATTCCCTTCTTCAGGTTACAGGTGGGAAAACTACAGCTTTTCAATGCTCCTGTACATTTAAAAATAAATAAATCTTGCAAACAGGAAACCAGCACTGTGGGCAAAAGGCCAGGCTAGAGCCTTTGTCCCTGAAATGTGAGTCTTATATTTGCAAAGTGAGCTTCTTTGTTTTAAAATGGAAGAGCATTAAAAAGTGTTGTTTCCCCACCCATTGTCTGTTCTCTGTATTCTGCACTGTCACCTCATTTGCTGCCATATTGAGCTAACCCCTAGGAGACGCTTAATCTCAAGGTTGTGGGTTTGAGCCCCACGCTGAGTGAAAGGTTTCTGCACTTCCAGCTCTACAATTCTGTGGTTCTGTGGTTCTGAGAGTAACAACTCCCTACCCAGAGCTTCAGAAAGCATCCTTCATGATCTGGTGCTTCTTTGCTGCCACGGTGACACTTACCCTTCTCTGACTTACCCTTTCCCACTGCAGGACCAACCCATTTGCTCACATCAAGCTGAAGCGTACGGTGACCAACGACCGCTCCGCTCCGCTCATCCAGTGAGAGGTGTGGCGATTGGTGGAGCCAGATCGCTGCACCCACTTCCTCTTTTGACCCCACCATGTGGCCTTTCCTACCTAACAAAGCATTCCTGGCTTGGAGTCGGCGCCACAGGCCAGGCCAGGCCTGCCTCCTCATCACCCCCTCTAGTTGCCAATGAGAGTACTGGGCACGGACTGTTGTATGTTGTTCTCGGTGGCAGCGATTTCCTGCAGGGGACACAAGCCAACAGCAGAAGGACAGAGAACAGGACAGAAGAAGGCACTAGGATGCAAGCACAGGTGTAATGGTTGGAGGAACAGAGGCAGAAGAAAGATCGAGGATGTGGGACTGGAGGTCAGATGGAAGGAGAAGAAAACTAGGGTGGGATAGAGGAGGACTCGGAGCCACTTCTCACATTGCAAAATTTATTTAAGGAAGATGCGTCACTAGATCTGGGCGTGTGGATGCAATTAATGTTCCTTGGAACTTAGTGGCAAAGTTCCCTTTTTAAAAAAAAAAATTGTATCCAAGTTGCACCCCTGTACTTTGAAGTAAGGCCCCATCATTTCAGTGGTATGTATTCCTAAGTAAGGCAGTTGAGACCAGATTGAAAGTGAGTGAGGCATGGTGAAATCTCATTAGAAGCAGTGGGATTTAAGAATTCCTGACTTCCTTGAGCCTTAAATTGGCCTCGCTTTCTCTGGAATTTGTGTGGGTTCAGCTGCCCAGGTGGCTCCCTTGATGGCTGCAGTTGTGATAGCTTGGTCCTTCGAAATGTTAGCCCCTTAATGGCAATAAACATCATGTAAGGGATATATCCCTTGTGGTTAAAAAGGCTGCCTATGGTGAGCTCATCCCACAGAGGGACCACTAGCAGGAAGTTCCCCGGGTCTACCCCTGCAGTATAGAATTTAGAGATTTCAGGACTGAGAAGGGGAGAATAGTTTGGGAGAGAGAAGAAATGGGTGATCATTGCAAACGGAATTTAGGAAAGGCTGAATTCAAGGCTGATTCTCACTTTCAACATACAACGTACACCAGTCAGTTACGCAACGTGTGGTTATACATCACTTGGCAGCTGAATGTGTGAACTGACTCCATTGAAAAGCATTGAATTGGAAGGGATATGAAAGTTGTTTCTGCAATATATTAGGTATGCGTTGGCCTACTAATACATATGAATTCCTGCCTTCTTCAAGCAGTAAACATACCCACTTGTAGCAGCCCTTGGCTACTTGAGGGTGAATATATGAGCAGTCTCCACTGACAAGTCAATAACTACAGACCCTATGAAAACTCTGTTGGCATTTGATCTACAGTGGCTGTTTGAGACTTGCCATTACTGAGTGATGATATGCATGTGACAAATAGCCCATCATTATAATCTGTGCAGGGCAACATGGTGTGTTAAAGAGGAACTGGGTTTCCTGGGTTTTCTGGAAGTGCAGTGGTTGCTGAGCTATTCTCCGTGGGCGGCTGGGTAGTCCACAGACCTCGCCGAAGTGGATCACACGGCTAGTGAGCTTTGACTGCTCTTCAACCAGAAGTTGCAATACTTTCACAGAAAAACAACGCCTGCCATCTCCCCAATACCCCTTCGTGAAACATTGGGCCACCAGTTTTCCTCACGTGTTCACTGTGTAATTTATATTGATTTGTGTAGCAGATTTAACCATAACATCACCACACTAGGATATATGGCCATCTGCGAGAATAGATTTTGTCGTCCCCCCAACATTTTGGGGGAACCAGTAATGTAATAAGATGTAGATAGAAAACTCAGGAGTCAGGACTCCTTAGTTTTTTGGGAGAGGTAGCCAATTAGAGAAAGGCAGCTGGGAAATGTTAAAATAATTGAGGATGTTTCTTAACTTCAGTTGCTGGGAGAAGAAAACAATCTGCAGCAATATACATGTCTTGGGGAACCAAAATGCAGGCATTTTGGTCAAAGCCCAAGCTGACTAATTCAGCTGCAAACATTTTGCCTGAAGCAGTTATTTCTCTTTTGAGAAAAGGGCATGTTGTCCCATTTCCTAGGCAGTGCCCCCACACCAGCAAGCCACTTGTTTTAAGGACTGGCATGCTGCCCCCTGTGGGCAAAGATGTGCCATTGCAGACTCCCTGTCCTGGCCACTTTGTCCTAGGCCTTGACCTTGCCTCCATCTCCCCCAGTTTCTGGAAATGTCTATGGCCCATCCCTCTTTCAGACCCGGGATAAGCAATCAGGAAAGCAATATGCAGGGTAGTTACCTCTGTTGATGTTCACAACTCCGTAGCAAAACAATGGCCTTTGCCACAGGGGCCAGGAAGGGTTGAAAGAACCACGGCTCTTTGGACGTGTGGTCAGAGCTTGTCAACGCAGGAGATAAAATGTTTCAGCTGTGTAAATGGGTTCCGTGTGGGGTGGCAAGGACCCCTCCTCAGCCATTCTGTCACATCCCCTTGTTTTCTTTACTTTGCAATATTGGTTGTCCTCGGATGTTGATTTACATTCAGGGTGGGTGCAACTGGCAGTATTAAAACTTACAGTGGGTGGTTAAAATGGCAAGGTCAGCAAAATGAGCTACAGAGAAGTAGCTGCCCATCTGTGTGATACATTTTCAAAAATTGGCATATAAGACCAGTGTTTGGCTCGGACAGGGTTAGGGAAATGGCATATGCATTGGATAAGGCCAAATTGTATCCACGAGAACGTGGCTTCAGGGGCTGACCAGAAGGGTATGAAGAAGGCTAACTGGTTTTGTGCCTTCTTTTTATGTTTCTGGCGTGTCATTCAAAGCTGAAACTTGCTCATCTCCTCTGCTATGAGATGTGCGCTCGCCAGATGCTGGGGAAGTCCACATGTGCAAGGGGGGTGCTGCAGTTCCTCCTTGGGACGTGGCACCAGAAGTGTGAAAAGTGAATGTGTGTCCCCTCTGCCCTCCATTTCCATGTAATGTCTGAAGCTGCTCTCCTTGACAGAGGTTCCCAGTAGGATAGCTGTCACCAGTTTGCCCAGCACAACTGCTTATTGTACTATGGACAGCCAAATACAGAATGCTTTTTTGGGGTGGGGGGGAAGAGGAATCAAATGTGGGGTTTTGGTGTGGCTATGCGATTGCAAATGTCCTTTATGAAATAACCAGCTGCAGAATTTTCTGTAGCAGATTGTTGATCGCGGAATGTGATACATTATCTAAAACCTATGCAGCTGGGAAGTGTGCCTTATTAACAGCAAATGCCTAATTTCACCCTACTCACAGCCATGGGATTAGCCAGGATTTATGTTAGGGGTGGCAGGCTTTGTGTTGGGGGGCAGAACCCCCTCCACGAGAGAGAAATGACCCCAATCCCCACGTTGGTTTTATGTATGCGTGTTTCTTGTTTTGCATGTTTCTGTAGAGTCAGTTCTGGGGGGTTTTGCATTCTGGATATTTCTACTTGGAAAGCCTGTAGTGTGAATTCAAATTGCAGAATTTCATACCTGAGATCAAAGTTTTCAAATTCTGAGCATGGAAATGATGTGGAAGTTTTTATTTGGGGACATTCTGCTTTGAAGGAATGACAGAGATGGCAGCGTTTGATTTGCAGGAGCACTCATTGTAACACACTCAAACAAAATCAGAATTCTGGTGTTTGCTTTTAGAGGGGAAAGCAAACTGAATTCCATTCCAACTTATGTGTGCTCTGTGGCCCCCAAGTGGAAAGAATCCATCCTGTCCCACTGCTTTGTTCGGTTGACATATTTCCAAGGACAAAAATGGGTCAGTGCTGGTGACTAAGTTACAAGGTGGTGGCTTACCTTGATGTGCGTGTAACAGCTGAGTAAACTGGATTTTTTTTGTCCTAAGTGGTGGGAAAAGAAGGAGTCTTCTTGCTGCATCTGCATCAGATCAGAAATCTAGGGAAGCATTGGATAGTAAAAATCTCCTCCCTTCTTGGTAGGATAATACAAGGCCATTAGTTCAGCAAGTGTACCTCACCGCAAGATACCCATCAATAAATAGCTTTCTCTTTTTATTTAATGAGTCTGTGTTGGTGTGCGCACACATGCACTCTAAATATGTACATGTGTACATAGCTGAGTGCTTGGTATGGCCCTGAACAAAGTGTGGGAAGGATATGATGTGTTCCATTTGGGGGTATTGGGCGTGTGTGTGTGTGTGTGTGTGTGTGTGTGTATAAGAAGCATCATTGCATAGGGACACATGAGGTGTGCAGCTATCCGTGGCCGTGTGGGGGAGTCTCTCATTAGCTATGTATATATCTCCGTGTTGATACTTCCTAATTCTAATATTAATAAAGTTTAATATAAACCTACTCCTGCTCCGGTTTTCTCATTCTCTGGAAACCAGATCTCACGGTGGGCCGGTCAAGGTATGCATGGGTAGCAGGGGGAAATTGTGAAAAGCACAATTCATTAATGGGAATTTTAGATTGTCCCGTTTCTAGCAGGCATGTGCTAAATGCAATGCATAAGTGAAGAAAATAATTTTGCATTTGCTCACTTAGGAAGTTGTGTTTTTATCTATTCCGTCTGGCAGTAGCTCTCCAGGGTCTCAGGCAAGAAAAGTCCTTCCACATTCCCTACCGTCCGATCCTTTTACCTGGAGATGAACCCGATACTGTCTACAATCAAAGCTTGAGCACAGCCACCAAGCCACCCCACAACGTGCAAAGTGGAAGCATGCCTTTCTGTGTGCAAAGTGGAAGCATTCCACTGTGTGCATACCACAGGGAAAAGGCAGCAAGAATGTGTTGCGATAGGCCCCAGCTCCCTGCAGCATGCAGAGTCTTTTAACGTGTGCCTAGGACTAATGTGACTTTTGAAATGGCCAGCCGACATGGCCTTCCCTTACCAAAAGTCAGAGAGGAAGTGTAGCCCAGGTTCGGCCTTTCTCTGGCTCACAGCGCATGTTGCGCAAGCATTAAGGATGTGCAGTACAAATTCTGGCGCAACCATGTTGCTCTAGTGCTTGTTGCGCAACAAAAAGCAGCAGCGCTGCAGCAGTCTCTTACGCAACTAGCCATGAGCACCATGCTCACTCCGTGTGCCCTCTCTTGCGCAAGCCATTCCGCTGGTGCAACTAGTGTGCTGCAAAGGGGCTAGCACTACGTTGAATTCCCCCCTTTATTCCCTTCAGACGGTTGTCCCATCACACCCATGTAGGCCATACTCCAGTGTTCCTGTTGCTCATACAGCTCTCCTCTTCTCCACATCCATTTTCTGACTCTGGAGGAACCCAGTGGCAAATCAGGCAAATTAATTCAATGTATGCAAATATGCACAATTTATTACCATTGCAGAATTTTGGAGATTTTTTTTTTTTTAAGTTCTGATATTTAAATGCTCTCCCCATCTTTACATACTCCTTCCCACAACCCTTCCATTAAAGTATCACCCCTTACAGTCAGCCCACAGTAACATCTCTGACCAGCCACTCCCCCCCCCAGTCCATGACACCTCAGTCCATCCTCCCCAATGCATCCTTACGCAGCCTACTGCCACCCTTCCCACCCCCATTCCTTGAATAGTCACATTCCCTATCCTTTCATCCATCTACCCACCCACCGCTATTTACTTACTTTCAACCCCTGCCCTAAGAATCACTCATCCACATAGACGGAGAGTTGGGTGCAGTGGCAGGTTTTTGTTTTTAAGATCATTTCCTCTTCCCCACCCCACCCTGCCACCACCTACTCTTCCTTTTTAGTTTATACATCTCTTTCATTTTGGCAGATCAGAAGAATTGGCAACGGTTATCCTCCCTTTATGTGGTAATCTGGTCTTGTAATCTGGTGCTTGTTGTTTTTAAATCTGGCCCCAATCGTCTCCTGCTGCTTTCTTCAGAATATACAAAGAGGGAACTTGGTACTAATGTGGGAGAGCCTTTACCTTGAGTCAGAGCGGCCATTTTAGTCTCAGCAGGTGAGGAATCTAAAATCAGCCCACAAGACACAGGACAAAGATGGCCAGCCTGACAGACCTGAAGCGGGATGCTGATTTCCAATCTAGATGTTTTCTAGATTTTTCTGCTTCCTGTTCTCCCTAGCACCGCCTGAAAAAGGCTAGGAATGCGATGCCATCGGTAAGGCCATTTTGGGGGACGGGGAAACGTCTTAGCTCAGAGGCATCATCCCTTAATCTACGGGTAGCTGCCAGGGCACCCTTCAGATGCTGTTGAACTACAACTCCAGTCGTATTCCTGACCATTGGCCCTAGATGGCTGGGGCTGATAGGAGTTGGGAGCCCCACAGCATCTAGAGAGGGTGCCGTGCTGGCTACCCCTGCAAAGGGGTTCTCACAGTGGACAAGCAGGTCTCCTGATGGAGGCACCAAGGGTGGCCATATATCATGTGAAGACTGGGGAAAAAGAGTCACGGGACCAACACAGCCATGCTTGTGAGTTTAGGGCCAGAAGTGATGTGGCTTGGTCCCACCAGTGTTGCCATGGGTGAAGATCACGGGGGCAACTTTTGGAGGTTTGCAGGAGCAGGTAAGAAAAGAGAGTTGCGAGCTTTTGTGCTTCCAGGCAACTCCTCCTATGGGCATGGGACTTCTTAACACACATTTAATGGGATAGCTCAGCTGATAGAGCACAAGACTCTTAATCTTGGGCCCATGGGTTCGAGCCCCATGTCAGGCAAAAGATTCCTGCACTGCAGGGGGTTGGACTAAATGATCCTTGTGGTCCTTTCCAAGTTGTCAATTCTATGATTCTATGACATATCAGGAGGGCAGAGTGCCTTAAATGCCTTTGGGGAGGGATTGGCTGATCTAAGGCAGCAGGAGGCTCAAATGAGAGGTTCTGGTAGCCAGACTGAAGGGCCTTATCTTCCTTGCCACACTGCAATAGCTTGGCAAAAGAAGCACATGCTAACCTGCTCTTAGGTACACATACGTGCCTGCTCAGAAGTAAGCTCTCTTGAATGAAAAGGGACTTACTCCCAGGCAGGGATTGTTAGGATTGCCACCTTAGCCACTCGATATAGCTAGAGGGCACTGTGGCAGCTGCTAGTTCACTGCAGGTCAGAGGACACACTTCTGCCTGGCTGACCAAATAAAGCAATTTGATTTCAGGATAAAGGCCAGTTTGCAGCTACTTGCTTTCCTGCCTCTCAGCTCACATACTCATAAGCACATCAGCTCGCTTGGAAATATACCGGCTCTCCTCCTCTCTGTCAAGTGCATTTGTTGACTTTGCTTCACCATCTCTCCAGACCCCTTGGGTTAGCAAGTAGAGGATGGGTCTCCCTGTGGCTGCTAGCTCTGCAAGCCAGCAGGTGCAAGCTCTAGTTTCAAAGATGGCGCATCTCTGCCACAAACCAGCAATGGATGTTCCCAGCCTGCCTTGCTTTGGCACCTCCCTGTGGCATCTGGCTGGTCATCTGTCTTGCCTCCCCGCAGGTAATTCTGAGTTCCTGTTCACCTTCTTTCCCTCCTTTATTATCTCTCTCCCATACACATGCACCCCAAGTTCAGAATTAAATACCTGTTTCTTATCTGGGCAGAAAAATTATTTCTGAGGGGTGGGGGAAGGAAGGAGTTAGCACTCTAAATCAACCCTTCCCCTAGAAGGGCAGAATGAGCTTGTATCAAACTGCCTCTTATTGTAGGCTCGACCCAAACCAGCAATATGCCATTTGTGGTCCAGTGAGTATTTACTTCAGAAATCAATGCTGCGAGAGCTCAGGAGGAAGTCGACATCTAATCCCACCCACCCAGGCTGGAAGGCAGGTTCATGCATATATCTGCCCACTCCACAAGACCAACCCACATACTGCCTCACACAAAAGATGAGGAACCTGTGTCACCCTCCAGATGTTGCTGGACTCCAACCCCCATGATCCCTGACAGCTGTCTATGCTCCCTAGGGGTGATGGCCATTGGAATCCAACAACAACTGGAGGGCCACAGGTTCCCCATCCCTGCCCCACACCGATGCTTCACTATTGCCACCACAAGCAGAGAAGGGAGCGAGCAGATCCATCATCTCAAGATGCTCGCGGAATAGATAACTCCAAAGTTCCCCTACCCCTCCAAGCTCCCCGTTCCACTCCTAATACAATCTCAGTCTTCCCGTGGTGCTTTTGGCACAATTGAATGGTGGCTCCGCAAATCCCTGGAACTTCCAGTGATTTCAACTGTATCCCAGTAGGGCCCAGTAGCCTTTATTAACCTCCCAATATCAACCAGTGGAGGGCTGGGAAGGTCAGGAAAAGGCCAATCCCAATAAAAGCTAGCCATCTCCGTCAACGCTAAGTATGAGCGATGGATATTTTTTTTCCATGTATGACACACCAACCAGCCTGGGACAATTAACCCATGGCTGTCCATTATATGGCCACTAAGTAGGTGTTGTGACCAAGTCAACATCCTCCCATGTCAGTTCATCCCAATGAGTGCTGAGCCAATGTGCGTCTCTTCTCAAAAATGATACTTCTGGATCATGCCCTTGCAGAGGTGTCAGATCAAAGGGCCCCTACCCAACCAAATCTCATCCACCTGCCTTGTGGAGTCCAATTGTCCGCTGGTAATTCCAAGGCTTGGTGATGAAGTTTTGCCGACAAAACTCTGTCCCGAGGTTTGAATCAACGGTCTTTTCTTTTGTATATAACGCTGGTTAAAAGGGGAGGATCACCAGCCCTATTCAGTTCCATTTGGCACAAAAAGGGTGTCGTTGTTTTAAATTGGCAGCCATGTTCCACATTCCAAGATGCAGCTGATGAGGTTCGGGGAACTGCAGAAGAAGGCTCATGAGCAGGTCAAACGCCACTTCCTGGAAACCCCTGTTTCCCAACCCAACCCTCTCAATTTGGCACAGAGGGTCCTTATAAGGGACATATCAGATTGCTGAAGGGAAGCCAGGAGGGGGCACAAGGGTTATACATTCAATAGCCAGTGCTGGGCAGGGGCCCCTAAAATCGAGGAAATGCCCCCCTCCTCATCACTCATTGGCTCATGATTGTTTATACAAAAAGTTCTGCCCCTTCCCCAGAAGTGGGGGTGAGTTGTTGGGCAGGAGAGGGAGGGCGAAAACAGTCCCTGTGATGTCAGGCTCCAGTTAGCAACAATGGCCCCCCCAACACACCATGCACGCAAACGCACGCACACACAAACACATCTGTCTGTCCGTCCGCCACAGGAACTGGCGGGTGAAATCTTGGCATCATGGGCAAGTCAACTGGATGACTGGGCGTCGTCCCTGAATGTCGAGAGAAGAAGAGGCGGGGTTGTCCGATTTCTACTTGGTCTCAGTTCTCAATGGGATCTGGGAGAAGGGAAAAAAGGCTTCTTTTAACACATTATTAACTTAAAACCAGGTCACCTCACTCCACCCTACTGCATTTCACATTACATTTTCACATTGTTGTACATGAAAGTCTGTACCAGTGGATGGACTGTAGTTTACCCACCACGTGTAGGAATGGATTTAAACCCTAGGAGAGGATAATATGCTTGTGATTATTCTTTCCTAACTCACATGAGTGCCATACTTTACAGCTTAAGCTTGGAGACTAAAACAAGGTTGCTTTAACCTCCTAGAAACAATAACCCAGGATGCTTTAAGGCTGACTGGATTTCTCTGGTAATATACCCCTTTCTCTCCCTTAGCAACAACAATCACACACGCACATTGTTTTGTGAACAAATAAAAGTGGTATTTACTTACATAGCCTAGGTCTTGAAGCAGCAATTTTAGTAGCAAAATGAAGGTAGGTTTATAACTACTAAGTTACAAAAGTATGAAATGTAAGTTCAAAAATGGTGTCTGAGCTGCAGAGCTCAGGTATGCATGTGTGGTCAGCACGCTGAAGAAAAGCAGGCTGCCCAGGCAGGAAGGAAGTGTGTAGCTTTACAGCTTCCTGCCAAGGCAGACAAAGGAAGTGATAAGGTACAATTCCAGCTACAAAATTACAATTTTCAGGATCTTTGGGGAGAAGATATATGGCACATACGCAGCCATGGCCCATCAGCCCCACTCCATGGATAAGAACCATGTGCATCCATATCCATGCGTCCACTTACCAGCCGTGGGTCCCAATTCGGTGTCACAGGATGAAGAAAGGTGTGGCTCAAGGGCAGGAGAGACGGTGAAGCGAGAGAACCTCAGGGCATCCACAAGGCCGGACTCAGCCCGCTTGGCTGCTGGCAGCAAGGCAGGGGCCATGGGCACAGGCGAGGACATGACCGGGTGGGGCTTGGCTGCGTTGGGGTCGGGCACCACGGAGATGTAGGATGGGTTCTGAGCCATCAGGGGGAAGTCATCATCCCACTCAAAACTGCCACCTGAGTGGAGAAGGAAGAACGGGGAGGGTAGGAAGGAGGCCTAGATTGAAGCGATAAGGAAAACAGCCTCTCCCAGCCTGTTCCCTTGGTTTGATTGGCATCATCTCTCTCTCTCTCTCTCTCTCACACACACACACACACACACACACACACACACACACACACACACACACGCTTTCCGGTGCTGACATGCACAGAGATAAAACATGGCAGAAAGGCAGTCTTGATGAGGCTGCACACACACCCCTTTCCCCCAGCCCCTGACAGTCCCTGGAAACAATGAAACATGGTTATGTAGCAATACTTCTCAGAATATTTATGGTCGTTGTCTTCCAAGAAGTGTTGGGAAATGCCTGAAACCCTGGAGAGCTGCTGCCAGTCAGTGAGGGCAATACTGAGCTAGATGGACCAAAGGCCTTACAGTGGTACCTCGGGTTACATACGCTTCAGGTTACATACGCTTCAGGTTACAGACTCCGCTAACCCAGAAATATTACCTCAGGTTAAGAACTTTACCTCAGGATGAGAACAGAAATCGTGTGGTGGCAGCAGGAGGCCCCATTAGCTAAAGTGGTGCTTCAGGTTAAGAACAGTTTCAGGTTAAGAACAGACCTCCGGAACAAATTAAGTACTTAACCCGAGGTACCACTGTACTCGGTTTAAGGCAGTCTGCTATGTTCCTGTTCTGCTATTTCAATGAGATAATTCGTGTACTATATTTGTTTTTTCTCGTTTTTATTTGTTTGTATATACATGTGTGTTTTAGTCTTGAAGCTGCCTCGGAGGCCTTTTGCAGGGTGTGGCGGCGGGGCCACAGAAAGCAGAGTAGAAACGTCCTAAAACAAAAATAAATGGAATCACTTGCGCATCCTGTCTTCACTTCATTTGTGCTATGGCACAAAGCTGCCCTGAATCCATTTTTAATAACCAAGAAGGCTCTGTGCTACCATCTGCCTTATTGAGTGTGACAATTTTAGACTGTGTGCTTTCAAGCAGAAATCTTTTAGGAGTTTATCTCCTAAAAATAAACTATTCATGGATTCAATTTAAAAAAAAAATTCAACACAAAACACACCCTGGCAATATTTCCCGAAGTTCTGTTAGCCAAATTGCACTGGATCAGAATTAATACAGGAAGCACACACTTCACTAATACATCTGAAGCTGGCTTACTTTTAAGGTTGTGGAAAGAGAACAGAATCCTAAAGCTGGTGCTGGGCACCTCAAAGGCCATCTAGCTTAACCCCGCCAATGTGGGAAACCCACAACTGTACCACTCCTTTGCAAACATCCTGATCCAGCTTCTGCCTAAAAGCCTCTAAAGAAGGGAAGTCCACCATCTTTCAAGGCAGTCGCACTGTATGGTAACACCTGCTTTCAAAACACTTGGTAGAATCTATACTACCCCATTAGTTGAACTTAGATCCTAATGAAATGGCTGGGAGAAGAAAGCCACAGCCTGTAATCCTGTAGGTTTTTATTTTAATTATAATCCTTCTCTTTTCTTTTTGTTTGTTTTTTCAGAAAATTTATATATCGCTTGATTATTTTTATTTTTAATAAAAGGAAAACAAAGTGGTTTTGGTGCTGTTGTTAAAACCTTAATTCAAAAACTAAACAAAACAAAACATGGTTGCTAATATGCCACAATAAATGCACCAAGGATGAGGAACCCCCACATGTAGTTAGGCTCCAACTCCCATCAGCCCCAGCCCTTATGGCCAATGAAAAGAGTTAAAGTCTGGAAGGCCACAGATTCCACAACGCTGAAGTACATTAGCGAAATAACAAGATGGCCCCAGCCTGCCTTCAGCCAAATTGCCTCTGCTGTACCTCCTTGCCCTCAACCCACCAATGGCAGACTAGCATGCCCAACAACACAGTTGGACAGCCATATGCTCTTGAAGTACAGCTCTCACCAACTTTGGCCATCTGCCATGTTGGCTTGGGTTGGTGGGAGTTGGGAGTCCAGCCACCTCTGAAGGCCTCTGCACTGGCTACCCCTGCTCTGGCCCTTTTGATCTCCATCAGCATCCTCTTGAGCTCAGCCTCATGCTTCAAATCCTGGCCTTACTTTAGAAGTGGACCTTGTCTGTTTTGGACCATGCCCCCGTCACAACCTACCCCTCACCCTCCGCACTTAGAAGCCACCTTCCCCTGGAAGCCAGGACATTTTCCTGAAACTCATTTCATATTTTCACACCAAGCACTGACTGAAGTGACCAGGTTACTGTTTCTTTGGCTACACAGCTGGACTGGCTCATTCTGCATTTCAGATTCCTGATGGGGATGGCGACTATTTCCCACTTACTCTCTCCTCCTTGACCCAATACTCACTGAAGCCATCAGCAGAAGGGAAGGCATCAAGTCCTGGTTCTGCCATTGAACCAGGGGAGGGGGAATCACCATCTGGAGCTCCCTGGGAACTCAGCTCATTGGTTGGTGTCTCCTGCATACAGAAGAAGACAAGAGATTGTGGTAGAGCTCCTCCCACTTTCAATTTGTTTCTGACATTCCTACCACAATTAAATATGGGCTGCTGCCTGCTACCTGTGCATAATATATTTTCCACTATTGCTCTATATCACCGAATATTCACTAACTCGCTGAACTATTTAGGAATCTGTTGCCTACGGAATGTTGGCTAACAGTTTGTGTGAGGGAAAGTGAAAGGTCAGTATGGCTTGGATTAAACCAGGTCCAAGAGGGCGTGAATGCTCTGTGGGTAGACAAGGGAGCTTAAGTGTGGAGTGCTTAGTAAGAAGACACCTCAAAATAGGAGTGGTAACAGAAAGAGGGGAGTAGAGCCAAGATGGCTGAGGGGAGGAGGACAGAGGAGGGAACTGAAAGAAGCCCTTCTCACCTCACTGTGGCCAAACTTTCACACCATCAACCTTGGTGCTCTTGACAGCTCACCTGATCAAAGAGGTAAACGGTGACATCATCAAAGAAGGAGACCATCTTCCGCTTACGGTCGAGCTCAGCCGCCGCCTCCTCAGCTGAGCGTGGTGACTTGAGGAGGCCACGCAAGTTACGGGCGTCATCGCTTTCGCTCACCACAATGGGGACACCCCGCCCTCCGCCTCCAGCCAGGCCTCCTTCCTCTTCCTCTTCAGCATCATCTTCCTCCTCATCCTCTGCCGCTATGGAAGCCTCTCTCCCTCCCAGCGCTGGACCCTCCCCCAAAGCCGCTCCTTCCCAGAAGGGCCCTTTCCTTCCCCCGCCAAGCGGGGGGAACGTCTGCAAGGCCAGAGGGGGAAGCGACAGAGATAAGCGGGAGAGCTTGGCTGGAGGGAACAGTCAGACGTCAAAATGGAAGGATGGCCAGGAGGTGGGAGGAGTGATTGGGTCGAAGAGCCAAGATTCAGAAGTCAAGAAGACCAAATGGTACGGAAGCAAGGTGAGGATGGAAGGATTGGGATGAGAGAGACAGAAAGAGAGGGTTACTTCATTAAGAACACGTCCCTAGAATTTCTACCCAAATGTATCTATCCAGGCAAAGGGCCTTCTCAGCAGTGGCGCCCACCCTGTGGAACGCCCTCCCATCAGATGTCAGGGAGATAAAGAACTATACGACTTTTAGAAGACATCTGAGGGCAACCCTGTATCAGGATTTTTTCATGTTTCATGTTTGATTATGTTTTTATATTTTGCTGGAAGCTGCACAGAGCAGCTGGGGAAACCCATCCAGATGGGTGGGGTATAAATAAAGTTGTTGTTGTTATTAGTATTCTCCTTGTCAGCATTACCATACTGTACACAAATGCATTCCCTAATGCAGCCACACCACAGATTTATATGAATACATTATGATACTGATTGTTTTTGCACATAGATATCCTTAGCATCCAAAACAGCACACACACACACACACACACACACACACAACCTGACCTGTGGGTCTAATTAGTTCTGGCAGGTCTTCCCATTTGTCCAATGGCAACATTTTTTGTTAAGCCACACCCACCTGCCCTACTCCTGAGATCATCTATGGTGCCAGGAGTGAGGCAGGGAAAGACATAGCGAGGCAGTGCTTGTGGGCACCACTTGCAAGGGCCCACGGATCAGCTGATTGTTGACGTGTACAAAGGCACAACAGGGCTTTGCAAGTGCCGCCGATCAGCTGGTGGGCTTGAAGACACGCAGTGTAACTGCCAATCAGCAATTAGACTATAGGTTAAGCCACCGTCCCCCAGCTGGCTTCTCCTTCCCCCGTTTGTTCTAGGAACATCCCAACCCTTTGTTCTTACTTCCACACCAATCACAGATGGAACCTTCACCTTTGATATCCTCACTGGCTTGGTTCACAGGGACGCCAGGTTCCTGATCCTTTTTGGGCTGCTCAGCTGCTACATATCTGTCTTCCTGGGCAGTATCCTGTGTTTCGACCACGATGGGCACTGCTACACTTTGGGTCTCCATCTGGCTTGGTATCTCCCCTTCTTTCCTTTTCTCCTCCTCCTCCTCCTCCAGCTCTGACGGCAACTTTTCAGAATCTCCTCTTCCCTCTTCTTGCTGCTGCTGCTGCTTCTCCTCCTCCTCCTCTTCCTCCACTTTATCTTCCACACCTTCTGGCCACTGGGAGTCCGTTGCATCTCCATTATGGCTTTTCTTGGCCTCTTCCTCCTCCGTCTCCTTCCCCTCCTCTGGCTCTAAGGTCCACAGCCTGAGAACAGCCTGCTCCTTCAAGGGAGCCGCTGGAGAAAGCCTCAGAGTCGGCAGCCTACTCTGACTACAGAGTAGGTTGCGTGTGACATTCTCTTGCAGTGTGACCAACAGCTGCTCCTTGCACACTTGGACCACAAAGCCTCCATCTACTGTCACCTTCTCTGTGGGCTTCCTGCCCTCAGGCCCAGCAGCAGCCGGTGCCTCAGCCGGTTCTCCCTCCCCGTCAGAGAAGTAGGCTGAGTCCCGGTGAGGTGTTGCTAGCCCCAGGCTCCTCCCTATTTCCTCCTCTAGCTCCGCCCCTTCTTCACTTACTGACAAGGTAAGATCACTAGTGGACTGAGAGATGGATGCTGTTGGGAGTTTGCCGGAATCTTCTTCTGCCTCTGTTTCTTCCTCTTCTCCAGAAGGTGGCGGTGGCGGTTCCTCTTTGAAGATGAACTCGGGTGAGAAAGTGCTCTCCGTTTCGTAGCCGCTGTCGCCAAACTTTTGCCCTGGAGAGGAGTAGTAGGATGCTGGGCTGCAGACGTCCGAGGAGCTGGTGTTGGAAGGAATGTCCAAGGAATCCACTGAGTCTAGGGTTCCCCGTTGCCGATCTGGTACCGCGGGGGAGAGGCTTAAGGTCACTGGGCCAGTGGAGAATCTATCGATGACTTCCGGGAGGATCGCGATGGTCTCCTCATCGTTGCTTTCGGCTAGGGTAGACAATGGCGGTATCTCCACCGGAACAATCACATTGCAGCAGCCAGACGGCAGGGCTGGGAAGGGTGACCCAGGTGGGCGAGCGCTCCCCCCGCCTCTCTGCTTCGGGTAGTCTTGGAGCTCATAGGTCTTCACCGCCGTGCCCATCAGCGGGTCGTAGAATTCTCTGCGCTCCCCGCCATCCCCATCGCAGTCTCTAGGGGGCAGCATTGGACAGTCAGAAAGGGAACCCCGCTCCACTTTTAGCGAGGAGTCGTCCTCCGTGCCGTAGCTGTCGCGGTGAGGGCGCCGCAGGGGCGGCCCGTGGTTGCTCCAGCCACTCACCATGTCCCCCCGAGGGATGGCACACGTGCAACGTGCCCGGGTGCACAGCGGGCACGGCAGGAGGTTGTGGCGCCCGCCCCCGATGCTGCTCCCGCCCCCGTCGGTGCTGCTGCCAGAGCTCTGGTCCTCCATCAGCGACGGCTCCTGTTCCCACGAGGGCGAACCCTGGAACTCCGAGGGGTCCCCGGCCAGCGTCTCCCCTGCCCCTCTTTCCTCCATCATCTCAGCATCCCAGCTGCGATGCTGGTCCTCCAGCTCACGGTACACTGTGAGAAGGGACTCGGCTAGGAACGCCTCTCCCCCCGACGTCGGGGTCTCGGTCAGGGACGTCTCCTGGATCTCGCCGTCTACGCGGAAGGGGTTGCTGTCCCCGCCACCCCCGGCCAAGAAGGGGTTGGTGCTGGGCTGCTCCTGCGGCCGGTAGGGGGCGCTGTGGGAGTCCCAATCCGAGGGAAAGAGAGGCTGGGGTGGGGATCCAGGGCTGGGGGCGCAGACGGGCCCCTCGCAGCTGCCATGGTCCTCCAGGCGGATGTAATACTCGCTACTGACCGAAGGGCTGCGGGCGCTGATGACGGGCACGACGCTGGGTGTCTCCAGGCTGTGCCCACGCTGCGCTGCCTGTTCGTAGAAAGGATTGCTGCCCGGCACTGCCAGCCCGCCGTTGCTGGAGGGGTAGTCGGGCGGTGCCGAGGCAGGGCCCTTCCACCGCCCCAGGCGGGCCTTCTCCCACATGTACTCAAAGTTCAGCCCCCCACTGCTCTCTGTCACTGTCAGGATGTCGTCCATGTCGCCGCCGTGGAACCCGTCCAGCAACGGGTAGGCCGAAATCTCTCCCGAGGGGCGCCGGTGGCACGCCGAGGAAGAAGAGGAGGCCGGGGGCGGCGAAGAGGACCGCTTGGGTTTCAGGGCGCTCCAGCGCCACTCGAAGCTCTCCTCCGCCTGAGCGTTGGAGCGCTCGTTCAACAGGTAGCTCACCTGCAAGTGCAGCTCTTCCATGGTTGGGCGGTGGGAAGCCGGGAGCCAGCAGGACTGCATGACCTCATACCTGCAGCGGGGCAGGGACGGAGGAAGGATAGAGGAACAGTCGGAAAAACAGGCAGAAATAGGAGCAGGAGGGGGGAAACAGTTGTGGGGGGGAGATAGCCTGAGAGAACAGTTGGGGGTGGGGATAGGGAACGGGAACATTTTTAAATAATAATAATAATAGAGTTGCAGAAAAGATGGTCGCAGGCACTGCGAATAGAGTTGGAGACAGAAAAAGAGGCAGAAGCTAAAGGAGGCGTGAGTACTAGAATGGGCAGTGATATGTGGAGAAACTGTCAGGAGATGGGTTGTGGGGCAGAGAACAGTCGGAAAGCCAATTGGAAGCCTTAGCAGACACAGTCAGAACAACAAGCAGACATGAAAAGGCAACAGTTGGAATTTCTCATTTTTCCAGTCTTCAGTTTTCCCCACTTCCACATCACTTGATATTTTTTTAATCCTCGCAAAAATTCATCAGCATTTTGGTGCAAATTTCTCCTAATACACTCATGTTTCATAATGCAATTTATGCCTAATATACACGTTTTCGCCAAGCGTTTCCCCCAGTTATGATGTATTTTTGTGTGTTATTTTCACGAATACATTCACTTTTAGGCACAGCTTTTCTTAATATGTGCATTTTGTAAAACATAGTTTGGCTGGAGAACTGCATCGCAAAATTTCAAACTTCAAAAGATGCCTGCGTTTCAGTTCACATATTGTTTCAGGAAAGTGCGATAGATTCACCTTCAAATGTGAACTGAATCTAATTTCTCCCGCCATCCCTACTCACGAACATACATCTTGTGGTTGGGGATGGTGGGGACTCTCTCTCTTCGCTATATAAAACTTTGCTTAATATTGAATAAAAGTTACAAATAAGCCTGTAGTGTAGATATGTCCTTATACGGATATGAACAACATCCAAAAGAAGATCCATAACCCAAAAAACAGACAACCAACTGGAAAAGTTGCCAGAAGAATGGTCTGAAAATACAAATCTGGAAGGAGGGAATTTGATTCACAGACCACCAGTGCAGCTGGAAGAGCAGGCAAGGAAAAGGTACGTCACACAATCAGAGGAAGACCTGGCAGAATGACAGTGCAAGGAGGGAAATGGGCAGGCAGGCGGAGGAATAGTTGAAGGAACACAGAGAGGGAAGAATGAAAGAACGTTAGGAGGACAAGAACAATCTTAATGCACAGGGCAGCAGCCACTCCCAAGTCACTAGCTGCTCAGGAGGCACCAAACAGATGTCAAGGATGGAGGAGACTCGGGAAGAAGGTATCCCAGCTGATGGGCCTTGCTTTCTTTGGAGGAGAGTCCTGGACAACAAATACTTTTTTTTCCCCTTATGGGGGACAGGAGGGAGAAGAGGAGAATCAACTCACCAATAGTCAGAGTAAGGAAGCTTAAGGCGTGGCTTGGCCAGTTTCATCTGCTGCTCCTTGACGACAAAGGTCAGCACTTCCTCGTCAGAGAGGTGACGGTAAGGCTGGGAGCCAAACTCAAAAAGCTCCCAGATGGTCACCCCCATAGACCTGGCAAACAAAGGGAACAGAGAGATTAAGCCCAGAACTATGGACTCCAGAGAAGGGCAAGCAGTAAACAAAGAAGAAAATCACTGCAGATGCCATAGGTGAGGCCTTATAACCCCACCCCTTTTACCCTTTCTTGCTTAACCCCACAAAACCAAGAATCCCAGCCCAGACACTGAAGGAAATGGCAGCCCAGGGATTTGTTTCAGGAAAGCAGGGAGCTGCCTTATACGGAGTCTAACCATTGGCTCATCTAGCTCAGTATCCTCTAGTCTGATTGGCAGCAGGTGTCAGGGAGGAGATTTTCCCAGGCTCACCTGGAGACACTGGGGTTCAAACCTGATAGCTTCTGCATGCGAGGCAGAGCCAGGGGTGCCAACCTGAATAAAATATTGGGGGGCCCAGATAAGCCCCATCCCACATAATTGATCACACACCATTTGAATGGCAATGCCCATCAACTGAGGGAGTCCTCAAACAATTTATTTGAGGGCTCCCTCAGTTTATTTATTTACTCTTAGAATAATTTATTTGGGAGTGGACAAAGGGACCTCAGCCCCTAGGAGTTGATTCCTGTGGCTGAGGCTGTATCACTGAAGTACAATACCTAGGGTTGAGTCTTAGAACAGCTGAAGATTAAGATGTCTCTGAGAATACACATAGTACGTTTCCTAAATGTCTGCAACACCACAGCCTTCCCCTTTCTCCCACTCCTTAGGGGTAAAGCAGTGGTAAATTTGCCCTCCCTCCCAGATGCTGATGGACTACAACTCCCATCAGACCCAGCAAGCATGACCAATGGTCAGAGGTGATGGGAGCTGTAGTTCAGCAAGATATGCAGGGCCAGAGGTTCCTCACACCTGATGGAAAGGAACACGACAGTATTGAGAGCTTACAGGTAGCACTAGGCACCATTTTCCCTGTACAAAGAAAATACAAATTTAACCCTTAAAAAAAAAGAAGTCTGAAATTTCAAGACTGCAAATGTTGGTTTTTGAGGGGCATTAACAATAAATTATTCTAAGAGTGTTAAATGAAATAATATAAGGTATTAACATACCAGATTGAAAATTCTATACCCTGGGTTGGTTTATTTATGTGTATGTTTGTTTTCTTGTATTTGTTCCTGCCTTTTTCTCTCAGTGGGACCACAGAGAGGCCAACCGTACATTATCACACAGCAGCACACAACAACAAAATAACACAACCAGAAATCAGAGCAGAAGTGAAACAGCAATAAGGCTCCCAGCCTCTCACAAAATCCCTAAACGAAAAGAGCATCAATAAACTAGACATGTTATTTTAAAATTTCAAATCAACTAGGCCAGAATTGAGCTGGATCCAGCTGGATCCCTTATCTCCCCCCCCACCCCCTGCTGGTCAATTTTTAAACTAGTGGGTGCCCACCTGTCAATCACCTGATGTCATAACATCAGGTAACCACTTGGAAAAGGCTCACTCTCAGCACCAATCAGCTGATGGATACTGAGTGTGAGCTCCTTTGAAGGAATGGTGTTAGCGCCAATCAGCTGTTTGAGGCTGACAGTACATCTTCAAAGAATGCCCTTTGAAGTTACTTTACAGGGAGGGTTGCAGTCAGACTGCACTTGCAAATGAAGAGGGAAAATGTCAAGTTTGCAGATATGGTTTGACACCAAAGAGTGCCTGTAAATGTGCTTTGAAGGCACACAGCCAGGCAAAGTACTGATGATCAGCTTTTGCAAAAGCACAGATCAGCTGGCGTGGGGTGCCTGTAAACCCCACATTACTACATATTTACACCTGACATAGGGCAGATGGTCATGACTCAGCAGAAACAGCCTCATGAGTCATATGAGGCCTGCTGGGCTTAATCAGGCCCACTGGCCAGTGGTTCCCCACCACTGAACATGGTGGATATAAATTTTAATATTTGTAAGCAAAGTTCGGAGCATTCCCTTAAGGATTTTAAAACCAAGTTTGTTTCAGCTCTAGCCCAATTGGATCTAGGCGTGCAAAAATGCAAACTAAGGTTGAAATCCTGTGCACAGTTACCTGGGAGTAAGCCCTGTTAAACTTGGTGGTGCTTACTTCTGAATAGACATACAGTCAAACCTTGGTTCCCAAACGGCTTAGTTGCCGAACAAATCGGCTCCAGAATGCCGCAAACCCGGAAGTAAGTGTTCTGGTTTGCGGACGTTTTTCGGAAGCCGAACATCTAGTGCGCCTTGGTTTTTGAATGGTTTCAGGAGACGAACGGACTCCCAGAATGGATTAAGTTTGAGAACCAAGGTACCACTGTATAGGGTTGCGCTGTGAATTCCCTCAAGCACAGGTGCGTGGGGTGTGAGTGGCTCTTTGCAACTCACCAGACATTGCTCTGCTTGGTTTGATCCACCACAATGAGGCTTCCGTGCATCTCATCCAACAGTTCCGGGGCAACCCAGCGCAAAGGGATCCAGAGCCGGTCCGGAGTGATGTAATAGTCTTCCTATGAACAGATATGAGGAATGGGTGGAACAGGGCTGGAGATGCAGACTCTCCAAAGCTTCACAGATGAAAACAGGGGCGTTGAGCCTTTCCAGGCAGGTGTCTTTCTGTGGGTATATTCCACAATATGTCCCTGACACAATATTGGTGCATTTACTGATGGATTTAGTCTGCTTTATTAACTGTTCTGTGGTGCTTCCTCAATGCTACCCCCTTACTGCTGCCCAGAGGGGCTACAGAACAACAAAAGCAGGACAAAAATAAACCAGATCCTTTGTGATAGCAAAAGGGATTTCAGCAGAAAGTTACTATATATGTGCTGATTGGAAATTATGCAGGAGGATCACCCCAAAAAACCTGATGTCACCAGACACAGGCAAACAGGCAAACACATTTCAATCTACCTGCAAGGGCCTTGTGGCATGGATGGCCCCGCCCCTCACCTTGTAGTTGTTGTGCGACAGGCCGTAGTCTCCAACCCGCACTGTGAGGTCAGAGGTCAGCAAGCAGTTCCGAAGGGCCAGATCACTAGGGAGGGATAGAAAAATACCCAGTAAGGGTGGCTTGGAGGTGGGTGGGCCAGGGGATGGAGAGAGAGAGTAAAGAGCACCTTTCTTCACCAGCTTTCCCTTTCTATTTATTTAATTTAATGCAGCCAATTGGCCCAAACTAAACAGAACAGCACTAACTAATCAGGTGCCACCAAGAGCTTGGATAAATGGGGGGGGGGGGAATCAGTAGAAAAAAATTGTAATGGACACCATTACAAGACCAGGTCCACTGGTTGGAGGGAGATAGGGAGGGGGAAAGACGTGCCCTTCTTTGGGCGGATAGGAGTTTTTCTGTTGCAGGGAGCCAAACCAAGTCTCCCCTGAATGCCATGGGAAATCCCATGGTGTAAAACAGTAATTCCATTGGTAAAATGATGCATTCTTGTCAGGGGCGGGCAGAGCAGGAATGGCCCTGGATACAAAGCCTCTCCATCCCCCTCAAAAATCCCAGAATGAAGCTAATCAGCTATACCAGCCTGGTGCTGGCATAGTTAATCTCCCACCCCTGAAGCCTATGGAGGGGTTTAAAAACAAACGAAAAACAAGATAGGCTGAGATGAAGATAGACAAAATTTGCCCTTACCTGTCACTCCCCACCCCAGTTACAACTGCTCTGCTGAATGACAACAAAGCATTCCCAACTTTGGGTGGCACCAGAGAAAAAGTCCTGTTTTAGATGCCCCCCTCATCTTCAAATGTGAGACACTCCGAGTAAGGCCTCAGCAGAAGAGCTCAGCAGATAGGCAGGTTCACACATCTGTTCTGCCCCGACCTGCTCAAGCTATACTCACCTGGACTGAATTTGCCTCTCAGAGGTAAAGTAAAGTAAAAGTAAAGTAAAGGACTCCTGGACGGTTAAGTCCAGTCAAAGGCGACTATGGGGCTGCGGCGCACATCTCACTTTCAGGTCGAGGGAGCCGACGTTTGTCCACAGACAGCTTTCCAGGCCATGTGGCCAGCATGACTAAGCCACTTCTGGCACAACCTCACACCTTGATGGAAGGCAGAGTGCACAGAAACGCCATTTACCTTCCTGCCACAGTGATGCCTATTTATCTACTTGCACTGGTGTGCTTTCGAACTGCTAGGTTGGCAGGAGCTGGGACAGAGCAACAGGAGCTCACCCCATCACAGGGATTCGAACTGCCAACCTTCTGATTGGCAAGCCCAAGAGGCTTGGTGGTTTAGAGCACAGCGCCACCCGCGTCTGGAGTATGGCCCGCTACATTTCAAATCATTAAAATTCATATTCATCAGCAAAACCCTTTGAGTTCCAGAGCTTAAACCATACACAGCTCCATACAGCTCAACATTTCCTGAACAACCCAAGGATCGTGGTCTCCGGTCTACCTGTGGATGTAGTTGTTTTTATGCAAATGTAGCACTCCCAGAGTGATCTCATAAGCCATGCGCTGTAGTGTGCTGAGGTCACGGGTCAGCAGGTCAGGGGTCATCCCGTCTGCTTTGCGCTGAGCTCGAAGGTAACGTTTCAGATCTCCCTGGAGGAACACAGGGCGAGAAAAGGGTTGGTGAGCGAAGTCAGCGAAGCTAGCACAAAGTTTCCTACAGACCCAAGCAAATTCCCCAACCTCATGTGAAAAAACAGAATGTCCCTTTTTTTCCGGGACACTTGGCAGCTATGGCCAAACAGATAGAGTGATGTTAGGAGAAGCTTTCCCGCCGCTCCCCACAGCGATCTGTTTGGACCCCTGGCAAGAGCAATCTATCCCTCTTGTGTTTTCCCACCCAAATTCATCTCTCGGCTTAAGTATACTTACCAGCTGGCAGAATTCCATGATGAGCAGGAAAGGGATGGTCTCTGTGCACAGGCCGAGGCATTGCAATATGTTTGGATGCTGGAGGCTTCTTGAGGGAAGGGGGTGGATGGAGAGAAGGGCAGAAAGAGGAGGGGGAAAGAAGGTTTTGCTCCATTCATCACAAAGAGGCGGCACCTGTTTCTGCTCAGTTTTCGAGGGCTGAAAGTGTACCCCAACTGCATTTTAGCAAATAAAATTAAAAAGAGCTGACACTACATTCCAAAGTAAGCAAAGTGTTATGTACTGAAGTTCTCACCCTGGGCCAGCAGGGGATACTGTAGATAGTTCAGGTCCACATATGCAAATAAGGGATCGAAAGTAACATTCAGTGATTGGATAGTTACAGAAAGTTGTTACAGTTACGTTGTACTGGAGCTCTATATAGGCAGGCTGGTTGAATCCTTAAGTTCAGTTCTGTTCTGGCCTCTGAATAAACAAGAGCTGTTTGAAGAATCGCTGTGTCGTCTGATATGTTCACCCACAACTTAACACAAAGCTCGACTGGGTTGAGTTTAAACCCTTTTTTAAAATATTCCTTCTTTCCTATACTCCTCCCTTTTCTTATGTTCTTATGTTTTTTATTTAGAGCAGGGAGTACAGTCATACCTTGGAAGTTGAATGGAATCTGTCCTGGAAGTCTGTTCGACTTCCAAAACATTCGGAAACCAAAGTGCTGCTTCTGATTGGCTTCAGGAAGCTCCTGCAGCCAATCGGAAGCCGTGGAAGCCCCGTCAGCCGTTCGGCTTCCAAAAATAGTTCGGAAACCAGAACAGTCACTTCTGGGTTTGCGGTGTTCGGAAGCCAAAACGTTTGGGAACTCAGCTGTTCAACTTCCAAGGTACGACTGTAATTGTGTTATTGGAGTCTCACTTAGCGTTTCCCTATTACATGATGATAGGCTACTGGGGAGACTGGCATGAGTTATAACACTTACTGGAATCATGGGCAGCTTTAGCTCTGCAGCAGCCGCCTCAAAATAAGGTAGCTGTTTATATGGGGATATTTTGCCCCTTGTTTCTTCCTCCCGCTTCAGTTTCTCCTGCTTCTTACCGATATGGTTGGGCCTCTGACAAGAATTTCCTCTGCTCCAGTGGCCCAGCACTCACCCGTAGCTCCTTCACTACCACCTGTGCAGGGGTGAAATCTGAGAATATTTCACCCAGGATTACCTGTGGAACAGGGGGGGAAACGGTTACTAACCAGAGCTGTGAACACACGCTCCCATCCAGTGTGATCCTACCACTGGTTTAGGGAAGCGGTGTCCACACAACATTGGGCATGATCCATAACTATCCTGTCATTTCTTATGAAACATTGCACATCCATTTTTTTTCTCTTCCAAACTAGCTTCAGAGTTCAGAAAAAGAATGACCTGAGAGCAATTTAAGCCAGGGATATGTATGCAGCCTGGAACCAACTAAACAGAACACATCTCGCCAGTTGTTACAGGGCCACTCTGACTGCCAGTTCATTTCTGGGCACAATTCAAAGGTAATTCGTAATTACCTATAAAGCCCTACCCAGCTTTGTGTCCGGATACCGCCTTTTACCACACAAGACTCACTGAACCTTCTGTTCATTTTTGAAGGCTTCTCTCTATGTCCCTCTAATCTAAATTTAGGCAGGTGGCAACTGGAGAGAGAGGACCTTCTCGATCCTGGTTATTTAAATGTAAGATGGCTGTAGGTTTTCTTTTATCCTTTCCACCCAATATTGAGATTTATTTATTTTTCCTGTATTGTGCAATTGACTGGTCACACCCACACTACACAGTTAGAGAACATTTAACGCACATTTAAAGGACATAAGAATCTGCAGAACTGTTGTTTACCCCTCACAGAGCTACAACTCCCTGCAACCTTAACAAACTACACTTCTCAGGATCCTTTGGTGGAAGCCATGTGCTTTAAAATATATGGCGTGGATGTAACCATGGTTGTTGTTTTATTTACTGTTGTTTCATTTTGTGCATCTGCATTACATAAGTGTCCTGTTACTCTGTTGTTGTTGCTGTTAGCTGCATAATAATATTTCAGATTATTGCTATTTTTAAACTTACAGTGGCTCTTCATATTCCCTGAGAATAAAACTGGAGCCCACAGGAAAGAACCTTGGGTCCCACAACAAAAATCACATCCCCAACAACAAGCTTTTGCTCACCTTTCCAAACCAGCCATTTCCAATCTCCTGCAAATAACTGAGGTGTTGTCTGCTGAGTCCCAAGTGTTTAACTAGATCTGAAAGAGAGACAGAGCGTGGCAGTAACAGAAGTCAATGACATGACCCGATGACTTGAGCATGAACCTCCCAACTTCGTTTCCCCCCACGTTCAAAAGTTAATAGACAAGCTACTGGGACATAAGCTAGCAGCAGCAGCTGATGGGGCAGGATAGTACCAGCTTCCTGGCAAATATAATGAGCGCTGCTTCTCCCTTTGTAGGCCACCTATCATTCCGGGCAAGAATGGAGAACCTTTGGCCCTCCAAATGTTGCTGAACTACAATTTCCATCAGCCCTAGCAAACACAGAAAATGGCCAGGGTTGGCGGAGGTTGTTGTTCAACAGCGTCTGAAGGACCAAAAGCTCCACATTCCTCCTCTAGCTTGTCTGCCATCTGTATGGGGCCAAGCTGGTGTGGGATTTGTTTGTTTATTTTTACAAATTTATAATCCACACTTCCATAAAAATAGAACTAGGCGGAGTACACATATAAGGGTAAAATCAGAAGAGCCATAATAACAGCAATAAATATCAATTAATACTGGCTGGCTACGAGGGGAGGGGGGAATATTGTAAAAGAAAAAGTTTTCAAACGACGTCTGAAGGAAGAGAGGGATGGTTCTTGCCAAGCCTCCATTTGTAGGCAGTTCCACAGGGCAAGGTCTGCCATACAAAAGGCCTGGGACCTAGAGATGGCCAACTGATCCTTAGGGCCATGGGGAGCCACCAGAAGGGCCCCATCAGAGGATCCCAGTGATCAAGGTGGAGCATGAGGAATCAGGTGGTCCCCAAGGCACTTTGAGCCCAAGTTGTTTAGGACTTTGTGGATAAACACAAGTACCTTGAACCTAACCCAGTAGCAAATCAGCAAATAAAGAGACAGGCAGGTGCATGCATGCCCTCTGCAATGAATCTTACCTGTTTTGGGCATCTGCTGGTTGGAGGACGGGAGAGAGACCTCTGAGAGAGGCAGAATGTAGACATCCGGGATAGACTGAGAGGAGGACGTCTCCTCTGCAGGTGGTGTGTATTCTCCAGAATATTCTTCTCCATCAGGGTTCTCAAATTCCTGCCAGGTGGGCAGAGGTGAGTGTAAGGATGATAAGATATTCTGCTGGTTCCCCCAATATTTCCCAGTCTGTTGCCTGAATTAGCAACCTCAGTGTTTCCCCATGGCCTTGCCCTCCCCAAGCGTCAGAACCCACCAACAGGGCTGGTGCCAGGCTTAATGGGGACCTTGGCATGGCCAATGCAACACCATCATCACAGAGTTACCCCTGCTGCACCTGATCTTCCCCTTTGTGGGACAACACTGCCGCCCTCCTCTTCCCTTCTGCCTTGACGTCTCTCTTAATCCTGTTTAAAAACATTCTTCACGGCTACAATAACAGCTTCGCTGGCACCTCCCTCAGCACCTGGGCTCTGAGAAAGGGCCAAAGACATCTTTTATAGAGACAAGCATTTTGGTGATGTGGTGGCCTGGAGAATGCCTCTGCCGTCACTTCTGTGGTTTGCCATGGCGGCTCGAAAGACTTTTTAAACACAGAGGACTGACCTTTGGCGCTCCTTTCTACTCTTGAGGCTCAGTTAATAGAGCATGAGACTCTTAATCTCAGGGTTGTGGGTTCGAGCCCCACTTTGGGCAAAAGAATCGTGCATTGCAGAGAGTTGGACTAGACAATTCTCTTGGACCCAACTGTACAAGTCTATGATTATTAACTTTTTCAAAAAAATAAATGATTTTCAAAAGCCTTTTTAGCTATCACAGCAAACCGCACTAGCGCAGGCAATGCCTAGCCATCTCACCAAGAATGCCAGAATCTGAGAAGAAGGACCCTTTGGCCCCTTTCTCAGTGCCCAAGCAAGGAGGTGGAGGTTGCTAGCCAACTGCTATGGGGTGGAGCTGGACCCAATGGTGAGCTACTGGGCAGCAGATCAGGCTGGTGAGGAGCACTTTAGAGTAATGGGCCCACAGGAAATGCCCAATGTGGTTAACCGCTGGTACAAGGTCTTCTCACCAACATGAGGGATGGGGAACTTGTGTCACTCCCATCATCCCTGACCTTCAGGGACTAATGGGAGGGCTATAGGTTTTGCTTAGGAAACTGTACACTCCAATCCATGATGCTGTTTAGCTTCACAGAATACAAGCCACAAATGCCTTTCAGCAAATAACAACAACAACATCCCTTCCCCAAAGCATTCCATGACCACCTCAAATCCCCACAACCAGGCTCACCTTGAACCCCACATCGCCCCGCTTGCAGCACAGGCAGGTGAGGAGGAGGAAGATAAAGGCCAGCAAGCCTGAGCAGGAGATCAGGACCACAGCATAGGGAGGGGCCAGGGGAGCCCGGCCTTGGGACAAACCATCTGCAGGGGAGGCAAGAGGCAGAGGAAGAAAGGGGACAGGGTCTTTCTCTAAAGCACATTTTAAAATGTCAAAAGCTAGGTTTGTCCACAACCCATAATATGGCATTTATAAGAATCAGCCAAAGCAGCTGGGCTGACCCAAACTTTTTTCGTTGCCCAAGGCAAAATACAAGATGACACCCTCCTATTACTTGTATAGAAGAAATGAGACTAGGTTGTACACACATCACACATTGAAAGCATCTTGCTTCCCCACGCAGAATCCTGGGCGCTGCAGTATGTTAAGGGTGCTGGGAACTATAGTTCTGTGAGGGGTAAACTACAATTCGCAGGGTTCTTTGGGGGAATCAATGTACTTTCAATGTGCTTTAAAGACATGGTGCATATGCAGCCTGAGAGCTGAAGACAGGCGACAGGCTAGCCTCCTCCACCTTGCCTGAGGGCAGCGTACATGCTTAGGAGGTGCAGAGAAACCCCTAGGGAACACACAGCTTTGTCCAACACCTCGCTGCCATTGCCTGTCTTCCACCATCCACCACCTGAGGCAGCCGCCTCACTCTGCCTAACGCTAGGACCGGGAGTGAGAGTAAATAAGCAAGCATTCAAATTTTCTTCCAGAATTCTACATCTTGGGACTGAGATGCAGTCAATGAGAGAGAATGGAGGACAGATGTCAGGTGTGTGTGTGTGTGTGTGTGTGTGTGTGTGTTTTTCAACCCCCCAAATGTAAACAAATTCTCTGTGGTTTCAGCCCTTACACATCTGTTCAGGACCTACAGCACCATTCTCCAGTCATCTGTTATTTCGTGTTTAATCCGGTTCCACCACAAATCTGGCTACACACTTCCCTAGACCAGGGCAGAAACCGTTCCTTCCATTCATCATCATAAACATTCCTCCACTCCTCATCCTCTTAACAAACTACAGTACTACTTACCCTCCCAGCCACGTGACGCCAGTCTCCTCTTTTCCCCACATGCAGACCTCCTGACATCTAGCCCTACAGCGCCCAGTGTGAATGGGTCCTCAGCAAGCTTTTCCTCCAGTCCTCCACACTGCCATGCTGGTGGGTCTTTCCAGACAAATGAAGACACCAGTGCCTTGCCACTTGCTCTGCTGCGTGCTGGGCTCAGCACCACCACCCATCCCTACCAATTCTCACTCCCCACAACCTTACTTGGACACCCCAGAAGGTTACCAGCAGCTGAGGAAAGCAGCTATAGCTGCCACATCTTTCCCTCCCCTCAGAATGCCTTTGGGTTCCATGGACTTGAGGCCTAGAGACATTCTAGGTGATAAAGATGGCTGTGGCAGCAGTTGCTCCCCTATCAAAATGCTTAGGCAAAATGGTGGCACCCATCCAGGAAGGTCCTGACATTTGCCCTGACATGCTGGGTTCTGAGGCCGGGTCTTCCCCAATGGAAACTTTTTACCAACTCCCTGTCAATTACTTTATCCATCCCACTTTCCATTCACTGCCAACCACCTGTCCATTTGGTGCCTCAGAAGCAGAACTCTAAACTGTGCAGATGTATTTTTCAGATCTAAAACTGAAACAAACTAAAACAGTCAATATACTGCTATGGTTATATAAACTGTTTTATACCTCTCTAACTGCCATTACTCCCCCCCCCCCCCAAAAAAAAAGAATTCTGGAAACTGTAGTTTGGTGAAGATGCTGAGGTGTCTAGCCCCTTCCTCCAAAATAATTACAATTCCCAGGGTTTTGTAGGAATGGGAATTGACCGTTAAACCAGTTTAATCCTCTAGTTGGAGGTGTCTCTTTTCTAAAGGCTTGGGGGTGGTTACATGGAAAAAGTTATACCAGAAATGGAAATCCAGCTGGATTTTCCAGGAAAAATATATGAATCCCTACATTAAGAGAAGCCTGGCAAACAGTCTGTGGTGAGCCCATAGACTTTTCTTGATGAAGCAAAGAGAAATGTCACATCCTCTGTCCCGAGCCCATCATGAAGTCATGGGACTTCCCACCAAACTGCTTCTTCTGACATCACCCAAATGGCCTTGATTAGCCTGTCCCTAAATGGGCTACTAGAACAATCATTTGTTTCCCTATGGATTTATCTGCCCTTGTCTGCAGAACAAAGCATCTGGGCCAAAAAGGTCCAAGGTCTCAACCCAGGACGCCCTACCCTCCAGGTGACATCATGGCAAGTAAGCCAATGGTAGCCTGAGTCCCACCACTCCAGCCTGCAGTATGGCACCAGAGCATGTATAGAACGAGAGGTGAAAAAGAGGGAAATATTGGAAGGGTTGTACATGAGGGAACACACTGACTTTGCAAGAGAAAGAGAAAGGGCTTTGATTATAACTCAGGAAAAAACTTTCCAGCTGTTGGAACAGTAGGGGTGACAGGATCCTGAAATAAAACTCATTAGCTACTTTGTCAAGAATAACATTGAATTTGCCCAAAGCTGCATACACACTAGAGCTTTAAAGCACATTAAAGCACATTCCCCTCCCCCTCAAGGAATTTGAGGCAGTGTAGTTTCTTAAGGATTTCTGGGAACTGCAACTCATGAGGGGTAAACTACAAAGCTTAGAATTCTTTGATGAAAAGAATGTATTTTGAATGTCCTTTAAGGGTATAAGGAAGATAAAACTCCTGGCCTGTTTGACAGGCCTTTTGATCCAACAGTGTTTCAGAATTCACTGCGAGGAACTAATCTTTGTGATTATTTCTGTCTCACAGAAAACAAGAACCCTATCGGATCGGACCAAAAGTTGATCCAATGCAAACATCCTGTTTCACGCAACAGGCCAGGCAGTGACTTCCAGTAAAACCACAAGCAATGTTCCCTTGTCCTAATCTCTGACCGCAGCCACACTATACATTTAAAGAGCATGGTTTCCCCCAAGGAATCATGGGAAGTGCAGTTTGTTAAGGGTGCTGGGAATTGTAGCTCTGTGAGGAGTCATATGCTTTAAATGTATGGTGTGGGTGTGACCTCTGTCCCCCACCGCACCCTCTCTCTCTCTCTCTCTCTCTCTCTCTCACACACACACACACACACACACACACTTGTAAACACCCCACAAGCTAACATTATGAGGAAAGTCTTTATTGCTCCCATTTTACAGAAGGGTAAGCAGTGGATGAGGTCCTGTCACTTACTCTTACCTGAACGATCCATCAGTACATATCCACCCACCCTTCCCTTCAGCTTTTCGTCCCTTACGCACACACCTCTACCTTCCTCTCTACCTTCCAGCTCATCTTCACAACCCCCTTCAGGCCCCAAGTACCTTCTCTATCTCAGGCATGCCGGCCCTTCCAGCACTTCAGCAGTCTCACAGCACATGCCAATTCCCACAAAACTCTACCACCACCAGACCCTTGTGCCAAGGGCACATCCATAGTGAGTCACGCCGCTCTCTCCAGATGGCTGCCAGACCAAATGTGGCTTCATGCTATATATTCAAGATGCCACAGACCTCACGCCCACCCCTCCCCACCTCTCTCTCTCTCTCTCTCTCTCTCACACACACACACACACACAAAAACACACACACATTCCTTGTTTTCTTCACACACTAATCCCAGATCTTTGCTGCTGTGCTCTAATCATGGGCCCCACCATGTACAAAAACATATTTGTTCTCACACACCCCAAATAACTTCTATTCTTGTTTGCCACTCCTTCAGCCCCTCCAGGTCTACTCAATTTCCCTCGCCAGGGTCGGAAAGGAAGAAGGGGTGGGGGGAATCCAGTCAACCAGCAAACACCGCCGGCATAGGCATCTGAGGAAAACCAGCAATGATTAATTTGGTCTGTACAGGAATCCCAGCCTTCTCTCTGGAATGGAATTTATTAACCCAGAAAACACCGCCAGCCTCTTGTTTGGGAAGCGAGAAATCCCGCAAGCCCTGCCGCCGTGCCCAGCTTTGCACACATGAAAGTGGGATGGTTGTCTAATTTGGGCAGGTAACCCATCACACAAACAGGTGGCCACAGATGGTGGAGGCGAGGGAGGCAAAGGCAAGGAGGGGTGGCCACTGTCACAGATGAATGGGAGCCCTCGCAACCTGCCAAGAAGACTCACCGTTTTCCGAAGGCGCTGCCAAAGCTTTCTCTGGGTTGAAATACGACATGGACGCAGCCAGGAGAAGGAAGGGGCCTTGTCTTAGCATCTTAGGGGGAGTCTGGGATCATGGATCAGGAAGGCGGGGAGAGGTCTCAAGACGTAGGTGCGGGGTGGGGAGTGGAGAGAGAGGGGGAGAGAGAGAGGGAGAGAGAGAGGGAGGGAGAGATCCGCCACCCAGCAATGCACAGAAAAGCAGAGACACGGTGGGCATCAGTCATCAGAAGGGATGGAGCAGAGCCGAAGACGCCAAGAACAATGGTACCCAACAGATCGTTGTGTCGCCTGCATCCTTCGGAGGATGTGCGACCGCTTGGCTGGCTGCTACCTGGATCTCATCCCCAGGCATCATCTTCTCTCGTTGCCGAGGAAGGGGAGGAGATGGGAAATGGAATAAATAAAGAGGGAGGGGAGGGCAGAGGATAGTCAAAGGTGGCTGAAGAGAAGTGGCGGCAAGGATGGAGGGGGGGCGAAGAAAGCCATTGTAACAATAGGTGATCTCACATGGGGAGGGGGAGGGAACAGGAGGAAGCAGATGTGTGGGGAAGAGGGGGGGTGGGGAAGAGGTGAAGGAGAAAAACCTAAAATCCCAGTTGAAAGGAGGAAGGAGGAAGGAAGGAAAGAGGGGGGAAAAAGAGGGGAAGAGAAAAAGGGGGGAAGGAGGCTGGGTGTTTCCCCCCCCCTTCGGAAACCTTGCTCTTCGGGTAGCAGAGAAATTGATGGAGATCAAAGCCCTCCCATGCAGCCCGGGTTGTGGATTGGACAATGGGCATGTCACTTAGGCTGAAGGGAGGAGGATGCAGGAATGGATGGGGGGGTGTTATCACCATGGAGACCTGCTCTTGGGTAGCAGCAGCAGCAACAACAGCAGCAGCAGCAGTAGGGAGTGCAGGAGCAAGAAGGTGAAAGGATGGAGTGATTAAAAGGGGTTCAGGGCAGTGAGGCAGAGAGGGCTGCAAAAGGGGAGAGGGTATTTTGCACACAAGTAGTGCTACGCCGCTGAGCATCTGCCAGATTCAGTGCCATATTCCACAAACACATAAGCATAAGGAGAATCTCCTTCTCTCTCACACACACAGGCATAAACAGAGTCTCTCACACACAAACATACACACACAAACATAACAGATCATGCACAATATTTCATGCTTGCAGAAAATGTCTTACACGTAGATAGGAAGTGTTGCTGTATTTATTTACAGTAGCTGCATGCTGCTTTTCGACCACCAAGCAGTGTCCAACAGTGATAAAAAGATTTAAAACGATATTACTGTGAAAACAATTAATTGTTACGTAAACAACAATAAAATTAAAACACTGAATAAAGGGAAACAGCTGCTGAAACAGTGGTGCCAGAATCCCATAATTATCAAATAAACAACCAAACAGGAAAGGCAGAATGAAATATATTTTTTCCCTGTCCTCTGGAAGGAAGAGGTGGCAGAATGTGAGAACAAGGACCGCAGAATGGGTAGGAGGGAATCCCAGAGCTTAGAGGCTGCCACTGAAAAGTCCCTGCTCCATCTCAACGGCAGACTAGACTCCATTCCCATGGTGTCATGAACTGTATTTTATGTCACACAGAACCATTTTCTCAAGGTCATCCATACACGTTGCCTCATGCATCCCAGAGAAAGATTCCCATTCGGATCAGAGAGAAGAAATCTTCAAATGATCCACCTTCAACAAACATATGGGGCAGGGGATTGGACCTGCTGCAAGCCACAATCACAGCACTGGATGACACTGAGGCGACATCTGCCTGACAGCCACTCATTCAGCTTTGGTCTGAAAAGAGGCCTGTGTACAGACAGGCCTCCACAATTTTGACCGATGAGGGGTGTGGCTAATTGGTGTCAGAAGGGGGAGTTAGTGGGTGCACTAACCACAAGGTGAACAGCCTTAAACATGGGTTCATTGTTGTTGTTGTTTAGTCATGTCCGACTCTTCGTGACCCCATGGACCAGAGCACACCAGGCACTCTTCAACATGGGTTCAAAGCCTTCCTCAACTCTGATAATCATATTGGATGGTTTTGATCCAGTTACTACCTTCCAGCCTAAGCCCCCTCCTAGGATTTTGTAAAGGAAAAATATGGGATGCTGAAAAATACTCTGCCCTGAGTTTGTTGGAGGTAGAATGCAAACAGGATGAATAAATAATCCAGTGCAAAATGGCAGCAGTTTCCACACATGCTGAAACGGTCTTGGAATCATACGCAGTGTGGTCAATTAAAAAATAATACAGTAAGCCTGCAACTTACACACATTTAACTTGTGCACATTTAGCTTTACGTATGTGGCAAATATAATTTTAAAAAACCTAAAAGGGGTTCTGGGGTTCTGGGGGAAACGACTTTGGCAATCCTGCCTACCATTGAACCCAGTGGGTTTTGACTAGATGTGATTTTGCCTTTAGTTGCCATCCCGAGAATGTAACCCCTGTGTGAGTTGTGGCTTACAGTAATAATTTCACTGTGTCAGCCATTAAAGCTGCAGTGAGAATTTGATTTTTTAGTGTGGCAGAACTTTGGAATTCCCTGCCTATTGAGATCAAGCACGTGGCTTTGCTATACTCTTTTCGGCACCTGCTAAAAACATCCTTGTTCAGACAAGTCTGCTCAGATGCTTAGAAAGTTGAGGTAATTTTAATCTGTTTTAGCATTTTCAACTTTTGTATGTTGGCTGTGAATTATTATCGGTTTTATTGTTTTACTTTGTCGTAAACAGCTTTGAGTGGTTTTTTTTTTTTTATTACAGCCAAGCGGTGTATAAATTTTATAAGTAAATAAACAAATAATCGCATGCATGCAGACCCCAGTTGCCACCGTGTTTCACTCACACAAAATGGTGGCGCACAGATACCTGGTGCTATTCCTCATGCACCATGGAATAAGAAGACACACAATTTGTGCCTTCTGACTACCAGGTACTGAAATCATACAGTGAGAGAGGGACCCTTGCCATCATGCGACTGGTTTGTGGGCTTTCCGGCAATAACTGGTTGGCTACTCAAAACAGGATTTTTGGAGGTGCAGCTAGCTCCATGCACACTATAAATTTAAAGCATACCTCCCCAAATAATCTTAGGAACTGTAGTTTGTTAAAGCAGCTGGGAATTATAGCTCTGTGATGGGCAAACTAGGGTTCCCAGAGTTCTTTGGGAAGCGCTATGACCATTTAAAGTAGTAGTAGAAAACCAATTTAAAGGTATAGTGCAGATGGGGCCTTTAAAATATGTGCTGCATGCAAACCATATATTTAAAGCACATTTAAGAGCATCTCCGCCCTGCAAAAGAATCCTGGGAACTCTAGTTTACCCCTCACAGAGGCTATAATTCCTTGCACCCTTAACAAGCTACAGCTCCCAGGATTCTTTCAGGGGTGTTTTATTATTATTATTTTCCAAAAAAAATTATTAGTTTTCACAATATTATAAACAAACAAACAAACACACAAAACATACAAACATAAATCATAGCCTTATTGAAAATTACAGTTATTAACTTTGTTAAGTGACTTCCTCGCTTCCCCTTGGTTGAATTTCATTGCATGTCCTTTTAACGGTTTTCCAAATCCCAATTTTTATGAAATTTAACTTAAACATTAACATCCTTAGATCTTCACCTTATGGAATTAAACATATTAATTCATCACTTAACATAAATAAAATCCTTAGCCCATTAAGTATCTGCAAGCTGTTTTCAGTTAGTTTAACTTAACAAATTTAACTAAATAATCATTAAATTTATTCCACTCTTCCTGATACTACTCCTCCTTCTGGTCACTGACTCTTCCGGTTAGGTCGGCTAGCTCCGAAAAATCCATCATCTTCATCTGCCATTCTTCTATTGTTGGTAATTCTTGAGTTTTCCACTTTTTAGGGGTGCTTTAAATGTATGGTGTGTATGCCATCATGGCCTTCTCAAACTTTCCAATGGGAAAACTTTCATAATTTGTCAGCACATGTTACTGTCACAGCGCTGCACAGAAAACCCACATGAAAATCACATGAAAATTCACTAAGACCATGACTACATGTCATACTTGAACTGGTATGAGATGCGTTTAACTGCCTTGGCTTCTGTCCATGAACTTGAGGGTTGTACTTTTGGGACCATGATGGGAAATTGCTCTTTGGAATCCCTAAACCACTTCATGGAACTATAGTACCTAGAGTTCCTGGGGGGAAATCAGGACAGTTAAGCCAGTTTAAAAGGTACAGTTCTCACTTATGTTTTGCCTTTGTTTTACTATTAGGCAAACACGCCCTTGAAATCCAGGAAGGGGGGTGGAGAGAGAGAGAGCTGCATGAGAGCAGATCTGGAGTGGGGAAAGGGGAATGTTCCCCTCCCCTCTCCCTAGATACCACTTAAAGGTGAAGGGTAAAGGGACCCCTGACCATTAGGTCCAGTCGTGGCCGACTCTGGGGTTGCGGTGCTCATCTCGCTTTATTGGCCGAGGGAGCCGGCCTACAGCTTCCGGGTCATGTGACCAGCATGACTAAGCCGCTTCTGGTGAACCAGAGCAGTGCACGGAAACGCCGTTTACCTTCCCGCCAGAGCGGTACCTATTTATCTACTTGCACTTTGATGTGCTTTCAAACTGCTAGGTTGGCAGGGACCGAGCAGGGAGCTCACCCCGTCGCGGGGATTCGAACCACCGACCTTCTGATCGGCAAGTCCTAGGTTCTGTGGTTTAACCCACAAGCGCCACCCGCGTCCCACACAGCGCCACCTGCGTCCCCCACAGCGCCACCTGCGTCCCGCGATACCACTTCTTGACTCTCAGTTACACCCTCCTCAAACCGTTTTTCTTCTTTTAACAAAAGGGAATTTAAGCTCTGGTGCACATTTGCACATAATGTAAATTTAAGCCCCTAGTGGTAAACCCGGGTTTGTTGTCCTGTAATATGCTGAATGTTCTTAGGGCTTGGACCAGAGAGGCCTTCGTTCAAATCCCCACTCAGTCATGAAGTTACATGAGAGAAATGAACAAGATGTTAGGGATCCTGGATACTTTTGTCTTGAAGGCAAATACTGTAGATGCCTGGAGCCATGTCTTCTGAGAGGATCATTTGGAGGGAGGGAGAGAGCGAAAGCGCAGCTTTAAGGATAGAAGCAGGACAGGAGGCTGAGCCACAAACAAATGCTTACACAAACCTAACTTTATTGTTTTCCCCTCTGCTTTAAAAGACACCCAGTAAATTAGCAGCTTCATTTATCTAGCATTTTCTGTTCCTCAGCACTTTATTGCTTACCAAATGAAAGTGTCTAATGAAAGGGGGGTGATTTACAAGCCTTCAGGCTCCCTGAGCCAAGAGCAATTTTCTACATCCCAGAACACAACAGTGCAGGAGAAAGGGGAAAGAAACTCATTGTCTGGGCAAATTCAGCCACCCACTGAAGAAAGAAAGAAAGAAAGAAAGAAAGAAAGAAAGAAAGAAAGAAAGAAAGAAAGAAACTTTACATTGAACAAGTTAAAATCCTAGTCATCCAATGTGTGGTTCTTGCTCCATATTGTTCTTTGACTGTATTTACCTCTTAGAGGCATCCAAATGTGTCTATCCCTAAGATATATTTGTCCAGGTCTGATACTTAGTGAAGCATTCCTAATCATTCATTTAAAGAAAAAATAATATGAAGCGGTTAGTGCCTTATGTCTCATGCTTCCCGAGTTCCATATGTTCTGCTGTATTTGCATTCGTTAATGTGGAAATAGTTATGTACAAGCATTCTCAGTGTCGTTCAGGGCCAAGCAAGACACGCCATCATTCATACAATTAGCAATTTCAGGCATTAAAGAAAGTAAATCAGAGGCGTGGCAGGTGGCGGCTGCGGGGGGTGGGGGTGCATCTGTTATTTGCCTTGAAATGCAAGCTCCCATTTGTTCAATTAGAAATCTTAATTTCAGTGTAAATATCACATACATGGAAGACCATTTTCAACTCTCTTCAAAACTGATTCTAGCCCAAGACAGAAATGGATTTGAGAGGAGACCACAGCTTGAAACCAGAGCCTTACAGGATATCCAGCCTCATATAACCAAGATGCTTAACTCTGATTAATGTATGAAGAGGTTAAGACCACAGAGTAAGCTGTTCTGCCAGGCTTAGCTGGATCACTCCACCTCACCTTGGGAGGAAGGGTTATCAAACTCTTTGTTTTCTCAATTGCACCATGTGAACCCTACCAGTAAGGAGGTCCAAGCGGGTTGCTGCAAGCCATGTGGCTTAAGAAAGCCATCTTTATGTTTCTATAAAAATAATTTAGAAACACTTGCCATTTTGGAATCTATGTTGTACTGTACTGCCTGTATTTTCTTGCTGCTGCATGGAAAAGCACATGAATCTGACCTTTGAAGAGTTTGTAAGTAAACCATTTCTAGCTTACCAAACTGGTGGCCTCATTCCAAGCTAAGGGAAGTGGGGAACTTTAGAAGCAACTTGGGGTATTTTAAAAGTCAGTCTATATTTCCACGCTTTACTTTGCTGCTTGTTTTGTGATTTAAAATCTCTCCTGGGGCTCTCTCACCAAAGAGTACTTGCCCCCAACCATTCGGGGGATTCTATTTTTAACTTTACCATATCTCTCTTTTTTTTTTCCAAACCAAGAGGCTTGAGGTGAGTGGGGAGGATTGACCAGCTTAGATACCACATAGTAAACAGAGTGCCCAGGTGCTGAACATAACACATAGCATAAGAATACTTAGCCAGCAGCTGAGCTGGACAATGATATACAATAACTGATGGGTTGCACAGATAAGGCCCATGTGTAAGCAGAAAAGTACAGATGGAAGGAGTTCCACTACCTAGGTGCATTCACACAAAATGCCCTCTGTCTTGCAGAGACTGCCTTTCCTGCCAAACATAAAACCTGGACAGTTAGATATGAAGACAGGCGGTCCCTCAAGCAAACTGTTCAGGGCTTTATAAACTAGCTAGCAGTAAGACTTTTAATTTGGCCCCAGTAGTATATAGGCAGCCACTAAACATCCTTAAGGAGAGGGGTTCTGTGCTGTTGATATGAAACCCTTATTTGCATTCTGCACAAGTTGCTGGAAACACAAGGGAAGCCCCAAACAAAACTCGTTGCAGTAGTCTACTTCCAAAGTTAGCAATGCTACAAGTACAGTGCCCAAGCTATCTAGAAAAGTTAGATCTCTCTTATGCTAGATGAAAACTGCTTCATTTTCCGAGGCCGTTTAAAGTTGCAATGGCATTTTTAGGATTTATATTTTTTGCTGCCTTGCTTTATATATATATTATTATCTTCATGACATGCTTTATTATTTTCTTGCTAACATGTTCGTTTTACTGTTTGCCACTGTCAGAAGCAGCAATACTGAAAGACATTAGAATACAGGAAAATAAATATAGGCAAGCAGAGCCAGACACTTAGACGCTGATGTATTTTAATTTCTTTTATTGTAATTTTAATTATTTGTACAAGTTTTTAATTGTTTTAACTGTTTTTATTGGTAATTTTCATATTTGTTGTAAATCGCTTAAGGGTTTTTACTACAATCAAGCCATATATACGGTAATTTTTGTAATATAAAGTATTTTAAATTAATGGTGGAGAGGTGAGGTCCAAGATAGCTACTGCTGATCCGATTTTCAAACTCCCTCCCCATGCCACAGGCACTTGGTGGACTAACCACTGTGCCCTCTAGCCTGGTGGTGCTGTTGGTGAATACCAGGTCAGTTCACATTAAAATGAAATCTCCCCCATCTACTATTAAATCATGGATAAGGAAGTTGTGCCGGCACGTATTACTGAGACCTGGGTGAGTGTGCAGCTTCAAGACAGACTACAGGGTTGTTGTTGGGGAGCTGCCACCATGGGAGGAAGGTGTGGGATGTAAATAAAATAAATAGTTCACACAAGTACCATTTGACCAGCCAGGAAACCCCTCTATCCTTGGTCAGGCGATGAGAGCCTGCATTTGGCATAAGGCTAGAAGACATACAGGGGCCTCCTACTGGTATACCATGCATCCTGCTGCCCAACAGCTCTGCTGCCTGAGCTTGTCTTGGGCGTGGTGCTGAAAAACCCTAAGGCCTTGTTCCTGAAGGTCTTCAACATCCATGCCAAGACCCAGCACTGAACTTCATGGCTTTCATGACAACCATGGGGCTGTCTCAGCTTGTCACTGATCTAATGCAGAAGCGAAGGCACACCCTGGATTTCATATTTGTCTCAGGGTTAGGGGAGGATGGTCGGGATGTTAGTGGGGGTTGGAATGATCACCTAGTTATGGTCAAACCACTTCCCAGCGGACTGACCCTCTGGAATAGTTTTCCGCAAAGACATTTAGGGCTCTTCCACACTTCCGCTTGTCCCATGCCTAAGAAAGCATGGGTCCAAGCAGTTTTCTGCTTGCTTCACCAGGCCTGGCCAGGTTCTGCAGAGTACCTGGGTGGGCAAAGAGAGATGGGCCACTCCACACACACACACACACACACACACACAGGTCTCTGCAGTGCATGCCATCTCTGCCCCCATCAAATCGGGGGGGGAAAAATGTCTGAGTATGTAGGTAAGTAATATATGTATTGTATGTATAATATACCGTAGTTTAAGTTTATGTAAACTGATGTATAATATTGTTTTTTTCTATAAAGAAAGAAATGTCTGAAGCTGCCTGAGCTCCCAACACTTTCTCTGCCCATGCGCCCCCGCCCCACCCCTTATTATTTACTAAAACAATTAGCCACTTTTTGCTGCACACACGCTCCTTGCCATCACCCAATAGCCAGAGCGGCTGTGACTAAAGCACCATCTTTCCCCCTCTGCCTCTCATAAGGTACTGAATGGCCATAGTTGCTGTATACTAGGGACTACTGGGTGAGAGCATGGAGACAGAAAATACTAAGAGCTGACACGCATCCTATACTACACACGCACACAACCAGAAAAAAGCCGTCACTGGCCACGCGTTTCTTTTGATAGAAACAGAGTAGAACACCAGGTCTAAAGACCGGAAGTGAGAAACAGCGGCGAAGGCATGTTCGACTCTACTTTTTTGTGTGTATCTCTATAACGAAAAGGGAGCGGAAACGCATTGTTGGTTCTTTGGCATCTCTATGGTTCAGGGCACGGGGGGGGGGCGTTATAAGGAACCGTTGAGGCAGTCGGTTTCAGAAAGCAGCAGGGACGCCTGTTTATTCGCTTCAGCCAACTTCACACCGCAGGCAGGGATGGCGCGGACAACGAGGGAGAAACTCCACGGCCCCAATGAATAGCTCTGTTAGGGCTCCAACCCCCACAAAGCAATGGCGGCTCCACTCGGCACACAGACGCGGCCGACTCCTGGACCGTTAATGCAACGTGCTACCCTCCCCTCGACCACTCTACATCTTCTTCTCTATCATCCTTGGAGCAAGCGCTAATTGGTTACCGCGCCGCGAAGCAGCCCTCCGCCAATAGGTTAGGCAGGAAAGACGTCGCCTTGCTATTGGCTAGCGGAGACGGTAGGCGGAGCACCGCACGACATATATAAGCAACCTTCGTAGGCCGCTCCCTTCCTTTTAGTAGTGGCCGTCAAGCGCGTCGGAAGGTAAGCGGAGGTTTTGTTTCACGGAGACCCGAGGCGCGGTGTCGGGGAATAAGAAGCGCCCCGGTGGCCGAGAAGGACGTTTTAAGTGACTCCAAATAAATTGTTCTCGGCAACCAGCTGCTAGAAGTGCCTTAGCGGTTGCGAATCCACTTTAAATCAGGGAGTTGGAGCCTTTATTCGCGCGGCCCCCGCCTCACTCGCTCAATGCGCATGTGCGGGTTATAGAACTAGGGCAGCCCCGCGTGCGCAGATCACACGTGTCGCGTGGTTGCTTCCGCGGTGCTGCTCGGCCTATTCAGGGGATTCGTGGATGGTGGGGATTAAACACGCTCCCTCGAACCGCCGGTCTCACGTGATTTGAATTATTTTTTAAAGGGGAATTAGCCTTCCCTGTCCTGTGAATTTTACAAGTGTCACGTTGGCCAGAAAGATTCCTACTAGATGATCCTCTTAGTCCCTTCCAACTCTGCAATTCTATGACTTGGTGTCACCCCACGTGTTGCTGAAAAAATAGCAGCTATTTCTAGGTGCTCCCTTTTTTCTATAATTTTGGTGGAATCGTTTTCAAAACTTTGGTGAGTGTGAGTTGATTCAGTGTTAAATGTTTCCTTCCCAGAGGCTGGGTGGCTGCTTATGCTAAATTATCCTTGATATGAGAAGTAAGGAATGTGCCTTTCTTTGAGATTCTTTTACTGATGGCCCATAACATCTTTGAGCATTCACAAATTTTCATACCTCCCTGCTTAGTTGGGAGCATTTGGGCTTAACCATTGTTATATGGAATCACACTCTTTTTTCCTGCTCAAATTATATCCATATTAAAATACTGACTATATTAAAATACTGAAGTAGCAGTAAATTGTGCCACATATATTACAGCTCTTGCTTAGCTTAGTTTGTGGGGAACATGACTTTAAAAGGGGCCAAAGGGCCTTGCTGGTTTATTTAAATAGTTAAAAAGTTTACTTTAGTTGCTTGCTGTAATTCAGTATCTGCACTGAAATTTGGTGCAGTGTTTAATGCTGGCTGCAAGTAGCTGCTTTCTTTTGGATATTGCAAGTGGTCCAAATTGGCATATTGCTTCAAGAAACTATTCTTTCCCTTTCTAATGGGTAAGCTTCCATGATTTATATCACCTTCAGGGCTTCAACACAACTTTACATAGAACAAATGTGGCCCTCTGGTGCCCAGTAGTGTCAGTTAAGGGTCAGTCTAGATTCCAGAAAACAAAACTTGTATTGAATTTACCCTAAACTCAGTCTGAGTGGTGTAGTTCATTGGGTAGTATTGACCTTACAAGTAGGAAAGGCTGGCTTTAGACCTGAAATTCCTGGCTGTCCTAGCCTACGTCATAGGTTTGGATGAATGTATAAATGAAATGAGAGACTGTAATAATAAATTATACAGAGAAGTAGCTGTGAAATATATCAAAACTTCATTTGCTTCACTTGTTTCATCTGCCTGCCATTTCTATAGATCTCTCAACATTTTTCTCCACAGGACTGGACTCCCTTTAGGCCAACATGCCAGTTGCCAGGAGTTGGGTATGTCGGAAGACATATGTCACCCCAAGGCGGCCCTTTGAGAAGTCCCGGCTTGACCAGGAACTGAAACTGATTGGTTAGTTTATCCTGGATGGAAAAAAGAGAGTTGTTCAATGAAACATTTATGCTCCAAAGGCAGGTGCATGTTACATTTGAACTTTTATATCCCCTCCTAGGTGAATATGGGCTGCGTAACAAGCGTGAAGTGTGGCGGGTGAAGTTCACCTTGGCCAAGATCCGCAAAGCTGCCCGAGAGCTGCTCACTCTGGATGAGAAGGATCAGAGGCGTCTCTTTGAGGGTATGTTAGGGCTGGACATGCCAGTCTTCGGCATCTTTAATGGTTCTTTTGCTGTTGTGGATCCCTTTAAAGGTTACTAGCAGATTAAGGGATCTCGAATGTGAGTTCACTTCCTTTATGAATCCTACCAGTTTTTGGATCTGGTCCAATTAAATTTAAAACCAGAGATTATCAATTTACTGTTATGGACAGTTGTAATATTTTCATCTTTCCATAATGGTTAGTTGATGGTCTCTGGTTTTAGATTTCAATGTGTTATATATAGATATTATTGTAAATACTACTTTATGATACAGGTCCCGGTCTCTCTCTCTCTCTCTCTCTCTCTCTGTGTGGATATACACACACACACACACACACACACACACACACACAATGCCTTTCAGATGTAGAATCATAGAATCATAGAGTTGGAAGAGACCACAAGGGCCATCGAGTCCAACCCCCTGCCAAGCAGGAAACACCATCAGAGCACTCCTGACATATGGTTGTCAAGCCTCTGCTTAAAGACCTCCAAAGAAGGAGACTCCACCACACTCCTTGGCAGCAAATTCCACTGTCGAACAGCTCTTACTGTCAGGAAGTTCTTCCTAATGTTTAGGTGGAATCTTCTTTCTTGTAGTTTGGATCCATTGCTCCGTGTCCGCTTCTCTGGAGCAGCAGAAAACAACCTTTCTCCCTCCTCTATGTGACATCCTTTTATATATTTGAACATGGCTATCATATCACCCCTTAACCTCCTCTTCTCCAGGCTAAACATGCCCAGCTCCCTTAGCCGTTCCTCATAAGGCATCGTTTCCAGGCCTTTGACCATTTTGGTTGCCCTCCTCTGGACACGTTCCAGTTTGTCAGTGTCCTTCTTGAACTGTGGTGCCCAGAACTGGACACAGTACTCCAGGTGAGGTCTGACCAGAGCAGAATACAGTGGCACTATTACTTCCCTTGATCTAGATGCTATACTCCTATTGATGAGGCCCAGAATTGCATTGGCTTTTTTAGCTGCCGCGTCACACTGTTGGCTCAGTGAGCACTCAGGGCTGATTTCCTTAAGAATGGATACATTTGATCTTCTTGCAGTCCATGGGACTCTCAAGAGTCTCTTCCAGCACCATAATTCAAAAGCATCAATTCTTTGGCGATCAGCCTTCTTTATGGTCCATACATCACTACTGGGAAAACCATAGCTTTTACTATACGTACCTTAAGGGAATAGACCAGATCTATTAGATTAATATCAGTTACCTATGTTGAATTGTTTTTCCTGGTGTAATTATATTTATATATTGTCTTGAGAATCTTTTAAATCAGTCCCATATTTCAGATCAGAGACTTAAGGCTGAGAGTGACTGTCTTCTCAAAGACTGCCCACCATTTGGGGCTGAGCTAGGATTTGAACTGTGATTTCAAGGTCAATGTAATATACTATAGTGCTGCTTAGTAGTATGTAACTAAACATGTCAACCTGTGTTAGAAACTGAGATATGAAAGCTAGGAGCTAAATGGCACCTTAAACCTATGTTATGGGTGTTGCAACAGAGTTTCTAGGTTCACTTTTTTATAACAAGAATACAAAGCTGAAAATGAATGAACTGCAGGTAAAGTTTTAAGTTGAGTTTTCACATGGTTTGGTCCTTATCTGAAGACTGCAAAAAACAAATCCATACTTCCCCTGCCTGCCCCTGTAATATTCTTATGAGGGTCCCTTCTCCAGTCTTCAGAGTGGCTGAAAGTGGGGAGGCCGAAAAGGGTCCTCCTTTCCTTCTAGCAGTGGCAATTTTAATATGAAATCTTAGGTGCAGTACTGCACCCAGAGCTCAGAAACTGCTCACACTAACGAAATTCCCTGTCGCAAAATGCGTCTAGAACAAAGGGAGTTTCAAATGCTGGCGTCAACTTGGTGCCATTTCTTCCTCTTCTCTCCCCCACCCGTCATTAGCATTTCATAGAGAATGCTTTTTACATGAATCTTGTGCCCATGATTTACATGACTCTCTAAATTGTGTTTGGGCCTCTTCAGCTTGTTTACATGTCCATATCTTTTCCTAGGTAATGCCCTGCTGCGTCGTCTGGTCAGAATTGGGGTGCTGGATGAGGGCAAGATGAAGCTGGATTACATCCTGGGTCTGAAAATTGAGGATTTTCTGGAGAGGCGTCTCCAAACCCAGGTCTTCAAGCTGGGCCTGGCCAAGTCCATTCACCATGCCCGGGTGCTCATCCGTCAAAGACACATCCGGTATGTTGCCTTGGTGAAGTGAAATGGCATTTCACTTAAGCAGAACAAAGGCAAAAGCAATGACTGAGTTGCTGTGGGTTGTAAAGATAGGGTCTACCTCTGAAGTAATGCATCTGATGTCTCTTATGTGTGGCCTGTGCAGGGAAATGTGTGGACATGTCCCAGCCGTGTGTCTTTTTACCCCACCAATCCCTCCCCTGGACTGGAACCCTGGATAACCTAAAAGCCCTGCAATCTGCCTAATGAGGCTGTATGCCAAAAGCACCAGCAATTTCGGCAAGGTTCACTGCGGCTCAGCCGTACACCTTGTGAAGGTCTTGGCGTGTGGGCAGTAGAGGTAACAACTAGCAACTCTGCCCCTTCTTGGCACAGTGTTGATGTTATCCCTCTTGTTAGCGAATTGTCTGCTGTTACACCCAGTTTTCAGTATAACCAGGCATTCATCTTGCCATTGTATACTGAGGGCAACAGCAGTAAATGTCAAGCTTGAGTCAGTTTCTCCCAAGCATTTCCTGTTGTTGGTTAGTTCTGAACCTTTGTTCTGTGACCAGGTTTGCGAGTAAAAAGTTGTGAGGGCATAGTTGCTTTGAGTTGTATTGTTCAACACTTATTAATGTGTAAGAAAAGCCTATTGAATGGTGGGACTTAGTTTCGAGTATCATGTTTAGGAATTCATTGCAGTGTTAATTAAGGAAGGGGCTGAGGTTAACCCTGGCTTTGATAATAGGAGCAGGATGTTCCCTGAGTGCTGGAATTGGGGGGTGATCACTTGATTCCTCACTTGGCTCTCTTCCGTCAATCACTTTAGCTCTCTAGTTCTGTGAAAAACCGTTCTTAAGAGGAATGCTGCCGGGTTTAGCTGGAACATCTGTAACTGCTTCCTTTCTCCCTCTTCAGTGTAAGGAAGCAAGTAGTGAACATCCCTTCCTTCATCGTCCGCCTGGACTCCCAAAAGCATATTGACTTCTCCCTCCGCTCACCATATGGTGGTGGCCGCCCAGGTCGCGTCAAGAGGAAGAATGCCAAGAAGGGCCAGGGTGGTGCTGGAGGCGGTGATGATGAGGAAGAAGATTAAGCTGTGGGGTGCCCCCCCTCCACACATGCTGGTGGGGGATCAAGCCGGCCTTAACTGTAACATTATACAATAAAAAATATTTGTGGATAAAATATTGTAGCCCTTCTGGTGTCGGGGGTGCATCTCGAAAATACCTGATAATACCTGCAACAAGTGATCTTGCATGGGGCGCTCTGTTCAGATGAGAAGCCTGCATAGGAAGGAGCAGCAGCCAATTGTTGGTTGGGAATGGGGCTAGTAGTGGAGTGTGGCTGAGGAGGGTGCAGTGCATTTCAGGCCAATACTGTACTCTTAACATATACATGCCTCGTTTCCATCTATGAAATGGTTAACTCCATTGCACACAGAAGGGTCCAAAAATAAGCAGTAATTGTTTTTTGTCTTCCACCAACCCCCTCCCCCTTGCCTTGGAAAGTCGAAACTGAAATCTAGAGAGGCCATTCCCAATGGCCTCCTGGGTCATTCATTCCCTGGACCCATAATACTATACTTCCCCTTGTTTTTCTGTACACTCTCAAAGGGGATTATTCCTGGAATTAGCATGCATATATGTATAGCTAAATTGCAACCCTTATCTCCAGTAGATGGAAATGATCGCTGCTGAAAATAGCATAAAGGTGAGCGATGAGTAAAGAAATTGGCAGGAAACAAGTTGGGATCTTTCCCGGAGGCATCTACCGGAACAGATGGCAGGTGGAAAAATGAGAGATTTGGGGTCCGGGAGCAGAATTGAGCGCTTTGGGTGCCAACTTTGCATGCACCTCCCATGTGTGCGGTGTCTCATTCCTTTCAAGGAGACTTCCAAGCAAACAGAAGTTGAAGTTAAATTAGCCTTCAAGTTTTATCAGAGCAGCTTGAAGCTCTGGGTCACCTCGCCTTGGAGACAAATTGGCAGGGACTCCCAGAGTTTCCAGTAAGAGATCTGGCTTGCCAACAAGAAATGCAGAATCTACAACCCACGAATAAGATTGAAATCAGGCAACCCATGACTGCAGTTGATTTAAATGGGGGCAGGGTGGCTCGAGTTAACGTTTGGGTAAACTGGAACAGCACAGGATACAAAAATTAACTTCAATTATTAATTGGTCAGGTACAGTTTTAGACAAAGGTAGCTTAAGATTTTGTTGTTGTTTTAAAGCTTTAACACATCTGGTATAGCAGGTTGTTCCTGCTGGTTTGTACAGGGTTTGAGTGCATGGCAAGTGTTGAGCATATATGCTCACTGGTGTAGCCTAGTCCCTAGTAATGAACTAGAAGCCACTCCTTTCTTTAAAGACTGCTGCAGATCTGTGGCCCCCTCTGCTCTTCCAAGCTCCCCAATGACATGGCCTTTGCACACACCAGGCTGTTTATGAAAACATTCACAAGCTAAAGAGTCGCCAGATGCAGCATCAGATTAGCTGAGCTTGTACTTTCTTTTTGCCTCAAAACGTCTTTTTCTCAACAACTAGTTTCCTGTGTCAACATTCTCGAGGCCTGTCAAGTTACAGTAATGACCTGCCCTTAGGGCAGTGACTGGAAAGATTTGTGTCACGTGTAGAAAAATGGGATGTGGTGGTGGTCAAACATGAAAAGCGAGTGGGAGAAGGCTCTGGTGCGGAGAGAAGGATGCCTTTGCAACAGAACACCAGTCTGATCTGTACAAAGAATGCCTTTTCCTTGGTCATGGAATACCCACATCCTTCCCCATACACTATGGGAAGCAAGGGCTTCTCATTTGTAGCATAGTGCACAATTTCTAGCTAAACGTTTTAAGAACCTTGGCTTGTGGCACATTAAAACAGATACGGGGAACTTTTATCCCTTCAGATGTTGCTGAACTGCAACTCTCATCAGCCCAACAAGCATGAGAAGTGGTCAGGGATGAGGAGGCTTTTAGTTCAACATCTGAAGGAACGGAGGTTGCTCACACCTAGAATACTGCAGGTTTATTCTGACAAATTACGTACTACACTTCTGATTGTTGCTAGATTTACTGCATCTACCCCTCATTTAACACTGAGCAGTGCATCTCCTAGTGACTTTCCGGTGAAGAAGAGAACTGAGGTGATAGGGCAACTCTTACCTGTTCTAGGGCAACAGTTACATCTTAGGCCATGGAGATTACAAGTGTGAACCTGCAAGGATTCAACTCCTCCTGAGAGCAGGAGTTCTTTATACCTTTCTCTGAATGTGCTTTTGAGATGGGGGCTTGTCTTACAAGCCCACCCAGGTCTTGGAATAGGCAGCTTTTTTCCTTTTCTCTGCTTCTGGTGATACTTGACATCTTGAGAGCATCAGAATGAATTTGAAGGCTTTTGATGAATGAAGACATGGCTGGCCCCAGTATACCAGTTGGTTTATTCCACAAAGATAATGATAAACAGGCGCCCCCAGCAATACACTGTGCAGACAGGCCTGCTTATGTACTGTACAAGGAATGTTAGGAAGGAAACGAGCCTTTCAGGTGCACAGCGAGTTCAAGAGTCCCTGCGGTACTGGCAGCCCCTGCAGCTGAGCCCTGGCATCGCCTCTGCCCCTCATACTGGCACGCACTGCCCGGCGACTCAGCTCTTGCAAGGTGGGCACTTTGCAGCAGAGAGGATGGGCGAGGGCCAAAGGCACTGGGGGCTGCCCCTCCCTCTCCAGGTAGCAAGGCCCCCCTTCTACTGCTCCCAGGCACAGATAGTGCTCTACTAGCCGGACCACACAGTGGAAGGCCGGGGGGTGGCCAGCGCCTGGCAAGGCCTCCAGGTGGAAAGCTGAGCCCTGCTGCTGGATGCGCAGGTTGGTGATGCCCGTGTTGGTGCGGACGCTCAGGGTGAAGAGGTGGTGGTGGTCGGAGGAATCTCGCACGAGGAAGACGCCTGGCGGCTGGGAGGTCAAAAGGCGCTTGGCTTCAGCCCCAGACAGGCTGCCCCAGTAGAAGCCACTGGCCTCGAGGCGTTCCAGGGCGCTTTCCACCCGCTCAAACTCCCCACAGAAACTCTTGAAGTGGTAGGAGGTTGTGGCCATGCCCGTCATGGCCGCCGCAGCTGGAGCAGGTGCTGGCGGGCAGCACCAGCACAGGGGGACCATTGCGCCTCCAGTTGGCCGGGAGAGACGCTCAGTCGGTTACCGGAGCAGCATCTGAAAAGGAAGGCAGAGACAGTTTATGCAGAAGGAACCTGCTGGCTTTCAAACTCCAGCTGAAAGGTGCGGGTCTCTCCCCTGGACTCACGTCTTCTTTGCTCGAGACAAGGCATAAAAGCAGAACCAAGAAACTTGGGAAATAGGTCTATTTCAATATGCGCATAAATGGAGACACGCTAACTAAAAATGCTTCATATTATTCCTGTGCATTTGCTGTCAAAGATCTCAGAGCAGCACGACTGAACAAAGCAGGTTTAGCAAAGTTTGTTTGAAAAGTAGCTTTGACATTTTATCCAAAGCAGAGCTTTTTTTGGTTTGAGAGCCACATTCACCCCTGGCCAAAAACTTCCAGGTATTGTCCATCAGTGGTGTGTGTGGCCACCTCACACACTTGCAGACACACAACTCCATGCAGATCAGCTGAGATGGGAGGTTGTGGCCACCAGATCCATCTGCCAACTGGGCAGGAGGTGGTTTGCAACCTAACCAGGGCACTGGTTCTCTCTGCCCACTCTAGTGCTGTACCTAATTTTTATTTTTTTGCCACTTCATCAAAATTGGTAAGGCCTTGGGGGGTGGGGGCAGAAAAAAACCTCTTTGGCTGACCAGATCAAACCAAGGATATTGTGTTGACATTCCAGTGCGCCAAGCTTGTCAGAGCACTTGGCTTCACAGCTTTCGACTTCTTGCAGGAAGCCTTAGCTATGTTGTCCAGTGTTTGCTGGCTATGATTGAGCAAACTCAGCTCTTGCACAAACCTTTGCTACTAGTAGGGAATCATTCATGAAAGTTATACCCAGAAGAACAAAGGCAAATTTGGGTGCCCAGATATCAAAGCAGGGAGGACATATTAGGATCCTGAGTGATATCCAATTAGTCATACAGGGAATACACCCATTACAATCAATGACTTGTATCCAGCTAAGTTCTACTCAGAGGAGATATGATAATCATCTTCAAATATCTAAAGGGCTGTTAACATGGAAGATGGAGCAAACTTGTTTACTCCCGCTCCAGAGATTAGGACTGGAACCAGTGGATTCAAGTGACGAGAAAGGAGATCCTGACTCTACAGGAAGAACTTTCTAACACCAAACATTGTTCAACAGTGGAACAGACTCCCTTGTATTGGAAGGTGGCAGACACTCCTTGGAGGTTTTTACATGGAGGCTGGGTGGATGCTTTAGCAGATATTCCTGCATTGCAGAGATGATCTTTGGGGTCCCTTCCAACTCTACAATGCCATCATTCTAAGAAGCAATGATATTTCCCCCACTGTATCATAGCCCAGGGGATTGTATATCCAAAACAGGCTGCAGGGACGAAGCGTTGAGAAGATGCTCTTGTAGGAACATATTATCTGCAGTGTACGGTGGTACTCTCCCTTCCACTGCCTCACCCCTCTCCCACCTTGTTCTGCTGACACATCTCCAAAGCTTTTCCTGTTACTAAACTGGACAGAAGCATAGAAGACTGTTTGATTTCGCAGCAGATCTGGTTGTGTGATTACTTGGAACTAATGGCTGTAGCTCAAACATAGAGGTGGATGAGCTGTGTTGCTCTCCTTGGGTGCCAAGCTGAAGAAGGGGTGTGTGTGTGTGCTGTTGTCCAGCTAAGTTCAGAGTTTGTTGACTGTTCTGGCTACACTGCTGGGGCAAAATCATTGACAGGTAGCTCCGGGATCTTTTCATGAGCATTTTTGGGAATGCCTGGGAGCAACAAGGGCATGTTATACCTTCGGGTTTTGCAACTTTGCACAAGCTGCATAACTTGGCAACTCTACAAAACCAGCCACAAAGGGGAGTGCTGCAGGCATCCCTCACCCCAGGGTGCTATTTATCCTAGAACCAGGCCTGCTTAAATGCAATCAGACCTGGAAGAGTTGGGTTCAAATCCCTCTTCTGACATCACATCTAACAGCATACATTTAAAGCACATTTACAGCCGTTCAACAGGTGGCTTCCCCCAAAGTCCCCAGGATTCTTTGGGGAAGGCAGGTGCTTTAAATGTGCTGAAGATTTAATGATATGGATATGACTGGTCATAAAACGATTTTGTAAGAGGCACGTAAAGGTAAAGGTAAAGGGACCCCTGACCATTAGGTCCATTTGTGGCTAACTCTGGGGTTGCGGCGCTCATCTTGCTTTACTGGCTGAGGGAGCCGGCATACAGCTTCCGAGTCATGTGGCCAGCAGGACTAAGCCGCTTCTGGCGAACCAGAGCAGCGCACGGAAACACCGTTTACCTTCCCGCCGGAGCAGTACCTATTTATCTACTTGCACTTCGATGTGCTTTTGAACTGCTAGGTAGGCAGGAGCTGGGACCGAGCAATGGGAGTTCACCCCGTCGCGGGGATTCGAACTGCCGACCTTCCAATCGGCAAGTCCTAGGCTCTGTGGTTTAACCCACAGTGCCACCCGCTTCTATGGTAGTCAAAACAGCATACTGGTCCTTGATGGATGGAAAACTCTCCTTCCTTTGGAATGCAACACTCACCAGAGTTTGGGGTGGAGATAGGGAGCCATACAAGGAATCTCACAGAGAGCTGGCAATGAAGTCTTGGGGTGGGCTGTAACGGTTCACTTAGTACCACCTTGAGAGTCTACTACCCAAAATAGCACTTGCGGGGCCTGGTAAATATAAGCCTGTTTGCTCCCAAAATGTTTTTGTCTTTTTATAAGTAAACACCTGCTGCAAAGCCTTTGTAACTGATATTTCATTAAAAGGAACCATACCCTGCAACTTCCTACTTCGTGGGAAAGAGGAAGCAAAGACCCTTTTTTGTCACTTTGGAAAGGAATCACTGTTATGTTCATTGCACATTCTCAAGTAATTTGAACTGTCCAGCTGTCTAGGATTTCCCACGGATTTGCAAACTGCACACATTAAGAACCCCAGAGTTGTTGCCCATCTCAGAACAATATATGCTGGTGCCCTCTAGGTGTGAACCTCCTGATAGTCTCCTATAATAAGGACTCAAAGCCTACTCAAGTGTGGCTTAGACCAGGGTTGCCATATTTTTGCTTCCCCTCTGGTAGGCGTCATATACCTCTGCCAGCTGTGTGTGGGGAGAAATTCAACAGGTAATGCTTTTCCTTGAGAGAGCTGTAGCGATAGGGAAACTTCACCCGATGTGTATCTGCTTGTGAGCATAAAAAGCAACGACGAGGTCTGAACCCCCGTTTTAGAGCTAATATCCAGGCTCCGCCTGGTAAAGCCTCCTCAGGGCTGTACCACTGGAAGCTGAAGGCTGCACATTTGACAAGTTTCCCCACACCAAAACATCCCTGCATACAGAAATCAAGAACCATTCCCCCAACATACTAGCTTCTATGGGCAGAGTGCAAGAGAAAACACTCCATCGTTCAATTCCTCCTGCCTCGATACTGAAGTGGTACAGCCCCAAGAACACATCAGGCTGCAGTGACCATTCTGCTGCTGGACACCATCTTGGAAGATCTTATCATCCCACTGTAGCTGCTTCCCAAGACCCTCTGAAAAAGTTAGGGGGAGGAGACTAACTGGGATGGGTGTGGTTAACTTGTTTTGGGGGGGGCGGGAGGGAAGCTATGCTATGCCAGTGTTTACAAAGAACCTCTGCCAGAAAAGTGCTTTTGGAAGCCTTCATTCCCACAGCAGAATCGACGTGGCGAATGCTACTCCAGAAAAATTAAACTATATATGGAATTTCTTCTTATTTTTTAAAGGAGGCATCTGTGAATAATACTGAGAGGGAGGGTGGGGATTTATATTACATTAGAGCACAGTTCTGTTGTTCAGATACACGGGCTTGGATGTGGCAGCAGGATTCTAGTACAGTACAGTACCCTGTTCCCCAATCTCTCCTGAAAAAAAATTGAGTTGAGCGGTGCTTTCTGCACCTATCATTTTTCAGGCAGAAATCACTCCCCCCCCCCAAAGCACCCTGTACAGGCTGGCAGGGCTGTGATGAGGTTCTGATGCAGAAATAAAACCCCCACACCCACACGCAAACATTGGGAATTTGGTAATTCCCAAACTGTAGAGTTGATAGAGGTGGGCCCATGAGGTACGGGGATTCAAACCTTTTTCTAATGCCCCCTAGTGTTTGAAGCCAGGTAATGAATTCAAGGGAAATTGAATGCATGCGTGTGAGAGAGCTCTAGGTTACTGTGTAGGATAATCACCTGGGGAAATAAATTAATTTAAGACTACTTTATCTAGAGTTGATTTGGGCAAAAAGAATTGATTTGGAGAAGGGCCTGTGAGAAATCAATGGGGATAAATGAATCTGAAGAGGAACTGAGTAGAGGCAACCTCTGCTCCAAATTAACTGAAAAATTTATCTGGGATGATTTGAGTGAGAAATCTGTGGGTGGTTTTTTTGTTTTTAAGGGGGGAGGGCTGTCAGCTTAGTGGTTGCAGCACCCGCAGAGAGTCTCAGATTCAATCCCTAGAGATGTTCCCATCTCTACATATACATTAGCACATGGAAACGTTATGCTAATGTTTGCCTTTGTGTCCAGGCCTTGAAACGGTTAAGTTACCCATCAATGTCCCTGCCAACTTGGGTGCCACAAGCAAACAGTGGCTGCCATGGGGCAAGTCTTTGTGCCAGAGGTCCAGCTGTCTCCCTCGGCAGCAGGAACAGGGGGTGAAAGGCTTGCCACATTCTGAAGAAAGGGAAGCAAAACACATGACCGCCTAAAGTGGGGCAGGCTGTGAGCCCATTAGTGTCCAGAGTCTAAAATTACCTAAGCGCAACAAACACTATGAAGAAACTGCAAGCCCTGCCATTAGGAAACTGGGGAAGGGGACATTGGCTCAGTGGGTGAAGCATAAGCTTTGGATTGAGATGGTCCCAGGGTCAACTCCTGGACCCCCACTTAAAAACATCAGGTAGCAGGTGATGGGAAAGGCAGTAGGTAGATCTACATCCTGGATGGATCAGCAGCCTGACCAGGCATAGGTCAGTTTCCTATGGGTTTTTTTCCCCTCATAAAAAAAGAAAGTAAATGATTGACTGTTTCTGTGAGCCTGAAGTACCCATCCACAACAAGGCTGCCTCTCTCAGTGAGTCACTGCTATAGCTTTCCAGTCTTTGCTGGAGGAGAGGAACCATGCTTGGATCAGCTGTGCTAGCAGCTTCCAGTCTTACAAGAGCTGCTGTCAGATGTCAGATGGGTGTTGCCTGTCATATCTCTGTGTGAGTCGGGGCTCTGGGTTTTCCTTCTGCCTTGGGTGCAGTTGGACAATTCACTCCCGGGGGGGGGGGGGAGCTGCAGAATGGTCCCCTGGAGGAGGTTACCTGTTGAATCTCTGCATGGGTTTAAATCGAGTCCTTGATGGTTAACCATAAACAAGAGGCACATAGGAACATTCTTGACACCGGTGATCTTCTAAGGCAGTTTTACTCCGAGTCCCACACACCTTTTCCTCTATACGTAAGGAAGAGTCTCCTCAACAGCGGCATCGCAGTGGCAGAACACGCTGCCAAGCTGGCCACACCTCACTGCCTTTCTTTCTCTCTTTCTTTCTCTCTTGTTAGCAAAACTTTTTTGCAATCGTTTTGGACTTGAAGGCTTTAGAAAAGGGGATCACATTTAAAAGGGAAGGCTTAAGCATGGGCATAAGTTTTCCACTTAAATAAACAGGACTTAAATATGCACATCTTGGGTTGGACTGTAGGAACATAGTAAAAAGCCTTAAACACAGTCAGACAATTAGTTCGTCTAGTTCAGTCTTAGCACCATTAGCAGTGGTTTTCCAGGGTTTCAGACACGGAACCTGCCCAGCCGCACCTGAACCAGGGAACCTTTTACAATGCAAAGTAGATGCTCTTCCTCTGAGTTGCAGCCTTCACCCCAAAAGGCCCCTCCTTTTCTCGCTGCTCTTAATTACATGTTATTGTCTCCTTCATTTTTAAAGCAGCAACAATGCCTTCAGGATGGTTTACGGAAAGGCAATCAATACCTATTTTGATGGTGGTGATAACAAATAACGATGATGTTGATGATTACTAGGGATAGAAATCCCCAAAATAGCAAAGAAACACTGTTCATCTTTACAAGGGGAATATGTGGAAATAAGCTGGGGCTTCCAAGCAAGGTTTTGCTATGGTTCGAAAACCAACTCCTAAATAAATTTTCTGTTGGGTTAGCTGAATTTAAAAATCCACTTTTTCCACTTCCCTCCCAATACTCCCAGTTGTGCAATCCCACTAGGTTTTTTTAAGGCGTGTGCGGTGGAAATGGAAAAGTCCTGAATGTAGCAAGCTGGCTGTGCATATTGTTTTGTTTTAATTACAACAGCCACAAAGATAGAACATTAATGTCCTCCAGAAGTCAGCTCTCAAAAGCAAAATATTAAATGTTTTGGAAGTTTGCATTTTCTTTGATTATTTTTTTTTATCAGATTTCCAGTTTGTACAGATTCTAGTCCTTGTTTACCCCTCCCCCCAACCAACCTAAACCACCGTGCTGCTTTGCCTATAATCTGGATTCCCCTTATTTCCCTAAATAATTAATAACCGTCATAATAATTAATCCTTTATGACGAGGAAACAAAATTAAACTTGGAGAAAGTTATTTCTCCTAGGCTGACTAGCACCCGACATGAAAACCACCACAATAGCGCAGGAGCCAAAGTTACCAGGCACTGACTACTCCTCGCTTCCAGCTCTGGGCGGGCTGGTCCTGTCTCCTCGTCGTCTTCTCCCCACCTTTGCAATCTCAGCCCTGTCCCCCACTTCTGGCATCAACAATATAAATCAGGGAGTGGGATGGGGGTTATTATTGCTCTCGCCGTCGTCGTTATTTTCAACTCACTTACCTTTGGCGGCGTGAAAGCAGCGAGGTGCCTGTGTGTGTCTCTCCAAGAGTGGAAGAAAAGAGAGGGAGGGAGGAAACGGGTGGGGTGGGGAGGGGGATCAAAATTTAAAAATGCTCTCCCCTTCGCGGGATCCTCTGCCGAAACCGAGCCCAGTCCGATCGCCTGCCTTTGCCATACTTGCAACGCCGGCGAGGGGGGCGGGTTGTGGTCGGGAGGGGAAAGCGGTGCGCCGAGTCTGCGAACGCCCCGCGCGCCTGGGGCGCACCGGATGGGAGGCTTGTTCCCAGGCTGGGCCAATTAATCTCTCTCTCCCCCCCGCATCCCCCGCACACACACACACCGGATACCTCCCGGATTAGGACTACTCAAGAGGAGTCGAAAGTGGTGGAAGTTGCTCGGGGCGGAGGAGGAGGAGGAGGGGGGAGGAGTGTGCGCGCAGAAAGGCCGACCGATCCGTTTCCTCTCGCCAAGAATCGCAGCGTCTTTCTGGTTTCCTGGAAGTGCGTGTGAATGTGCGCGCGCGTTTCTGAAGCGCTTTTCCCGTTAGCGGAGTAAAGCGGGGCTGGTCGGCGGTGGGAGGAGGAGGAGGAGGAGGAGGAAGAGAGCGAGAGCCGGTGAACTCGCATCTCATGTCAGCGTGTGGCTGCTGCTGGCTGCATCGTGCTGGGAGCTGGAGGGACGGAGAAGGGCGGGAAAGAGCTACAAGAATAATATTTGAGCTGCTCCGGTTCCAAGGGGAGCTTGTATATTTCACGGGGAAACTGACACGCTGGGGGAAAGAGAGGCATGGATTCCTGGTGCCTGTGTGTGGCTGGGGTGGAGTGTGGCAAGAGTATTTATTTTTATGAATGGTCAGAACTTTCATTGGCCGCCGGAGGTGGCTGGCAGGCTCCTGATTGGCAGGAAGTGGCTGTGTAAACCCCGCTAGGCTCCCTCCCCCTCGCCCTCGCCCTCCCCCTCCTGCCTTTTTTTTTTTTCCTGGGTGATTCCTGGAAGTGTGGAGGGGACTGTTGGTAAGGAGGAGGGGAAAGCGAGCTGGTCCCCGCCTATCCCTGCTGCAGAAGAGGGAAGAGAGGTTGGGTAAGGTGATCCAGGGGCTTGCAGGGAGATCCCGCGGGCCGAAAAGCAAAAAAACAACAGCCACGCGAGACCCGGTTAACCCCCTCGCGGCCGGGAGTCCCAAGAGACGAAGCGGGAAAACCTTCCCCCAAGTGGCCCGTGGCGGCTCCCACTCCAGCCGCCCGCCCGCCGCCTTCACTTTACGCATGAGGTTGCCCTCTGCACATGGGCAGTTTGCACTGACGCGCGTGCACGGAGCAGGAGTTTTTGTGCGTGCGCTCCTATTAGGCGGTGTAGGTAGAGCGTCTTGTGCGCGGAATATGGAGAGGAACATCCAATGAGAGCCGGTGTAGCGCAGCGGCTAAGCGACGGGACCGCGGGCCACCAAGTACCCGGTTCGAATCTCGGCTCTACCGTGAGCTAACCGCTAGGCGCTCTTACCCAGGCACTGACTTCCACCCGCCCCCATCGCTCCCTGTAAAATAGAGGCCGAGGCCGTGAACTCAGAGAGGAGAGATGGTAATAATACTGACTTGGCTAACAGAGTTGTTAAAGGGGTTAGAACTGCTTGACGCACGGAGAAACGCTCTGAACACTTGGAAGTGCTATAGATAGTATTTTACTGCTGAATATCAGCACTGGTTTTGCTTTCTGAGTTCGTAGGCTGGTTGTCTCTTAAGTTTATTGCAGTTTTCTAGGGATTTTTAATGAAGCATCTCATAAATATAATAAGCAATACAAATGTGTTATTGTTATTGCTACTTACTACTACTACTGCTACTACTACGGGGAGCTGGTGGTGCTGTGGTCTAAGCCACTGAGCCTCTTGGGCTTGCTGATCAGGAGGTCAGTGGTTCGAATCCACTGGATGGGGTGAGCGCCTGTTGCTCTGTCCCGGCTCCTGCCAACCTAGCAGCTTGAAAGCACGCCTGTGCAAGTAGATAAATGGGTACTGCTGTGGCGGGAAGGGAAACAGTGTTTCTGTGCTCTCTGGCACTTGTCATCGTGTCCCGTTGTGCCAGAAGCAGTTTAGTCATGCTGGCCACATGACCTGGAAAGCTGTCTGTGAACAAACGCTGGCTCTCTTGGCCTGAAAGCACAACCCCATAGTCACCTTTGACTGGACTTAACCGTCCGGGGGTCCTTTACCTACTACTACTTTTACAGTGTGGTGTTCTGGGAAGAGCATGGAATGAGGACCTGGGTTCATATTCCTGTTGGAGATGAACATAAATGGTACTTTACAGTGTGGTGATCTGGTGATTCGTTAAGACTGGGGAGTCCAGGGTGCAAATTCAAGCTCAGCTGCAATGATGGCTGGCTAGGTAACATTGGGCCAGTTGCTGTTTCTCAACCCAACCTACCTCACAGGGTTCATGTGAGGATAAATCTGCTGGCCCTCATTTGCCCCTAAAGCTCCATGTACATTACACATACATTTTTTGTTATAACCTGCAGATACAGTCGTACCTCAGTTCTCGAACAGAATCCATTCTGAAAGTCCCTTCGACTTCCGAAAATGTTCGAAAACCAAGGCACGGCTTCCGATTGGCTGCAGGAGCTTCCTGCACTCAATCAGAAGTCGCGCCAGACATTCAACTTCCAAAGAACATTCGCAAACTGGAACACTTACTTCCGGGTTTGCAGCGTTCGGGAGCGAAAACATACCTGTACCAAGGCGTTTGACAACCAAGGTATGACTGTATTGTGTTCCTTTATCTGCCTAACATCTAGGCTGATGAAAGGGTTCGGAAAATGCTCCAAAGCTTGCTCACTATGCAGCAACATTATGTTTGATCCTGTGGATTTTGGATATAGGATTATAGTGCTGCAAGTCTTACACATATGGTGGTGGACTTGGGCCAGGGAGATACCTGGGCTGGAATGAGCCTTGGAGATCATCCTTAGTTTAGTTGCTGGTTTTGAGCCTAATTTAGGAAACTCCGTGGCTGAGCTCATGCATTCCATTTAGAAGGTCCCAGGTTCAACTCCTGGCATCTCCAGGTACAGCTGGAAGAGACCTGTGTTCGAAACCTTGGGCACCCACTGCCAGCCAGTGTACTTGGGCTAGGTGGGTCAACTCTATACAAGCCAGTTTCTTCTGTTCTTCGTAACTTACCTTGTAGGGCTGTTGTGATGTAGAAGCAACGGTCCCATGTCTGCCACCTTGACCCTGATTTTACAGAACCATTGTAACACCAGTACCAAGTATACACATTTTGGGCAGGTGCAGACATGCAGGTGTATACCTTCCCATATGTATAGGTGGACGCGTGTGCAAAATTGGCATGTGCAGGGAGCTTGTGGATTTGCCCTGGAGTGTGTGCATAGCGCTGTATTCCGATGCACGTTTACTTGCTTCTGAGTAGACGTGCATAAATCTGTGCTGTCTTGTATCCATTTATTCGTGTGTGTCTCTTTGGGTGGATCATTCCTTAAGGGTAAATACTGCGAATGCATACCTATGGTTTGGCTGTGCATATTATTGCAATGTAAGGTGTACGTATGTGTGTGTGTCCCCTTGGTGTGTGCACATGCATTAAAATGCATTCATATATGATACCCAATGTGGGTGTGTATATTTCTCTCCCTATATCTGACACATGAGGAGCATGCAAACAAATATGATTATGTGCATCAGTACAGTGTCTGTGTACATTTTTTGTGGGGAGTGTACACGGTTTGCACACATGGTGTTATATGTACATATCCTGGTTTGAATGTATAGTGCGATGGCGTCCTGGCGAGTGCTTATGGAGCACGTGGTGTCTGTATGGGCAATGTTACCCATGCGCAGATGTGTTTATATGTAGGTGTGCATGCAGTGCTGAATGAGTCTGCAAAAAGTGGCATGCTTGACGTATAATGATCATTTTTACATCCTTCGTCGTTTGCAAATCCCTCTTAATGGTTACAGCGACTGGCACTCTCCCTTCTTTTCACAGTAGCTCCCAGAAGTGTGAGCTTAATGAGTATACACATTGCATCAGGGATGCAGAATAGGTGCTGGTTGCTGCTGCAACATCTCTTGTCCATCCCCGATCAGTTGTGTGTGCAGTAGAAAACAATGGAGTCAGTACATCCAATATCAATAGCTGGGGGCAGGGAAGAGTGGGGTGTGTGTGGAGAGATGTATCTCTATTTTACAGCAATCCAGTACACACACACACACACACACACACACACACATCTCAAGGCACCCGCCCCAATGGAGCCACGGAGCCAGCCGCGACTCGCCACTCCCCCTTGGTGAGAGAGCCTCGGCATCCTGACACAGCAGCGCTCTGGACCCCTCGCTCCCTGGCCAGAGAACCCAGGCGTCCTGGCCCTGCGCTCTCTCCCTCTCTTCCCTGCTCTTCCTGGCTTGGGTGGTGTTTATGAGCTAATCATGCGCAGTCAGGGCCGTTAGCTGTTCCTGGCAGGTCTGAAGTTGCCGGTAAAGGCACCGCTTTCCTAGCAGTGATTAGGGGGAAGCGAGTGCGTGATGGAATGCTAAACAGCAATAACCACACGCGGAGGCAGCGGCGGCAGGAGCAGCAACGCTCCCTGGGGCTTTTGGGGAGAGTGGAGCAAAGGGAGGGTCGCGGGTGGGGAGGAACGCCAGGCAGAGGGTGGCCGGAGAGCTCGCACGCCCCCCCCCCAACACACCCCGTTTTAAGGCTGCATCGGATGAGATTGAAGCCTTTGCCCCAGAATCATTTTTTTTCCACTGCAAGGGCTCGTCTGTATAATATGTGAAGCCAAGAGGGTGCTTCTGAGCATGTGCAGAACGCTTTACTACTGATTCTTCGTGCATCTAAGAAGGGAACGACAGCTGGGGCGGTGGGTGAGATTTAACCCCGGACACATCTGATACCAGAACCTTGGGGTGAAGAGTGGAATGATGATGATGATGATGATGATGATGATGATGAATGCCTCATCTATCCAGCCAGCGCTTAATCTGAAAATATTTGAAATCATTCCCGACCCCACACCCGCTGCCATACCTTCACACCCTAGGGATATTTGAAGAAGAAAGAGTGCCTCTGAGGTCATGCCGAGTGCTTCCCTTTACCGTAGGAGAGGAAGCAGGTCACAGAATTTAAGCCCCTGCACTTTCCTTTCTATCCTTTTCGAGAGTAGGGGCGGCATTCCGTTTTGATCCAATCCTTCCTCCAGGGAGCTCAGACAGAACACTTAGAAACCACCAGCCTCCATTTAATCCTCGCAGCAACCCTGCGAGGTGGGTTAGGCTGAGGAGACTGACTGTCCCAAAGTCACCGGGCAAGCCATGAGCCCCAGAAGGGATGGGACCCGGGCCGCCCCAGCCCAGCGCTCTAACCAGGAATGATGCAGGCAATCACTGTCCAAAGTAACACGTTTGTCTGATGTGATGGAGTAACACACACACACACACACACACACACACACACACACGATGCCGACTGTTGGGGGGCTTGCGATCAAGGAGACCCTACCACGTCCTTCCACAGCTGGCACACTATGATGATGATGGAGGAGAACACAAAGACATCATTTTAAACTATTATTTCATCTAACTCTTGTTATTTTTCGGTCAATTCCGAAAGTATAATGTACCACAAGCTGAAGTGCTGCTTAAAACATTGATGGAGTGTGTGTGTTGTTGTTGTTGTTTTTGTTTCACGAAGCATTGCTTGTTAAATAGTTAAGCATTTTTATTTTATTTTTTTAAAAAGGGAGCTGCAAGCAATCTGATCTCCTTCCGTCTACATGCGCATGGATACGAGACATCCAGGCAGATAGACAATGCTGCCCCCGGCTGGAGCATACAGGAAGTGCAGATGAGATGAGAGCCGGAGGGCGGGGAGGCCATCTCAAGAGTACGGCGGCTGTTGCTATGAGGATCCCAAGCCGTGACAAGTGCGAAACGTCATTTGCAAAAGGAGGTATCTTTCCTTGACCTAGTTTCTCTCGCAGGAAAAGTAAGGGTGTCTTCAAAGAAAGGAAGAGAGGCTGGGTGGCAGATGGTGAGGTTGCTGGGCTTGTAGGATGACTGAGGCATTTGAGCTTCTTGGCTGGAACAGAGAATCATAGAATAATAGAGCTGGAAGGGGACCACCAAAGGCCATCTAGTCCAACCCCCCTGCAATGCAGGAATCTCAAATAAGCATCCATGACAGGTAGCCGTAGTGCCTGATAAAAGTCAGACTACGGGTCCATTTAGCTCAGTACTGACTGCACTGGCTGGCAGCAGCTCTCCAGGGTTTCAGGAATGTTTTTTTTTTCCCTTCCCACCTCAGGTCATGTAAAGGTAAAGGTCCAGTTGTGGCCGACTCTGGGGTTGCGGCGCTCATCTCGCTTTACTGGCCGAGGGAGCCGGCGTACAGCTTCCGGGTCATGTGGCCAGCATGACTAAGTCACTTCTGGCGAACCAAAGCAGCGCACAGAAACGCTGTTTACCTTACCTATTTATCTACTTGCACTTTGACGTGCTTTCGAACTGCTAGGTTGGCAGGAGCTGGGACAGAGCAAAGGGAGCTCACCCCATCGCGGGGATTCGAACCGCCGACCTTCTGGTCGGCAAGTCCTAGGCTCTGTGGTTTAACCCACAGTGCCACCCGCGTCCCTTTCAGGCATCTCCATGTAGGGAGATGCCAAAGAATTGAACACAGGAACTTTTGCATTCAAAGCAGGTGGTCAGCCACTGGACTGCAGCTGTCCGCCCCTAAAAATCTGGGACCACCACCCTTTATTTCTAATAGGAATATAAAAAGATGCTTTTCACTTGCTCAGAGCATTGGCCTTCTAGATTTTCCACTCCTATCTGCAGGTACCAGAGTTTGCACCTGGGAGCCTCTGCATACAAAGCAGAGGCTCTGAACTACTTTCTTTTGCTTTCTAAGGAAAAGCTTGTTGGCACCTGTCTGTCTCAAGAGACAATGGACTGTGCCTCCAGGGTGAAGCCAAACCTCTGTGTTAGCCGCACTGAAATGACCTCTCTGGGGTGCAAGCCTGGGCAGCGTGTAAGGAGTAAAAGCCTACAGCACCCAGTGGGATGCACTAGGAAGATCTCTAGGGCAAGCCCCACATACGGTAAATGAACTGAAAATGCAGGAGGGGAAAAAAGCATAATTTTGTCAAGTTCTTGTGCATTTCTCATTCATTTCCCTGAAGTCCTGTACAGGTGATCTTCCTGGCAGATGGTGGCTCCTGGGTCAGATCTGGCTGCGGTCCACTCTGCTCTCCTTAATGGTGCCTGAAACCCGACAGCCAGTCTGTACGTTTGAGTGCCACGTGTCAATAAAAAGCCGTTTTGCCTCCGTCAGGCTTCCCAGTACAAAACGCTGAGTTTGAATTGGCAATTTGGCAGGGATGATTTGGCAGGCCTGGCGATCAGGCATCACACAAAGGCAGCCTGTGAAACCTGGGAAGTTTTGTTACTGTTGTTCAACTGGCTATTCAGCTCACCTTCTTTGAGGGCATCCAGACAACTGGTACTTAACAGGCACCAGGTGTACCATCCCCCCCCCCCAAAAAAGATGTGTAGGAATACAAAAATATTTGCCCCTTCCAGAAAACTGAATAGGAAGATCTTAACAAAATAATACTACAAGCATGCTGCTGTTTTCATCTGTGGAGTGGTGGAAAGCAGTGATGCCTGGAGCCGCTTGGGCCAATTCCTAGAGTGGGGTAATAGGCAATCCCTCTTCACAGGAAAAAAAGGGACGTGGATGGCGCTTTGGGTTAAACCACAGAGCCTAGGACTTGCTGATCAGAAGGTCGGCGGTTCGAATCCCTGCGACAGGGTGAGCTCCCGTTGCTCGGTCCCTGCTCCTGCCAACCTAGCAGTTCGAAAGCATGTCAAGTGCAAGCAGATAAATAGGTACCGCTCTGGAGGGAAGGTAAACGGCGTTTCCGTGCGCTGCTCTGGTTCGCCAGAAGCGGCTTTGTCATGCTGGCCACATGACCTGGAAGCTGTACGCCGGCTCCCTCGGCCAATAAAGCGAGATGAGCGCCGCAACCCCAGAGTCGGTCATGACTGGACCTAATGGTCAGGGGTCCCTTTACCTTTACCTTCACAGGAAACTCTGGGAACAGTAGCTCTGCGAGTGGAATGTGGGTGTGGTGTCTCCTAACTTTTCTTAGTGTCCATAACAAACTACAGCTTCCAGGATTCTTTGAGGGAAGAATGATGGGTTAAAGCAGGGGTCAGCAAACTTTTTCAGCATGGGGCCAGTCCATTGTCCCTCAGACCTTGTGGGGGGCTGGATTATATTCTGAAAAGAAAAGAAAAAAGAACGAATTCCTATGCCCCACAAATAACCCAGAGATGCATTTTAAATAAAGGGCACATTCTACTCATGTAAAAACATGCTGATTCCTGGGCTGTCCACGGGCCAGATTTAGAAGGCGATTGGGCATGATCCAGCCCCCGGGCCTTAGTTTGCCTACCCATGGGTTAAAGTAATATAATGGTGCTTAAATAAATGTGGCTTAAGGAGGATGCTGGCAGCTAGGGCCACCCTCTGAGCTGGTTGCAAGTAAGAAAATGGGCTGAGTGCACACTGAAGTTGGTGAGGCAGCACTCCACTCACCCTAGTGGCCCAGCCTTAAATGTCGGAAAGGATGCTTACAGCCTGGAGCTGACAGAGACTCCCTTCTTCTCTTCTCCCATCCAAGTCAAAGAACCCCAAGAAGAGAGCATGGGGGTCCTACTGTAGCCTTATGAGGCTTTGCCCTCAGGTGGGAAAAATATTGCGCCTGGGAAAGGGAAGTGGGAGTCAACAGACACTTAAGGAATAGTTTCGGAGAAAAGGCTTTTATTTCTACCATCCATGAACTGGTAGAAGGAGCAAGTGTGATAAGTCACAAAAAGCATGCACGAGTTCACAATCATGTGCACAAGCATATATACCCCTTTCCAGTTCCCTCCCCCTTTCTCCTCCCTCAGGAGTTCCTCTGAGCATGAACAGAAAGCTGTCTTGGGACTATTGTGAACTCTTGGCACCCTTCCCAGGAAAGGGGGGGGGGTGAGAAGCCAAGGGGTTTTCAGCATGTTCAGATATGTTTCAATCTCTTGTTCTGGCATGGTTCCCGGACAGAAAGTAAGTTGCAATGTGGTTCTTTAGCAAGGCCAGAAGACATGAGAAAGGCCTGAGAAACAATGGACTTTTCTCTACCTTTGTTACAGCGGAGCGGAATGTTTCTGATGCTTAGCTGCTGAGAAAATGATTTTGAAAAGTTTTGAGAAGCTTTGAGCCTGCTTTGGTGGGGGGTGACTTCGGGCCTAGGTGAGGTCACCTGTCCTCACCTTCCTTCACTACCCATCAACAGTGAGCAGTCCCTGGAGAGCAGCTCAAGCAGGAGTACAGAAGGCCCCAGAGAGTCTGAAGAGGCAGCTGACAATGCCAGCAACTCACACTAACAGGGCCTTTTCAGCGGTAGCCCCCCCCCCCCCCCCGTTGTGGAATGCCCTCCCTCGTGAGGTGCATGCCTGCATCCATATTATTAAATAGCTGGAGGAATACGAAAACAAGCTTGTTTACTTGGTTCATTTGGTGGTTCAAGAATATTGTTCCTGGCAACTCTGTGATCGTTGGACAGAAGAATGCTATTTACTGTCATTGCATTCAGAATGTTTTCAGCTGTAACTGCTTTTAGATGTTTTTAACTGTGATTGTTTTTAGAATGCTTTAACTGTTTCAGAAACGCTCTCCCCCCAGGCTATTGCTTAATGTACAAAGGAATTTTGTGGTATATTGAACATTGGGGGAGCGTGTTTAGAATTATCCACTGCAGCTTTTCAGCTCTGCTACAGTTCTCAATCCAAACACTGAGGTGTGTATTTTCTCAGTCCTCGTGGATCATCTTTCTTCTGGATCATTCCGAGGGGAGTCTCTCCTAGGCTGCCCACACACCATGCACTAAAAGGAAATTGAAAGCATACATCCCACCTCCAAAGAATCCTGGGAGCTGTAGTTTTCCTATCACAGAGATACAGTTCCAAATATTCTTTTTGTTTCTGGGGGGGTGGGATATGTTTCTGATGGGGTATGTATGCAAGCCTAAAGTAATCAGTGAAGCTCTATGACATAACAGACGTCAGTCAAAAAGAGGCCCCCAGAACTGCAAATGCCCTTTGAGCTCCGTATAGCAGCGTATTGAATGCTGGCATCTGTTGCAGCCCCCTCTTCCTCCTCCTGGCCAGCTGCTCCACTGCCGCCTTCTCCACTCCCCACCCGCACCCCATTCCTGTTGGGGAACAAAGCGCCTTGAAAACAGCTCCCTCTCTCTAGCTTGGGGACAGCAATGGTGGGAGGGAGGGGAGGCGGTGGCGATTGCAGCAGCTGCCATCAGAGTTGTTGTGGTGGATTTCAGGAGCTCCCCGTGACAACCCTCTGCGCTACACCCCCAGAGAGAATCCAAAAATGTGTGCTGATCCATTATGTTGTTGTTGGCACCCGTCTGCCTCAAGAGACGATGGAGCGCACCTCCGGGGGTGAAGTCAAACTGCTATGTAAGCAGCACTAAAGTGAGCTCCTCGGGCCACAAGCCTGGGCAGTGTGCATGGAGGTCCTGGGCTGCCCAGACGACAAGACCTCTCTCTCAGCCTCGCTGATGTGGTCCAGAGGAAAGCAGAGCAATATGTCTGGCAACAGGAGTTGTCGCAAGGAGGCATAAAAGGTGCCATCCAACCGTGTTTGAGGGAGTCCACTCTGGATCTGTGTAGGGTTTACTCTTTTGCCTTTTCTTCTCCTGAAGATGTCCCACAATGCAGCAGAGGTTTATGACCAGAGTTTTCCTTCTCCTAGATGGGCTACTTTCCCAAATTGAGGAGCCCCATCTGCCCCTCACTTCTGCATGTGCAGAAACTGCCTTCTTGACCATCGGACCCACTATTGATCTCATCCGCTGACTCCATTGGAGCCTGTCTTCACACCAGAGGAAGTCCCCTCACATGGCTTAGCTAGCCAGTCAAAGACACTCCCAGGTGTGGCCTCTGTCACATTCTGGCAGCTCCTAGGAACCACAGGTGAGAGCACAGTGCAGGGTAGGGATGAAAGGACAAAGTGCCCCAGAAGGAGCATAACATGTCCCCCACCAGAGGTACTACTCCCCTTACACCTTACACCCCCCCGATCCCTTATAGCTATGTGTATATAATACCCACTATTACTGGGGTCCCCAATATGGACTCTGTGGCACCCTCAAGCGCCCCCTTGGGGCCTGCCAAGATCCCTTGCAGCTCCCAAATATATATTTTTTATCTTTTACCCGAAATGTTTGAACTTCTTTCTCTTTGAGCTGGATTGCTTGTTTCTCAGGGTGGTGACTTTACTATTTGTGTTTTATTTGTTTTATTTTGGAAAGGAGGTAGCTGTTTTCCTGGGGTTTTTTTTGAGGGGGAAGCACTAAGCACCAGCGGTTTTTCTTGTATGGAATAATGCGGTGACCATTGCATTTGCTTAGATTTCCAAGTGCAACCCTGGGGCCCTGTCTCCCTAGCAGACATCTGATGCAGAACCAACAGAAGGGCTTTGGCTTTGTGTGGCTTAAACCAGATGCCTCTACCTATGCTCAACCTGTAAACAAATGCAAATATTACAGAAACGTCAGTAAGCCTCCGCTCACCTCCTACCAAAGAAAACTGAATCTGCTTCATCCTGGAGCTCCTCACTGTTTGGTGGAAGTGGGTTGGGCAGAGCATAGCAGTATGATTACTGAAAACCTCACTACCCTACAAATGTCATGTCTGCCTTTGTGGCCTTGAGCAGAAGTCTCAGTTGCACCCCGTAGTGCACAACCAGAAGTCTTCCTGGATAAAGAAAGCCTTGCCCATCTCTTCCCTGCTGGCCACTCCCTGCCCCTGGATACCACAGCACCCACGATGGGAAACTGAGTGTGTATTGCTACCACCCACAAGGGGGTGTGTGGACAGCAGGGGCTGAAACCCTGGCTGGGGTTATGTAGCCTTACAGGGATTGCAAGGACTGCTGGTCCTTGGAATGAGCAGAGTGTGCATAACAAATGATAGCAGATGCGTTCCTTCCAAGTGCAGTGAGGACACATGGCCACCAGATGGCGAAGGGTGACTATTAGCAAGGCCTGGAATCCTAGAATCCTAGAATTGGAAGGGACCCCTGGGGCTGGGGGTCATCTAGTCCAACCCCCTGAAATGCAGGAAGCTCAGCATGCAGTCCCCCAGCCAAGACAGAATACTTAACAGATAGACTACTACACAGGACACCATGCTGGTTGTAGTAGGACAACATTGGGCTAGAGGGATCAACCGCCTGGCAGCTTTAAATGTTCTCTTTCTTGTTTCCGAAGCTCTGTGGTAAGAGCGCATGGTTTCCATAGAGAATGTCCTGGGTTCAACTCCCACCATCCCCTGTTGTTGTTTTTTAAAAAAAATGTCAAGGTAAGCCAATATGGGGAAAGACCTTGGCTGGAGAGACACTGCCAGTTTAGATGGACCAAAGTGGTCTGGCATATCTTTCATTGTCATTAATGGGGATTTTTATTTTATTTTTTGCCCATAAAAACACATAAGAGTGGATAGGGTAAAGACCATACTTTTTAATTGCAAAGTACCTGTGAAGATAGCTGGAGAGCATGAGAGAATAATTCAATCATCATTGAAAGTCCTCGACTCAGCACGCTTAGGCCACTTAGGTTAGTTACTTCTTCATTTTCTCCAGCAGACCACTTGAAAACTGCAGAGCGTCTTGGTGGACCACTTAATGCTTTTTTTGGCCCATAGCGATAATTTGGAATGAGCTGTGGGAGATGCTCTATGATTTGTATTTTAATTACTACTACTACTACTACTACTACTACTACTACTACTATTTATACCCCACCCATCTGGCTGGGTTTCCCCAGCCACTTTTAACACTTCTTTTATTTCTTCTATATTGTATTACATTTTAAATAATTATTTATTTAATTTATACCCCACCCCACCCCACCCTTCCTCCCAAAGGAGCTCAGGGCAGCAAACCACAAGTGATAAAACAATTAAAAAAGTATGTAAAAACCATTCCAATACATAAGCAGATTTCCACTGGTGTTAAATTCTGTAGACCTTTACCACACTTTTGAATTTGCCTCCTCTCTCTTCCCGTCGCTCTGTCTTTTGCGATGATAATCCTCTCCACTCCTTTCATGGAATCATAGAACTGTAAAAGTTGGAAGGGATCAGCAGGGGTGGGGATGGGGGGTCATCTAGCCCCTGCAATGCAGCAATATTTTGCCCAATGCAGGGCTTGAACCCTTGACCCCGAGATTAAGATTATTCTGCTCTACCGACCGAGCTATTCCATTGGCTCTGTCCCTTTCACCTTCCAGGCAGGCCAGACTGCTGGGTTCTGAGAACACAGGAAAGGTCCCTGCACCCACCACTCACAGCCACTGCCATTTTTTACCAACATGCCATGGACCACTTGAAGGAAGCTCATGGGCCACTGGTGGTCCTTCCTCATACTACAGCCTGGGAACTCAGATAGTCTCATGCATCTAACAAGGGGGGACAATTTAGAGATGTCAATGGACAGGGCTGCCTACTGGGATAGGGGCTGCAGAGGAAAGCAGACTGCTAAAGGAGCAAGGATGTGGGTCTCCTTCCTCCAAGTGCTGTTGATTTATTTTTAAAAAACAAAACCCTGGTGTGTTCACCTGCAAGTTTCCCCCCTTCTCATAAACACATTGAACACCAGAGCTGCTGGCAGGCTCATTGGGGTTCCCTTTGCATTTGTGCGCATTCAGCCCCCCAACAAGAGCCTCACCCTTCAAACCTTCTGGCACTCTCTCTGTATCCCTGAGCAACATTTCCCAGGAGTAAAATGAACCAGTGTGGGTCATCGCCAGCAGAGGGAGCTCTGGTCCCCCCCGTCTCAGCCTTGAATCAGACAAGGTCTGCTTAATCTTGTCCAACAGGACACATCATATGCACAGTGTTATACATGGAATAAATGAGACCAGGAGAGGTAAGCAATGTGGCGAACCAAGAGAGAGGGGCAGAGGCTAGGAGTCACAAGGAGAGCGAAGCATTTCCCCCTTCTTTTGCTGCTATGACTGATGCACTTGAAGGAAAATGCCTTTTTGAAAGCCCTAAAACTCAGCCCAAGCATAGGGGGAGAAGGGGCTGGGTTACCTGAGCTGGCTGTGGCATCCAGCTAGCAGCAGGAGGGAGGGAGGGAGGGAGGGAGGGAGGGAGAAGCAACTAATAATCAGGGGCACTGAGATCCCAGAGGCAACGGGAGGGAGCCAGCAGGACTGATAGGTTTTGCAACACAGGTAAGGAACCTTAGATTTGGGGCGGGGGCAAATGTGGCCCTCCATTCATCATTATGCCCTCAGAACTCTCCCTGGGCCTCACTCTGCACCTTCAGTGCATGCTTTTGGCTGGTTGGCTTGTGTCCTTGATACCTTGATTATGCGTCTTGTTTGCCTGCATGGCTGATGTAAAGATTTGTGCCTGTTTAGAAACCTCTGGAGTTTTCATGGGTGGAATGGAGCCGATGGTACAAAAACGAGAGTCATGTCCCTTGCTCTGCCCATGGCAGCCTTTGGCCACGCCCATCTCCTGACTTGCAGAAGGTTGTCCACGAAGGAAGGAAGCCCTTCAAGGGCTGATGATAAAGCTTCACTCCAGTGTATGGACCCCATAACATACATGAGTAAGGTCACCCTCTAGCCTCCAAAGGATGCTTGGGGAAGCTGTGGCCCTCCAGATCTTGCTGAAATACAACTCCCATCACCCCTGACCTTTGGCCATGCTGCCTGGGGCTGATGGGAGTTGGAGTACAACAACTGCAGCACCACCACGGGTTCCCTGTCCCTCAGAGAGAACTAGACCTCAGAAACAGATGCTGAGGTGTATTGATTTAAACCAGGCATAGGCAAACTCGGCCCTCCAGATGTTTTTGGCCTACAACCCCCACCATCCCTAGCTAACAGGACCAGTGGTCAGGGATGATGGGAATTGTAGTCCCAAAAACATATGGAGTGTCGAGTTTGCCTATGCCTGATTTAAACAGTTGTGCTCAGGTCTTGCTTTTGGGCTTCCCATAGGCATCTGCAAGAACAAGATGACGGACTAGATTGGCCACTGGCCTGATCCAGCGCGGCTCTTATGTTCTTAACAAAAAGCCAGATTCCCCACCCACTAATGCAAAGTAAAAACACTGTGACACGCAGCAGACATTGTCAGGGCTAGCCCAAAGCATGTTGCTGCCTGAGGCAAAGCCGAGTGGGCTGGCTGTTTAATCTGACCATCAATGAAATAGGGGCCTCAGAAACTCCAGTGGCAGACTTTGGGCTCTCCAATTTCAGTGGCGCCCCATGCGATGCTAAAATATGCTGCCCCCTGCCTCTTGCGCTCCATTCTACAGCATTGCTGTGGTGCCGCTTGCAGCACAGCACATGGTCCAGCCAAACTGGTCACAGTATCCTAAAACCGCCTCTGACCACACATGGGGAGGCTGGCTTGTTTGAGAGGCCGGATCAAGCCATGTGCCACACACAGCTCTGTCAGGAAGAGTCATGAGAAACAGCCAGCATTTGTCACCTGATGAGGTTGCCTCACTTTGCCTAGTGGTAGGGGCGGCTGCCCCGGACATTGTATTAGAAGGGTGGCTGAGGCAGTGATTAAGTCCAGTTGCGAACAACTCTGGGGTTGCGGTGCTCATCGCGCTTTACTGGCTGAGGAAGCCGGCGTTTGTCCGCAGACAGTTTTTCCGGGTCATGTGGCCAGCATGACTAAGCCGCTTCTGGCGAAACCAGAGCAGCGCACGGAAATGCCGTTTACCTATTTATCTACTTGCACTTTGTTTGGTCCCAGCTCCTGCCAACCTGGCAATGAGGATAGTGGTCCTAAAAAGCAAGCTCCTTTCCCCACTAACCGCAGGGATTCGAACCATCGACCTTCCGATTGGCAAGCCCTAGGCTCTGTGGTTTAACCCACAGCGCCACCCGCATCCAATGTCATAAAGCCTAGTTGATAGCTAATAATCACCTGGATTTAGGCATTGCCTAGGCAGTCATCCATGTTTACTTTCTCACCGAAATACAGACATTGTGCTGCCTTGATGATGCTCTCGCCCTGCTCTCTGCAGCGCAGAGTCTCCAGCTAACTCTACCACATGGAGAAGATCTCTGACATGTGACTGTCCTTAAGCTTCTGGTGAGATGTCATGTTTACACAGCCACAGCTCAGAGGTTGTCCTTGCAAGGTGGTTACCCAGACATAAGAGGCCTTGTCCATAAGTCCCAGCGTTCTTACCTGGCCACACGTTCTCTTAGAATAATAAAATCATAGAACGGTAGATTTGGAAAGGACCACAGGGGTCATTGAGTCCAACCCCCAGCAATGCAGGAATCTTTTTGCCCAACATGAGGCTCGAACCCACGACCTTGAGTCTCAAGCTCTACCGCCTGAGTTACATCCATCATAGGCTCTTGCATTGGTTACCGTCAATGCAAGACTTTAGGGCCGAAGTCCAGAAGGGTCTCTAAACAGGGCCAGTACTCTCACTCTCCTGCTGACGCTATTGATTCATTCGAAGGATGTTTTGTTCCTCTAGGGAACAGCAGAGAAAGCTTTGCAGTTTAAACTGGTGTTGGGATGAAAGAACAAGGACTCAAAAGCCGCCCCCTTGCTGCCAACAAGTGCTGTTGACTCTCTTTCGATTCCCAGCCCCTTGAGGCCTGCTCTGCACACCCCGCAGAACGATGCGGTGGAGAGATAATGGGATGAACCTGGACCACTTCAGAATGAGTGGGAAAGCACTTCTGAGCACCGCATGCAGAGAACCTGCAAGCCAGCTTCTCGTTTAATTGTTATTGTTTAGGTATGGTGAAAACAACAAGAAGAAGAACCTCAGAAAATAATTTTAATCCCTGCAAGCAAGAAATAAAATTAAAAAATACTTCAGAGAGGAGGATTCAAGCTCAGCCCTCTCCCAATCATGCCATTTTTTCTACTGTAGGGGGTTTCATGCATAGGGGAGAACAGTGCTTTTTTCTAAAAAAATGTTTAGGGGTACTCTTATTTTCCTACTCGTATTGAAATACTGCCCCTCAATGAGGCCAAACTTAGATTCACAAAATGTTTAGGGTTATGCATACCCCTGTATACCCCGCCCCCAGAAGAAAAGCACTGGAGGAGAATTAAAAAACTGGATTCCCCAGCTGAATTGGTACAATCCACACTAACACCTCGAGTTTTTTCATCACTTTGTTCGCCAGCTTATTTTGCTTATTATATTTAGACCAGGTCTGAATCTCCTTTACCTCTTGAGCAAGGGCTGATATAGCTTTGGTGGCCTCAGTGGCCATCCAAAATTTGCTTGTTGCTAACACACACACACACACACACACGGGACAAGGTAGTGTCGCTGACCTTACGCTATATGTCTCTGAAACGCAGTGTGAATTCTGGCAGAAAGCACCTATTCATCTTTACGGCTCTAAGCTTAGAATTGAGGCAGGAGGAGGCAGACAGGGCAGAAATTCGATTTGGTGATTCGCACCTTCCTAAAACAATATGCAAAAAAAAAAAAAAAACCCAGTTACCTTTTGGAATTCTCCAAATTCTGCAAGGCAGTTTTCCAAACAAAAAGCGTGTACTAAAGAATGCAAAACAACAACAACAACACACCATATTTGTGAAAACAACATACAAAATTGTGTGCAAATTGCTTGTAAAAAAAATGTATATAGTAGGAGAACTGTGCATTAAAATAATGACAAATTGTCATGAGGACTTTCCAAAAAATCTACAAAGGGATCTGCAAGGGCAGTGAACCAAACCTAAGACTGGAAAACCGAGTAACTCAGAGAAACCAAAATTAAAAGAGCCATCTGCCCCTAGGGGCAGGGAAGAAAACAAGCTCAGAACCAGAAGGGGGCTGAGGGTTGCTGTGCCACAGCCCTGGGTGGACGCCCTTAGCTCACAATGGCTCTTGGGTACAATGCACACAGCAAGCCAAGATGCTCTGCTCCCACTTAGTTAAGAGGGTGAGCGAGATAATCAAACCCTGCTTTTGAACAAGTATATCAGAGGTTGAAGAGTGTTCAGAAGTTGTTATCACCCAGACTGACAGCTGTGTTTGTGACATAAATTTGCTAGTTGTCCCCTCCATAATTTCACAGACAAAAATAGGGAAACATTTAATGCACACAAGGGATTATTATTTTGACACATGCTCACCCTGCCTATTGTACCCATATATTGCCAAAGGCTCTATTTGCTGTGTGCAGTAACATGTCATTTCCCACTTTTCAAAACCAAGGTGTTTTATGCTGGGTGTGTGTGTAGAATTGTCCTACCATCTGTTAACAGAAGTTTCAAAGCCTTACTAGCATTTGAAACTGCTGTTGTGTACACTGCGTTATGCCTTAGTGTTCATGCACAAGCATTTGTGCACATGTGCACTAGAGGTAGCAAGACTCACCTTTTCCTTGCTCAGAGATCTAACTTCTAGGCACCCAGAGAGAGACAGACAGACAGACAGACAAACAACTGAATTCTGAAGAACGACAACACGCACAACTTGGACTAACACATTTTAACAAGACTTTCTCAAAAGCGGGCACTTTCAGGCTATCACTATTTTCAGGTGGGATTCAATTATGTGCTGACAAATTCAGCTTGGTTTGGAGTTCTTGTGCAACAAACCGGATTCTCCAAAAGATTGGACTTTTTGCAATAAGTGATGGGGAAATGCATTGGAAAGTGAGGGATAACACTTGGGGTGGATCTACACCCAGGGGGAAAAAACCACTATAAATAAGTCAGAAATTAAATACAAAAGAAAAAAAATGCTATGGAAAAGCACTTAGAATTTTGTTTTGCTCTCCTGCGCCATCTGGTGTTACATGTTTATAATGCATTCAAAACACTGTTGTTGGTTTTTAACTAATGTAGCTGAGTCCTTGCTTTGGTACAATGTCATCTAACCTCCCCAGGAACAAATCAGGACGAATGCTCAAGGAAACAGGTTGTCTGGAAGTATCCAAAGTAAGGACAGTGAATTATTGGGACTGTGATCCAGGGGATGTATACTACGCAAGGCAGGGGCATTAATTATTAGGGGGTGGCCCAAAGGGAAGTCCCAGGTCTCTTGTGCCAGGCCCCAGGTCTCTTGCCCATTCCCTCTTCCTTTTTTGGAAAAAAACCCCCTTTGCTTCCAGGGCACCTGCCTGCTAGACCCACCCATCCACAGGCCTGCCATACATTTATGCTCATTCATGTTGGGAGCCTATGACCCAGGCCATTTAAATTCTTAGTAACTCCTGCTGTTCCTGGTCACTAAGGGAGAGTGGGAGCCAGGGCCAGCTCTACTATTAGGCAGGATGTGGTGGCAGCCTCTAGCAGCAGATATAGGTGTTGGGGTCAGTGGTGAGTTGCTGGGATGGCAAAGCTATGTGTCACACACAGCCTGCCCTGTGCCCCCTAAGCAAGTCTTTTGCCCTGAGATATTCTGGAGGACGTTGTCTCATCCACTGAGATTCAACAACCAGTCTGGTCGGCTTCCGAGCATGGAATGGGTGAGAGGGGCCTCTCATCTTTTGCCTCAGGCAGCAAAATGCCTTGGGCTTGCCCTGAGTTGGAGTTAACAGTGGCATTCCAGGATTTGTTGGGCGCTGCAGCAATCTTCAGCAACTGCTGCTGCTGCTGCACATTGTTGTCGGCAAATCGCGAAAATGCAGGGAACCCAGGGACGCTGCAAGGAAATGAGAGATGTTTTGAACAGTTTTGTGCCAGGGGTTTGGGGGGAAACCAGAGGGAAAGGCCAACTGCCTGTTGGTTTATGGGTGTCCAGGGATCAAGGGTCATCTGCAGGACTGGGCAGGGATACCTCTTTCCCCCCCACTTCCTCCCATCCCCGGCAAATTGCCTGTTCAATAAATAATGTTGTGTTTCAAAGCAGAGTCTTTGAAGGGGACGTGAGCTGTGACAGCTGAGCAAAGGGAAACATGAAGCTATTAGAGGAGGAAAATGTACTTGGGAGGAGAGAGAGAGAGAGAGAGAGAGAGAGAGAGAAGGCAATTCAGCACTTTGAGCTCTGGGTGCTGAGTTCAGTGTTATCTGACACCCGCCCTTGCTCTTCTCTCTCCCCCCCCCCCCAATCTTCTTTTCAAAATTTGACTTTCCAGAGCTCCTTCACAATTGCGCCTGGCTCTCGTTGTGGGGGAATAGTTTAAGAAGGGTGATGGTCAGATTGGGAACAGGCAGACAAGGCATTTAATGGGCAACAGGAGAGGGCGAGGCCTTAAGCAGCATCGCAGACTGGCAAGGTCTGAGCCAGCCCCCAAAGGGGCAAGGGAACAACTACTTCTTTTGTTCGTGAGCTTTCATAGTTTGGCAAGGGGGCAGTTATAACCTTCTGTGTTTCATGTGCACATACAGGCATCTCCCCACTTACACGGGGGTTACGTTACGTTCCCGGCTACCGCACATATTTGTGAAATCACGTGTAGTGGTGAACATAATCCGAAAAGCCTGCAAACACCCTCAAAACCACTGGGAACCCTTGAAAAACCAGCAGCACTTAGCAGACTGGCATGAATGGTGGCAATGGTGGCTCTCAGTCTTCCTCATCGCTGATGATGTGGAAACAGCAATTGGGGGGGGTACCCCGGAGTGCCTGGCTGTGATTCAGAAATATATTGGCACCCCAAAGTCCTTGGGATTGCTCTTTTTGCTCCATTTTTGCAGCTTTCTCACTGTTCTTTGGCCATTTTCGCCCTTTTTGTGTGCCTTTTTTGCAGTTTAAATTGATTCAATTACTTCCCAGCCCCGCATATATATGTGGTCACTCACGGGTCAAATGTGCATATGTGGGGAGACACCTGTACCTTTTCCATCATCCTTAGCCATTGGCCACACTGGCCAAGACTGATGGGACAGACTCCCTGCTCTAAAAGATTTGTGCAAGCCAAGAGATGAAGCCCTATAGCAACCTTTGCAAATGTTTTCTAGTCAGCATGCCAGACCCTTATATCCCCCAACCCTAGGGTGGGCTGGGGGGCAAATTTGACGCATGGGTAGGGCTACACACCTGTCAATCACCTAGTGTCACTACAACATCAGATGATGCTGTGTGTTGAAGTTCAGATTGCTGCAACTTCAAAGTGCAGTGTAGGGGCTTTTTGAAAGCCCTTTTGCAAACAGCTCTGAGCTGCTCTTTGAACCTCTGAAAGCCAACAGATGAGCAGTGGGAGCGTTCCTTGCTCCAGCAGCAAAGGAACAATCCTGGAGCTCCCAGTTGCTCCATTTCAGCCACATCAGTATTTGCCCCACACCTGACATCACGCACATCATCAAATGTGGAGCAAGTGGGCATGGTTTGGAGGGACATGGCCTTGCAAGCCAAACAGAGACCTCTGGTGGGCCAAATCTGGCCTTTGGGATGGAGCTTCCACACCCTTCGAATACAGTCTCATGATCCCTGAAGATTGGCTTGGGTGGCCGGGGCCGATATGGGCTGGAGTCAATGAGATCTGGAGGGCACAGTTTCCCCATCCCTGTTGTAGGAGCAATATGCTTGCCAGACTCCCAGACTGCCTTTCTGGACCGAAACATATCAAGATGGCCTATGTTCTGCAACTTCTGAAAGTACATTTCTAACACCAAAGAGTGTTGATTGCTTAGCCGCCAAATCCAACATGGTAGCGATGCTGTCATCACTAACATTACCACCTATGAAGCTTGGAACTAACAGGTTTGCAGGCAGTGTGAATTGGCTGAGTAACAATATTAGCTCAAGTCACTTCTTTTAAAACTTATTTCATTCATCCTTCTGAAACAGAAACTTGCTCACAAGATATAAACCCCAATCACCTCCGCCCCAAATACCCACATCTCCCCATTTCATAGGGAGGAAATGCTTTTGAGTCTTTCCAACAAATGTCTCCTCCCTCCCTGGCCATCACATCTTTACTCAAATTTCATCTTAGCTATGAGCTCCCTAGATGTGAAAAACGGGGTTGACAATATGCTATCCTTGGGAACTGTGGTATGTGTTAAAATGGCAGGCTGTGCCCTACATGGCACCTTAGCTTTCATGCCCATGCACTTCATCTCTGTGTGCCCAAGGGACTCAATGCATATACCCACCCACTCAAATTTCTGATGCATTCACCCACTTCTAGAAACCCTGGGAAGGGAGGCTAAACACTGATGCCTCTCTACAGTGGTAGCTCACTCTAGCAAAATGTCAAATGTTAACCCCAGCAGTATCATGATGGGATACTGCTGAAATATGGGGGGGGGGGGAGCGAACAGGCACAGCTATTATCTCTGGTTGGTAGCATGCACAGGCTCAAATGAGGTACGGGCAGGATGCAGGGATGGGACACTTGTGGCTGCCATCAACTTACAACTCACTCACTTTCGCCATGTTGTCATTGTGTCATTGTTACTCCGGTTACATATTGCTGCTCCGACCTTTGATAAACCAATGTATCTCTCTATGAATCTGTAGCCCAAAGTAGATGATATAGGGAAGACGCCATTGAGTAGTAGAAAAAGTCACCAGGGCAATTGAGCCTTCCTGAGTACTGGAGGATTTCCCTTGGACCTGCTGCCAGGTTAGATCTGATTGCTGGATGCCAGGAACAGGGCCTTGCTTGCTGTGGCCCCCTGGTTATTATTTATTAAATTTGTATACCACCCTTTGTCTGAAGATCTCAAAGCATAAGCACATATTCCAGAGGGCTCCTCCAACCCCCATTTCTACTCTCTTTTAGGTGGGATTTCACGAACTTAGTTTAGAAGGCCCTTTCCTGTGATCTTCGCCCAACCAACTCTACCATGCTCAGTCGTCCAAGGGTCTCCTGCACCCTGAATGGACTCTACCCACTTTCTCTTGCTGCTGCCCATGCCTGGAATCACCTCCCATAACGCCTCTGTGTGACCATCAGTCCTGTTTGCTTCAAGTCCAAACCTCACATTTCCCACAAAGTCTTTGGATCTCCCGCTGCCCAGGCCCTAAGCTAAAGAACATTTAATTGATGCAATCACATATTCTTCCCTTGCGTCTCCATTTGCCCCCTTCACCTGCTGCTTCCCTGAGTCTCTTTTAGATTTTAAGTCCTTTGGGGCTGAGTCCTTTCAAACTTGTTATTTGTACAGCACCATGCACACAGATGGTGTGAAAGGCTTTTGTTTTATGCAGAATCCCTGGATTTTACATGCTTTGTTTTAATTGCTTAATGGTTTGTTTGACTGGTCTTAATTGCTCTCATATTGTTGCTTTATTAGGTTTTACAGATTTCTTTTATGTTGAAAAGCAATATATAAATATTATTATTATTAATAATGATAATACTCATAAAGCGGTGGCCATCACACTCAGTGTTTCTCTGGCTGCCATTAACAAGCAACAGTCAAGGAAATGGATCAGGGCCCTGGAAATGCTGGGTGTGATGACATCACAATACTGAAGGAGAAGGCAAGGAGAAGGAAGTGTCGCAGGGTGGTGGCAGCTGCCTCTCATGACGCACAATGATGACCTCACTGCAAGCAAGTGATGTGTGACTGTGGCAGCAACCCTGAGAAGATTACCTCTGCATCTTTTTCTTTCTTTCTTTTTTAAAAAAACACCTCTCAGTTTGGGGGGCATAGATGAAGAATTAAGAGTAAACAGCTTGGTTGATCACACATTTGATTAAAGAACAGAATAACAGAGGAGTATGTCAACCACAGATCAAGGAATATGTTGTTTTTGTATTCATGTTATTGATTTTAATAAAGGAGGTGATTTGTGTCTTTGTGTTTGCATATTTGAGACATTAATTTTACAAATTAAATATCTCAGGCTATCGTATCTCACAGAAGGAGTTGGAGATTTTTAAATACCCTCTGCAGAAACAACTCAAAACTTTTGCAGTTTCCAGCCTACCCTTTGGCCACCTTCCTCCTGTTGACTGTTTACAGTCTCACCAGCTCTGAGATTTCTCTCCATCTTCCCTCATCTCTGTCACTGGAGCAGAGGGAGGCTGAGTTTGTGGGCTGTGGGGGGGAGAAGGATAAAAGGAGGCTTCTGTTCTGTTACTGTCTGATGATAAATATATCTCTACATTCGCCCACTCAAAATGCCTCAAGGCGAGGAATGGACGCCATTTGGTGTTTTTGCAGCACCTGGTACCAAAGAAGCCCAGTTCTACAACAGAATGAGAAGGCCCGGCTGCCTTCTGGAGGGGACAGGGTTGCAAATTGGGGTTTTGTGGTATCTTATCTTTTCAGATTCTTTGAGTGCCTGGTTGTGGTTTGAAGTTCATTGAAGGCTTACTGGGGAATGTTTGCATGTTTCTACAGTCTACATTTGGAATTGTTTTAAAGAGGGGTTTTTTATCATTTGTTGTTTGCGGCTCTAGGCTCCTTTGGGAGGAAAGGTGCGGGTATACAGTTGACAAACAAATAAATGCAAAGTTGGCAACTTCTTTTTTTCCTAGCAGGGCTGTGTGTTTGTGTTGCTTTTTAAACAAATACATGGCATGCAAAAATTCAAGAGGCGTGTGATTGTATGAAGTAGTACGGTGGTACCTCGGGTTAAGAACTTAATTCGTTCCAGAGGTCCGTTCTTAACCTGAAACTGTTCTTAACCTGAGGTACCACTTCAGCTAATAGGGCCTCCCACTGCCGCCGCACGATTTCTGTTCTCATCTTGAAGCAAAGTTCTTAACCTGAGGTTCTATTTCTGGGTTAGCAGAGTCTGTAACCTGAAGCATCTGTAACCCGAGGTACCACTGTACTAAAAAGAGTGCCTCTGAGCACGTGCAAAGTGTCGGCCCTGAATAGTCCTAGCTCCCACACACAGAGGATCAGATTAAAGCATGCTGAAATGTTGAAACAGACCCTCCTTCTTCCTTCACCCCTACAGCTGTATCTACCTGAGTCTCAGTCCCTTTCTTCCTTCCCACCCATCCCCATCAGTTTCATTGCTCCTCAGGTTCCCACAAGCTCCTACAGCTTGCTCCCACTGTCTCAGGCCCTCACTTCCCATCAGCCCCTGGGTCCCTTTACCTGTTGCCACTTTCCTTGAGCACTGGCTCCTATTTCCTGCAGTGGTCAGAAGCTCAGCTCCAAACAGTAAATCATGAAGTATCAGGGGTTTCAGTGTGGCTGCCCCTGCTCTGTGGAACAGCGCCCCCTGTTGAGATAGGCCAGGAGCCCACTCTCTACATTTCCCCAGAAGACATTTTTGCTGCACCCAGCTGGATGAATAAGTGTCTCCCATACTGTGTTCATTCTACATTGTTTCTGTTTATTTTTGTAACTGCTATTTAGCTGTTTCAATCCTATTTTGTGCATCGCCTTGGGACATGTGCGGAAGGTGATGAATAAATCACAACAATAAATTTTTAAAACCCACTGATGTGTCTCTCCTGTGACTCAGGCTTCCGCAACCAGGTGCCCCTCAGACGTCTTGGAGACTACAACTCCCATCATCCTCAGCTACGTCAGCTGCTGGCTTGTCTCCCAGTTTCTTGCCTCCCAATTGTCTACAGCTGCTCCTCTCCCAGTTTCTTCCCATTTACTTCCTCCACATACCAAGGGAACCCAAAAACCCAGTTCTGTAAACTCACTAGATTACCACTTGGAGATCCAAGGAATCTGAAGCTTCCAACGTGACCAAAACTCATATTAATAACTATGGCAATTAGCTTCATAAGGCCATGATATCTAATGAGGATCTGATAAAGGTTTTGCCATAATATGGGATTGGGTCATTTCTTGTGGGTCAACAGGATTATCTTCTGTTGTGTACTGAACGAGGCTGTCATTGAGAGAGACCAGGAGCCCTCCTGACTTAGGCTGGAGTCCCTTCAGCTTCCGAAGAGACCTCAGGAACCGAGACTACCCAAAAAAAAAAAAAGGGAAAAAAGAAAGCCAAGCCAGATCTCCCTCCCCTTTTCAAGATTTCTGGCTCCAGAGAGCACCGGCGCTCAGTCCCCTCACGGCCAGTCCTAGGAACTCCTCGTATGAAGGCTCATTACAAAACCTCTTTTCTCCCTTCGCCACCCATCCTGATGCTCACACTAGGGGGGACTCCGCGCCCGCGTGGTGGTGAGAAGGAGATTTACGTGCATTTCATAGAGGCGTGCAGAAAACAAGGTGGTGTTCTAAGGCGCAGGTGCCAGTTGTGGGTGTCTGGTTTTGTTATCATTAACATTTTTAACGAACTGTATTTACTTGGCATTATCCCAGCAGCATCAGCTGTGAATCTTTGGTGCTGCTGATAAAGGTAATGATGATGATGATGATGATGATGATAGTTGTTGTATATGACAGGTACCAAGAGGGGAAAAACACCTCCATAGGCTACAATGACTGTCCAAACATCGGCTAACTCTTCGCTTTCATTGACGAAATGCTGACAATCCCAGGTCGGTTTTGTGAATGTACTGGGCTCAGATGCCCGCACTAAGGCACACGTATGTTGTGTGTGTGTGTGTGTGTGTGTGTGTGTGTGTGTGTACCAAAACATACGCAGACATCCAGGCTAGCTCATTGTCCGAAATTTGGTGAAGGCTGACTTTTATATCTGACTGTCGACAGTCTAGATCAACACACGCGTGCTCCACACACATGTGAATGCGGGCAGAGCGAATGTTACCGCGAGTGTCAGACATGTGGAGAATGTCGACATTCCCCACGTTTCGGATATTCACCGCTGCATCCTGCTTGCTTGCTATCTGTCGTGTGCGCTCCTCTCCTATTCAGATCTATCCGCTTTCTATCTCTCTGTCTCTCTCTCACACACACCACCCAGCAGACGAGCCCACTCCCCCCCCCCCCCCGGTTGTCGAGGTCGGGGCGGGAAGCCGGGGCGTCGTGTCCCTTTAAGAGTGGTCCCTCTGACATCACGGCCAGCTGCAGGGAGCCGGGCTGGGGTGTGTGTGTGTGTGTGTGTGTCCTAGGCTGGGGCGATTGTGAATTCTCCTCGCGCCCCTCGTCAGTTCCCAGCCAAGCGGATCCCGTGATCGTGCGGGATCCGGCCGCGGGGGCGCCCTGTGCGTGCCAGCCTGTGTGTTTGTGTGCGTGCGTGTGAGTGTGCGAGTGTGTGAGAGGGAGAGGGAGAGAGGGGGAAAGCAGGAGGGAGGGGGACCGAGAGACAGGCAGCCACCTCTCGGCACCCGACTGCGGCATCACTGCCCGATCGAAGCCCCCCAGGACAAAATCGGTAGCAGCCTTTCTCTCTCTCGGGCTCCCTCCTCCTCCTTCCTCCGGCGCGTCTCCACCGCAGCCCCCCTCGCCCGCTCTCTTTTTCCATCCAACGATCCCTCCCCCCCCCCGCACAGCCAGCCTTCTCTCCCCCCCCCCTTTTGGGGGTCGCCCTCCAGATAACGAGGCTATCTTTGGTTCAGGGAGACCCTCCTCTCCCCCAACTGGGACTTATTGATTTAATTCTCCCCCTCCCTCTTTTACCCGCATCTCTGCTGCGCTCCCTGACTCCCCCCCCCCCCAACCGGGTTTTCCTCCTGCTGCGATTTCTGATCGCTCCCCACTCGCTCGTTCTCCCTTTCTCTGCTGCTGCATTCCCTTGCCCCCCCCCCCCAGCCTCTCGCCATTGCGTGGCTTTTTCAGTCTTTGCCTCCTGCCTGGAAACACCCCCCCATAGCACTCCCCTCTCCTCCTCCGGACCCTCTTCCTTTCCTTCCCTCTCTCTCCTTCTGCCGGGATCCCTCTTCTATTCTCTCCTTTTCCGCGTCCCCGATTCCTTCGTCCCTTCGAGGGCTTCCCTTTCCCCCTCCCCCATCCGCTGCACCCCTTTTCAACCCCCCTCCGCCTCCCCCCTCTCCTGCACCCCTCTTTTCGCCCCTCTGCCTCTTCCCCTCCTCTCCTTCTGCGTCCCTCGTTCTTGTCGTCTGCTCGCGCGCTCCCTTCTTCCCCCTGCTGCATTCGTCCGCTTGGCTCCCTTTTTCATCCTGTCATTCCCCGTCTCCCTCCTGCTGCTCCTGCTGCATTCCTTCTTCCGGCCCCCCAGCTCGGCTCCTCCGGCCCCCAGCTCCATATTGACCACCGCCAGCTCGCCCTCCTGCTCCCACCCCACAGAACCGCGGCTGGCTGCTGCATTCGTCGCGCCCCCCCCTTCCCAGAGCTCCCTCCTTCTTCTCCCTCTTTCATTCTGCCGTGTCCCCCCTCCTCGAAGAAGACTGCAGCCCCTTCTCCTCTCATCCATCTCTCTCTTTCTCTCTCTCTCTTTCCTCCTCCTCTTCTCCTTCTCTCACTTTTTGGATGAAGCAAACTTCTGGATGGGGCCTTCCGCGATAGAGACCCATCGTCGCTTGGGGGTCGCGTAGTCACCGGCCCTTCAAGAAGATACCCTCCCTTAAGAAAGAGGGAACGGGTGACATCCCATCCCAACTCCCAGCCACCCCTTGGAAGGTTGGAGCGAGAAAAAAGGAGAGATAACTAAGAATAAAAAGCAGGAAAGCGATGCAGGTGCGGTGGAAGAGCAAGGATCTCAAAGCTCCGGTGGGATTCTAACAGCAAGGTGAGAGATACAGACCCCGGCTTAGCCCACCTCCCTTCCCAACAGTGCGCTGAAATCCCTGCTAGTAACACAGCTGTTACATTGTCCTGCTTGGGAATCGCCTTCCCTTCGCTTCAAGGCAGGTTGCTCTCTCTGTGTGTCCATCTGCATTAGAGACCCAGAATGAGGAGAGGGGTTATCATGGCTCAGATCAGCTAATAGTTCTAAGAGGATGGAAGCCTCAGAGTTACACAGGACTCTTCCCCGGCAGCCCTGGAGTTCTGTGTAGTTAAGAAGCTTGTAACCTGCTTGGTTGGTCCTAAGTAAAAGAGAATCTCGCTAATGTCATGCTGCTCTTTTGGGTTCCCACTCTGGATGATTCGCCCAGTGTTGTGTCACTTTGGACAACTTTGGCCTGGGTGTGAGCTTGTGGCCTTTCCTTGAGGGGCAGCGGAATGGCTGTTTTGTAGCACCTGATGTGCATTGCAGATGCTTAACTTTTAAGCCCTCTGGTTGGTGTGTTAGTGAATTCCTTTAGATCCTCTTGGATGAAGACTGGGTTTTCTCTGGTACATAACAGCACAGACTGGCGATGATGTGTTTGGATTCTTTGGTAATAAGTTAGTGAAGAGAACACACATCCTTAACTCGTTTCTGTGCAGTTCTGTTATTGCACTGAGGTGCATGGGAAGCAATTTTTATTGGCATAATCCTCCTCTCCCCCAGAGATGTGGAGTCTGTGCAGGTGGGAACTTCCCTTGCTAGTACATACATGTGCATATAGTCAATACAAAACACTGCATGTCACTTCATATGAATTCTCATGTTTTTCAGTGTGTGTGATTCCCGTTACACCTAGTAAGCATGTACGGTTCAGCGTCCTTTCTGTAGATTTCTCTGGCTTTCTGTAGAGCCAGGCACAAACACAAAACTGATTTCAAACAGCTGCCTTCAGTTAAATCTTTTCAACTATAACATTACCTACGGAGCCGTGTGGGTTCATGCCTTTATACAACACTACATCCATCTTCCTATTTATTTATTTATTGACGCCTAATAGATACAAAACCCTTTAAATGCATTTTGTATGTGTGTTGCAAAACAGCCAGAACTGCTAATTTAGATGAGCCGTATGCAGCACCAGTATAGTGTGTGTGTGTGTGTGTGTGTGTGTGTGTGTGTGTGAGAGAGAGAGAGAGAGAGAGAGAGAGAGAGAGAGAGAATTGCTGGATGTAAATTCATTCTGCACCTTTCTCTGGGCACTGCACTGCCTGGCAGGCAGGATGTCTGTGATTTAAAAACAGTGTTCTATGTTAGGAGAGTGATTCCAGCCCGTAGTTTGGTACTGTCCCTTTAGCACACTTCCAACATAGCACTAGTATGTTTCACTGGTTTTGTTCTGTTTAAATACAGCATGCAGCATTAGGGTAGCTTTGACACCTTTATCAAGGTGTTGCACTGGTATGTAATGCATGTGCCTGTGATGTTCTACAGCACTGTGTGTGTGTGTGTGTGAGAGAGAGAGAGAGAGAGAGAGAGAGAGAGAGAGAGAGAGAGCAAGAGCTCCTCTTCAATCCTTTTAACATCAATCTGTCTAGATTATCCAATGGTGTGTGTCTGTGTTTGTGATTGCTATTAGCTCCTGTATCTCTAGCTTGTGTGTGTAATTTCACAGGGTGGTGTCAATTGAATTATGTTTACGCTTACCTCCCACCCCTCTTCATGTTAGTGCACATAAGGGTACCTGATTTATGGGAGGCTCCTTTAACGCCTCGGTGCTTAGATTACATGGTGCATAAAGATGAGGATGGGATGTGTGTGTGTGTGTGTGTGTGTGTGTGTGTGTGTAGTCTTATATCTGCATCTTATTTAACTGTATGTTTGTTTGTGTGTGTGTGGCAGGAGTAGATTTAATGTTTGCATATTTCCTATTAATTCTTGGCAGATTGCCCTCTTTGAGAGAGTATGTACTGTGGTCGCGCAAGTGAATTCCTTTCAACATTGAAGTCTATGTGAATTCTATACCCTCGGTGTGCATGTTTGAGCGTGTGAATTCTCAATGCTAGCGCACAAATACAAAATTCTCGGAACGAGCCCTTTGTGTGTGCAGACTGTGATATTATAATTGTAACAGCAATTCTGAGGTTTCAGCTTGCGTCCAGGAGCTATTCCCAACCCCTCCTCCTCCCCCTCTGTGTTTTTCTGCTGGATGTGTGAGTCTACTTGAAAGAGAGATGGGTTTCAAGCAAAAAGAGCAAGATTTTGCATATAATACAGTGTATATTTCTGTCTCACTGCGCGCCCCTGAAAACAAACAAACCCGCAAATGTTTAATCCCAGATGGTGACATTGCTGTAAGATTATATTCCCCGCCACAGATGAATATGGTACAGTATTTGCTGGAGGGAAGAGATGTGGTTGCTGCGGAGCTGGGAGAAAGGAAGAGGTATTTGGGGTGGGTTCTGGCACTGAGCTAATGGGTGAGATTTAATCTAGCATATGGGTGCATGAGATACAGAGGGGTCAAGCAGAATGGGTGCTGCATTTGTGCTAGGTTTGTTACATTTGTGGGGTGCGCGCACACACGATCAACTATACAATGACAACAGCATGGTGTGGGGCAGAATGTGGGGGGACCAGTGTGGTGGTGGCAGAGGAGAAGGAATCGTTTTATGAGTTGCACTAGTGGTTATGGGGAGGGAAAACACTTTTATGCTTATTGTATGGGAGGCAGTGTGGTATAGTGGCTAGTGTGTTGGGAGGACACCCTGCACCCTCAATCCCTCCTCATCCATGAAGCTAACTGGCTGGCTCTGGGCCTCTCATGCTCTCTCAGACTCACTTTCCTCACAGGGTTGTTGTGAGGATGAACTGGAGTGGATGGGACTGTTAGTGCCATCCTGAACTCCTTGCGGGAAGAGTGAGATTAAACTGTAACAAAGATGGTTTCCTTTGGCCTATTTATTTGGCCTATGAACACGGGTGGCCCTTTTAACATGGAAAGTCTGTGTTAGGTGGAAAGTGCACCCGTGTGTGTGTGTGTGTGTGTGTGTGTGCGCACATGGGTGCATGCGCAAAAATCTCCTGGGAAATGTTGCTAGTTTTGTTTGAACTTTTTGGGTTTTTCTTGAAATTATGCAGAGGCTTTGCCTGAGAAGGAGCCTACAAGTTCATTTTGGATTTCACTTTCGGTGGCATTTCAGCAGCAGTCCCCAATAAAATGTTTAATTCATCACAATCCGATCCACAGTGACCAGGGCAAAATACATGGGCTTATCCCATTTTACCCTAATAATATCCCAGTGTTAGTCTTGCAACAGCTTTCTTAGGCCAATTGATAGCCAAAATCATCCACTCGGTTTCATAACAGAACAGAGATTTGAACCTGCATCTCCCTAGTCAGAACACCACACTGCAGTCAGTGGCTTAACAAGGCCATAGAATTTGGTTCTTATGGGCAAATGGAGCACTGCTCCACAACTGGCCTCCAAACAGCCCTTGCCTGCCTGCCTGCCTGCCTGCCTGCCTGCCTGCCTGCCTGCCTTCTTACTTACAGCATTGGCTGTCAGCTTCCTCTTGCTCCTGAATCTCCACGTAGAACTCAGCAGAGAGGAGAAGGATGGGAACAAAACTAGAATGAGTTGGTTCTGCAGGTCATTGGCTCTCTGGTGCCACCTACTGACTAGGCTCCCTACATTCACCCAACCAGCCCCAACGGACACCAGCCACTGCAGTTAACGGGAAGCTTTTCCTGTCATGGAGCAGCATGGCAGCAAAAGCTCCACCAGCTAAATTTCTATGGAGCAGGCTGCTGTTAAAGGCTGTTAAAGGCTCAGGAGCTGTTAAAGGCTCAGGAGCAAGACTGGGGGAAAGGGTGGTCACCCTAACTTACGGGAAAGGGGTCAAATGTCAACACTCGTAGGATCATAGGAAGCTTCCTTAGACCAGACCAGATGACCAATATTGCCTACTCTGACGAACAGTGGCTCTCCAGGGTCTCAGGGTTCTCATGACCTGCTACAGCAGATAATGGAAGCTGGTCCATTAGGGCAAACGGGGCATTGCCCTCAGGCATCTCCCACCAGCTCCCTGCCTTCCTGCTTGCAGCCAGTTCAGGGCATGGCACTGCCTATTAGCATCTTCTTCCTTGGTCTTGTTGCCCTTGTAGAACTCAGAAGGGAAGGGAGCAAAACTAGAGTGAGTTGGTTCTGCCAGTCATCGGTGCTCTGGCTCCACCTACTGTTTGTCCTCCTTCCTTCCACCCTGCCAGTCCCACTGGGCACCAGATACTACTGAATGGTTGAGATCAAACCTAGGACCTTCTGTATGAAAAGCATGTGCATCTCAAACTCACAGCCTTGGATTATAGGCACTTCACTGCAAACCCAACTGAGGTGATGGGTTTATAGATAGCTATGGGCTTCATTAACTCTTAACAACTGGCCAGCATTGGTTCTTGATCTGTAGGTGCTACTCAGCGAGTTTGTACTCAGGCTAGGAGCACATACTCAAGGCAACATAGCACAGATTTGTTGCTCCTTAAGTATCTTCAACCACCCTTTGGGACTCACGAGTTGAGTTTATAAATGGGGGGTGAAAAGGGTAGATGTCTCATACTCTCTCATAACATGTTTATTGAGCAACTGGAGTTTGTGATTGCTATTAAAAATGGACAATGGTTATTCCAGATGAGTTGTTTTGAGCATGGAAATAGAGTACAGAGAACTTTAGGACTTGTGACAGCGAGCACTTACAGATCAGTATATAATAGGTCTTGGAAAGTTGCATTAGACATATTGTATGATGAACCATGCAGGCCAGCTCTTTGAATACAAGTTCAATGGAGAGATTTCCACTCACCCCTTTCTTGGTGTGGATCTCCTCTCCTGCCAAGTTATTGTCTTTTGCTCATGCACCTCTCACAATCCTGTCTGTTTTCCTTGTACAACTATATTGCCCTTAATTTTTTAATTGGCCCTATCCTGCAGATTGATACTGTGTACGCATTACGACTTAACTCTGGCTCCAGTGCGCTCCCACTGCTGGTGTTTGAAGCGATGTACACATAACATTAGCCACAATCTCTATCTATCTTGAGAAATACAGCTGTTGGAGGCATTTCCTCACAAACCAGTTCCCATATGATTTGAAGATGAAAGCCATGGTGAAGCTGAGGTGTGTACACTAGAAACAGTCATTGCACATGTGCAGATGACAGGCCATGGCCAGATGACAGCTTCATTGAACAGGAGTTTGGGGGGGCGCATTGCAGGCACAGGCAAACATAAAGTGCATCGGGTAAAGACATTCCCGCCCTCAGGCGAGTACAGCAACATGCAAGTGCGACTTGAAATGCAATGGGGAGGGGAAGTGACATTGCTGCATTTTAAGCTGCTATTGTGTGCATCACTTCAATGTGGGAAACAACATACCACTTACAGTAAACTATGCACAAACTACATGAAAAACTTATGCCATCAAGCTGAGCCACAGAGCAACCCATCCACCAATACCTATCAGCGCATCCATCATGGCAATAAATATCTGTCTGCCAATCATCCTTCCTCTTCTTCTCTTGTAAAGGTCTGTCCCCCCGTCTGTCCATCCTACAATCTCACCATCTAGAGTTGGAAAATGTATTTGTAGGCTATCTGGTCCAAGCCCCCTGGATGATGCAGGAAATTGAGAGGCAGAGCACCTCCATATTTACTATTATTGTTATTTAGTATATATCACAGCATATCTCCAAATAACTCAAGGGGGTGTACACACTTCTGCCTCTCTCTCCACATCATCCTCACAACAACCCTGTGAGGTAGGTTAGCTTGAGAGATAGCGGCCAGCCCAAGGTCACCCAATGAGCTTCACGGCCGAGTGGGGATTTGAACCCTGGTCTCCCAGGTCCTAGTTCAGTACTCTACCCACTACACTACAGTGGCTGCCCAGCCTCTGCCTAACGACTTCCAGTGAGTGACAGCCTCACCCAGGTCTTTAAACCTCTCTCTGCTCATGTGATCTTCTGTTTGTTTGGGGAGCCACAGCTCAGTGGCAAAGCACCAGCTCTGAATGCAGAAGGCCCCAGATTCAATCCCTGGTATCTCCAGGGTTGGCTAGGAAAAGAGACCTTGCATGGAACCATGGAGAGCCGCTACTAGTCAATGTAGACAATACAGTGGTACCTCGGGTTACATACGCTTCAGGTTACTTACGCTTCAGGTTACAGACTCTGCTAACCCAGAAATAGTGCTTCAGGTTAAGAACTTTGCTTCAGGATGAGAACAGAAATCGTGCTCCGGCAGCGCAGCAACAGCAGGAGGCCCCATTAGCTAAAGTGGTGCTTCAGGTTAAGAACAGTTTCAGGTTAAGAACAGACCTCCGGAGCGAATTAAGTACTTAACCCGAGGTACCACTGTACTGACCTAGATGGAGTCGTGGTCGGACTCAGCATTAAGGCAGCTGCTTCCCATCCGTACCTTTGTCTTTGGCCCCATCTGCACAGTACGTTGAAAGTGGTATCGTGCCGCTTGAAACAGTCATGGCTTCCTCCAAATAATTCTGGGAACTATAGGGTGCCAAGCATTGTTGGGAGACACCCCTATTCCCCTTAACAATCAGCCCCTCTGGGAACTGTAGCTCCGTGGGGGGAAATAGGGCTTTCCTAATGAACAACTCTCAGCAAGTTTATCGGATGTCAGTTCCCAGGATTCTTTGGGGTGAGCAGGAGCCATGACTGTTTAAAGTGGTATGATACTTCTTGAAACGGACAGTGCAGATGGGGCCTTGGGCTGACCTTACAAACCTCCTCCTATCCGTTCCCACAAACATATCATCTACTCTCTCTCCCGCCTCACACACACACACACACACACACACACACACACACACACGCTCCTTCTCCCTTGAATGTTGTGTATGCATATACAGATCTGGAACAGGAAGAGGAATGTGTGTGAGTAGGGTGACCATATTGCGCCGCCTTCTGTAACCAAAATAAAACAATCACAGATGGGAGGAATCGAATAAAGGTTCTCCTCGAGGGGGGGGGAGTGACACTTCACTGCTAAGGGGCTATAAACAATGCTGTGGGCAGGCAGCAGGGGGCGTTGTTACATAGGGAGTAGGGCAGGGAGGTTGATATGTAGTGGGGTTAAAGAGGAAAGGGGGGAGAGGGTATATTTTTATTTATCTCCTTAACTAGGGGCGGTGTCAGAGGGCACCCCCCCAAGGATTTGCCCCCCCCCAAGGATTTGGGCCCTCTAACAAGGAACTGCCCCCATTACTCCTCCCCCCCCCAATTTGTGGACTCTTGTGGTTAACATATGCTGCTATTTCTCTCTCTCAACTACCTAAAAATATACTTTGTGCCTTCTGCGCCCCCCACCCTTTTTCTGGTGCCACCCCTCCCCATGACAGACTCTTTGCCATTCAGACTGCCCCTATCCCCACGGCCCTCCATTCTAGGCCAGATACTATTTTCCTATCCTTCACACACATGCACATACACACACACAGAGAGAGAGAGAGAGACAGAGAGTTTAGGTCTTTTTTTGGTCCCTCTCTTCAGCACAAATGCAGTCGAGGGCATAAATAGAAACCCCTGGAGACACAAGCCAGGGAAAAAAAGTGCTTGAAAATCCATTGTGAGGGGGATGATGCTGGACTCTCTGAAAGCACAAACATATCTTGGAGAAAACCATAGCTATGCAACGGAAGGGAGCAAAGCCTTGATGGCTTGGGGCGTCGGGGGTGGGGGGTGGAGATGTGCATTTGGGGCAGACTGGGGGGGAGGGACACCCTGGATTCCAGAGGCCCATGTAATTGGAGGAGACTGGAGGTTGGGGCAGCAGCCATGTACTTGAAGCGACTCACCCCTGCTCTACATGTTTTCAACCCCCACCCCACTGCTCCAAGTGTATTTCTCATGTGACTCCCATATATGGGTCTGGGACGAGAGGATAGTTGTCATCTTTGTGTTTCATGACATCAACTTCTGCAAGAGATAAATCAATGGAAGAGATGAGTCTTCCATGGAGTGGGGGGTGGGTTGCATGTGAAGGCTTGCCCCCCACATCCTTCCACAGAAACCCATCAAGAGAACTGGCCTGAAATTATGAGCACTGAGGGCTAGGAAATTGAGGAAGGGATGAGGGGAGCTCAGTGCTTCAGGTGAGATCTCACTGCTTTCCATTCCCAGAACAGACCGTTTCTGTATCAGTGCTAAGCCCCAGAATATATCAAGAAGATTGTCTCTGAGCATGTGCAGAGTTCCGTCCAGCTCTCTCTATGTTTACTACAGCCCAATCAGGCACAACTGGTGCAGGGCTTCCAGGTCAGACAGGAAATCATAGTGGTGGAGAGGTTCGAAAGCATCAGCCAGTTCAACCCACTGCAAGTTTGAATCCCAGAAACCATTGGGTGGGGGGGGGGGGAGAAACCAGCCACAGGTGTGATGGATAATTCAGGGTGTGGGAAGAAGAGTGAGACTGAGAAGGTACATTGTTTCTGCTGTTTCCAAGTCTCTTTGTAAAACGTCTGCATGAAGGACCAGAACCAGAGACTGGTGTTTGGGGATAGGAAGGTAGAGCGTGGCTCAAGACTTTGTGGGGCATGTGTGTAAGGGGTAAGGGGTCACAACACTGGACATCTGCTAAGGCCCACTCCCTGCAGAGGTCCAACGGCTGACCTCTGGAGCCTCCTGGTCCCCTTGCGCTGTCTCCTCTAAGAGAGGAGGCTACACACGCATTGGCTCAAAAGAGGAACAGCGGCGCATCAACAAAAAGAGAGGATGCCAGGTCTGCGTCAAATTTCCATACGCTGATTTTCTGTCAAGATGCAAATTCAGGGATGCATCCATTCAACTAAGTTCGGGTCAGAGCAGTAGAAAACGCACACACCTAAGTAAGTAGTGTGAATTTGACGGGTCTACTCCTGAGTAGGACTAGCACTGGCTCTCGGCATGGTCGGGAAAGGCTGCAACCTGGTGGCTTGCTCTGTCTGCTGTTCAGGTGCTCACCAGTGACAGGCACCTTCAAGGCCTCTCCTGCTTCTCCTTAATCCAGACTTGGACAGAATAGAGCCCTTTGAAGAGAGGGCTGTCCTCTGTAAACCAGGGCTCATGGCCACCCTCTTCTCCTCTCAGCGCTTGTGCAGATTGGCAAGAGAAGGAGAGGGCAAGAGGGAGGAGGTCCCAGTTCATTGCACAGTGGTACCTCGGGTTAAGAACTTAATTTGTTCCGGAGGTCCGTACTTAACCTGAAACTGTTCTTAACCTGAAGCACCACTTTAGCTAATGGGGCCTCCCGCTGCCGCTGCATGATTTCTGTTCTCATCCTGAAGCAAAGTTCTTAACCCGAGGTACTACTTCTGGGTTAGCGGAGTCTGTAACCTGAAGCGTCTGTAACCCGAGGTACCACTGTTTGTGCATTGCGGTCCCTGCCTTCCCTCCCCCCCAATAATCTATTGACATGGATGTATAGTAACTTTGCTTAGCCTACCTGTTGCAAATATAAAAGGAGGGGGGGAGGAATACATACATGACCTTGAGCTCCTGGGCAGAAAAGCAAGATACAAATATATGTCACACAGCACAAAGTTAAACTCCTGCCCGTTGTAGGTATCCCTCCAAGTCCTGCCCCCACAACCCGAAGCAAGCACTAGAATGAATGATTGGGGGGGTGATGGTGGTGTACTGCTGTGGTTATAAAGCTTTAGTAGTGGACTAGAGCAGGGCTTTCCAAACTTGGGCCTCTAGCTCTTTTTGGACTACAGTTCCCATCATCCCTGACCACTGGTCCTGTTAGCTAGGGATGATGGGAGTTGTAGTCCAAAAACAGCTGGAGACCAAAGTTTGGAAAGCCCCAGACTAGAGGCTTGCAGCCAAAGGTTTGTCTAGTCATTTCAAATCAACATGTGAACATTAGCCTTGTGAGTTACTTGGGGTAGCCATCTTTCAAAGGGTAAAAACCAGCACACCCAAAAAGTTGTTTGAACCAAAACACCACAATTTCCGATTGACAATGTGCAGCCTTTCAGAAATTCTCCCTGGATGTTAATTCCGCCTTTGAAATCCCAGGAAAATCTGAACGGAAGGCAGCCCTACAATTACTCCTCTTCCCTGTCCACACACACTCCCTTCTCTCTCCCTTCCCTCCACTTCTGCTGGTCATTTCTTCTCTGGCAGCATATACACACTACAGGCACACCTCGTTTTATTGTGCTTCGCAGATATTGCTTCTCACAAGGACGTGGGTGCAGGTGCCAGCAGGGGAAGGAAGTCCGCCACCAATGCTCTTCTGTCCAGGGGAGTGGAGCTGGCTAGGGCTGGGTCTGGGTTTCCTCCCTTCCCTCCCCAGCTGCCAAGGCTTAATAGACCACAGTATAGTGTAAACATAACTTTTATATGCACTGGGAAACCCCCCAAAATATGATGTGACTCGATTTATTGCGATATTCACTTTATTGAAACCATCTGGAACCAAACCCATAACATTGCCAAGGCATGCCAATATATATTTAAAGTATATTGAAAGCACATGACTTCCCCCCAAGAATCCCGGGACATGTAGTTTACCCCAACAGAGTCACAATTCCCAGCACCCTTAACAAACTACAGTTCCCATGATTCTTTGGGGGAAGTCATGTGTGCTTTAAGTCTATGGTGTGTACTTTAAGTCTATGGTGTGTACTCCAACAACATCTGAAGGGTCACAGGTTCCCCACCACTGAGCTAGACCCTTCTGACTTCCTTGGAGGAAAGCGAAAACCATTATGCCTCCCTCAGCCCCATGTGGCAGCCAGATCCCTTAATGTGTTACAATATAAATTCTTTACCCTTTTTTTTTTTTTGCGGGGTTAAGCCCTTACCTGGAGGCAAGCCCCATTGAACACAGCAGGACTTATTTATGAGTAAACATGCTCATAATTCACCATTCCCAATCTATGGGATCATTTTTGGTGTACAGTGGTACCTCAGGTTAAGTATTTAATTCGTTCCAGAGGTCTGTTCTTAACCTGAAACTGTTCTCAACCTGAAGCACCACTTTAGCTAATGGGGCCTCCTGCTGCTGTGCCGCCACTGCACGATTTCTGTTCTTATCCTGAAGCAAAGCTCTTAACCTGAAGCACTATTTCTGGGTTAGCGGAGTCTGTAACCTGAAGCGTATGTAACCTGAGGTACCACTGTATTGGGATCAGCTCTACCCAGAGCATTTAAAGTCAGCAGTGTCTCTTATCTCTGTAATGAGCCTGGTCATTATGAGCTGCTGATGAGTTCTCTGCTTTAGTGGTTGCAACAAGCATGAACCAACTATGATTCTGCAATATTCATTTTGAGGACTGTGATGGTCTATCTTGCATCCTGCATTTTGCTTTGTTAAAAATCCCAACAAAATTCTAAAGAAATGGGCTTTTTTTGTACATAGGTAGCCTCCTCATGCCAAGCCAAGGCCTTCAGTCCATCTAAGCTCGGTTTGGCCTACAGCAGAATTCTACCACAGCTGCGCTGGCTGGCGCTGAAGGCCAGAACATCTGGAGGGCAGCAGGTTGGGGAAGGCTCGTCCACATCAATTGGTAGTGTCTCTCCAGCATATGAGGCAAGGGTCTTTCCCCCATGAGACGCTGGGGATTGAACCCGGGACCTTAACTCGGGACCAGAACTCAGTGGCAGAACATCTACTTTGCATGCAAAAGGTCTCAGATTCAATCCGCAGCATCTCTAGCTAGGGCTTGGAACATGGTCAGAAGGACCAAGAAATTGGGATAAGGCAGCTTCCACTGTTCCTAAGATCCATATGCTCTACCACTGAGCTACAGCTTTTCCTCCACGTACCTGAAGGAGCGTCTCTACCCCCATCGTTCAGCCCGGACACTGAGATCCAGCACCGAGGGCCTTCTGGCGGTTCCCTCATTGCGAGAAGTCAGGTTACAGGGAACCAGGCAGAGGACCTTCTCGGTAGTGGCGCCCACCCTGTGGAACACCCTCCCTTCAGATGTGAAGGAAATAAGCAGCTATCCTATCTTTAAAAGACATCTGAAGGCAGCCCTGTTCAGGGAAGTTTTTAATATTTAATGCTGTACTGTTTTTAACACTTGATTGGGAGCCACCCAGAGTGGCTGGGGAAACTCAGCCAGATGGGCGGGGTATAAATAAATAAATAATAATAATAATAATAATAATTAGTATGTATATTCCTAAACTGGGGATCAGGAATGCTTGATTGTTCTGGGGAAGGTGGCAGGAAGGCCCAGAGCAAGGAAGGCAGGAAAACCACCTGACCCTTTAAAAGAAAACTTGGTGAGATCATGACCATGAAGTGGGTTGACTGGGCAAGTGCTTGGAGCCCCCACCCTGGGAGGGTCCAGCTCTGTCACCTGCCCTGAGTTCCTCTTGAAAAAACAAAGTCTGGCACTTCAGGAAATTCTAGGAAATTAAAAGGGCAGCTCTCAGACCCAGATGCCCAGTGGTGATGGCAGCACTGCTGCAGCCACTACCTGAGGAAGGAGGCCCAGAAATGTTAGAATCATAGAATCATAGAATCATAGAGTTGGAAGAGACCACAAGGGCCATCGAGTCCAACCCCCTGCCAAGCAGGAAACACCATCAGAGCACTCCTGACATATGGTTGTCAAGCCTCTGCTTAAAGACCTCCAAAGAAGGAGACTCCACCACACTCCTTGGCAGCAAATTCCACTGTCGAACAGCTCTTACTGTCAGGAAGTTCTTCCTAATGTTTAGGTGGAATCTTCTTTCTTGTAGTTTGGATCCATTGCTCCGTGTCCGCTTCTCTGGAGCAGCAGAAAACAACCTTTCTCCCTCCTCTATGTGACATCCTTTTATATATTTGAACATGGCTATCATATCACCCCTTAACCTCCTCTTCTCCAGGCTAAACATGCCCAGCTCCCTTAGCCGTTGGGAGCTAATGTTGGACAGGTCTTGCCAGAAGGCACTTTACTGAGGGCTCCTTAGACACGGTAGACACCAGGGTGTCTGGCTTCTTCACATTAGCTCTGGGATAGCTCAGTTGGTAGAGCATGAGACTCTTAATCTCAGGGTTGTTGGTTTGAGTTTCACCTTGGGCAAAACATTCCTGCATTGCAGGAGGTTGGACTAGATGACCTGTTCGGTCCCTTCCACCTCTATGATTCTATGGCTCTTGGAAGAAGCAAATCTACACTGGTTGGAATGAAAATCCATGAACTGTGAGCTAGAGAATTATGCTGGAATGGAGAGAACTATAAATCTTGCTTGCGTCATGTCAGAAGGCCTAATGGGCTAGCTAGGGTATGGGTGGTGGAGATTTCATAACCCAGATTTTTGCAGGGGGGAGAGTAAGGAGAATATATAGGGATGCGGGTGGCGCTGGGGTCTAAACCACTGAGCCTCTTGGGCTTGCCGATCAGAAGGTCGGCGGTTCGAATCCCCGCGACAGGGTGAGCTCCCGTTGCTCGGCCCCAGCTCCTGCCAACCTAGCAGTTCGAAAGCACACCAAAAAGTGCAAGTAGATAAATAGGTACCACTCCGGTGGGAAGGTAAACAGCGTTTCCGTGCACTGCTCTGGTTTCGGTGTTCCGTTGAGCCAGAAGCGGCTTAGTCATGCTGGCCACATGACCCGGAAAAACTGTCTGCGGACAAACACCGGCTCCCTCGGCCTGTAAAGCGAGATGAGCGCCGCACCCCAGAGTCATCTGTGACTGGACTTAACTGTCAGGGGGCCTTTAACTTTACCTTTAAGGAGAATATGTAGGTGGAAGTAAGCATTTCTGGTAGAAGAGTTTTCAAACTATTTCCAGGAAATCTGGAGCTCCTTAGAAACTTACTGTGGGTTCTTTATTGAGACCAATAATGGTGGACCAGCTGCCTGAAGGATATATTGTGGACATATTCTAGGGCACCAGAAATAGTGTTATTCAGGGTCATTGTGGGAGTAGTCTTGGACACCCTCTCAGTCCTTGTAATAGGTAAGCCCAGCAGACCTGGATGACACCCTACACAAACAGAATACTGCCCCAGAATCTTCTGCAGTGTTCTGGGATTTGAGGGCAGTCATGAAGGGGTTCCTCACCAGAGTACAAAAGCTAGGGGAGGGTCATTAGAAGGCCTCTCAGGGTTGTCATGTAGAGTAGAAGTTTAAAATTCGGCAGGTGCCTGCTGAAATCTTTTCTATTTCATTGACGCTATCCAGTCACCTGATTTGGTTCTTAAATTTGTTTTAGATGTTTTGTTCTGTTATTTTTATAAGCTTCCAACTGTCTTTAAATGCCTTTGATATGTTTTTATTTTGTTTTTAACTGTAATTTTTTAAATCACAGAAATATTTGTTTCCCTGAGTCATCCTTTGGGAGAATGGATGGGATATGGATTTATTTTTATGTTTTAAAAATATACTGGGTCAGAGCAAAAGCAGAGAAGTACTTTTGTCCTGTGGGCTGGATTAAAAAGGTGTCCAACCCTCCATGGGTTCACTTTTGATAGGCAGGCAAGTAGAACCAATCCCCACCCCCCAAAGCAGCAGGGCTTGCATCTTGCACCGAAAGCAAGCCCCAATGCCGTTGTGCCCTGCAGGTGGCTCCTTGGCAGCTGCGGCTTTGCCTATCCTGCACCTGAGGCTATATGGTAAAAGGTAGGTGGCCAGATAACATCATATGAGTGACAGATGGGCGTGGCTGGCCAAAAACGGCTTCTGCAGGCCAGATTGGCAGGCCTAGTTTAGCCCGCAGGCTGGAGGTTCCTCACTCCAGAATTAGAAGGTGAAGGGTCTTGTAGCCAAAACCCCTTGGATTCTTTGAGAGGTTTCAGTGAGTTAGGGTGGTGCTTGGAGCCAGCTGCCATGTTCTCTTGGTGAAAATAAAGATATTGTGGTTAAAGAGGAAGAATATGGGAGCCAGTTACTATTGGGGCCTCTGAGAACCCATTGGTTTGACTAGGAAAAGCTCAAATTTAATGTGAGTATAGCTTTTGGGCGGGGTCTCTGTGTGTGATTTGTGTGAATATCTGGTTTCTCTGGCTGATTGTTATCAATTCCTTCTCCAGGTCCTTGCGCTGCCTTTGGCCAGTGGCTCCCCCTGTCACCTAGGATGAGTAACTGCAGCAGCCGCGCCCTGACCCTGCTGTCTAGTGTTTTTGGAGCGTGTGGACTGCTCCTGGTGGGCATCGCCGTCAGCACTGACTACTGGCTGTTCATGGAGGAAGGGATTGTGTTTCCGCAGAACCAGACCACCGAGATAGTCATGGCATTGCACGCTGGGCTCTGGAGGGTCTGTTTCTTTGCCGGTAAGAGCCTTGAAAAGTCAAGTTTCCCCTCTCAAAATTGCCTCGTGTCACACCTGGAGACTCCAGTTACAGATGATGATGTCACTAGGCCAGATCTAAACTGCTTCGTTAGGCTTGCAGGGCTTCCTCTGCTTCCATAATTTGTGTTTTCATCTAATTGAGGAAAGTGATCAGGAGAGGGGAGTGAGTTGTAAGGCCATGCATTGGGGCTTTAAAAACAACAACAACACATATCTGGGTTTTGCTCTGTTTGCCTGCAAGTCTACATGTACTTGCAGCTGAACTCTTGCAAAGCTTAGGTTGCTGGACACAATCTGACTGCTGGTTGTTAACAGAAGAGCAAAACTCTTCTGAGGAGCTGTGGCGTGACACAGCAGCTCAGCTTTCAAAAAGGTGATTTGAACAGCCATCATTCAGGAACCTCGTTCCTGAAACAAATGTTTGAGATCCAACTGCCCACTGAATCTTAATCTACCACTCAAGATACAGTGGCATCAATACTGGCAGCGTGTACCTCAAAATGTGGAAGAATTCTGTAGGTTCAGAACTGCCTTCAGAGTGAGGGTTTAGCCTACTTCCTTGGCCTTCTTTTTCTATATTCCCCCCATCCTACCTGTTCACCTCTGAAACTTCCTTCTGTGGTCACTTTCCCCATGCAAGAGCATACATGTATCTGCTGCCTGTAGGCCGTGTGTGAACTTCTCTAGCCCTCATTTCCCCATCCCTCAAATCCCTAATGCAAATGTCCTGCCTCTTTTTCACACAGTGCTTCTTCATAAAGCACGTGGTTAAACTTTGGAACTCACTCCCACAAATGAAATAAATAATAATAATACCACCTTGCTGCTGCCGCTTGCTCTATCTGCCATTGGGCAGAGTGGGGCAGCTGACTAAAGCTTCAGGTGCCTTGGTGGTAGCCACAATGGCAAGTTTTGTGTGCCAGCCACACGTTCCCTAAGCTAGTCAGCTGCCCTCTTGTGTGGTAGAAGATAACTTTCCCAACTTGAAGCAAGAGTCAACAGCTCAGGAGGTTTCTATGGATGGAATATTGGGGAGGGGAGCAGATCTTGACCACCTCAGGCAGCAAAATGTCCTGGGGCGGCCTTGCTTCCTAGCCCGCTTTGCTACCCACTCAAATAAAACCTGCACTGTGGCAGCACTGGCATGCATCAAGTCAGCAGAGCAACATGCTCTGCCCCCTGAAATATGCGGCCTGAGTTGAGTTGTGTGCTGTCAGTGGCTCGTTGCCACAGTGGCTGTGTTCACTATGCTTCTCAATACCAGTTGCTGGAGGAATCACAAGTGGGCTCTTGTTCTCAGGTCCTGTTTGTGGGTTTTCCTCAGGCATCTGGAACAGCATGTTGGACTAGATGGGCCCTGTGCTCTGGTGCTCACTTGGTGCAAGGCTGCCTGTGGCCCATTGGAAGAAGCTGAATGGGTGAGAGGTGCAGGCAACCAGACCCTCCTCAAACCAGACTGGCAACAAGGAAACACCACTGCTGTTGGGGCTTCAGCTCCAGGGGATAGGAATGGCCATAGGGGATTGCCACTGCCTCCTGCTCCTCACAACATCTACCATCCGAGGCACCTGCCTCACTCTGCCTAATAGTAGGGCTGGCCCTGCTGGTCCTCTCACTTGGCCAGACCTACCTCAGTGACATATAGTCCTTTCCACCCCTTGGACCTGTATGAGGTTCCCACCTGATCTAACCTTTGGCCCCTTCCCAGAAGCTTTTGACACCATGAATGTGATGTGTTTTTTTCTTCTTCTGCAGGTCAGAAAAAGGGCAGCTGTGTTGCTTCCGAGTACTTCCTAGAGCCCAGGCCTGACCCTGACCCTGAAGGCCCCCTCGTAACGGAGAACACAGAAAACATACTTAGTAAGTCGATACGCTTCTGTTTGTTGGGCATGGCGAAAAATAAAGCTAAGAGGGGCTCTCTGAAGGCCGAACTCAGTCACATCTACACATCTAAAGCATATTTATACCATTGCAACACTTCCCCCAAAGAACCCCAAGAACTGTAGTTTCTACTACAGAGCTATAATTCCCAGCACCCTTAGCAAACTATAGTTCCCAGGATTCCTTCAGGGAAGCCATCTGCTTTAAATGTATGGTGTGGCTATGACCCTAGACGTGATGTAACCCCACTTGTAGCAATAGGATGAACGGCTTACTTCAACTAAATAACAGGCATGAAGGCCCTGCTCCAGACCAGGGTCCCAGCTGGGGGGGAAATGGTTAAATTCCCAGGGCCGGCCCACCCATGAACCAAGGTGGGGTGACCGCCTTGGGGAGAAGGGAGAGTGAATGCCTACCCCTCGTCTTCGGCCTTTATTTGTTTCTTCCCATCCACCCACCACATCTGCGACCCCCCCATGCACATTTCACAGATTTACAGCGGTTCTCAACCTGTGGGTCCCCAGGTGTTGTTGGACTACAACTCCCATCATCCCTGACCACTGGTCATGCTGGCTAGGCATGATGGGAGTTGTAGTCCAACAACATCTGGGGACCCACAGGTTGGGAAACACTGGATTAAAATGAGCTGTTTGTTTGGCCACCTCCACCTCCACCCACACCCACACCCCCCCCTCCACAATGGTGCAGGCTTGTAGGCACCCTTCACCTGACTTTATCTTGTATACAGGGGTTGCCAGCATGGTGCCTGAGGGTGCTCACAGAGGCCTCCTCTGGTGGCAACAGATTCCCCTCCCCTTGCTGAGATTAGATGGGCATGAAGCATTCAGTTATAACCAACAGGATAGATTGTGGCATGTTCTTTGTTGCTCTGTGTGTGTTGCCCACAAGAGTTTCTCGGACTTGCACATGGGCCCATGGACTCCAAAAGGTTGGTGCTCCCTGCTGTTCAGCTTGCCCTTGGCTGGCTTAAAAGCCAAGAGGGTGGTTGTCCTTTTGAACAAAACAAGCACACGTAATGGCCTGGCCCAATATGTCAGCAGCAGTTCAGAATACCCCTCGGCAGCCACAGTTTGCGCTCATGTTCAGGCATTTGCCTACATGCACTGCAGAGAGGCTACGCAGCCACCCACCTGCTCAGAGATTTAACTTCTAGCGACATGGAGCAGGATTTGAGCCCTTGAAGAATGACAGGGCCAGCCACTCATGCCAGCGAAAGGTTAACAAGCCGTTCAACTCCAACTCTCCAAAGCGTATGGATTTATATCCCACTGCTCTCTAAGAAAGGATTAGGGCTCCTTGAGGAGCTCAGTCCCTGGGAATTCCAATACAAACTGAACTGATCCACACTTGCCAGACTAAGGTGAGGATCAGACTGTTGCTATCCGCTGGATTTCACCCTCATCCAAATGTTACGGGGGTACAGCTCTTGCCTAAAAAATGTATCTCAATCCATTTTGAAGTGCGTGGCTTTGACAAGAGAATACATCTATGACTGCCTATTTTGACAGAAAATACATTTAGAAATGTGTATTTGGGGGGCAAAGTCCATTTAGGAATGCTATTTTGACGCAACGAAGCTGCTAGCAATGCTTCCTGTTCTTACAGGGGAGCCCACTCACAGGGCATGAGCACAGCAGCAGTTTTCCCTGCCTGCAATTCGTGGCAACTGGTATTCGGAGGCAAACTGCCCCAGACAGTGGAGGCAGAATGTAGCCATAATGCCTAGAAGCCGTTGTTAGTAGTCTATTTTTGTCTAATCCTCTTTTAAAGCCAGCCACACTGATGGCCATCACTGCATCTTGTGCAAGTGAATCTATTATTATTATTATTATTATTATTATTATTATTATTATTACCTGAACGCCAGTCTAAGGTGCAGGCTGGATGTATCTGTAGCTATTGGGGCGCCCCCTGGTGGCCCGTTACAATGACTAGTTTTTGAAATGCTGTGGAAGGACACGTAACACAAGCAATTCTCACACCCCAGTTCTACTCTTTCTTGACTTGCAGGTAAGACTTGCCAGTTTCAGCAGAACTGCCTTCCAAAGGGAGCATTAGTTGCCCTCTCCTATGGGACTACCTTCTGCAGGCTACCATGGCTCTTCCCCACAAAAGCTGGCTGGCACTGCTGCAGCTTTCTTCCCTCAAACATCCAACACGCTGTGGACGTTTACCATATTTTTTGCTCTATAAGATGCACCAGACCATAAGACGCACCTAGTTTTTGGAGGAGGAAAACAAGAAAAAAAATATTCTGAATCTCAGAAGCCAGAACAACAAGAGGGATCGCTGCACAGTGAAAGCAGTGATCCCTCTTGCTGTTCTGGCTTCTGGGATAGCTGCACAGCCTGCATTCGCTCCATAAGACGCACACACATTTCCCCTTACTTTTTAGGAAGGAAAAAGTGAGTCTTATAGAGCAAAAAATACAGTAACTTGGTTTTAAGAGCGAGGACCGAAGGGCACCTTTGTAGCAGAAATCCACTTATCTGTTATTTAAAAACAACAATTAATTAATTAGATTTTTGACCTACCCTTTACCATAAGATCCCAGGCCTAGTTACAACAAGGAAATATCCCCGTGGTTCCCAAACTACCTGCCCTCAAGACCACTTGAAAATTGCAGTCTTGGCAGCCCACCTCATGGTTTTTCTACCTGCTGTGGCAATTCTGATGTGCTAGACGCTATATGATTCTTTAATTGTATTTTTATTGCGTCTTTTATTTCTTACATTGCATTGTATTATAATCTGAAGTCTGTGATTTGAATTCTGCACGAACCTGAATAAAGCTGGTGGTCCATGGACCACAGTTTGGGAAATATCCACTTATTCAACAAGTAGTGCAGTTTGGACGTTGGTTACCTGCAGTTTGGACAACCAAGCCAGAGACAGCCAAACTTGCTCAAGTATGGTGTAGTTCACCATTCATGCAACAAAACACATATACAGTGGTACCTCGGGTTAAGAACTTAATTCGTTTCTGGAGGTCTGTTCTTAACTTGAAACTGTTCTTAACCTGAAGCACCACTTTAAGTAATGGGGCCTCCTGCTGCCACTGTGCCGACGCTGCATGATTTCTGTTCTCATCCTGAAGCAAAGTTCTTAACCCGAGGTACTAATTTTGGGTTAGCGGAGTCTGTAACCTGAAACGTATGTAACCTGAAGTGTATGTAACCCGAGGTACCACTGTATTTGCTAACTGCTTGGGACTGTCTGTGTGGCACCTGACATTTCAGGTGGGCTTGACACAATGCTTCTCCACCTAGGTCAAACTTTGCCAGTCTAGTGCCCGTCACATGTTTTGGACTACAACTCCCATAAGCCCTAGCCACCACAGCTTGGGGGCTGATGGGAGTTGTAGTCCAAAACATCTAAAGAGCACAGTGTTGATGAAGACTGTCTTAAGTCTTTGAGGCATAAATGGCAGGTGGGGGGGGGCTAGAGGGAGCAGCACTCTCCCTGGTCAAGTAACCCTCCATCCCACTGCCACTGCAGGATCCTTATGGCTACTTAAAGGAAAGGCACTTTCCCCAGACAGAATAGCGCTTTTTCTTTATTTCCAGCAGAGAGCGAGAGCGAGAGAGCAGTTCCCTGTGGGCTCACGTCTGTCCAATGGTGACAGAACTGGGGTAGGGAAGATTTTTAGCTCCCTCAAAATCAATAGGAGCTAAGCCAACCAGGTGAATAAACCAGGCAGGGCTCCTGAGTGTTTAACAGTTGTGTAAAAGAGGAAAATTCCACAGGTGGATCTTGGCACACCAGTTCCACCTGCTGAAATTCCCTTTTCTGTACAACTGTCACATTCACAGTACTAGGGATGGAGGAACCTGCCAACTCGGCTTCTCTCCACGTCTTGTTTCTCCAGTCTTCAGTTCTGTTCTCCAAATTACTGCATCAGTTTGCAATGTATGCTTTCAAAGTCTCCATGAAAATTTGTCTGCATTTTAGTGCAAATTTCTCCCTATAGACACATTCCTGTCTGCAATTTTGCATTATTTAAAGTAGTTTCCCCCAATATAATGCATGTTATATGCTAATATATACATTTTAATGCACATTTCCCCCAAATATACACATTTTTGTACACATTATTTGGCTGGAGAACCGCACCACAAAATTCGGGAGATGTGTGAATTTTGAAGGATTCTCAGTTCATATATTTTTCTGGAAAGTGCAAATTGGGGAGGTTCACATTGAAATCCTAAGCAAACCTTCTATTTTGGCCACCCTGTACTGGGAACTTCAGAGAAAAGATGGCTATGATGGGAGCATTAGCAGAAAATATGCCATTGTTTCTCTTTTAGAAATTTCTCACGTGTGGCGCAGAGCTCTCTCTCTCTCTCTCTTGCACACACACAAACACACACACCCCCCAAATTTGCCCCTTGTGTACCTGCCCCCATTTTCATTTTGGGGGTGGGTGGGTGGGTGGGTGTCACTACTGCTTTAAGCTGAGGAGAGGAGTGGAAGCTACCACCACAGCTCTGCCCTGAAAATATTAAGTGGGCCTTGACAACTGTGCTGTGTGCCTTGGCTATGAAGAGCCAACATAGGCAATAAAGCTAGCAAACTGACTGCTAAGGCTAACAACCAGGGCCTTTGTGGTGGGAGCTGGAGAGGCCAGGTTACCTGAAAAGAAAACCCTACTTCTAACAATAGCTTGGCTTCAAGGTTGCCAACATTTCAGCCAGTCCCAGTGCTCTGAACAAGTGAACTGACGTGCAGCAGGCATTAGCAGAGGAGCTACCATTGATCTCCATGCTATGAAAAGCCTCACCTGCTGTTGTCTTGCAAAATCAATCTACTTTCAAAAGGCACAAGAGCACAGCTTGCTTTTCTGGTCAGTTGACAACAATTCTATTCTGATTATGACATAATTTCTCAAGTTTCCCTCCCGGAGTACCAAATTTATTTCATGCAGTTACTAAACACTTAATCTTGAAAACAGAACTGAGATAATTGTGTGTGTGTGTTTGATTCATAGAGAGAGAGAGAGAGAATATCATTGCCCCCTGCTGGACAAAAGAAGGAATAGTTAGGTTCTTATAATCTCAACTGGAAAAATATTTTGAATTTCCAGAGCAGCAGCAAGATTTCTGCAGCTCGTCATTAATGGTGATGTCACACAAGCAATATTCCATTTCCAGGCTGCAGCCAAATTCACCATCGCCATACCTCAGTCTTCCCTTCTATGCTTTAACACCTGGCAATCTAAACTGCATGGGATGATATAATCATTGTGCGCTAAGTTTTATTGCCGTTGCCAAGTGAAAGATAATGAGGTGGAACGGGGACAGCATCAGGCTTTATATTTATTTGAACAATTTATTTCCTAAGGTGGCATGCAAGAAACATTAAGCTATGTTTTAAAGAAACCACAGCAAACAGCAGCAACTTAAACAAAGCGTTCAGGATCCTTCCCAGTTTGTGGTAAAATGGTGGCAACAGAGAGTTCCACTGGAGGAGGTCCATGGAGGCTGGTCCATAAGGGTGAACAGGCACTGCCCCACCAACCTCAGTTTGCCCTCAGCCAGGCCCTATCCTACCTACCTGCCTTTTTACAGACAACCCGTCCAGCGGGCAGCTCTGTCTGTCATTCGCTCTGGCACCACCTACTGTTGGACTCCCTGCCTCCCACCCTACCAGTAGCAATGGGTTCCAGTCACCACTGGAAGCTCTGAGATGGTCTTTGCCGGAGTCCCTCTCTTTTCTTCCTACTGGGCAGTTGATGACTGATGACCCAGTGAATAGGCAGCTGGAGCAAACTCTGGAGTGATCTTCACCTTACCCCTTCTCTCTCTTCTGGAATCATATAGCATGTTTCCTCTTCCTAGATCAGAAATAGGCAATATGGTGCCTTCCAAATGCTGTGGGCTCTTAATTTTGATCAGCTCTGGCCAGCATAGCTCATAACCGGGGATTATGGGAATTTTAGTCCAAAACATCTGGAGAACATAACATTGGCTACCCTAGCCCCTAGGAGGGCTATTTTTTAGTTGCATCTGCCTTAATGCTAACTGGGTGAACACAGATTAGTTAAAGGTGGGAAGGAGATTGCAGAATGCATCATACTACTTCAGCTGCATGGGGGATCACACTTTTCAATGCTCTCCTGCTTTTTATTATTAGTTAAAAACCTCTCTGTGAGTAGAAAAAAAGCAGAGTGGATAAGTCTGGAATTTTTCTAGCATATGTATATGTCAGGGAGGGACTGGGCAGATGAAGAGGAATGGTGGAGACAGCCTGCACAGGAGCCTTCCAGAGAGGAGGAAGGGGCCGATAGTATAGATCTAGAAGAGTGGTTCGACACAGGTCACAACCCAGAAGAAGAAGGAAGAAGTTGGGAATTAATGAAAGATGAGGAGCAGGAACCAGGTAGCACAGAACACGCAGAGCCTGAGTAGTGGCTGGCTGACACACGCTGTTGCTGGAGAGTACCCCAGAACTCGTTCCATCCCCCCAAACCAGGCGTTCATTGAGAATGGCAGAGAAGAGGGCTCAGAGGTGGGTGGCACTTAACAGCTGCCGTAGGAGGGAGGAGGAGTCTGATGAATAGGGAAGTACAGAGAAGGGGAGGTGGAGCTTCACTCGAGGCAACGCCGGATAATGAACGGTGTGGATGGAATTTTGTCCTGGTAATTCTAATAATAAAAAAGAACTGGAAAGTTCGCTTTTTCTCTGTCTCTCTGCTTTACTGGGCAAGCAGCCAGTAGCCACCAGCAGCACCCTGACAGTATATAGTTTTCTACTTGCAGGGAGTATTTACATGGAGAACTATCTCCTCCCCACAGTCCACTCTACCACCTTTGGCATTCAACACCCTGCCACGATCCATTCTTTTGGAGATGTAGAGGGCACCTAGAAAAAGGTGGAAGAATCACTGAATTGTAGACTTGGAAGGGGCCATGACAGTCATCTAGTCCAACCTCCCAGGAAATGCAGGAATCTTTTACCCAACATGGGGCCCAAACCCACAATGCTGGTATTAAGAGTTTCCTGCTCTACAACTGAGCTGTGAGGAAGGGTGTTGCATTTTCAATTCTCCCCTAGCAGAAGAAATCTTCCAACATGCACAAACCAACACAGCGGGGAGCAGGCTAGGCCAGAACCTCCCTAATTATAGTTGTGGTTGTTTCTTTAACTTACAGGGAGGGCTTTACAAATGAAGAAACCGAGGGAGTATTCAAAAATGTGATGCATTCAGCTGAAGTCTGAAATGCTACTGCACATTTACCACCTCAGAATTCAACCTCCTCAGATATGCGGCATGTGAAGACTAGGCCTCAGTTCCAGCCAAGAGAGGTGTCTTATTGTTTAGTAGTGAACCTTGTAGTTCCAGAAATGGCTAGTAGTAAGCTGCTGTTCCACAGTGTGGAGGGCAATCAACTCTGCACATATTCAGTGGCACTCTTAATTTTTTAAATAACTTGACATTGTCCAAAAAGGGTGGAGCCCTTAGCTGGAGTTCTGAGCCATCAAGGTTAGATGCTTTGGTGTTCAGGGTTGCCAAATACAAATGGGCTTCATGCCCTTTTAACAGAAGCAGGAATCACCTTATCAGGAATCGCAGTTGACACGCAGTTTAAAGAGACTTTTAGAAAGGCAACTTTTGGGTAATTGAATCTCATGCTCTGGAAAATTCAATTTTTGTGTGTGAAAAAGTATACTTCATGTTGTATACCAAAGTCAAATTTGTGGGTTTGGGAAGAGGGCCTGACAAATAGGATAGACTAAGGTCGACCTAAGATCATACTCAAAAATGAAAAGAACACTTTGGATCAGTTCCAGAATGTATTGGTGCAAGCATTTATCCGATGGACTGTGTTGTTTTGTCGTGTGGACCATCTGCATGCAAATAAGAATTCACCTGTATGTGGAAATGTTCCATGTGCTTGGGAAACAACTGAGATACAAGGGATTTAGTTTTATCACCCATGCACATTTGTACATCATATAGGTGTGTGTGTGTCTAAAGATAAGGACTCTTGAATATAAGGGCAAAGAGATGTTTTGATATGTGGTGGACATGCATCTAGTGTAGCACTTGTAAGCTTTGTTGTTGTTGTTGTTGTTGTTGTTGTTGTTGTTTAGTCATTTAGTCATGTCCGACTCTTCGTGACCCCATGGACCAGAGCACGCCAGGCACTCCTGTCTTCCACTGCCTCCTGCAGTTTGGTCAAACTCATGCTTCGAGAACACTATCCAACCATCTCGTCCTCTATTGTCCCCTTCTCCTTGTGCCCTCCATGTATTCACTGGACCATTATTATGGTGCATGTATTACGGTTTACATACTTTCGTATGTTTCAATTCAGGTATCTTCAACCTTTGCAGATCCAGGACCCACTTTACTGAATGTCATAGCAGCTGCTTACCTCTGCCCCTGCCTCATTTCTTTTAATTCTGGGAGGCCACATCTATGGTCCTATAGGAAAAGATGGCAGCAGTATGAATTTTTTTGCTCTACCTACTGCTCTGAAATTAAATGTCCCTTTAAAGTCAATTTTGGATGTGCACACATCATACATTTAAAGCACAATGCCCCCCACAAAATAATAATCATAGGAATGGTAGTTTACCCCTCACAGAACTCCAATTTCCAGCACCCTTAACAAACTACAGTTGCCATGCTTTAGTTGTACAGTGTGTCTGTAGCCTTTGTACATGTTCAGGGGTACTGCACTGTTGCCTCAGGCAGCAAAATGTCTTGAGCCAGCTCTGCCTCAAACATTTCAGTCACACATGTTATCATCAGCTCCCCTCCTTCTCCCGCTTCCATTTAATCAAAGCTCAATCCTAAAATTACTTTGGAAATTTTACTACATTTGTTTGCCACATTCAGATGTGAATTATTTTATGCATGGAGTATTCATCTGTGATGTCTGTAAGACCAAATTCTAGAAACAGGGCTATGTTAGGAATCTCAATTTAAATATATAGAGTTTGCAGGGAACCAGGCATGATTTTGCATCCAACTCACTAAAACTTGATGTGCGTACTGTGGGGTCATTTCTAAAAGAAAGAGTGCCAGTTTAAGCCCATCTAGAAGCCCCAGCCTTTTTAATCCCAAGGGAATGCATGCTGCCTGTGGTTACTCAGGAAGTAGGGGGAATATATCTGTGCGTGCTCAGGGGCTCTCCAAGGAATACAACTGTGTCACATGTCAGAAATCTGAGCATTCAAACCTGGTTCTAGGACTGCGCTTTGGTGAAGAGGATCGACTCAAATTTACCGGTAACTTGGAAAATCTGACTCTTCTCTTTCTCTCTTTCTCTTGGCAGAGACCATCCGCACAGCCACCCCTTTCCCTATGGTCAGCCTCTTTCTCGTCTTCACAGCATTTGTCATTAGCAACATCGGACATATCCGCCCCCAGAGGACCATCCTGGCTTTCGTTTCAGGAATCTTCTTCATCCTCTCTGGTGAGGTGTGGGGGAACATTCATCAGAGGGCAATTTTTTCCTGGAATCTGTGTGCTAACCATGACATTTGGGATAGCTAAATAAATCCTGTGTGGTAGTCTTCAGAGTGGAGCAGGGATAGGTCATGGCAACAGGGGGACTATAACCCTTGTAGTGGGCCAGTGGCTTCTGTTAAGAATTGACAAGCCACAGAGTAGCATTTCACAACCTTGTTCCATGGGGGTTCTCAACACAGGTGATGGCCCAAGCACAGAGGAGGTCCATAGTCCTAGGCCGACAAGAAGGAAAAGCACAGGAAAGGATCAGCACCTTGGAGAAGGGTCAAGGTGTGGATTTCAGGACCATGGTCAGCGATCATGCAGCTGAGCCAGACTGTATACATTACTGAGTCAATGCCCTGAAGCACCTAATAAATAGTTCTTCATAGCCTGACTTAGCTATTTATTGACTAGCGGCTACACCATATGAATGCTTCATTTGGCCAGTGTGGCCAAAGTTTTTATCCTGCAGCCATTGGCTTCTTCTTCTAGGCCCTGGGCTTTCATGCTGTGGGGATCTCTTCACAGGGATCTTCCAATCCTCTGAAATCTGTGGTCCAGCCTTTGGTGTCTGGTGGCAGAGGTGACTCCTCAGGGTTCAGGGGAGGAGAGGGTAGCGACTGTAGCTCCACATGAGACTGTCATCATCTGAGGACTGTGTCTTTGAAGATTCCTAAGTCTAGGGCTATTTTGGACCACAACTCCCATCACTTACCAGCTGACATGGCCTGCTATAGAGTTTAGAATGAGCACTTGCCTTTTGCCAAGGCAAACCATTGGTCCACCCAGCTCAGGGCCAGGGAGTCTGTGGTCCTCCAGATATTGTTGGGCACCCAGCATTGCCAATTAATAGAGATGGGAGATGTAGCCCAACTACACCTGGAGGGTCACAGTTTACCTAGGATTTCAGATAAGCATCATTCCCAGCCTCACCTGGAGATACTAGGGGTTGAATTTGGCACTTTCTGCTTGAAAAGCAGGTGCTCTGCCCCTGAGCTATCACTCTTCCCTCCAAGAGAGCTTCAGCAACGCTCTCTTCAAACACCCTGAAGAAGCACCGACTAGAAAGGAGCTGGGAAAGGTGGGAATATGCCTTCCCTGTTACACCCTTTCTCTGCCCCCCCCATCAACACTTACATTTCAGGGGCAAGGTCCTACCATTATTTTTTCTACACCCCAAATCCAAAGTCCAGCAGTCTCATGCCCCTCCCACTCCCAAAGTCATATTCAAAATTTTCTTATTATTCCAAGACTCCCTGACATTCTTTCCATTCATCTTGGTAAAAGCAGAACTGAAAAACTACAGGATTGTTACTATTAATCACCTTCTAAACCATCATCTCAAGGCAACTTACATATAAAATAAAAAAGTTTTTTTAAAAAATCCATAAAGGGCAAATGCATTTAAAACAAGACTAAACCCCTAACTTGCAGACTCATTAATCCAGCTAGCTGTTTACATACTGGACGCTGGCTTGTACAAATGTGAAGTTTCTCCGTGTCCAGCCTTTCTCCTCTGATGCTTTGGTCTGAGAATTGCTAAAGCACCCACTGTATTTTTGGAATAGAGGAGGACAGGGAAAAAAACCCAGAATTGCCTCTGGCTTCACCTCCCATTAGCTTCCCTGCCCACCAGCTCCAGCAGTAAGCAGCCATCACTTCAGAAGGCAGGTGAGCTGGCGTTACTGCTAAGGCCCCGGGGGGGGGGGGGGCGACTCCCTGGCCAGCATGGGAGAAGGAGAGGAAGCGGAGGAATGGCAGCAAAGCAGGGAGCAAAGAGCTGCATCCTGCCGCATCCACCCTCCACTTCTGTCACGCTCCAACTCAAGCATGACAGAAGTGCCAGAACACAAGCGAAGCACAAAACGGCCTTTAGATTTACGACAAAAGCCCAGTTTTGTCCACTTCTGCCTCCTCCCTCAGACTATTTTGCTGCCATTGCATTCCCCAGTGCAGGAGGAGGGGGAAGAAGAGGGAAGCGGGCAGGGAAACCTTAGGCCCACATCCATACTGGGGTCCGGGAGGAGGACCAGAGGAGGAGGAACAAATGGTGCTGCCTGCCTGTGCATATTTATTAAAACATTAATACAATAAGTAGCAGCAAATACAGGTAGTAATAAAGCAGCGGGGCATAGTAGATAGCCAGCATGATGTAGAGGTTAGAGTGCTGGACCTGGGAGATCAGGGTTCAAATCCCCACTCAGCCACAAGGCTCACTGGGTGACCTTGGGCTGGTCGCTGCCTCTCAGCTTAACCTACCTCTCAGGGTTGTTGTGAGGATAAAGTGGTGGGAGGAAGAACCATGCAAGCCACCTTGAACTCCTTGGAAGCAAAGGTGGGGCATAAATGTAATAATGAAATACAGGGCTGGTACATCCCATTTCATAGGGATGCGGGTGGTGCTGTGGGTTAAACCACAGAGCCTAGGACTTGCTGATCAGAATGTCGGTGGTTTGAATCCCTGTGATGGGGGGAGCTCCCGTTCCTCGGTCTCTGCTCCTGCCAACCTAGCAGTTCGAAAGCACGTCAAAGTGCAAGTAGATAAATAGGTACCGCTCCAGCGGGAAGATAAACGGCATTTCCGTGCGCTGCTCTGGTCCGCCAGAAGTGGCTTAGTCATGCTGGTCACATGACCCGGAAGCTGTACGCCGGCTCCCTCGGCCACTAAAGCGAGATGAGGGCCGCAACCCCAGAGTCGGCCACGACTGGACCTAATGGTCAGGAGTCCCTTTACCTTTACATCCCATTTCACTACTTGAGATGAAATGGGAAGCGCTGCTTTCCCCTGCCCCGCCACCTCCACCACCTACCTTCTGCTGCCCTCCACCCAGCTGCATCTGAAGCAGCACTGCCACCGGCACTGATTTTGGGCAAGGGCACACTGATTTTGGGTGAGATTTCACTCGAAATCACATGAGATCTTGTGCGCTCCTCAAGCCCTCCCCCCCTCCCGATTTCAGGCAAAATCTTGCCCCAAATGGACATGATCTTGCCCAAAATTGGCACCGATGGCATTAGCGCTTCTCCATCGCTGGTGGAGGCAGTGGGGCAGGTGGGGCACCCATGGGTGTGTTACCTGTGGGGTTTCTGCCTCCTGAAGCAGTGGCTTTACCCCGCATAATGGCTGGGCCAGTTCTGATAAAATATATAATAAAATAGTAAAGGTAAAGGGACCCCTGACCATTAGGTCTAGTCGTGACCAACTCTGGGGTTGCGACGCTCATCTCGCTTTATTGGCTGAGGGAGCCGGCGTACAGCTTCCGGGTCATGTGGCCAGCATGACTAAGCTGCTTCTGGCGAACCAGAGCAGCGCACGGAAACGCTGTTTACCTTCCCGCCAGAGTGGTACCTATTTATCTACTTGCACTTTGACATGCTTTAGAACTGCTAGCTTGGCAGGAGCAGGGACTGAGCAACGGGAGCTCACCCCGTCGCGGGGATTTGAACTCCCGACCTTCTGATTGGCAAGTCCTAGGCTCTGTGGTTTAACCCACAGCGCCACCCGTGTCCCTCAATAAAATAGTACCCCCCCCAAAAAAAACATTCCAAAGCCTTGCAGAGCCTAATCAGTTCCACTTAGAGAATAAGTGTGTTTAATCTGTCATTTGGAGGGGTGGAGGACAGAGGGGCTATGGGGGCCAAGGCAATGGGTCCAGGCAAGTGAGGCTGAACAAAAATGTTATAGTTGTAATTGCATGGCAAGGGAAGAACGGATCATGGAAGGCAATTACGTCCAGGTTGGCCTTCTTCAGTTCAGATGATATTAAGAGTTGGTGAAGAGCAATGGCTGCAAGGCAACCCCAGAAGTAAATTTGTGAGCAGCCGAAAAGGGCAGCACTGGGCCCTTAATGGGAAACAGAAGAAGAGCGGCACATAGGCCTGTCTGTGATGCTGCAGCACAAGCACAGTATGGCACCGTGCTGCACTACCGAGCCAGCTGCATTTTAGCACTCTTTCTCTTTGCCACATGCTACTATGACCAAGAAATGCAATGCAGGGTGAAGCTATGCAGCTGAAGGGGTGCAATTATGTAGATAGGAGCAGGCTTGATTTACAGTAGCTCTCGCTGCCTTCTATATGATATAATTAATAGACAGAAATGTGGGCATGCTGTTGACCACCACCACCCAACACATATAGTCTGAAAAGAACCCATAAAGGGGTGGTGTGCATTTGTGTGCACACACACGCACTGCGGCTGGTTGCAGTGGCATCTCTGCTCTGAGCTAAATGTGGAGAGTGAGGTAGGTTTGTCATACAACATAAGAACCGAGAGAGGTACCTTATACTGAGTTTGATCATTGGTCCATGTAGCTCAATACTGTCTACACCAGGGGTCAGCAACCTTTTTCAGCCATGAGCCCGTCCACAATCCCTCAAACCATGTGGTGGGCCGGACTATATTTTGGGCAAAAAAATGAACCAATTCCTATGCCCCACAAATAACCCAGAGGTGCATTTTAAACAAAAGCGCACATTCTACTCATGTAAAAACACACTGATTCCCGGACCATCTGCAGGCCAGATTGAGAAGTCGATTGGGCCGCATCCGGCCCCCGGCCCTTAGGTTGCCTACCCCTGGTCTACACTGACTGGCTGAAGCTCTCTCCCTGGGTCTCAAACTGAAAATGCTTAGCCCTACCTAGATATGTCAGGGATTAGAACTGGGACCTTCTGCACTTGTGAAGCAGGGGCTCTACTACTGGAGCTGTGGCTCCTCCCCACAAGTGAGGCCTTTATGAACAGCTGGAAATAACAGCCTCTTCCTTCCTTCCCACCCCTCTCCCTCTGTGCTCTTTCTGCAGGGCTCTCTCTGGTGGTGGGCTTGGTTCTGTACATCTCCAGCATCAATGACGAAGTGATGAACCGCCCCAGTGGCTCAGAGCAGTACTTCCAATACCGCTACGGATGGTCCTTTGCCTTTGCTGCTTCTTCCTTCTTGCTCAAAGAGGTACACTTCCCAGCATTTATTTATCTATTACATTTTCATCCAAGGAGCTCAAGGTGGTGGACATGGTTCTCCCCACCCCCATGAATCCTCACAACAACCCTGTGGTGTAGGTTAGGCTGAGAATTTGTGTGTGGCTGGACCAAGATCATCCAGTGAGATTCATGGCTAAGCAGGGATTCAAACTCTGGTCTCCCAAGTCGAAGTCCGGCACTCTGTTACACAACACTACCTCCCACACTGCACTTGCACATGTGCACGCACAAACACACACACACACACACACACACACATTCTCCTGACTCCCAATCTTGAATCGCAGATTTAAATTTTGGCCAAGGGGTAAAGCAAGTTTTCCTTTGCTGGCCTTACAGGGCTTCTAAGGCCAGAAGGCAGAAAGGGTGTCCACTGTACTACTGCCAGTCCATGTCCTCATTAGGAGTCTAACAAGTGAGATCACCACATCTCTTTCCTTCTAAAGAGATTGCTCCTGTTAAGGGTTCCTGCCTGTCAAACCACCTAAGCAGGACAGCCCAGACTTCCACTCCCTCAAGTTTAAAGTTATTTTTATACTGGATCAGATTGTTACTATTAATGTTTGCTGTTTTATTATTATTATTCTATGTGTTGGAAGCCACCCAGAGTGGCTGGGGCAACCTAGCCAGATGGGCAGGGTATTATTATTATTTTTATTTTCTGTTTCTTCCACTACCCCTCAACTGCCACCAATATACTTTTATTTTATTTTAACTTCTGCAAACCCTGGAGTTTCCCCAAGCATGATGACTCTCCTCCCATTTTGGCTGGAGGCTGGTTTCAGGGGACAATTTCAGTTTTAACTTTTGCTGCAACTTGATTAGGGATTATTAACAGGGAATCAGAGTACTGCATTACTCCTATAAAATATTCCCTCACAGCTAGGGATGGGCAAACGTATCAGTTTCTCTTTCTCAATTTCTTGATGGTTTCAGTTTTCCAGATCAATATGCAATTACTTTTTAAATTTTTATTTTTAAAAGTCCTCACAAAAACTGTCAGCATTTTAGCACACATTTCTCAAATATACACACTTGAGCAAGTAGTTCTCCTTAATATAATGCATCTTTTTGTGTTTATTTCAGAATTATATGCACATTTATGCACACTTTCCCTCAAACGTACACATTTTTGTATATAGCTGAAGTTTGCACCACAAAATTCAGAGAGGTGTTAATTTTTGAAGGTTACCTGTCCACATGTTGTTTGGGGAAGTGCAGGTTAGGTAGGTTCCCATCAAAATATGAACTGATCCAAAATTCTCCCCTCTATTCAGCACAGTCTCTCAACCTGCAGTAAGGATACAGCAGTGAGCTATACTACAACAGCTACACTGTTGATTACTAGTCTCTCAAGCCAACCTGAAACACGTGACTAAAAACTAAGGATAACATTGCAGCTGTGTTGCAAGCTTGGTCAAACCATGTTTGGTCAAACCCCAGGCTACAGTAAGGTTCTACCTCTGGACAACATCTCTCGACAGCACTGTAGGACTGTTGCAAACCACTTAGAGGTTAAAATGTTCCCTGGCCTCCAGCTTTCTGTGTGAATGTTACTTCAGGGCTGCAATATAGCCAAAGCCTTTCCTAAACAGATATTATATTAGGTCCCAAAACATGGAAGGGTTTTAGAGGGTAAAAAAATCCCCGAATCTGAGATTGGCACATCTCCCTGACAGGACAGACTCTCTTTTAACAGGATAGACTCGCTTTTAGTCATACCCAGAGGAGGCCCACTGGCATGGCTAACTTCAGTTCTGCTTAAAATTAATGGACCTATCTGGATACAACCCAAGTCTCCTTGTCTATGACAAAAATTAAAGAAGGGGCTCTGCAAGATATTTTTTAAAAACCTCAAGTCTACCTTTTCCAGCTGGCAATGTGAACCACATTTGCTTTGGAATTTATATTAGCAAAAAAAATCTTTAAATGTTTCACACTGAATAAAAATCGCATTAAAAAGAACAGGAGCTCTTTCGTCTCTTTGCTGCTACCTTTTGGAGTTTTGCTGTGTGTGTGGGTGGATACAATGGTGCCCAATTCCAGTTGCATTAACATTTTGGATGTTATCCACTTATACCTATGGGCAGCTCTTACTTTCACTTTTCTCTGAGGACATTTAAAAATAAACTCAGTATGAACCAGGAAATTACCTGTCCAGACAAAAATGATGTCCTTTTTATCTCCTTGTGCCTCTTTCTCCATCATCTTTTGGCGCGTTTCTCTCCAGCAAGGAGGGAAACAGAGCAGAGGGTGGTTCTTGCCTTCTTTCACACCTGCCCGAGCAGCAGAGTTTTGAAGCTTCCCTAGTTGTTTCAGCCACATTACCCTCTTCCCTTGCTCCTTTCAGCCAGCCAGAACATTCCACATGCACACACCCAAAACACACACACACATTCAGTTTTTCCTGCCAACTGATTCAGTAGTCTGAAATAAATAAAATAAAATTTTTATTTATTATTATGCCATCAATTTGATTTGAATTAATTTTATAATGAAATGATTTTAGAATGTTGTATTATTTTATTGTTGTTAGCCGCCCTGAGCCCAGCTTCGGCTGGGGAGGGCGGGATATAAATAAAAATTTATTATTAATTTATTATTATTCTGAAGCCACTGGGGGGGGAAGGGATTCCCCTTAAGTTCTGTTTGTTTGTTTGTTTGTTTGTTTGTTTTCTGTACTTCTACAAATACTGGGCTTTCAAGCATGCCAATACTTCCTATTGTGCATGGATGATTCTGTTTTGTCCTCATAAAGACTGGCACTCACACACAGCCCCCCCAAAAAAACATTGCTAAGAGAAATGTTGGTGCATAAGCTAGCCCTGACTCTCACAGTAATTCAACAGCAGCATAAGACATTGGGCCAAACAGGACATGACTATGGCTGAGGGAGATATTTGATTCAGTTTGCATTTAAATGTGACTCCACCTAAATTGCGCTTTCAGAAACAGCAACTGCACCGAAACACAGCCATCCAAAATTCACGCGATTCGGAATTTTGCGGCGCACTTCTCCAGCCAAATAATTTGTACAGGAATGCATTTACTAGGGTAAAGTGTGCATAAAAATGCATATTTTAGCGCAAATAACATACAAAAAGCATTATATTAGAAAAATTGCTTTGCCAAAACATGTAAATTAGGAGAAAGCCACACTAAAATGTGGATCAGTTTTCATGAGGACTCTTTCTTTCTTTCTTTCTTTCTTAAATACAAATTGATGAGGAAAAGTGATGAGAAAGTAGAATAAAAGAGAAGATAAAACAGTGAATAAAACCAACCAGAATAGATAAATGAAAGCCTCTTATATGAAGGCAGAATATTTCTATGTTCCAGTTGCTGAGGAGTAGCAACAGGGGATAGATATCACCCTCCTCACCTGCTTGTGAGTTTCCTAGTGGCATCTCCTTGGCAGCTGTTGAAAACTTGATCTGATAATATAAGGCAGTTCTTACAGTTTAATTGGTGGGGTGGGGGACAGGATATTTCAGTGCTGATTTCACAAGCACACATCCTCCAGGCTTGAAGGAGGCTTTGGCATAGTGCCTCTAGTGGGCCCCCTTCTAGGCTAGTGGGGCCCCCAACTGGTGCCTGATAATTGCCACTTTAATTTCCCATATTGCTCCCTATCTCTGAGGCACTGTGGAAAATTAAAATGGTGGCCATTTGATGCCCAACACAGGGGTTGGGAGTTGAAGGATCTTCAATACACGTTGAACAGAAATCATGAGGGAAGTTCTTGGGATGTTTGGCATGAGTCAAACATCTATGGACTAGGATGATAATGCCCACTTGCAAAAAGCTGAGTATCATCACAGTGACCAACAGAATGCTTTACAGCCTTAAGTCTACATAAGCTTCAGTGTTACTTGTGCATGTGCGCATTCCAGAGCATGACTCCTCATGCCCTGAAGGCATCCTTGTGTGGGATGAAACTGGATGCAGTGAGCCACAGGTGAGCTACAACGAGCGACATGAGTTACAGACATAACACATCCACACACATTTATTTGTTTATTACACTGTGCCCCACTTTTCATCCAAGGAAGTCAAGGTGGCCTGCATGGTTCTCCCTCTTCCCATATTATCTTCACAGCCTTGTGGTGGTAGGTTAGGCTGAGAGTCTGTGGTTGCCCCAAGGCCACCCAATAAGCTTCAGGGCCCTGCGAGGATTTGCACCCTGGCCCCCCAATACCTAGCCAAGCACTGTAATTGCTACACCACAACATACTGGCACCATAACTTGTGAGACCATATGGTATGTCTTGTTCTTGATATTTCCCTCTGTAACGGCTCTTTGCAGGGCGCAGGGGTGATGTCTGTCTACCTCTTCACGAAGCGCTACGCTGAGGAGGAAATGTACCGCCCTCACCCAGCCTTCTACCGGCCACGCCTGAGCGACTGCTCCGACTACTCCGGCCAGTTCTTGCACCCCGAAGTGTGGCACCGTGGACGTAGCCCCTCTGACATCTCCAGCGACGTTTCCATCCAGATGACTCAGAACTACCCACCAGCCATCAAGTACCCTGAACATATGCACATATCCACCTCACCTTGCTAGACGCACCAGAGAACGAGCTGGACAAGGAAGCCAGCTTTCGCTTGCAGACTATATCGTTCTACCCCAACCTGCCTAGGAGACTCCCCTACCAGTGTGGGTTGTCTTCCCCTCTCTAAAGACTCTTTACCACCTACTCTGCTAGAAATGTCCTCTCTCTCTCTCTCTCTCTCTCTCTCTCTCTCTCTCTGGTGGGAACTATTCAACCAACTTTTGAGATTGCCAGTGCCCCTCTCACCACCCCTTCCGCCCTCTTGGAAACTGTCCTTATTTCCTTGCTTCCCTGGGAAACTACCAATTTGAAAAGCCCACCCCTCAAAACTCAAGTCACGCACACACCCTGTTCATTCTCCACAGAGCAGCGGAAAGAAGGGATATATCTCCCAGTTCAGTTCTGCTGCCTCAGAATACTTCTCCTTTCACTCAGGTGGTTGGAAACCTTAGTGGGAAATGACTCATGAAGCATGTTCCCCTCAACCTTCTCCCTGAAGAGGTTTCGACGGCAAGCAGGTTCAAAACCATCTGCATTTTTCAGATCTTGTGAGAGGAAGATGCCCAGAAGCCATTTTCTCCCATCAATCCAATTCCTGAAAGGAGAGGGCTCATTGCCAACATCTCCCTCTGTCAAAACAACAACGAAGAAACAAAACTAGCTTGACAAGAAGTAATTGCTTTACCATTGTCATCATTCTCTAGTTTCCTGACTATAAACGACATCTCCTTGACATTTTTACCTCCATCCTTCAAAGGCCCTAATTATTCAGGCTTATCCACCTGACAACAGCCATCCTTCCATCCCAGCTTCTTAGGTGATGACAGGAAATACATTAGACTGCCATCTTGGTTCAACCAAAAATGACCAGGTAAAATGTAGTGCTATATTTTCCATTCCCCTTTTCATCGTGCCAGTTTGTGACATAGCTCTACAAATACTGCTATGTTTATTTGTCTCAAAACAACTAGCCCTGAGAGAAATACTCTATTCAGTTTATTTCTACCAATATCTCAATCTCAGTCAACCAAATTATAGCATGAAACTGTTCCCTTGCCGTTCTTCTGTGCCCTAAATGTCCTCCTCCCTCCCCAACACGCACACACAAACCTGCTCCCTCTGTGCCTCATTCTTGCCTTCTAGGTTCTTACAGGAAATGACTAATCATCATTTTTGTATGCCCACAAATGACCAGCTTGGGCACCAATCCTGTAGGTTTCATTATTCTCTCAGGCACTTCCCCCTGGAACCCAACAGCAAAGTGCTGCACCACCATTTGGGGTTGGCTAAAATAAGGCCTTTTCCTGTCAGGAAATGTGCACGCCCCCACTCCCGTTTCTGTTCCTATTGTTGAAGAAAATAGTCTGACATCTAAATTTTCTTCCAAGATCTCGTACCATTTGCTTTCTTCCTGGCTCCACCTCCTGGCTCTTCTACCACCTTTATTTCTGTCAGCGTTTTAGAGAAGAACCCAATGTATTATCTGAAAAGACCTTTTTTTAAAAAAATGGTGCCCCTACAAATGAGACAACCAAAACACAATTATGGAGGGGTGAGGAAATAACTGTGTCTTCCAGCCAACAATGCCTCAAATATTCCCACCCCATCATTCAGTTGTCCATCAGCAAGGGGCCACGGCCATGTCATCGTGGTGCAAATGGAAACTCTTAAGAACTCCAGAAGACTCTTTTTCAAGCATGTTCCCTTCAGTCATGATGATGCCACCTGTGGTTTATGAGGCTAAAGACTCAAGGGGAAAGGAAGAGAGAAAGAGAGAGAGGGAGGGAGGGGGAGAGAGAGAGAGAATTTATTATCCAGCTGTCAATCATCTACCACACTAGGGAGTAAAGTTTGAACCCCTGTTTCCTTTCCTTTCCTATATTTCTCACTCTTGGTTTTCCTTTGTTTTGCCTTAACCGCTTATATTTTCTGCATCAGTTTCTTCTCGTCTTACTTTTATTTTTGTTTCGTTTGCGTAACAGTTTTTCCCCATTTCCTCACTCACTCGTGTGTGAGTTTTTCCCCTTTTCTATACCCTTCATAATTTTTTTCCTTTCACAACATTTCACCTTCTTGGGCTTTCTGAATTATTATTTTTGGATTGCTAAACACACACACTCATTTCCTAAGGACTCCGTGTGCATAATTCTCTGGTTTTCCTTCCTTGCTCTGCTTCTTCCTTTCCCCCGCCCATCTCATTTAATTCCTCTTAACATTTTGTGCTTTCCCCACCCCCCCTTTCATTTTGAAACTGTCTCTTTCCTTTCCAGTTCCTCTCTCTATAATACTCCGCTGCGCCTTTGCAACTCCAGCTCCTGCATATGGATACTCTGTGGTTCAACCAAAGAGGGAACATGGTGCAGGAAAAAGGACGGCTGACATGAATTTTGAGTAGAAGAGGGATGCTGACAGGACACACACAAAAATGGTGGGAGTGGGGGAGGGGAGGGAGCTGCTGAAGAGGGAAACCTGAACAGAAGGAGTATGGGAATGGGGAGGGAAATAAAAAGGGGGGATGCATGTGGTGGAAAAATTGTAAGAGGAAAATAGCAAAGAAAAGGGATATTACTGGATGTAAGATTGAATAGAAAGAGAAGGCTTGAGGGGGAAATCTTGCGGTGTTTCTGGCTGCGCAGCTCAAACTATTTTCGCTCTCCCTGTAAAATTTAATCCTGCTTTACCCCCCCCCCCCCCCCCAGTTTCGCTTCAGCTACAGGAAAAGACTGTTGCTCAGTGCGGTAAATGAGTCTACTTTTCAGGCAGAAGACCGCAGTATCAGTCTATGGGCGTAGCCAAGGGGAGGCGGGGGGCAGCTGCCCCCCCATCAAGTAAAACAATAGAAGTACTTAACTGACCAATCACATTGGTCCTGCCCCCCAACAAAAGTCCTGCCCATCCCCTAACAAAGTCCTGCCCCCCCCCCCAAATGCTGGCTATGCCCATGTATCAGTCCCTGATAGGACTGGAAGTCTTCCTGCCTGAAATCCTGTTTCCAGTTGATGCAGGGCATCAGTCTTCAAGTGGTGGGTTGGGCACCCACTACAGAACCACAAGCTGATCTAAAGTGGGTTGAAACTTTGGCACAACTGCTATACAAATATATGGTAAAAACGAAGAAGATGGTACTGGGCTTCCCAAAATCCATGTTTGGTTGAAAGATGGGTCCTAAGTTTGAAAAAGCTGGAGGCTACTGGTATACTGACCTAGGTGGACCAAAGATCTAACTTGAGCTAAGGAAGAATTCCTGTTTTCTCCCTCTCTTTCTCTCTGCCTGTCACCAGCCTCTTTTCCTGTCACACAGTAGTAAATTGAGTGATGGGGGAGGACTTCCGCTCCTGTCCTTTGCAGGGAAAAAAGGTGGGGCAGGAAATGACATTCTTGTTAGACTGGGCTAGTCCCACCCGTTTCCCTTGGGGCATTCAAAGGTTTAAGGAAGGGCATTCTGTGAGGCACAATGGGAAAAAGTTTCACTGTGCCTGCAGGCAACATTGCAATATGGGTTCCTGTGAAGCCAACGCATGGATTTCCTCATGGCACTGCCCCCCCCCCCCAGTTTTCCCAATCTGAAGCAAGTTTTAGCATCCACTATGTCAGAATTCCCTTGAGCAAAAGATGAATTATATCCTTGGATGCTATAAACGCAATCACAACATGGACCCATCTTACACAGAGGGAAGAGAAGGCAGCAAGGACTTTTGAAGGGTAAGGAGCAGATGCTTGTTTGACTGCTCTCGTGCCATAGCTATGAAAAGGGATGAGAAGAAAGATACTGCTGAATCAGCTTTAGACAAAGAGAGAGAGAGAGTTCTGATTCTCTTTTTCCGCATGTCCCCTCCTCCTCCCACTGCAGAGTCAGCACCAGCTGCAGTTAAGTTCACCTTCATGCATTGCTTAGGAAATCAGAATCCAGCACTGGTTTCTGATTTTCCTGCCATCTATCAAATGGTCTATATACAGCATCACCATATTTGCACTCCACCCCATCTATTATTTCAGGGGTCCACAATCATCACCTATTGCAAGAGAGCGCCCCTGTTTCAGTGAGTAGCCCTTCACTTCTGGGAGTCGCTTCTGTGCCAAAGGAGAGTTAGGGATGAGGTGTCGTCTCTAAGCCAGAAGGCTGTGGAAGGAAGTGATACATCACAGCACTGTATGCAATCCTACAAATTAATGCTTTACAAATAACATGTTTCTGGTCCACTTGACCTCATTGAGCTAAGGAAACATTGTAGTGACAGATAGCCTACACTTCTGTTTCCCATTTGGCAGATGCCAGTTTGGTGGCAGGGCCACTGTGGAGGTAGAAGGAGCTCTATTTGGGGTGAAGGGACTTGGTCTCACTCTCTCTGGCCACCCTAATAGAACCATAGAATCATAGACTTGAAGAGAACCCCGGGGGTCATCTAGATCAACTAGTTGTTATGCAGGAATCTCAACTAAAGCATCCATGACAGATACTTCTGCTTAAAAACCTCCAAGGAAGGACACCAGGTGTGTTCTGACCAAGTCAGAACAGAGCACAACTATTACTTCCCTTGATCAGGACACCATAGTTCTGTTGCTGCAGCCTAGAATAGCATTAACTTTTTTTTGCTGCTGTATTATACTACTGACTCATGTTAAGCTTGTCGTCTAGTAAGACCCCAAGCTCATTTCACATGTACTACTGGCAATTCAGGTGTCCCCCGTCTTATATTGGTGCAGCTGGTTTTTCCTGCCTAAGTGTAGAACCTGGCCTTTGTCCCTGCTGAAGTTCATTTTGTTAGTTTTGGCCCAGTTCTCCAATCTGTTAAGGTCACCTTGAATTCCGATTCTGTTTTCTGCAGCATTGGCTACTGCTCTGTTTGGTATCATCTGCAAATTTGATGAGCATCCCCTCAATTCCTCCACCCAAGTCGTTTATAAAAGAGGTTGATCAACAATAGGCCCAGGACAGAACCCTCTAGCACTCCACTTGTCACTTTTTCCAGGATGATCAGGAACCATTGGTAAGCACTCTTTGGGTTTGGTTAGTAAACCAGCTACAAATCCACTTAATACTCGTCCAGTCCACATTTTACCAGCTTCTCTGCAGGACTTTGTCAAAAGCCTTACTGAAATCAAGCTAAACTACATCCACAGCATTCCCCTGATCTACCAGGCTTGTAATTCCATCAAAAAAAGAAAGAAATGAGATTCATCTTGCATGACCTGTTTTTGAGAAACCCATGCTGAGTCTTAGTAATGACAGCATCTTTTTCTAAGTGCTCACAGACCAACTGTTTCTTCCCTGGTACTGATGTCAAGTTACCTGGGTCGGTAGTTACCTGTGTCTTCTTCCCCCCCCCCCCCTTTTTGAAGATAGGTACAACATTTGGCCGCCTCCAGTCTGCAGTTGGGTTGTACCAATCTTAGCCCTAAATCTATAATTTGCAGATTAGGGGGAGGGAAGAGAAGGCACTCACTCCTCAACCTTCCATTAATCCCATAATAAGTCCCACCCCATTATTTCCAGTTGTCCAATGCACTCAATCATTGCTGCCCTTGTCAAGCTATATTGAGTTTGGGAACCTGTGTTTCATCTGTTGTTGTTGTGATATTTATTTATTTATTTATTTATTTGCCAGTATTTATTTATTTATTTGCAGGGGGAGGGAAGCTCTGGAAATACAAGCAGTTGCTCAGAAAGCAGAAAGCAAATGGGTGCAACTTTCAGGACTGCTGCTACTCATGTCACTCCCTACTAGGGCCTCAGGTTTTTTTTTAAATAACTGGACTGTTGTGAGCCAAGCTTCCATAGCAATACCAGATCAGGGAGGTGGTGGGTCCATAAATGTAGAGATTTAACAAAAAAAGGCAACTCAGAATGCAGGATGGAAGGAATACAAAGGATGGCTTCTGATTCCAAAGTGCAAATAAAGAGAGGAGAGCAGAGTGTGTGGCTCAGAGGTTCGGTCAGGTCAGCAGCAATAGCCATCGCCAAGCAGCAACATAGGTGCAGTGATGATGGCTTCTTGTAGGAGGACAGCTTTGCAGCTAACGGTTGTAAGGTGTCAGTCTCCTCTTTTTTCCATTTTCCAAATAGATTTGATAGGCATGGAAACCTCCTTGGAAATCTGCTTGACATAGGACCCGCAATTTTTCCTTTGCAACTGGACATCTAGTCTCCGTGGGGCTGGGGCTGTGCAATAAATAAATAATAGCCTGAAATGGGAGGCAGAGAGAGAGAGATGGGGTGTGAGGAATTTATAGAGGTCATAGGGCAACTGCAAGCAAAGTTGCCAACTTTCCACGTGGTCACTGTAGTAGTGCTTTTAACAGCAGTTTGATATACAGACTTTAGCAGGTGATGGTGTCAAGTTTCCAGGTTTTGAAAAGCATTATTTGCTCATTTTTGCAAATCAGGTTGATGCTCAAGGCATGAGAGCAAGCCAGCCAATGGTGCAGCAAGGTTGTAGACAGGAAAACAAAGCAGGCCCAGGTTGGCTTATGGGCCCTCAGGTTTCCTGACATAGGTCACCATCAGACAAAGCAGATATTGAACCATCCTCTTGGTTTGTTTTCACAAAATTTGTGCAGAGGTTCTATGACATGGCCATCAAGTTGTTACCCTGGTCTTCCCATTGCAGTTTTCCACCACTGCTCTTACAATTCAGAAACAAATGTAATGAATGCAACACTCACCAACTTCTTACTGCTCAACCCTATGCATGTTTCCTCAAAAGTAAGTCCCACTAAGTTCAGTTGGAATTACTTCCCTAGTAAGTAGGCTTAGAATTGAAGCCCATTGCACTCACTCAATGACTTATTTCTGAGCAGACTTCTAACACTATTATTATTATTATTATTATTATTATTATTATACCGCCCTTCATCGGTTCACAACATAAAAATACAAAATGAGAACACAAATTACATTTAAAAAAAACCAAGACAGACTGATAACCCTCCATCCCACAAACACATTTAAAAGGACACAGAAAGTTAATCAGCCCAAGACTTGGTCAACAGAACTGTACTATAAATCAAATCTGAATAAATGTGCATATAAGGCGGGGGTGGGGGAATGGGCTGCATCCAATTAGTCATATTCAGAGATGAACCGCTGAAATTAATGGGCATTACTAACGTAGGTCCATTAAGTTCAGTGGGTTTACTCTGACTAGAACCTAGTTGGATACAGCCTAATGCAAACTTTGTTTTTACATGATGTTAATCAGGGACAGCTTTTTTTAGTCAATCAAAATGTTTTAATTGAGTTTACCTGATTGATTGATTGATTGATTGATTGATTCAGCATTGCAGCCCTAGTTATAAGCATGTTATTTAAAAGTAACACACTTGAATTTATGGAGTAGGGAGGGGAGGAATGCTATTCCCTACACCTCCTCCCAAAGTATTATTTGATAAAATATCCCCCCGTTCAGGATGCTCAATTTTCTAAAGGGTTATGGTGGCTGTTGTTTTTAATGCTACCAATCATACATCTCAAGACAATTCACGAAAAGCAAACCCATGACTAAGTGTCTAAAGCAGAACCATGACAACATACAGAATCCATACATGGGCAGTTTGAACGCAGGATCACATTACAGCAAGGGAAACTGAAGCACAATCCCATGTATGTTTACCCGGAAGGAAGTCTCACTATGTTCAGTGAGGGCATACCCCCAGGTATGTCAGCATTGGATTACAGCATAAGGCATGTTTTTTGTCTTTTTAAAAAAGTATTGTAGGGTGTGAGTGGACTTCTCACACATCAAGAAAGTGCCAGTGGAGTAGGAATCATGGCCCCAGCAACTATTGCTCCATTCTGTATGGGCAACCACCTGTGTCTTCATCCATTGCTCCAGCAGGAGACCCTGTCCCTAGAGATGCAGCAATGCAGGGAAAACTTCAGCTATGCATTTCTTGAGTGTCGTGAAGCTCTTAAAGACACAGGAGTTTGTCCACTAAAATTAAGGCAACTGTCAGCTTCTCGGTAATCTCTGTCCCACTTCACATGAATTTCATACGGATGGCTGAGATGATCGCCTACGGTGAAGTTGTTCGCTCCTCACTGCAAAATCACCTTTGCATCATTCAGACAACACACACTTTATTTATTATAAAGGATTTATACGTCACCTTTCTGATACCGATGTATTATTACTCAAGCGGCATCACTTGAGTTCTTTTGACGGGTGACTCAACCACCCACCCCACCCTGATTGAATGTGTGTACCAAATCCATTGGGGGGGGTAAACATTGCTCTGAGATGATAGGAAAGGTGTATCAATCTTGTCTGGTATCAAATGGCTCATTCACACAGGCAAGCGAACCCTTGCAGTCATCAAAGGATAGACTTGCCCTCTACACCTCTCCATCAATCCAAGTTGATCTGTGTTCCTCTCCTTGCGAGCTGAGGTTGTTCTTGGGGAGGAAGGGAAACCATAGAGAAAATGTAGCAAATTCCCTTTAGGTAAGGTTGGTGGGCCTGCCTCTGAGAGGCTTTCTGTGCCTTTAAGAGTAGAAAAAGCCACACTCGGTAAGAATTTCTCTCCCATGCAAGCCTTGAAGGTACAAGGGGATTCTGAGTCTAGATCTGGCAGCCCTGCATTTGGGGCTCTCTGTTGAACAAACAGTCATGCCAGAAACCAGAAACAGTTGAGAGAAGCGAGGGAAAACGTTTTGCTTTTACCGTTTTAAGTAATCTGCCATCTTTGGGGAGGGCAGAGCTTTCTCCTGTGGCTTTCACAGGTGCATGAGGACAAACAAAAATTCAACAGGTGAAGCCTTCGCCATCACTGTGAAAAGCTGCACCTGTTCAACTTCCACCCACCACGGAGTGGTTAAAAGTGCAAGAGCCCCACAGGAGAGGGGGTGAGGGGTGGCATATTTAATAGTGTCGTGATGAATTTTGGTACTGAAAGCATTAAAACATCTCTAAGCCTTGCTTCCTTCCCCCCTGTGCATGGATACAAACAACCCTTGGGATGGAAGAAGTCATATAAGGGCTAAAAGCCATCTTGTACATTTACACAGACTAAGGAGAATAGGAATAGGGGCATTTTGTCAGCAGCATTAAAGCTAGAAAAAGCGTTTTGGAATAAACAGACGTATACCGATATGTGTGGCACACTCAAAGGCAAAGTATTAGTTTTTATGCCAATTAAATCATTTTCTTTCCCTATTGTGAAAGCTCTCTGCCACACCTGGGCAGAGGAAGTGGAAATATTCTGGTGGTGCTTACAAGACTTAAATTTGCACACACAGAGAGACATCTTGGAACCAGCTGAGTATTTTATTCTCTGTAAGCGTCTAAGGTTAAATATGGAATGCAACTTTTGAAACACGGGGAGGAGAGTGCCTGCCACGGTGGGAAAAGTGGACCCTGTGGTCATGGAGGCAGAATTGGTGCAGCTGGTCTGGAGAGGTGGGACTGATTCTATTTTCTTAGGCTGCATCCTAGAATTTTGGGGTGAATGGGGTTGGGGGGGAAGGGGAACCTAAGGGGAGGGGGAGGGGATGAATTAACCAACAAAGAAACCTTTTTTTAAAAAAAGAAAAAAATAATTAATTACAAGAAAATTGTTATTAATGGTTATTAATGATTATTATTATTATTATTATTATTATTATGGTTAATAAAAACGTCCCGACCCCAGTCCTCCTTGCTATGGAGGTGGGACTGGGCCAAAAAAACAATCCATTATTTACTCTGTAATATAATGTAAATAAGACTTCAATAAACTTTATTTCAAACAAAAATATCTCCTCTTCATGACCATAGAAACAGAGTTTCCTGTGAGATAGGATCTAAATGGATTGATAGGTATCAGAGTATAGATTAGGCTACTATAAAACTCAGATTATGAGCTGCAATGATTCCTTCCTCACCAGGCAGGGATGGGACTCTGGGAGAGACTGCCTGAATTCCTTGAGAGCCACTGTCACTTTGCATAGACACTTCTGAGCTAAATGGACCAGTAGTTCGATTCATTAAAACGTCGCTTCCTTTCCAGCTGTAAGAGGGGGATCACTCTGTGTGTGCTCAGAGGCACTATCATCTTTATTATTATCACTTTGCACGTTTTGGGGCTGAGGTGGAAGGACCCCCTGGCTCTCTGAGAAAAGGGAACAATAAAGTGATGGCCATTGTGATGGAGCGACAGGATCCAAGCTGGGATAGCTCGGTCGGTAAAGCATAAGACTCCTAATTTCAAGGTTGTGGGTTCAAGCCTCATGTTGGGCAAAAGGTTCCTGCATTGCAGGGGGTTGGACTAGATGACCCTGGTGGGCCTTCTAACTCTACAGTTCTATGGTCTCCAGTGTCCCCAGGGAGTAGAGTGCAAGAAGGTTCAAGGAGCCAGCGTAGTGTAGTGGTTAGAGTAGCCTGGAGACCAGAGTTCAAATCTCCACTCAGCCATGAAGCCCACTGGCACCTGAGTGAAGATGGACCAGAGGACAAGGCTGGAAGGCAGGAGGACTCTGGATCTTTCCCCATTCCTTACGGGTGCATTTCCCTGTGACTCCATTTCCCCAGTCTCCACCAGGAACCAGCGATGTCAATATAAGAGAGCTAATGGGCTACACTAACCTGAGAAAGGAAGGGAAGGCCTAGCGATAAGAGCACCCTCCTCCTCCTGGCAAATACGGAATGGGTTAATGGTCACCATGGCAATGAGCTGGGAATATGGTACCTTGGATGCACACGTGGCAACGGAGGAACTGGCAGAAACTGTGCCGCATAGAGGAGACGGGAGGGGGGGAATGGAGGGGGATTGTGGAATCAGGAAGGATGCAATGAATGTGGAATGTGCAGGGAGAGATCAGGGAGAGTGAGGATTCACTTTGATGAGGGAAGAGAGCCGAAGAGAAATAATAGGAGGAGGAAATACAGGAGCAGCTGGTGCAGGCAGCTGAATAAAGCAAATGTGTTTGGAGGAGTGTGAGATTTTGGGGTACAGGATCAGTGGCGGCAGGGAGAGTTCTGGAGAAGGGGAAAGAGACGAAAAGAAAAGGCTAGGAGGAGGTGGGTAGGTTGCGGGAACAACGAATGCTGCTAATAGGAGGAGGAAATCAGATGCAGAGGGGGGCGTGGAGAAAAGGGAAAGGAGGAAAAACAAGCTGGGGCTGCAGAAAAGGGGGGGAAATGCGGCAAGAGGAATAGGAGGAACACGGGGTGGGGAGAGAAGTCTGGGAGACCAAAAAGAGTGGGGGCAGGAGGGAACGATGGGGATGGTTGCATCAAAAGCATCCAGGGTTCTGCAGGGGGGAAGATTTTTGGCAGTGAATGTGGGGGAAATGGATCAGAGGAGCAAGGAGCAAGGAGAACCTCTGCTGGGATGGGAGGGGGGATCAATTAAACAGGAACTGAGAAAAAAGGAGCATGAGTCTAGTTAGCAATATTTTTTTGCCGGAGAGAGAGAGATAGAATCTAGGCAGAATTAACTACAGAGAAGTGGGGAGGGTGGGAGAGCAGATACGGGGGAAGACATTAGGGCGACAGGATGTGGGGGAGGAAATTAGAGGAAGAAAAGGAAGAGGAGGAGGAGGGCGAAGAGAAGAATAAATCTCCTGTCTGAGAGATTGGAGGTGGGGAGGAAGACTGAGTGGGTGCAGGCGGAAGGGAAGTCACGGAACAAAGAAGGGATAAGGTTGGGATTGTGGGAAGGCCACCAGTGGAAGATGTGTGACTGAAGGCAGCTACTGTTAGGGATGCAGGAGAAATCAGATTCAGTTACCACTTAAAGGCAAACTTATTTAATTTGCTCTTTCTGAAACAATATGTGAAACAAAACTAAGCCACCCATCAAAATCCACACTTCTCTGAATTTTGCAAAGCAGCTCTCCATAGAAGTAATGTGCACATAGGCTATGGCCTAGGGTACAAATGTGCTTATAAATGCATGTTTTAGTGAAAGCAACCTACAAAAATGCATGATGTTAGGGGAAATTGCTTTGCAAAAAATGGGTATACCAGGCAAAATTGCATACAGAAAGAAGCACATTAGGACAATTCACACTGAGAAGTTGATCAATTTTCATGGGGACTTTGAAAAAAACAAAACGCAGATAGATGTAGAAATTTAGAGAACAGAACTTAAGACTGGAAAACTTGCCATGGTGCAAAGGCAGTTAATATCTTTTTTTATTCTTTAAAAAATTGTATACTGGTTAATCACAGTTGTCTCTAAGCAGTGTACAGGAGACCCGATGCAGTAAGACTAAAAATGAGTTACAACCATAAAATCAGAATTCAGTTTAAAAGATTGTCTTCAATATGTGCCAGAAGTTCAACAGGGAGGTGGACATAAGAAGAACCCTACTGGATCAGGCCAATGGCCCATCTAAGTCCAGCATCCTGCTCTCACAGTGGCCAACCAGATGCCTGTGGAAAGCCACAAGCAGGATATAAATGCAACAGTGCATTATTCCCACTTGCAATTCCCAGAAGCTGGTGTTCAGAGGCATGCCACATCCAACAATGAATTTCAAAAGAAGGCAGTTGTTTGTAGTCAGGTGTTGAGTTCTTGTTGTTGTTGGTGTGTGTGTGTGTGTGTGTGTGTGTGTTTTACTACTTAGCTACAATCAGCCAAGAAGCTGGGGAAGCAAGACCATGGTAAACATGTTCTAATGTTACAGCTGAACCCCTTCCTGTTTGGTGCTATGCAAATTTACAGGAGGTTATGACCTAGGATGTAAATAGATGACTGTAATTGCCCAGTGAGAAATGGAAGCATACAGTGGATGCAGAGTTAAGGAAATAGGTTGGAGAGTGCTCCCGGTATGGAAGCTTGGGAAAGGTTCTGCAGCGCAATTAAAGAGATGCAAAGAAGATCGAGAAAAGTGGAGGTTCAGTGGATGTGTAAGTGTGCCTGGGGAACAGGAAGAGCTGTTGAAGAAATGCAAGAAAAGGAAGAGATCAGAATCATGAAGGCACTATTGGGTCAAAAGGATTAAAATGGTTCATAGCTCACATTTTGCAGAAGGACCCTCACAACAGTTTTATCTCCGCTACAAACTTACATTGGCTTTTAATTTCCAAGAAACCCAGGAATTGAAGTTTGGTGACGATGCTGAGATCAACACATGGAATTACAATTCCAAGAATTATGCTTTTTCTAGAGGAAGAGGAAATAACATAAATCAAGATAAGGGTGGAGTCCTATGCACTCTTATCTAAGAGAAAACCTCATAGAACAAAGCGGGATCTCCTTCTGAGTAAACATCACACTGCATGGTCACCCCCAAACTGTCACTATCTTGTTGGAGGGATTCAGCTGCATACCAAAAAGTTAGGTTTGCCCAAATAAAGTGGATTTTGGAACAACAAATCCACTTTAAAAAAAAATCAAATATTTTGCAGTTAGGAAAGTGACAGAGAAATGCGCTAAAAAGCGTGGGTTAATGATTGATGGAGCGGAAGGAATGCAACCTCTGTGCAAATAAATCAGAATGAATGTCTGTTGTTGACTATCCTCCCCACAAATAAATCAGAACAAATGCTCACTGAAGACAGGACATATTGGGTATGCTTTGTGCAAGCAAATTAGGATGGATGCTCAATAAACAGGCCATCTGGAGGAGCTTCATATCTATAGTGTACATATACTTTTGATGCTTCCAGGCAACCTGTTTATTGGGCATTCATCCTCATTTGTTTGCATGAAGTTGGAGGGGGCAGCAATATGACTTTGGCTGTTGGTTGAGCATTAGTTGGGCTTCCCCTATTCAGTAGCTTTATCTTGTTCAGAGGCTAGCATCCCAATAATCTCACTAGGGTGGAACCCCAGAGAGCCCATCAAAGCTGGCAACTCATCATTTGTATTTGAGGAGCTCAGTCCATAAGAATAGAATCGGATCAAGTTTGTGCCTATGTACATATATTTCCTTTTTGTTGTCATGAGTTATTATTTCTTACAAGAGCCGCTATCCCAGCAGACAATGCCAAACTTTCACAAGACTGACGGGTGACGGATGGTGCATTCAGGGGTTTGACTGAACGAATTGACTTGTCCTCTATTGACATGTTTTGTGATCCAGATTGCCATCAACCCCTGTTGCTTTGACGCAGCGTTGTCAGAGAGGGAAATGTGCCGTTCCCAGACTGATGAGCTCTGACATTCAAAACAGGTTGTGGGGCTGAACCCTCGCTCAAATAAAGCCGAGGAGGAGAGAAGACAGGGAGTTCTTCACAACAATCTCAGAATCATCACCCCCCCTTCCACTCCTCCTGCAAGCCTAGACTTCTGGGTGGGAGAGAGGTGGAGTTGTGAGCACTGGCATCTGCTGAACAGAGAGATACAGCATTCTGCATTGGCATGGCAACCGGGGCAGGGAGGGGGAAGAAGGGAGGCAGCAGCTTCCCGGCTGTGTCTGGAGCTCACAATCAGCAGCAGCATATGCCAAAAGAACAGGGGCAATCCACACTGTGCAGCAGTGTGCGCTGTGTGCAACCCTGGATAGTTCTAAGTTATGCCGAGGGGACACCGGTGCTATGCAATGCGGCAGCAAGGCTGTGCACAACTTCAGTGCACGGTGACGCAAACACAACAGGCAGATAGTCACGCACAACGACAATGCAGTTTGCATGTGCACACTGCCCAGGGATATGCAACAGGCACCGTGAACAGTGAGCATAAGGCATGCATAGCCCCCAAGGCCCACGGATTTATGTAGAACAACACAGCCTGATAGATGATGGTGATACATAGCTGACAATAAAACACACAAAAGTGCCACACACCACTACTCCTAAGTAATTAACAATTCGCAATGCTACTGCAACGAACAGCACAAAACGTATAGTACGCACCTGCTTTGCGATACACTAATGCAGTGTTGTGTAATAGCTCACACACTGCAGCACAACAGAGAAGGGAGATGCAGTAATCCGTGGTAATGACATTTATCACAGGTATACAACCATATACTCTGCACAAATGTAATACATAGTGCACGGCACAATGTAAGGGTGCATTATGTGCAACAGTACACATCAAAACACCACAGAACACCACACATAACCAACTATAATCAGTACACAGTGATGATGACTTGTATTGGTCACTCAGATTAATCACCCAGTTCCTGGCTTTTGTCTCTTTGTCACAATCTAGCATGACCAAAGCAGGGAAGGAAGGGTGGTCATGTGCTGAGAGAAGCTCCAGTCACAGATTCTGCTGCTAGGTGGATTCCACCTGACTCCCTCCACCATCATGGTGGACGTGCTAACAATGCACATTGATATGGTAGGGTAACCGATGCCCCAGATGGCATTGGACTGCATCTTCCATCAGCCCCAGCCAGTGATGCAAGTCCCAAACAATGCAAGGTATGGCAGATAAGTATACAATCTACCCTTGATTCCTTCACCAGTTCATCCCTCCCCTCTTTAGAGCCCTCTGTCTTCCTTTTGCTTGTGAAAAGCTCAGTCTAGCACGGTGGGTGGGTGGGCCACTGTCACCTGCGGGACCCCTGGGCTCACACAGAGGAGGGGAGCTGGTGAAGCCAAGCCTGGGAAGGACAAGCACACATTCAAGGGCTGGGGCACTCTGCTGAATCACTGCATAGTCCAGCCTCTGTGAAATGTTTTGAGTGTAGTTTACATGGTAGCACAGAAAGATGGACACAGGTGAATGCACTTATACATATGTAACAGCTCATCCGCTCCT